TAGTGGTTCTGTTTCCTTCCTCGAGCAAATAATTTGTCCTATTTATGAGACAATGGCAGCGGTCAGTAGAGCCTTATTTTGATGTTCTGTTGATCAAATTCAGTACTTCCATATTTAAGCCTACATGAACATAAGATGTTTTAGGGGTGTGGTTTTTGGAGCAGATATGTGAACTTTGCTTTTCCGAAATTCTGTTTTAGATTTTACTATTTGGCACTTAATAAAGTTTTTTAAATATTAATGGAGATTTGATGGCAAAAGTTTGATTCATAGCTTGTAGAATTGAACTTCTTTGTTGTGATCTTATGCTGTTGCCTATGGCAGGAAAGATGTAAAGTTATAGTTGATTGGCATCTGAATAAAATTATGTTTATTTTGTTCCCTTTTAATGGCTTTGATCTTCTATGAGGACCTTGTTTTCCTATCTGTGTTTCTTCTTTTTTCTTTCTTTTTTTCTTTTTTTGAAATTTTTCAATGGACTTTTTGAATCTGGCTTCTGCTTGCTTTAGCTCTTTAATGCCAAAATTTCATTCTGATGTCTTTGTACTATATCTACAAGGGCTCATCTATGTGAGTGCGTTTTGATGGCCTGATTGTTAAATGTGTCTAAGTGAATTGTGAAGTGAAGTTTTTTTTTTTTTTTTTTTTTTTTTTTTTTTTTTCTTGCTATTATGTTTTTTTTTTTTTTTTTTTTTCTTGCTATTATGTTTCTGCATTTTCAGTATGGATTGGTTGGTCAATCTATCATTGTTGTCTTGTTGATATGCATGCAGGAAGCAGAAAGAAACAATAATGGAAAAGCTGCACATTCAGCATGGCGGAATTATGATGACTTCAATGAATATTTTTGGTTTGTTTTTACGGGTGTTTCATTTCTACTGCTGCCAAATTCTTCTTTAATGGAGGATCTTCATCATCAAATTCAGTGAAGACTATATCACTTTTTTTTTCTTATCTGCAATATGTTATGTAGGTCACCTGCTTGCTTTGAGTTGAACTGGCCTATGAGAAAGGATTCATCATTTTTGTCTAAGCCTAGAAAGCGGAAACGGGTATGACCTTATTTTCTGTTATGTTTTGAATTTTCTTGTCCCATTTCTAATATTTTGTTGCTGAAATTAGAGTAGAGGAAGTGGCAATTCTCTGATTTTTGTGCTTGAAAAATTTAAATGAGGAATTCATGTGGAAGTTTGTGATCTACATGGACATGCATTGTTCAGCATCAAATCATTGTGATAATCAAAATTCAAATTAATTTGAGATGTATTTAGATAGATCACTGTAGGATAATGTTTTCTTGTAGTTAATGTAGCTCTATGCTCCACAGCTGATGCCTTTTCTTGGTATTGAACTTTTAGCAGATTCATCCCTTGCTTTTAATACTTTTGATGTTAATTTTCAGGATTTTGTGAGTATGTCATTCTTGTATAACTCCTGTATTTACAGTTTAATGACCTGCTTAACAACTTATCTTGATATTGGAGTCTATTTCTTTTCTGAGGACATTTTGAAATGGTAGTAGTTGAAGCATTCCATTCAGAAATAGCTGTGTTGAGTATTGTGCATGTATGCTAAGGGGGATTGCTTTAATCAATACCTTCACTAATAAAATTTTCAATTGCTCTCTTGAGTGCAACAATAGTCAATCTTTTATATTATCACTAGTTGCGGCAATTGTGACAATGCAATCATGAAGTGTCCTAGTTAGATAATTGGGTACTGCATGCTGATTAGATCTGATTTCACTTTTATACTAGTGATATTTTTTAGGCTACTGAAGTATGGTTGGCAATCACTAATTTTGTGTTAGGAATTGCTGACAAGCAATGCTCTAACTACAATTTGTTCACCGACAAAATGAAAGAATCACAGAGAAAAGAGAGGGGGGGGTGACAAGGCAATGCATCTCAACTAACTAAATTTTGTTCACCGACAAAATGAAATAGAAATCTCACCAGAGAAAAAGCAGAGGGGGGGGGGGGGGGAAGAGGAGAGAGAGCAGAAGAAAGGATTAACTATTTGTGGTGAAAGTTACAATTCTAGTCTTTCAATAGTGAGTAGTTTGCTCATTTACACTGACTGAGCAAACACACTGCCAGCCGCATCATGTTTAAAAATACAACCTCAGTGAAAATTACCAAATAAAAACTGATGAAAGATTACTTTATTCCACTCCTAACTTCTTTTTGTTATTGGCATTATGTTGAAGCATATTTGCTATAATATTTCTTGTTCTGCACAAAGTGGCAAAGTTGGCTGCTCTGCTAATTTCCCCTATTATACAGTTCTTGGAAATGATTGTATCTTCTAGACTCTTATCTCCATTAGGTACTATTTTGCTTATTTTATTTCATTTCTCAAATGACAGAGCGTGGTAAAGGCGGCTTTTTGTTGAAGCACCGTACATTTCTCCACCTTATATACGGAGTTTCCATCGATCTTGGGATTCTTTTTATTTTTTTGATGTTCCAGCTCGTTTGAAAGTGGGGGGGGGGGGGGAAGAGAGAGAGAGCAGAAGAAAGGATAACTATTGATGGTGAAGTTACAATTCTGTCTTCCAATAGTGAGAGTTGCTCATTTACACTGACTGAGCAAACAACACTGCCACACGCACATTTAAAACAACCTCAGTGAAAATTACAAATAAACTGAGTGAAGATTACTATCCACTCCTAACTTTTTGTTATTGGATAGTTGAAGCATATTGCTAATCTTGTTCTGCACAAGTGGCAAAGTTGGCTGCCTGCTATCCCCTATTTACAGTTCTTTGGAAATGATTGTATCTTCTAGACTCTTATCTCCATTAGGTACTATTTTGCTTATTTTATTTCATTTCTCAAATTGACAGACTGGTAAAAGCACTTTTGTTGAGCACCGTACATTTCTCCACCTATATCGGAGTTTCCATCGACTCTGGATCTTTTTATTTTTGATGTTCCAGGTGAAGTTTATGCTTTCAAATTTCAGTTATATATGCATAACATGCGTTTTTCATCACTCAATTTAATGTGCTATTTTCCTTATTGACACACAGGCATTGACAATTATAGCCTTCAACCATGGGCGTATCAATTTGGATACCTTTAAAGAAATACTTAGCACTGGACCTTCATTTGCTATCATGAACTTCATAGAAAGTACTTTTTCTCAACACCATTCTGGAATGCATGAACCTATGCCATCCATGCAGTACTCATTTCCTTTTGTTTGTTCGTTTGGTCAATTGTTGGTTAAACAGGCTGCTTAGATGTCCTGCTTATGTTCGGGGCTTACACTACAGCGAGAGGCATGGCTATTTCAAGGCTTGTTATTAGGTTTTTCTGGTGGGGCTTGAGTTCAGTGTTCATTATATATGTCTATGTGTAAGTTTTGTTATCTTTTTTTAGGATGCTTTTCCATGGACTATGTCTATTGTCTTCTTGTCACATGGAAATGTATTTGTTCATAGTTGTGTTAAATTATTGCAGGAAGGTTCTGGAGGAAAGACATCAACAGAACTCAGATTCATTCTATTTTCGGTTATATGTACTTGTGTTGGGTGTTTATGCAGCTTTGCGCTTGGTCCTTGCACTGTTACTGAAATTTCCAGCTTGCCATACTTTGTCCGAGATGTCTGATCAATCATTCTTTCAATTTTTTAAGTGGATTTATCAGGTAACCTAAGTTCATTTGCTTCTTCAAGAATGATTACCTAATTTCTTATAGATAGGGAATAAATACTGTAGATCATGTTGATTGATTCTGTACTTAACATGGAATTAATTGTTTATGTCAGGAACGGTATTTTGTTGGGCGTGGTCTTTTTGAGAAAATAACTGATTATTGCAGGTTTGTTTTAATGTTTTACAGTCATAATGCTTTGATGACAACGTCTTGTGACATCCTTTCTTCTAGTTTTCATCGTTAATCATAAAGAGTGTCATCAGCCAGCCTTTGCTTATCTTCTGCAGCACTTAATTTGAGCTATTGCTATCTCTGAGGCTAAATTAAATGCATTTATACTATGTTGCACGAAAACTTTCTTTGGCTGAAACGTTTGGAAAATCCATGGAAACGTTTCGGGGCCGTTTCCGTAAATTGAGTAATTTGGAAACACATTTCCCCTCTCGGAAATATGTTTCTGTAAACTGAAAACTCTCAAAAACTTCCCTCCATGTGGTTCTAGGCCTATCTCTTTCCTGTTTTATTGGTCTTAAGAATGTTATATAGGTAACCACATAAGCAAATAAGTGAGTTTCAAAGCTTAATGTCTTATACTCTCATTAGAGAGCACCAATCATTAGAACTTTTGCGATTTGCTATACTTGGTAGGATTAATATTTATGATGGAAACATGACTTAATCCAACATCTATTCTTAACTACTGCAGGTATGTCATGTTTTGGTTGCTAATCCTCGTTTGCAAATTTACATTTGCATACTTTCTCCAGGCAAGTTATTATATTTCAGTTCTAAAATTTAATTGCTTGAGCATGAGATTATCATGTGCTTTTATTTGTCATATGGAAGTTGACAGATTATAAATATTGTTTAACATATGATGTTTACCAATTCGCAGATTAGACCTCTTGTCAAACCCACCGATACTATCATAAACCTTCATAGTGTGGAATACTCATGGCATGATTTGATATCAAAGAGTGAGTTCATCATTTTTACCCATAATCTTGTTCACCTTCCTCACCTTCCTCCATTGTCGCTGGATAATGCCACTGCATGATTATATGACAATGGATCCTTTGGTTTGATTATTTTGCCCTTATCTATTATCATGTCAAACTCAAACCCGGTCTTGTCAATTGCTGCAGCATCTAAAGGTGGTTCCTTATGATTTTTCCAGTTTGTATTTTACTGAAATTTTCTAATTAGTGGTTTCACTACATAGGATGTTTGTTAGCTCATGCTGTATTTGTAGCAATGACAGCATGGAATTCTCTGAAAACGACAGAAAGGGAATGGTTAAAGATAAAAATGTTTTTGTAATCTCCTTCTACTATTGGGGTTGGGATGTGCCTTCTGTGAGGAATGCTCACGGTTGGGAAATGAAGACCTATGCAAACTTGTTAGCTTTTGTATAAAATAGCAGTGGTTAGAATAGGGAAGGTAAGATTAGACAGAAAAGATCCAAGAACGATTTTTGAGTTGAAAACCAATGTTGAGTCATGCATATGACAGCTGTATTGGAGGATACTGAAATTTTCCTTGGACATGTGCATCTTCCAGGGTTGCGGTCTTTGCTTGTGATTGTTAGGAAGGGTTGCAATGATTTTTTCCCTTACTGATTCATTGTAGTGAAGCTACTTTGAGTCTTTTGAAGTTCAAAAGCACTGTCGGATGCAACTTCCTGTTTGTTGGGGGTTATCACATAGTTGGTGGAACTTTTTGTGAATGCCAAATTTTATTTGGTTCTTCGATTGTTTTGTAATATATGACATGACCTACAAATGTCTGCCTATTCATTTTAGCTACTCCCCTCCCTGATGAAAAATTTTCCTTTTTGGGTGGTGATTACTTGAAAAGGTTGGGATCTCTTGTTGACTCTGCCTAACTTTTTTGCAGAGAATAATCATGCCTTGACCATTGCTAGCCTATGGGCACCTGTCGTGGCTGTGAGTACTTCTATAAATTTATTATTATTATTCTTATTATTTTAAGTTTTATGCTCCCGGGAAGGAGTTTGGCATTAGCTTGCTTAGTGGAAATAACAAACCCTTAAATTTGTTGAATCTGGATTGCATGTTAAATAAAACAGAGCATGTTGGGGTGAGACTCGTCTTGCACTGGTGCAAGACATTGATAACTAGCATGATCAATACTGAATTTGAGCATGCTGACTTGGTAATATCTCATTCTTCTACTGTTTTCCAGATTTATCTCATGGATATCCACATATTCTACACTGTCTTATCAGCAATTGTGGGAGGCATAATGGGTGCACGGGCTCGTTTAGGCGAGGTATCAAATAGTCTGAATACTTATATCAATTTTGACTGCATGTTCCCCTTTCATCATGGTACTTCTTTGTGGCACTTGCTCAATGCTGATGACAGATACGCTCACTTGAAATGGTGCATAAACGTTTTGAGAGCTTCCCAGAGGCATTTGCTAAGAATCTTGTCTCTCCTCAAGCAAAAAGGTGGTGATTTCCTGTTTATGAATTGATTAGGAATTAGTGTTGTATAGGCATAGAGATTTGTCAAATTTCTGGGCTTATACATCAAATACTGGTTGTGCTCAGGAGTAATGCAATCCTCTTGTAAATGCTGCCCAATTTTTCAGCCATAATTAATACTGTCTCAGAATGTATTACTTGGAATGCAATCCACTAGATATATGCCATCAATATCTCACTCAATTAACAGAATAGGATTAACTAAGCTGGCTCCAATAATTTCTGGAGTTTGCTAAGTTGAGTGGCCTATATTTGCTTGTTGGTTCCTATCCTCGTTAGCTCACTTGTAGGGTACTGTTAATTAAATTTTGGGTTGAACTATATGATTAAGCATAAGTTCAGGCCTGATTTGATACTTCCATCTATAGGGATATTCTACCAACTATAACAATACTATGGCGTATGCAGTTTGTTACTTGATGTCCTTATTTGCTGTTGGAGTTTTTTTTAAGGTCAATTTTTTTCCTCTCCTATATTCTAGTTTCTAAATAGTTTGGTGTCTTAAATGCTGGATGTTTTTCTTTGTGAATTGATATTGTATTTTACAGTTTGATGTCTATGCTTCAGTGGGCTGAATTAAATTTTTGCGATTTTATCTATCTTCTCTATTTTACTAACTTCTCAATCAATGTATTCTTACAGGATGCCATTCAATAGACATGCATCTCAGGTAAACAATGTTTCTCATTTGTTGTTCTGAGTTTCTTATTTTTTGTGTTTCTGGAAAGTCTCTCATATTGTTTGTTCTAGGTTGTTCAATTTTGCAATTATTTCTACTTCTGAAGCCCTTAATCCTTTGGACACATGCTGTTTTAATGTGATAGCACTGAGATCATTGGTAACAAATACAAACATGATAAGTATTCTGTAGGACACGATTACCACTTGAATCTGCTGCTTTTAAGCTGAACAAGCCATTTCATTTCTCATCATGTTATAGCTGGATCAAATACTAAATTTATCCTTTCCCACGTTTAGCTTCTAATTTCAGTAAGAACGGAGCAGCAGCTTTTCTTTTAAAAGTTTTTTGATAACATCAATTGCAATTTTTTTTGAACAAAAGATTTGCTTGCTCTTTCAATTTGAGTGAATGTTGTGTGTGCATGCATTGCTTTTTGAAATAGTTGCATATGGCATGTGTTGCATGTGAACATTGGCACAATTTAGGCAAGTATCAGATTGCAATCAGAAACTACGGTTTGCTTCTGTTATTTTTTCTTGAGAATATTTGTGGTTATGTGCTCTTGAAGGCATATTTGAACATATGTGAACTGTGTTCTTTGTGCACTATTTGTGTCTGGGTTTATTTTCTGAGAAATTTTCAATGTTGTTCAATTATATTTTTGTTTCTGCTTGGAATTTATCGCATTTTTCTTATCTTTTTCTGGCTAGAAGCAGAATGTTACTACATGAGATAATTTTCTGCCATTCATGATCTAAATCTTTGGGATGTAATGATTCTGGTTTTCCCAGGACTCTCAAGATACAAACAAAGAGTATGCAGCCATGTTTGCTCCTTTCTGGAATGATATAATCAAAAGCTTGCGTGAAGAAGATTTTATAAGCAATAGGTAGATGACAGACATATACTTTATAATATTGCTATTAATATTTTCATTTATTCTGTTATATTCATAGGTTACTGGCTGCATATTTGTTATGTTTTCAGGGAGATGGACTTGCTTTCAATTCCTAGTAATACAGGAAGTTTGAGATTAGTTCAATGGCCTTTGTTTCTTCTGAGTAGTAAGGTGCAGCTTATTCCTGGTCTTGAACACTTACATCACTAATGGACCTAAGTAGATGACTTATTCTGTTATGATCTTGCAGATCTTGTTGGCAGTTGATTTGGCTTTGGACTGTAAAGATACTCAGGCAGATTTGTGGAACAGAATATGCAGGGATGAGTACATGGCATATGCAGTTCAGGAGTGCTACTACAGTGTTGAAAAAATTTTGCACTCTCTGGTTGATGGTGAAGGGCGACTATGGTACAAATCTTTCTTCCGTAGTCGCATTGACTAGATTTTTCTTTCCTTTTCTTGTGAATTTTTTTTTTTCCGTTTACCATGTTGGTTGGCACAGTAACGGATGATTATGTACTTATTTTGCCTTACACTTCTCTTATATGATAGGGTTGAAAGGATCTTTCGTGAGATCAACAATAGTATATTGGAGGATTCACTACTTGTAACTTTATCACTTAAGAAGCTTCCTCAAGTGGTGCAGAAATTTACTGCACTAACTGGACTCCTGGTATTTTTTTGTGTGTTTGTATTTCTAAATTAATGCATTATCATTATGGGAATAAGTTTGCTTGGATGTTTCACTAAAGTTTTGAACATGACAATTGAGGCAACCTCAGTTTGCAACATCTGAGTTTGCTTACATTCATGTTATCTGGGCATGCCAGGAATTTATTTATTTTGTTTTAATTTTTTCCCTTCAATTCATAAGGTTTTGGGTGTTGGTCATGATGTTGAGATTCTGTTTCTGTATCTGTTGATGTTCTCAATGACAACAAATTACTTGTGTCACAGATACGAGATCAACCTGAACTAGCTAAGGGTGCTGCAAATGCTTTGTTTCAGCTATATGAGGTTGTAACGCATGATCTGATGTCAGCTGATCTGAGGTATTATTGGTATCACACCCTTACTTGAAAATTTTATTTGAAGTACATTTTAGTTTATCATCAATTTAGAAGTTCTGTTTGTACTTTAATGATGCAGAGAGCAGCTTGATACGTGGAACATTGTGGCAAGAGCAAGAAATGAAGGGCGCCTGTTTTCCACAATTCAATGGCCTACAGATTCAGAAATTGTAAAGATCTTTGAAGTACCAATTGTTTGGTCTTTGTTTGTGGTGCTGTGTGCATTTACATGTGTAGTTTTATCTATTTGTTGGCACAGAAAGAGCAGGTGAAGCGGTTGCATCTTCTTCTTACCGTAAAGGACAATGCTGCCAATATTCCTAAGAATCTTGAAGCCAGAAGAAGATTACAGTTCTTCACAAATTCACTATTTATGGATATGCCTCAAGCAAAGCCAGTTTCTGAAATTATACCTTTTAGGTGTCTATGATTTAGCCCCCTAGTTGGCAACTGTGCATTAATAGTGCGATATATATATTTTTTTGTGTGTCTTTGTGCGTTTGCATTTAACTATTCATTTTCTTCTGTTTGCATATAGCGTCTTCACTCCGTACTACAGTGAGACTGTACTTTATAGTTACTCTGAGTTGCGAGATGAAAATGAGGATGGAATATCAATTCTTTTCTATCTTCAGAAAATTTTTCCAGGTATCTTTTTTTTTTTTTTTTTTTTTTTTTTTTTTTTTTTTTTTATTCTTGTTTCTGTCAAATCTCAGTAGGAATCCTTCATGCAATCTCGAATAAGGGTTTTTTTTTTTTTTTTTTATTCTGTTCTGTCAAATCTCAGTAGTGAATCCTTCTGCATCTCGAATAAGGACAAACATTAAGGAGGATTGTGAAGGAGGAAGCTTGAATAAGAATGATATGCCCTTGAAGAAAGAACCATCTTTACAGACTTTAGCAATTATTGTGTCATGAGAAGTGGTTCACTTTGGATTATCATCCAAGGGGCTCCAAATTTAATGGTCAATCTTGAACCTACATCCTGATAAAGTGGCAGCATAAAACATCTGGGTGCAAATTAACACCTACCGAGCCACTTTTTGATGTATTAATCTCCAAGGTTGACACTTCTAAAATACATGCAAGCAAACTAAAACATCTATGAAACTATTCCCTAACCTTTTGACACTATACAAGCTCCTCTACCTTTCTCAATAAACTTGTTGGATCATTAGCTTTGGAATCCAACACATTTAAGCAGGCTTCCTCAGTTTGTGTCTCTAGTTAATGTTAAGTGCAGGGAGGTCTGAAAAAAATAGGAAACATATGAACAGTCGTCGTGACTCATGTTTGTTTATCTTTACTCTAGTTGCAGACCTGGCTCTTTTCCTTCTCTTATGTTGGCATCCTATTTCCTTTTATTACATTCTTCGTACATGTGGAAATCTTTTCTACACTTGAGAGGGTGCTGTTTGATACTCTACTAAGTGCTTACATTCTTTCTTCATTACTCATCAATGTTGTTCTAGTTGATAGCTGTGTATATCTATTCCTTTTTCAGATGAATGGGAGAATTTTTTGGAAAGGATTGGTAGAGGAGAGTCTACTGGGGATGTTGATTTTCAGAAAAATTCTGGTGATACTTTGGAACTTCGTTTTTGGGCATCCTATCGAGGGCAGACTCTTGCTCGAACTGGTTAGATGTTGTTTATTTAATTGTTCCTTGTGTCTTCATTTTGAGTTTCGTCTCATTGTGTTATATTGCTCATAGGATAATACTATGTTTAATTTTCCTCTGATAATTTTATTTTTCTTGGGGAGGCAGTACGTGGTATGATGTATTATAGAAGGGCTTTAATGTTGCAGAGCTTTTTGGAAAGGAGATCATTAGGAGGTACTTTTTGAGGCACCCGTCATGTTCTCTTCTATAAAGGGCAAGATATCAATATGTTCACTTAATTATCTTGTTTTTGTAGTGGATGATTATTCTCAGACAGAGTTCTTCACCACCCAAGGTTTTGAACTATCACGTGAATCAAGGGCTCAAGCTGACTTGAAATTCACTTATGTAGTCTCATGCCAAATTTATGGGCAACAAAAGCAACGGAAGGATAAAGAGGCTGCTGATATTGCTCTTCTGTTGCAGCGGTATAATATTTTCTTTCAATTATTTGATCTCTAGAATGGATTGATCCAGTTTTCTGGTAACTATCGGTTTCTTTGTGTTGTTTTTTCTTCAAAATGGAATAGTGTCTTTATTGATGTAATGCTTTACATTACACAATGTTTATGTGAGTACAAGGATGGGTGTGAAGTACCTGTTAGTGGAAGAAAGTTTCCGGATAGGAGAGCTATGCTTTTGTTTCTTTTAAAACTTAATTAGTTTCTAATATTTCTTATTTGTGTGAACTAATATTTAATTCAATTGTGTTCCTTTAGAATTCTTTAATTTGCTGTTGCTTATCCAGTGGAGGACTTGGAAATGTGTGGGTAAACTAAAATAATAGTTTGAGTATGAATAATTATTAACAGATTTGATAAATGTTTAATGAAGACAAGGAGAGGCATTGAAAAGTTAATTATCTGTTAACAATCTTAGGGGTCAAGGTGAGACAAAATGTGCCAAGTATTCTGTATGAACATGTAAAGTTTGATATCTTGGCCTACTTTTGACTGTTTCAAGTTGTCAAATTCATTTATTTCTTGCTTTTGTGTTTGTTACTTCGATTTTTTGGAATAACAACGGGAAAATTTGCAATTAGTCAGTAAAACTGTTTACTTCATATTAATGCCTATAGGTCATAATTCTAAAGTCATCAGGCGGCATGACTTGGTAATGTAAGTCATTGAGGTTCTGTTTACATGCTTATGCACTTTAGTTTCTGCTTTTAGGAATGAGGCACTTCGAGTTGCCTTCATACATACAGAGGAGAGTGGTGCTGCTGATGGAAAGGCTTCTAAGGAATTTTATTCCAAGCTTGTTAAAGCTGATATACATGGAAAAGATCAGGTAGATAATTATTTAACTAATATTTTGTAATGCTTAATTTTCTGCACAGAAAACGTCTTTTATCAATCATACTTTCTGTAAAATGTTATTTTTATTTTGTGTTACCACACAGGTTTCTGAGTGTTTTTTCTCCCAAAAGCAATATAGTGACAACTTAACATGACCAAAAATGTGATTTTTCTGCTATATTTTCCTTCTGAAATAAACACTAGGGCTCTTGGAGTATACCCTGTGTTTAGAGGAATAACTTTCTATTTTGTTTGGCAAGTTTTCTGAAACTGCCGCGCTGGATGGTTGTGGTTTTGTTTTACATTTCCACTGGATTTAAGCTTATATGATATAGGCTTATGGCTGCTTGGGCATTTCCACTATCTATAGTTTTATATAATTTGATAATAATTATTTTGCATGATCATGTGTTGACCATTATTCTTGAAGCTTCTTTGTAATTGCCATCTCTTTTTTCCCGCTAATATTGGATATTGCCATTTGCTTAAATTATTTTTGAGGTATTTCTTGTTGTTTTGCTATGTCATAAAGTGGTTTTATGAATGTTTTCTTTACTTACTATCTGCTTTATAGTGGTGATCTTATTTTCCTTTTTATCTTTAAATGTAGGAAATATATTCGATAAAACTTCCTGGAGATCCGAAGCTTGGAGAAGGGAAGCCTGAAAACCAAAACCATGCTATAATTTTTACTCGTGGGGAAGCCATTCAAACTATTGACATGAACCAGGTTATATATATATCTATATTCTCCATCTACATATTAGACAATGTATTAATTGGTATTATTTCTGGTGTTGATTTCATTGCAAATCTTTTGCAACATTTTGGAACTCAACTAAGCCTTAATCTGAAACAATTTTAATTGACAAAGTACTTTTACACTTGAAACACATGATGTTCGTGTCTTGAAGTCCCTTAACTGATGGGTGTGCTTCTTAAAGGTCCCTTAGAAAGTGTTTGTAGTGTGTTATATCTAGGCTTACCACTTACATTATCAATATCTTTTTCTATTTGCGGCTGGAGTCGCCTAGTGTTTTGTAGGTTTTAATGTTTTTGCTAGGAGCAATATTATGCTATCTGATGCATATGCCATTGTATAGGATAACTATCTTGAAGAGGCACTGAAGATGAGAAATCTTCTTGAGGAATTTCAAGCAAAACATGGCATTCGACCTCCCACTATTCTTGGTGTAAGGGAACATGTTTTTACTGGAAGGTTTGGCATGCACTTTCTCACACAATTGATTACTCTTATTTTGTCACTCTGATGATCTTACCACTCATTGTTTCGAATGTGTTTATGCAGTGTTTCATCTTTAGCTTGGTTTATGTCCAATCAAGAGACTAGTTTTGTGACATTGGCACAGCGCGTGTTAGCAAACCCTCTCAAGTGAGTAGTTTACAGCCTCTTTGATATCCTTTTAAGATAAAATTTAGTTGGTGACTTATTTTTTAAGATAAAATTTAGTAGTTTATTCAAGGGCTTAGTTTACAGTGTTAGTGTTCAATCATTTATTTATAATCTTCTTAGTGGAATTGGATTGAATGATGAAATCAGAATATGATTGAACAGTTAGGTTTGAGAATATATTATTTTGTGTAAACTCTATTATGTCTTTCACAGCAATAACCAATTTTGTAAACAGAAACACCAAATGCCATTGCCCTCAAGAAGGCAAAAAAAGAAAAAGATGAAAAGTATTGTTGTGTAAATTGATTCACAAGGCAAAAATATCTGGTTAAAGACCATCCTCTTATCTGGATTCTTAATGATCCTGTTAATATGACAAGCATGTTACTTATTATATGTGCTTCACATTGCTTTGTGAATTGGCAATGTAAATATTTATTAAAGGTTGTTGACTTTTTGTTACTGCAAGAAAAATCAGTGGAAAATTCGGTGAGTACATTCTTTACTAAATTGACTGATTAAGGTGCTTTTACTGTCATAAAAATATGGATTTATATTTCAGACTAAGCACTCATATATTTCATATATGTTTGGCTCAGTTTATATTCTTCTTAATTTTTTTCATTATTGCGAGCCAGCAAAGTCGTCCTTTTGATAAGGAAAAAAAAAAATCAGATAGTCTGTGGCAAAATATATTCCTTTTCTATTTCAGTTTGTGGGTTTGGTTTAGCTAGAAACAAATTCTTTATTCTGGAATGTACCATCACTCTTCCATAATTGTATAGTTGCATAGTCATCTTCATGCCTCTGTGTGTGTGCCTTCATTTGGCTCTGTCATAATATTGTCTGCAGGAGCATTAGTGTTTTCTTCTTCTCTTAAATGAATCTTTGATGAGCAACTTTTGTGCTGTTAAAAAAAAAATCTTGCAGAGTTCGCATGCACTATGGCCATCCAGATGTTTTTGATCGAATATTTCACATAACTCGAGGTGGCATTAGCAAGGCATCACGTGTAATTAATATTAGTGAAGATATATTTGCAGGTAAGTGTCATAGATGACAATTGTTTTGTCCCCTTCTCTGTGTCCATTCTTCTATAATTTATTAATTAAAATTTATTGTTATTCGCGATTGTTGTATGGCTGTCTTTATTAATGACTGAATTTAAAATATATAGATATTTAGGACAATTGATTTGTGGTGTTACAATTGATTTGTGTTGATGACTTGACTATCTACTTGTCTTTTGAATATCCTAGTCTTTCAAAAGGATATTGAACTGATAAGTATGACGCATTTGATCAAGGCATCCTTTGGTTCGAATTTTGCCTTTTGCCTTCTAAAAAGTAATTTTTATAAATTGATTTCGCAATTGAGCAAATTAATAATAGAAAAGTATATTTACTTTATAAATTACTAAATATATTAATTTTACTTCACTTGAAAACATAAAAAATACAATTGTAAAAAAATAAAAATAAAAAAGGCCTTTCTGAATGCAGCCTTTGCTTTTAGATCAGCGTAGATAGAACCTCTTCAAGCTTAAAAAGTGTGTTTTGCTTATCCATCCAAACCTTGCTGTTTGCTCTAGAATAGCAAAAGCAGAAACAGAAATGAAAGCTAAACTAATTAATAAAAGTCTTGGCTTGGAACATAGATATATTATCATATTACAAGACTTACCAACTCCCTTCTTGTTTAGCACCTGAAACACATTACTCAAACTATAATTGTCATGTCTGTGTTCTCATGTATTTTGGACATTAGAGTACTGGGAATTTTAAGAGCTTCCTGAAATATTTGAAACAAATTTTTGTTTCTTCATTTTTTGATACAATAATGCTAATTTTTTGTTCTTTTTTTTTTTTTTTTGCCCCTTTTGGGGCCTGCATTAGAATTTTCCTTTACTTTTTCCCCTGCCTTGTCCCCTTTCTTCTAGATCCCCTTTATTACTTCATTGTCGGTGAATCTTCTGATTCTGAACAAGGAGTTGCTTATTTATTCTGCATAATTATGTATAAAAGAAAGTAAGAGCTCAAGGATTAATCAACTTTCCTGACTGTGCTTATTTCTGAGTTTTTTCCTGAAATATTTCTGAAATTCTAAATTCTTCTCAAAGACTTCACTCTTGGGTTGGGTTAAGGGAGTGATATTTTATGTGTTGCTGCTTACTCAAGTAGTTCCGAACTATTTTTCATTATATAAAATGGAATGCTGCAGGGTTTAACTCCACATTAAGGCAAGGGAATGTTACTCACCATGAATACATTCAGGTTTATATTCTAGGTCATATTATTTTTCTTTATCTTTGGTACATCATATTCTTGGTTTCTTGATACCCTGCTTGATGTAGGTTGGAAAGGGAAGAGATGTTGGGTTGAACCAGATTGCTCTTTTTGAAGGGAAAGTGGCTGGAGGAAATGGAGAGCAAGTCCTTAGCAGGGATGTGTATAGGCTCGGACAACTTTTTGATTTCTTCAGAATGCTTTCTTTTTATTTCACAACTGTTGGGTACTATCTTTGCACAATGGTATCGTTACGTGGACTCTTTGTTTTTTTGTCACTTCAAATAATTTGATCTCCTTTAATTAACATATCTCTCAAAACATCCAACAAAAAATTTGCTTTATTGCAGATGACAGTCCTTACAGTGTACATATTCTTGTATGGAAGGGTCTACCTGGTACTTTTAACTACCCTCATTTTTTCCCTCTTAATTTTGAGCGGCTGTCTCAATTGTTGTTTTTGTTTTTATTTTGAGTTTTACTATTTTCCCCGTTCATTTTATAGTTGCTGAGATGTTGGTTGGTTAACAAAGATTGTTTATTGGTAACTGAGCAGACAATCTCTGCTTTAGTGAATTTGCAACCAAGTAGCTGGACTAGAGTCATTTCATTGCAATTGACACACCTTTCTAAGATTATTCGTACATATGGATGGAATATTTTATTAATATGCTATCAAAATTTCAGGCTTTCTCAGGGCTTGATAGTGCAATTGCAACTGAAGCGAAGCTATTAGGTAACACAGCTTTAGATGCTGTTTTGAATGCACAATTCTTGGTCCAGATTGGGGTTTTTACTGCAGTCCCCATGATAATGGGCTTTATACTGGAATTAGGATTGCTGAAGGTGAGTAAATGTATTTCTTATTGGTGTTTTGCTAAGATTAATTTCTCTTCAATGCAGTTAAGCTTCTTCCATCTTATAATTCTTTGTAATTTATTTTATGACTTGTTCTTAACATACTTATCTAATGATTTATTTTTCCAATGAAACAATTTTTTGTGGTTGCAGGCTGTGTTTAGCTTTGTTACAATGCAACTTCAGTTGTGTTCAGTCTTCTTCACATTCTCTTTGGGCACTAAAACTCATTATTTCGGACGTACAATCCTCCATGGAGGTGCAAAAGTATGTCTCTCTCCCTCTCTTTCTATTTAAAAAAAAGTACATGCTTTATTTGTTTTGGAAAATGATATCTGTCTAATTTCACCAACAGTACAGAGCAACTGGTAGAGGCTTTGTGGTCCGTCACATCAAATTTGCTGAAAATTATAGGCTTTACTCAAGAAGTCATTTTGTTAAAGCGTATGTGATGTCCTTGATGATTGGACCAGCTGGCTTCTGTACAGAGGTGGGGTAGGGGTAAAAGGAGATGATAGCTGGGAATCATGGTGGAATGAAGAACAGGTCCTGCTTCTATTCTATTATTATAATGGGGTTTTAGCAACATTGTGCTTTTGATACGGAAGTCCTCTTGCTTGAGCTGAATCCTGTTTCTCATTTTAAAATGGATAAGAGTTTGTGCTGCTAGAGTTTGTTTGTAATTTCATTTTCTATCGTATGCATCACTATATGTTGTGGCATGCCATCATGCTAACAGGTTAGGAGAAGTTTCTTCTGAAAAATGTTTTATCATGTGGGTTGGAGCTTAATCTGCTTATCCTATCTCTAGTGACTTTATCATTTGTTTTTTCTGAAAAATGTTTTATCATTTGTTTTTTCTGCAGATGCATATCCAAACTTTGAGAGGCCGCATATTGGAAACAATATTAAGCTTACGGTTCTTCATGTTTCAATATGGCATTGTATACAAGCTCCATCTCACAGGAAAGGACACATCTCTTGCGGTAATCATCTTATCCTTTTTTTTTTTTTTAACAGTTTCTTTTTAGCATTTCCAAAGACAATTTTAGTGAAACTTGCAAATGTGAAAGTGGGAGTGTATTCTTATTATAACAATATTCGGGTTATGCTAATTTGTGACCAGTAGTCTATTTGTTCGTTTCTTTTCTCAATTAAATAACTAAAATGAAGAATAATTTAAAAGAACCATTATTATGCTAATAAGTGTTCTTACTATTTCTGGTGCTTGCTGGTGGGCATGGTTGCAGAGATCACATTTTACTTAAAAGGCAATATGAAATTTAACAATTTAGATTTAGCTAATGAAACTTTCTGATATTGACAACGTCCTTTTTTGTCTAGATCTATGGCTTCTCCTGGGTTGTATTGATTGGCATAGTCATGATATTTAAGGTTTGTATCAGTTTTAAACTGACTTCTGATCTTCTATCCACATGCTAATTGTTTATGTTGTACTCATCATGTGTTCTGTGTTGCATTTTCTTGCAGATTTTTACCTTTAGCCCCAAAAAATCAGACAACTTCCTTGAGAAATATGTCAACTTTAAGCTATTCATGCGATTCATGCAAGGAGTCACAGCACTAGGACTTATTGCTGCCGTTTGCCTTGTTGTTGCCTTCACCAATCTGTCGATTGCAGACCTTTTTGCTAGCATACTGGCGTTTATTCCTACTGGATGGGCCATGTTATGTGTAAGTTGAAGTGGCCCTTCTCCAATTTTGCATAGTATGATGTGCAAAAAACAAACCGCACATATAGAATTCTTTTTCTGAATTATACTTTAACAAAGAATTTTGTATTTTGGAGTGGCAATAGAAGTAGCAACTAGCTAGCTGTTTTGAGAGTGAGCTGAAAAGAGATTTGAGAACATTATCCTTCCGCTGCAAATCCATGCAATGGTAGTTGCTGCCAAATCTAGCACTATTTGTCTCAGCCAGGATAAAAATTGTCCAACTCTCTCTCTTTTTAAATGACCATAATGCTCCTTTTAGGAGCATGGACATGCTGAGCAATGGAGGATTGACTTTCTGATTGCATTTGGAAGAACGCCTTTCTTCCTTGATCTAAATGTTCCTTATTATCCAGTTCTAACCTACATATGTTTCAAATATTATTTTCTGACTGTTGTATACCTTCTGTGCTTCTTTTGAAACAGTTGGCTATCACTTGGAAAAAGGTGGTATGGAGTCTAGGGCTGTGGGACTCGGTGCGGGAGTTTGCCAGAATGTACGATGCTGGGATGGGTGTCATCATTTTTGCTCCTATTGCTTTCTTATCATGGTTTCCATTCATTTCTACCTTCCAGTCTCGCCTTCTCTTCAACCAAGCGTTTAGTCGTGGGCTGGAGATCTCTCTTATCCTTGCTGGAAACAAAGCCAACGTTGATGCCTGATTTTTTACCTTCCTATTTGTTGTGGATTCTAGATGAAACAGCTCTTGCTGCTTTTTTTTCTATTATTATTAAGTAGGATTCTGTATGGCTGTGCATATGTAAGAAATGGAAATGTACAAGTAAACTAGAAAAGTTTCTTTTTTTCCCCCAATTTGGTTGAAGATAAATATTGAGTCTAGCAAAACAAGCGCATATGACGGAATATTACCTATTCAGGTTTTTTTTTTTTTTTTTTTTTTTTTAATATCGATCTGGTAGCTTGGTTCAAATGTGAGAGGGTACATTTATTGATTACATAAGCTAAAGAGGAAGACAACTCATTTCGTGTGTGAGAGAAATTATAAGATAAACAAACGTCGTATATGGTGTGGCAATCTTTTATGTTGGGTTAGTATTTCCCGTTTTGTTGATCTTTTAGCAAAGGTTCCTGTTAGTGGCTATTGAAACTTGTAAGAGACGTTTGTAAAAGAATTAATAAGAATTTTATTTTAATTTTTCACTTGTAAGGTCAAGGTGGAAAACTAAAATTTCAAATCCAAATGCCACTTTACTCCAAGTGTGGAAATATGTCTGCAAACTAAAATACATAACTATATTACAATTATTATTATTATTATTATTATCATTACTACTAGTTCTTACTCTCTCTATGTAACTCTAATCTTAGTTAGGCTTATGTATTATGTAGTTTCAAACCCTTGTAGATATCTGCCCACCCTGTTTTCAATCTTTGATTGGTTGCTTTAGTTGGTTAGGTTACTTCCAGAATTAATAGCATTGCTTTTGCAGCAATTTTATAGTCTCGCGAATTTCGGTCCCATAATAATATTGCAAGTGGATGCTTTAAATGACCTGGGAAGAACTGAAGATATGTGGGGATTATAATATTATGAAAGTGAGGAACAAATGGTTGATCCACAGAGATTGCCCGTGCTTGCTCTTGTCAGATCATCGTCATTATTATATTCAGTATATGGATAATACAAATATGCTGTGTTACTTATCCACCATTTATTTTTGTTGGTTATTTGTCGGTATATGGACATCACACTTCACCTACCCACCTGAATTGACAAGCTTAGTTAAAACCACTCGAAGGGTACTTCAAATTCTTTTTGCCCCGTTACATTACATGAACAGAACAGGTAGCAAATTTTGCAGACCCATTTTTCAAGCAATATTTTGTATTTCAGATTGTAATTTCCTGGGAGCGTTCAAATTTTTTTGATCAACAAAACAACAGATCCCTTGGCTTCCTCAATTCATCAAAACAGGGCAGAAAGTAGCAAGATCAACATAACTCAGGACAAAGTTTTTTAAGAACAGATGTAAGAATGATAGTTTAAGCAAAGCTGCTTGTGCATTTGTTGGTAATGACAAGGTTAATAAACAAAGCCGGTAAAGAACATAAAATAGAGAATTTACATATCCGGATACCACTTTGGCTGGTAGTAACACAACACATGATAATATATAATGCCACCATTCCAAAAGCTCGTGGCAGTTGAACCAGAGTGAATGTTAAATAAAAGATCCACTTCCATGGAGAAAACTTAAAATCCTCTGTATCGCTTCGCCCTAAAAAGCTAGACTGATTGATGCAAAAAGTTCTACACAGACTTATCACTTCCATTTCCGGTTTCAGTCATTCTAGCTTCTTCTTTAGCCATTGAGTCACCATAGAGAGTACCCTGATCATCAGCAAGCCCTGTTGTCGAAGCTGGTTGTATTGAATGGTCAAATTTACAAGCAGGTCCAAACTTGCAAATGCCATAGCGCTTGTAGTAGGAGCAAACGCTCTGACCCTGGATTGGAAACACAAATACAATCACAAAAGAGAAAACGAAAATTTAAATTCCAGTTAGTGCTCATGGCTTAGAAAATAAAACCACACAGAAATATCTCTTCTTGCTATACGAACCAACAATACAGCAGCAAATGTATCATTTCCTTTCAGCTTGTGCTTCACTAAGGTTTATTTGCTCAATAGAATCCTCACGAAAATCAATTCTATCTATTTAGTAAGTTCCATTTCTACTGAAAGAGACACCTAACCTTTGTCAAAGGTTAAGTTATATTCTGGAAATTTTTCCAATAAGTTTCTCCAAACATCATGGCGAGGCATCAAAAAAAAAAAAAAAAAAAAAAAAAGAAATATCTGATTCTTTGGATGATGATATTTGCAGTTAGATTTAAACTTACAGTCCCCAGTTTTCATATAATAACTGCACTCTGGTTGACCAGGACGTTCGGGGAATTCATCAACTGGCATCTGCAGCTGATGAGCATATACATTGGTGTCTGTAGCTGGACTTATAACATATGCTGGAGGTGGATGTAGACTTCTTTCCGGTGGATATAAAGGAGCCTTGGCAAACCGCAAAGGAATTCAATTAATGGGAAAAATAATTTCAATTAATAAAGTATACAATTTATTTAAAGAATGTAATAACTTCCATATTAATAGATATAAAAAATAAAAAACAAGCTCTACTAACATCACAATTATCTTCAACGACTACATCAAAATGGAAAAGAAAAAGGATAAAAAATGTTAATAAACTCTGAACACCATCTTGAACATCTTAAGAAACAATTACAAAATTAATATCAAGAACAGCAAAATGTGAAACCAATGAGAACATTTAATACTTTGATAGCTCTAAATAACAAAAACAAGTAAACAGCACTGCACCAAGGAAGATAACATACCTGATATCCATTCCATTCTGGGCTTTGTGATGGAACCCCTTGAGTTGGTGGAAACATAATTGGCACAAAGGGGGCAGTCTCATTTAGTCCTCTTGGTGAAGACCAAGATGCTACGCTCGGTTGTGACGATTGCTGTAAAGAAGCAGACCCACCATTACTGTATGGAGCATCATTTCCTCCTACAGCTGTAGGATCTGGATGATTAAACCGGCAGTTAGCTCCATACTTGCAGGATCCATTACGCATATAATATGGGCACTCTTTCTCTCCCTATGATGAATGAAACATGTCAGAATCTCCAGTGTACATAGCTAAAAAAAAAAAATAAATCCCTGTGGACGATTAAACAAATATATGTCGAACATTTAATGCACACATAGAAGACATACTGGTCGGATTGGGAGACCCAGAAAGTTTAGGTCCAAAGCAGGGAAAACTGTTGTTTTTGCTGGAAGCACAGGAGGTTTTGCTCTCGAGTGATTGTATCTACAAGCTTTTCCATACTTACAGCCTCCTGTCCTCAAGTAATACTGCAGTAACTCAAGAAAAATTATAGGACAGCAGAAACTGTTATTCATGAGCAATGCATAAAGCCTACACATGAACTATTTGTCTTAAGTTACAAAAGATAAAGCAGTGCCCATGATAAGCACTACCAATTGAGTTGAATAAAATCTATCAAATCAGCAAATCTCAGTTTTCCTATGATGCAAATTAAGTTCAAGGAAATCCTACTCAAAACCATAGCTTGGATCAGGCATTAATCCTTTTTGGTAAGTAAGGCTATGAACCAAAGGGAATTTAGGTCGATCAAAAGGGAAATAAAATGTTTGCACGTGTTGTGAAGCTAAACAAGAAAGGTAGTTGCAAACACTCGACATGCTAATAAATGGAATCTTTTCCTCACGAAAGGTGATGCAGGCCATGCTTTGTGCGGGATTTCCCTATACTTTCACTGACAACAAACAAATCCTTTGGAAAAAGATAATTAATGGTTCAACTCAGAAAAGTCAATTGCCAGAACCAGCAAGCGTTTACTTCATGCATGACAAAGCAGAATGCAGACAAAGAGGTCAAACGCATACTGAAACTGCAAAAAGACCATTAAAAGGAGTAAACATTAAAATGTACGCTTAACTCACAAAATAGCCCCTTTTATATGTAGATTAATAATGCAACATATTTCAAAGATAACCTTGCATTCTGTCTGGCCTGGCCTCTCAGTTGGTTCTTCCCTTTCCTTCACCTTGTCCTTGGTAACCTTATAAAAGTGAGATTTAAAAAGAGAACTTAAAAGTTAGCACAACTTATACAATCAGAAGCTTTCAACAGAGGAGACAAAATTGCCATACGCTTAAAAAAGAAGAAAAAAGAAAACAAAAAACAAATCCCTTGTGCTATCTTAGTAAAATACTTAGACCCAAGAATTACTTTCCATCAACTAGAGCAATTGCACCAGATAATAACTGCACAAGCCACTTTTACCATTAACAATAAAAAGCATACAGCCCAGTCTTTCATAATTATATTTCTTCCAAACTCAGAAAATCCCTCCACAAGAGCACAATAACAACAAAATAAGGCCCATTAAAAGGAAAAATCCCCGCATCTATATAAAAAAGCATAAGCAACACAAACACACATTTTCTCATTCAAAGAACCGAACTTTAAATAACATATAGACAAAACACAAAGAAAAAATGCATATACAGTACCTGGTTTTTTCTTCTAACGGGATGATTAAACTTGCAATTAGATCCAAACTTGCAAGTCCCAGTTTTCATATAATAGGAGCAATCTTCAGCTTCAGGTCTGACCGGATATTGATACCTTCTATTACCATTACTTCCCTCATCCTTCCTCTCCATCTCATCACTGAACTTGTCATCACCATTATCCTCTTTATCGTCCATGTTATGTTCTTCTCCATCATTGCTGTCCGCACTCTTAAAGTCGTCATCTTGGTTCCATTCTATCGAATGTTTGTCCTCTTCATCCTCTTTCAAATGGAGCTGCTTTTCTAGTTGTTCTTGAACTTTCTCCACCACCACCGCTGTCACCTTATCAGGTTTAGTCTCCGCATCCCCGCCGTCTTTCAAATACAGCTTTTTCCTCCCCTCTTTGCGTAGTTCCACAGTCTGATCAGATGGCTTAGTATCTGGATCAGCATTGGAAGCGTATGTGGGCGATTGAAACCCTATAAGAGCGTTTGTACTGACTAAATTGGATGTTTCAGAGAATTCCATTGTGCCTGCACATCTCAATTTTGAAAAACCCTAATTCCAGATGTGAAGTTGAGAGGGACAAGGATAGAATGGTAAAGGACAAATTAGTATTTCGCCAAATCGAATAAAAATTGTAGAAGAAGAGCTGGGAAAAGAAAAAGTATATAAATCCGTCAAATGTATATTTATACGATGTGCGCCTATACGTTTATTTTGTCCAAACGTATATAATTTACACCCTCCTCCAGTAAACTACAAAATTATAAATTTTGCATCTAATTTTATCAATAATCTATAATATCTTGTTTAATTAAATAATACATACTAGTAATTTTTTTTTTAGAAGCATGGTAAATTATTCTTAAAAATAATCAAATTTTAATTTTTTTTTTAAAAAGAATCAAAGCCATAAAGGATGTATTGTTAAAATTGATGATAATAATAATAACGATGATTTTATCATGGAAATTACATTAAAATCGAAATAAAATAAAAAATTTGAAAATTTATTTTCTTTTAAAAAAATAAAAATATATAATTATAATTTATAATAAATAAAAAAATTTGTAGGACAGATGAGTTTCGCTAATGAAGTGGCTTATAATATAAATTATTTAAATTAATAAGTTTGTTTTTTCAACTAAAAATATTTGATCTAACCATTGGGATAAATATTTCCTCTCTCATTTATCTAACTTTATTTCTAAATTATTTACATATTCAACCAAGATCACTTCCATAAATATGTAAAAAGAAAAAAACACAGTGGTTTTTTAAATTAACAGATAGATTCACAATTTATAGAACTGATAAATAGTCTTAATTTCACTATTTCATAGTAAAGAAAAATCTGATTATTTATATAAATATAAATATATATATTTCTTCCTTTTATCTTAAAAATAAATAAAAGCATTTAACAGCAAGACATTTCTTTTCTGCGCGGAAATGAAAAATGATTGATGTTTGATTTCGTAGGCGTCCTAAAAGCAATACAAAGAAGCAGAAGAAGAAGCAACTTTCTAAATTTTATGCTCCATAAAGCACAAACGCAGAAACAAAGGAAAAAAAAAAAAAAAAAAAAAGAAATTATCGCTCCATAAAGCCACAAAAGAAAAAAAAAAAAAAAAAAAGGATGCAATGCACGTGTCTCCCCTTTTGATTTTTCCCTTCTAAAAGATTATTACAGACCATAGTTTGCTCTTCCGTTATGTAGATTGTAGTCATCAAATCTATTTTGCTTTTTCTTCTGAAAGGGAAAGGAAAAGTTGAGCTCAATAAAAGATCTAGCTAAGTTGTAAATCGATCAAAATATTGAAAAAGTAATAAGCTTTTTTGTATCAAATTGTGGTGATTGTGTCTTCTTTCCTCTGAAGGGGAGCTCGACTAGGTTAATTGAAGATTATTCTTTTTCAAGATTCAAGCAATAGGGTCAGCTAGAAGTGAATAAATGGGTCTAATTAAGACCCATGACAAAAGAAGGATAATTAAATGTTAAATCAGAATGACAATTACAGGGATAATGATCTACACCTATCTTTAAACCTAAGCGCTACCCTGTCAATTGAACAATAGTTCCATTAGCAATGTTAAATTGTACATTTCTCAAACTACATCAACCTCTGCTTTTCTTCACCGAATGGCCTGTCTTCCTTTTGTGACGACTGAAATCTGATACAAATCTGAATGTCTGCCCGCAACCTTCCTCTGCACACACGTAAGGACGAGCACCGGTGTGAACCCTGATGTGTTCAGTCCGAGCCCATGCCCATTTGAATGCCATCTTGCAGCCCTTCCAGGGGCACTTAAGGGGGCGGTCATCCAAGTGGACTCTGCGGTGCTGCACTAGATACTTATGTGAGAGGAAAGTCTTTCCACACCCCTTGACTGGACAAATGTTTCTTTTATGCAATGCTAGCTCTTGTTTTGAGCTAAAACTCATGGAGCAACCCTCAATGTCACAATGATATTCTGCATCCTCATCCTTATTTCTCACATTCTTCCGGCTAGTCAGAGGCTTCATAGCTGAAGCATTCTTCACCTTTTTCTTATTGTTTTGCAGCTTCTCTTTTGGCTTTGTTTCAGGATCTTTTGAAGGCTTTGAAGGCCTTTTTCTAAGGCGTGTGCTAGGTCCACCATCTAGCTCCTCTTCAAAATGTGACTCGACCTGTCTGGCATTCCGGAGCTGAGGAGTTTCTTGCTTCATTTGCTTACCTCGTTTGATTGATTGGGAATTCTCTTTCCTTTTTGGCCTAGCAGTCCCTTGTCTCAGTTGCCGAGGAGTTTCTAATTTCATTTTGGGAACAGCCACTGGTTTGGTCTGCTTGCTTCTCAGGATCTTACTCTGCTGCTTATTAGGATTATCCTCCAGCAAGTCATCCGAAACTACATCTTCCCTCTCCATAAATTTGGCTTGCTTGCCTCTAGTAGTCTTACTTGGCTGCCAACAAGTATTGTTCTCCCCCATATCATCTGAAACATCATCTCTCTCAGTATGTGTTGTTTGTTTGCGTTGAGAGGTCTTCCTTGGCTGCCAATATGTATCCTCCTCTGGCAGATCATCAGATACATCCTCCCTGTCAATAAATTTGGCTTGCTTGAATCTAGGAGTCTTATTTGGCTGCCATTTAGCATCATCCTCCTGCATGTGATCTGAGACATCTTCTCTCCGCATAAATTTGGCCTTCTTCCTTCTAGGAATTCTCTTGCGCTTCAGATGAGCATCATCTTCCAGCGAATCATCAGAAACTGCATCTTCACGCTCAAAAAATTTGGTGCTTCTGCTTCTAGGGACTCTTTGCCGCTGAATACTGTCCTCAAAGGAATCATCTGAACCAGCACCAGCAAATTTGGCTTGGTTGCTTCTGAGAATCCTCGTGCACTTCTGATGAGTATTTTCCTCTTGTAGTTCATCAGATACCTCACCTTCCATGTCCATAAATTTGGCTCGTCGGCTATGGGATGCTGCATGCTGCTGATAGGTACTTTCTTCCAGCATATCATCTGAAACTTCATCTTCCCTCTCAATATATTTGGTGTGGCTTCCCCTAAAACTCCCTCTGTTCTGCTGAAGAGAACTATTTTCCACTGAATCATCTGAAATTGCATCTTCCTTATCAATATATGGGCCTTGTTGGCCTCTGTGAGCCCTCCCTGGTGTCCTGTGAGAACTCTCATCAAGTGAATTATCTGAAACTGTGTCTTCCCTGTCAAAATACTTGGCCATTCTGCTTCTAGGAAGCCTCCCATGCCATTCATGAACTTCAGCTTCCAGCGAATCATCTGAAATTTCATTTTTCCTCTCAACATATTTCACTTGCTTACTCCTAGTTCTAGGATTTCTGCTATGTTGCTTTTTAGAATTATTCTCCACAGAAGCATAAGAAACATCATTTTCGCTCTCAATAGACTTGGCCTGTTTACTTCTAAGAATTCTTTTATGATGCTGATGAGAGTTGCCCATAAATGAATCATCAGAAACTGCATTGTCCCCATCAAAAGATTTAGCCTGTTTGCTTCTATGAATTCGGTCAGGCTGCTGATGAGAATTATCTTCCAATAAATTATATGAAACATCTCTCTCAATTCGCATAGTTTGCTTCCTACTATAAACTCTTGTTTGCTGCTTATGAGAAACATCCCCTTCTGGATCATCTGAAGCTGCACCTTCTATGTCAGGACATCTCACTTTCCTAAGTGGCCCACTCGCAGCTGTTATTTTCCTCTTCCTCCCAGATTTTCTAGCAGCTGATGTGGTTTCAATTTTGTGGATATATTGTGGTTTTCTATCAAGCTTCTCATCTGGCATTGTCAAACATCTGAAGCTTCTTTCTGGTTCCTGTTCTTGATCTTGATCCTCAGAATCCCGTTTTGCTAGGAAAGGATGAACTTGATTAGACATCCAAACTTTCCCACACCATCTCCCTGCCACAACTTTTCTCTGCTTCACAGTCCTCCTTCCATAAACATTTAACTTTGTAGGCGAGCTAGTTGGAGAGCTACGACCAAAAGCATTGTATATTACAGAATTGTATGGCATCTGCTTACTGTAAAGAGGGGACCGGCTAAGATTGGCACTATAAAAAAGATTGATCCCCAACTTTACAGCCCAGTCCCCATTCCCCGGTATGGCTTCCTCACTATCCAAAGCAGACTGGATATTCTCCTCATCCTCTTTGGTGGCGTCCCTGAAAGTAATATCATTCCAGACACAATCAATTCCCAGTTCTTCTGACACTAATCTTGCCGCAGCTTCTATCCTGCGATACTCTGCAAATGAATACATAGAAATTACAAAGAAGCAGATAAACCATAACATAAATAACATGTGAGAAGCCTAGAACACAACCATGGATGTATAGATCTGCCAGAAAACTGTTTCGTAGAAATTCCAAAGTTTTTGTATTGATTATAATCATGATTATGGTTTACCAGACTTTGTTGAGTAATTTAATAAGAGCTTTCACTGCAGAAGGCTAGCTCATGGAGCTCTTTTCTTTATAATGTTAATAAGTATAAACTCAGTGTTTCCAATCACGACCGACGACAACTAAGCATTTATAAAATCAGAAATTCCTCTTAATCCACAGTAAAATGGCGCCTTCTAAATGAAACACTCTCCATTACACGCCATTCTCCCTTCAAAGAAATAATTTTCAGTGTAAACAAAATGTGGAGCCAGAAAACCAAAAGTGGAAAGCACATTCCTCTTGTACAATTCAATTGAAGTTTATGGGAACTAAGTGTAACATGCAATTCACCATATGGTAAATCCCTGAAGTCTAAACCATGGAGAGAAGACGTGACAGTAATACAGAGAACTAATGTAGATTCACTTGAAAAAGAAAAAACAAGTGCAATATCCCTACACAAGTGGGAAAACTTCATTAAATCAACATATTATTGGGTGTGCATTTACCACACTCAATTATCTAACAACTAAGATCATACATGCATAATCCAATGTCAATGCTGCATAAATTCTGCATTGATTTTGGCCATTGAAAAGCATTAGTGATCCTCCTGCATCAATTAGGAAAGAGAATATGGAAAAAACAGGGAGAAAAAGTAGAAAGGCAGTCATTGTTGAGGTAGATCGTATTACAATATACCTGGATGACAGAGTAGCAATATATGCACTCCTCCAATTGGACGAAATTGCTGCTCCACTTCTACAGCATGGTCAAGACAGAAGACATGCATACGAGAAGAATCTTCATCAGATCTTTGAGCAAATGATGTATCTGTATTCTCTCTTGGAGCAACTCTGCCAAACTTTGCTTTTTCAGTATCATGGACAGCTGGTGAACAATTTGAAGTTCTGCGTGGCATTGATATTGGATCTCTAAATGTATGCTCCAAACCATTTGGTTCCATAGAAGCAAGATTATCAGTTTCAAACTCAATGGAACAGTCTAGAGTTTTATCACTTCTGACCTCAAAATTGGCTGGTCTAAACCCATGTCCATTTTCTACATGGCCTTCCACAGTTGGAGGAACTTTATCTCCACAATCGAGTCTTGATGAAGATAGATTATGACTGACAGTTCCACCATGATGACACTCTTGCTTGAAAGAAGACAAAGCAGAATTCCTATAGTGATATTTACTTTCTAATGAACAGTTTGTCTTGTTAATTTCATCTGCATGGTCTGATACATCTGGTTCAACCTGGTCTTCCTCCGAGTCAGATGAATTTCCATAATTCAAAGCTAACAGGTGAAGAGCAGAAGAGTCTCTCTCTGTTTTGGCATTGGAAGCCACTTTATTTTGATCTATCTGAATTTGATAATTAATAGACTGAACAGGGACATCATATAAACCATCTACAATATTCTTTTCCGCCAATTCTGTATTTTCAGAAAGAAAAAAAAGCGTTTAAAACGACAATCTCAAATAAGAAAAGCAGAACATAGTAAGAGAATGTACATAATTAAAAAAGAAGGGACAACAGTACTTTCAAAAAAGAGAGAGAGAGAGAGAGACAGACAGACAGACAGATGGATTAAAGCCTTTGTATATTTTAGTGACCATAAAAGCTGCAGGTCAAATTGAAAGTTTAGCAGCTCCAAGAACTGATTACATATGAGAATGAGTTTAGATAGCACAAAATATATTCTGTTGTATATATTCTTGTATCAATAATCCCCAGGTTGAAATAAAATCCATACTGATAAACTCATGTCAAGTCATCCAATCCTAATCTACATGAACAAAAAAAAAAAAAAAGTAATACTGCATGAACACCAGCCTTTCAAATAGGCCAACTACATAATGCATGCATAAGAATATCAACATAAAAGAAAAATGTGATCTTTAATGCAGCATCTAGTTTTACAAAGGGATGAGAAAGCACTAAAAAATAGACAAGGGAATTCAACCTGCCCAGACACCTCATTCCTAACTTTCAATATCAATTCTTAACCAGTGGGATTCAATATTAGCACACTGCTTTTTAAGGGTTAATATCAGCCAATTCAATAAAAATCCTACCAAATACATTCATGTGGCAAATCTAGTAAGCATGGTTCAGCTAAATATGGTTATTGTCAGAATATAAATAGAAAACACTTGACTTTGATCTATATGTGATATAATATTATCATGCAATAAAGGCAAGACAACATCAAATGAAGACCATTTAAAACATACTAGTAGAGGAATTCTGCTCAGAAGTGTTTGTGTCTCCACCAGCAATAGAGAGCCCACCATTAGTCACAGCAGAACCAACAACCCAATCATTAAAGAAGCTACAATCAGCAGACATGAGGTATCTAGCAGCTGCTTCTCTTGGTTGAATTACAGCAACGCAATCAAAGCTCAAAATTCCACAAGTAACACATGAAAACAGTCGCTGATCAGACAACTTGTCACCATGAACAGCAAACCCATTTTCAATGCCTGTGTCCATAGTATGTGCCTTGTCATTTCCATTCAACGAGGAAAACCTATTTCTTTCAGACAAAGGAGAAAACTTATCTTTAACCGAGAAAAGGCCTTTTACTTGATTAATTCCATTGTTCCTTTGTAGCATGATTTCATCAGGAACAGAACTTTTTGAGGATTGCATGATCCCCTTGCTTCTGCATAACCCAAGTGAGGAGCTCATTCTTAACTGAGATCCAACGCGTAAATTTGAACAAACTGAAATGTCTGAAGAACTTCGAGGAAGAATCACAATAGAAGATTCTTTTCCAAGAATATGAAGCAGATCATTATTATGAAGTGCATTCTTTACAAATTGTTCTTTAACCAGAGTTTCTCCTTCACCCCTTTGTTTATCTTTTAGCCTAGAACTCCGAGGTTTAGCATTGTTGTTATCAGGTACTCTGCCAAAAAAAGATTAAAAGAAAAAAAAGGATGGCTTATAATTACAGCAGCTAATTCTACATGGACAACATCAAATACCCGTACCATCAAAGCAGAGTTCACCAAGGATCTATTTTTCAGTTTATGCATAAAAATACGGCTGAAATGACAAGTTAGAAAGGGAGCACTGATGACAATAGTCTATCCTATCACATGAAAGCAAATTTCCCATGAATGTGAAATGAATTAGTTTTCCCATGAAAATCTTCCCAGAAGCAATGTAATTGACTACTTCAACCTCAATTAAAAATTAACAAACATTATCTTTTACGTTTCAATTTTTCAGGAACTTCAAAAGTTTCAGTTTGAATAATCCAATCTGAAAAGGCAGAATCCCTGGGAAAGACTATTAAGGAAGTTACTGAACATAATAACATTGCTAGTTCAGCAGCCAAAAGGAAAGTTGCAATTCTCAATAAAGCATACCTCGTACATAGTTCTAGTGCAAGATCATAAAGTAACTGGAAATGGGACACCATTGGAGGATAATTAATTGAAGCTCTTCGAATAGCTGCATCTTTAGCAACCCTTAACCATTCAGGAGTAGCAATATTAGCTGCCTCCCCACAATTAAACCCTAAATGTCAAAAATCATGAATGAAAACAGCATCAAAATTAATCAGTAGGAATGATGCCAATTAGAAGAGAACGAAGAAGAAGGAATCATTTTACCAATACATGAACACTAGGCTGAAAAACAAAGGTTCTTACCATGACTGAACCCTGAATGATAAGCTCTTGGGAAAGTGACAACAAATTCCCCAGCATTTTGCACTAACCTGATTCAGAGCATTTAGAATATTAGATGAACTCCAATGCATATTGAAAAGATAGCCATTTACTAACTGTGACTATTCTAAGATAATTTCCAGTGTAATTGACAGCTTCCTGTTTGCGAAGGGAAGAGAAAAGGTGTTATGAACTTTTAGGTCTAACTAGGCCCCTGTCAAATGACTATTTCTCTTTCAGCCAATTGTTGTACAGTGACACAAGTTCCACCAAATACAGCTTCATAAACCCCAAAGGTCATCATAAACAAGTTCCCAACAGAGTGAAATATAAGCAAGTTACCAAAAAGAAAAAGGAGAATACTGAAGAGCATAACAGGACAGAAATGAAGAGGTCACCTGCAGCATGGCACACCAGCACTAATAAATACTTCGGGTGACATGACAGTGGTTTTCTCTCCAAGAACTTGAAATGTTACTGCAATGAAAGTAACAAATAGTTAATTTGGAATTATCAATAAGACTATAAGCAAAGTCAACTATCGTTCTATGAATTTTCAAAACTTAGTAGTTTTTCAGTTAAACCAGAACATCACTCCATGTAACCTTTATTTATAAAATAAAAATAAAAAAAAGAAGAGGCAACCCAAAAGAACAGTCAAAAAGCCAATAGACAAGCAATTGTCTCATCAAGTCATAGTTATTAATATCCCCACCCAGATTGTAGGATCACACAATCCTACAATTCAAATTTAGTTAATCAATTCAGATCTCATGTGGAATCCTTCCTTTGGTAGAATTATTGTAGGATCATTACGATTGTGTAGATTCATATAAGACCATTTCAATATTAGGATCCCAAGTAGGACCTACCAAATTTGCCAAATACTAAAAACAATGTCATTTTACTACTGGTTGAAGATTCAATTATTTCAAATACTAAAACCAAATATCTAAGGCCATTAAACAAGTCAACAATAACTAAGTCTTAGTTCAAACTAGTTGGGGTCGTTTATATGAATACTTTGTAACCAATATCCGAATTGTAAAGATTAAAAGCAAAGTAAAATAGGGGAAAATATTGAAATATTGTGGGAAAAAAATTAAAGTAATTTTTTTCTTAAAATTAATTTGATGTGTTAATAAATAAAGCAAGGCACAAGACAACTAACAACTAAATAGAGTTTGCTATATGAATCTTCTGTCTACATTCTATTTTGTTCGTAACTAGATCCTCACTAATATCAAAAGACTGAAGATCCTTCTCGACAACTTCTTTCCATGTGGTTCAAGTCTGCTTTTTCTCCTTTTAGCACCCTTTACTACTAACGTACTACATTTATGAACTGGGGGCATGTGAGGTTCTACGCAACACATGGTTGTGCCATTCAAACCTCCTCCTCTCATTTTATTTCTAACTTCAGCTACGTGCACCTTTTGTCAAATATGGTCATTCCTAATCTTATCCAACCTTATGTGACCATACATCTACCTTAGCATCCGCACTTCTTCAACATTCACTTTATGAACATGTTGGGCATTCAATGCCCAACATTCACTTCCATCAAACATTGTCGGTCTTGCAACTGTTTGTAGAACTTACCTTTCACCTTATTAGATATCTTCCTATCATAAAGTACACCTATTGCACTCCTTTATTTTTCATCCATACTACTTGAGTTCTATGAGTAAAATCTTATTGAACAAGTCCGTAGAGGTTATTAGAGGTTATTAATAATAAAATGTAATTTTCCATCTGTTTGCTCCATTTTTTAAAAAAAAAACTTTAACAAGCAAATTCTAAAGGAAAAAAATGATGAAAATAAAATAATGGCAAGAAAATTAGATTTTAATTATCCAAATTGAGGCAAAGATTATGCAGAAACTTTTTATAACTTTTTATCTTTCCATCTCCATAGACACTAATAATGTTAATGAGACCATTATTGTTGTATATCTAAGAAAGGTGTTGGTTTGATGATGTATGGAGAGACATAATCTTTAACTTTGGATTACGAAATTTTGTAGTGTGAAATATATTTACATTGTTTAATAGAGTAATAAAAGTGGTAGATGGACATTTTTATATTGCTAGTATAAGCAACTTATGATCAAAATTACAGGATAACATTTGATAATAAAGGCTTATGATAATGAATATTTAATATTTTAATTTTTTTTATTTATAATTTGTAGGATCTTATGATTCTTGATCTGATCCTATAAATGCCCCAACAATTCAATGTAGGATCCAATTTTATCAATCTTGTATTAAGTGATTAGCAGCCACAGAGAAGTGTCCTCTAGTTGTAACATGAATTCCATGTCTTCTAGGAGAAATAATGAAGGAAAATGTTTTTTGAATCGCAAGAAATAGATAAGAAAAAAACAGCTACTACTGCCTTCATTTTACAATAAGAGAATCTATTCTAATAATGAAACTGAGGAGGTAAAAGAAAGCTAGACACCTGCCCTGACGTTCAAATACGGTTGCAGGGATGATCCAAAAACTCTGAAGAAACTAAGCAGGAATTGAATGGTGGGAGAAAGAAACTAGAACTAAAGTTCTTGTTTGCAAAATCAAAACTTTATTACAAATTCCATCAAGAATGCCTGTTTTACTTTTCTGAATCTTCTTGATTAGTACTTTATAATCATCCAAGCTTCAATCTCCATTAAAAATCAAGTGACAACCTCATTGCCAAAGCAGCTATTAAGAGTTACAACTAAGATACATACAATCAACTAGGTGGATAAAGGTTAATATAGAAAGCACTAACATTTGAACAACTAATCATTCAGCAAGAAATCCTGTGCTATGTCCAAAGTCCTCCTAAAGTATGCTGAAGACATCTACAAATACAATGCTCCATGTTTAAAGCACAAGAGACCTACAGTTCTCATAAACTAGCTGAATCACACAAGAACACTCAATTGTTGCCATTGTCATAACTTACACTGTTCAATAGCTAAGCTTAGTAAGTTTTCGTGCTCACTAAAAGCATTTTCAAGTCTCAACATCTTTGAGATCATACCATTATTCCATCTAGCATATTAATTAAGCAATGCTACTAAATGCTTTTGACAATGCTACTCAACATTAGCACATAGTGGACACAAATAGACCTGAAAACAGGAAAGCCAAATTCTAATTTGTTCTCTCGCGTAATTTAGTACAAGGAACTTACCAAGCGGATTTGTCTCTCCTCCATATCCATGAACCCGAACCACCTCCTCAAAAGCCACTGCAGCCTCTCTCGGTACACCATACCAAGTCTTCCCTGCCCCCATATGCAAGTAATTCAAGCTATGCAAATCGTGATCCTCCACATGCCAAGCGAACCAACTAAACAACATCGCTACATACACCATAGGTGAAGTAACCCCTGGTATCTCTTCCTTCATAAACCTCAACAATGACCCTTTTGACCTTGAAACTCCCCTCATATTCCACTCCGTTTCCCCCACAGTAACCCCCTCCCCTAGCTCCTTACCTCCAGTCTTCTTATGTGAGAAAGCAGAGCCCGGCATGTCGTTTGCATACTCAACAGAGAAAGGCTTATCGACAGTAGCTTTCCAGTATAGGGTTTCGATCTCTAGAGGAGAAAGAGCACCCTTCTTAGAGCCTTTCTTAAGGTAGCTTTTCTCAAATGATTTGGCTTTAGTTTCGAATTCTTGAAAAGTATAGTTTTCCCCACTCTGCCACACGGGCTTCTGCACCGGACGGGGCTTTCGCGGGCAGAACCCGATCTGCTGCTGACGGGTAGTGAATGTGGGTGGGGATTTGGAGTTGGGGGAGCCAGCACGAGCTGCGAGAGAGCGGTTGAGGTTAGAAATTGCAGCTTTCTTAGGAGCTGCAACAACAGGGGGCACGATTTTGCAAATACCATACTTGGCAGCTTCTTTCTCGATTTTAAAAATGTAGGCAATTGGATCTTGAAATTCTGCTGGAGTAGGATGGTACTCTGGTGCTAATGGTAGGTTTTTTAGCCATTGAAACACTTCTGGTTGTTGTGATGTTGGCTCAGAGACCAACCCAGCAGAAGCTGCCATGAAAAAACAGAGAGAAGGTGAGAAATTGGTAACGGCAGTTTTGGATTTGTGGGTTTCTTTCTCATACAAAGTCCATTGTGGACTGAGAAGAGAGAGAAACAGAGGAGGAAGAGAAGGTAATCAGATTCTTTGCTTCATTTGCCTTTTTTATTTATATATAATTTATGTATATGTTTGATAGGTTTGGGGGCTTTTTGTCTTTGTCGTTGGGTTATTTTTTTTGGGTTTGCTCTGTTTATTACAGAGTGGTTAAGTTAAACTGCAGAGGGGCAGAGTATCTCCATGAGGCAAGTGAAGGAGCAGAGTAAGTGAATTAGTGGGGTTTTATCGTGGGTTTGGAATAATTCTGTAAATGACACCTTTTTTATTGTTATTTACAGTTTCTGCCAGTTATTTTTATTGTTACTATGAATTTCCACCCCAAAATTTAGAATCCTTTTACCTATTATAAATTTGACCCTTATAGATATTAAGCATAAATCAAACGAATACCATTGATGTGCTTTTTACAAATAATGTTAAAAGGTCATATCTTTAGACTCACGAGGAATAACTCAAGTCAACATTTGAGTTTAGCAAATAATTTCTATAAAATTTAAGTTTCAATCCGTATAAAAAACACTTATCAAGAGAGTGAAAATTAATGAAAACAGAAACTGATATTATTATAAACAACTCAGAAATAAAAAGCAAATCAAAATCAATTCAGAAGAAATCAACTAATTATCCACCACATACGAGGATTGAAATTCTTTTCTTTCAAATTTTTATTAAAGTCTTCAGAATGCTTACTACTCGATGGGTCTCGCATTTTCAAATTTTAGAGTCGAAAAATTTTATAAATTAATTAATTAAAGCTTAACGCTTAAATTTTTTTATACAAATAGGTTGAAATTTGTTTTAATACACTGAAACAGTGGTGAATCACATTGTAAAAAGAGAGGTCGATCTACCTTTTTAAAATTTTTTTAATATATATATATCTAAATTAATTCATAAAGTTTATTTTATTTACGTATTTGATCCTTTTCTTTCGAAAAATTATATATTAACCCCAAAAAATATTTTTAGAGCCATTACTGCGCCAAAATCAAACCTATACATAGTACTTTGAGTAATCTCGAGAAAACACTCTACATGAATCGGATGCACTTAAAAATATTATAGTAAAGTAATTAAAATTTATTTAATAAAAAATATTGCTGGCGACTCTTTTCTTAGTGCTTTGTCTAGCTTTTTTTATGCTCATACGACCCATCAACTAGTTGAGACAGTAGCTCTCCGTTAATATTTGGTATGGTTACAGGAAAATCTCCATTCACATGGATGTTTCTATTTAGACTATCAAAGTAATTTTTTTGCTTTAAACTCTAGTAATTTTGATTTATCTAAATTTGATTTGGTTACTTAGGGTTGTAAAATGTTATTAGCTTTTAGGCCAATTGTGACTATTAGATAGATTCAAAGACAAGCTAACACATGGGTTCACATCTTAACTAGAACTTTCTATTTACATACTCGTCTTCAATGATAAACGTCGGTTCATACTGTTTATTACCCTTTTATGAGTATTAATGCAAGTTTTTTTATTTGCTTTCAAAAAAAATTATATTGTTGGTGGAATTTAATTTAAACGACTGCAAAAGACAGATCATCCTCTGCAATTGGCCAAAGCTGGCCTGAATTTTCCATTTCGGGATAAGTGGCAAAGAATTGGGATGCAAAATCAGATTATCATTTTGCATATCTGCCCTTATCTTTCTGTATTTAAGACATTTTACCCGTATATTATTCCCGTTTTGCCTTTTTTTTTTATTTTTTTTAATTTAATTTCCTTTCCTCGGCAAATTTTACCAATCTTCTTCCGATTTGACTCGGACCGCGGTCAATCAGAGTCCACAAGTAGACCCAGCCAAAGCGTGACATGTCAAATGACAGTAATTAAATGTCAACAGCCGCAAGAAAAGAAGATAAACCCCAAATAAATACAGAGAAGGGCGTGTCCTGTTTTGATTGGCTGTCAGAGCGACTGTGGTGGGCCATAGAATCGTTTGGCACTGTAATTGGCCCGTTGTACTAAAACAGCGTCGTACTGCGCAGTACAAGGCATGAGCTTTACCTGCTCTAATTGCGATTGAGGATTTTGCAGATATTGATAAATTTTGGTTCCATATACGAACAATTAAGGTGTCAACCCTTTTTACAGGACTATAATTATTATCGCCTTTTTCCAAGTAGTTGTAAGTCTTCGAAACGTATAATTTAAATATTTTGCATTGGATTAAAAGTTTTTTTTTGACAAAAAATAAAAATATATTTATTTTTTTATCTTTTTCTTTTATTATAATAAATATTAACTTTTAATATTTAATTTAAATTTATATATCTCGCTTTTTATTAAAATATTTTTAATATTTATATAACTGATTTTAGATAACTATTCCAATGTTCAAATTTAATTTAATAAATATAGTTTAATATTTTATAAATTGTAATTATGATATTAAATTATTTTTTAAAAATATATGATAGAAATAACATAAAAAAATATTTATTTATATAGTCAACTAAAAATTTATAATTTTGAAATGACTATTTCATTTAGTAGATAAATTTTTATTATACGAATTATTTATCTATTCATGTATTTAGTCAAATGATTACTATTTCTTATATTATGGATTATTATATCTGGATATTTATATATATATTTTTTTTGAATTTATTAACTAAGTAATTTCAATTTACAGTTAGATTGTTATCAAAAATGTAATTGTCTCCCTTTTATCCTAATAATTTTTTATGTGAAATAAAATATGTTACGTTAATAATCCACCAATGGAGAAAATTGCAGATAGCAAATATCTGTCCTTATGTGGATTTCTCTGTAAATATGTAATAATTAATTATCTTATAAAAATTAGTTAAATAAATTTAGAAAGTTTGAAATAATGTGCAAATATTAATAATCAAATTGGCATATAAATTTCAAATAAATTAGATTTTAAATAAATTTAAAAATAAAATAATTAAATAGGTTCAAGTATGGGATATTTTTTTGTCTACATTCTGGGTGTCATTTGATTTTTATCTCATTTACATTATTTCTCAAACCATGGGCAGAACTAAAATATAAAATATTGAAGGGCCAAATATAAATATAAAAAAAAAAATAAAAACACAAATATTAGCTACCAAACTAAATTAGATGTATTGTATTATATTATATTGCATGCATCATGTGGTACAAAGCAATACTGTAGAGAGCAGAAACAGATTTTATTATGTGAAGATTCCATGACAACTGCTCTGCCCCAATCATGAGCAATAATCCTTTCTATTCCTACATCAACGTGATGCTCCATCAAAACGGTCCCACCAATAATAACTTATTTTCCCTGCATGTTAACTATAGATATTTTTATGTCAATTATAATCTGATTGGTATTTTCGCTCATAAAAAAGAGCCACGACTCCCCTCGCATGAATAAAAGAAAACTATAGATATTTTTGTCACATCAGACCAGTAGAATAAAGTGTTTCTTTAAATCTAGTGGAGTAATCCAAAGAATTTGTACAGCAGAGGGCAGAGGCAACAGTCAATTTCAGCAAATGCATATTTTCTTTCTTGCAGATCAATTCTAAAGTTTTCCTGAATCGTATCATCCGGGAGTGGACCAAATTTCAGTGTATATCAGACAACACACAAGTTTAACTAAAATCCATGATTCCAGATTCCTCCAGCTATAAACAACATAATAAGCACCCTGAAAAGAGATTCCATTTAACATGTCTAGAAATTAGATAACTGAATCATCACAAAATGGATAAATATGAAAATTAGCTCTCTTTGGAATCAGAACTAGCTGGAGAAAGCTCAAGAGAAACTGGACAATGATCGCTTCCGTAGAAACCTGCAAAGAATGAAAGATTAATTGAGGCATTAAAATTTGTACGGTGAGGATCTGAGAATGAATTTAGGAAAAGGGCAAAAACCGAGGCACACATTCATAATAATGCAAATTTTTTTTAAAAGCTTTCTTGCATTTTCCTTTGATTAGCTAAAAGTGAAAAAAGCGAGTGGAGTGAAGACCAGGACAATGAGAATGATAAATTTGTTTCACATTTACCAATGGTTTGCCAATGGGTTGAAATCTCAATCCAAAAGCAAACTCAAGTTGCACTGGGATTAGGATTCAAACATCCACGAGAACATGTACGACAAAAAAAAAAAAAATACCCCCTTCAAGCATTTAAGACCAAGAAAATAATCAGGCACAGATCATTTACAGAGATTAGGAGCATTGACGAATGAAAAAAACTTTCTCCTTTCATGTGCTATATGCGACAGCTAAAGCAAGTCATCAGCAAAACCAACCAGATGTGCTAAATGACTGAAATCTGGTGGCCATAATTAGAAGCTCCTAGTTCCCAAGGCCTTGTCTAAAATTCTCTACAACCATACCAACACTTCAATGGCTCAATCATTAGATGGATGACAAAAGGGTTCTCTACTAAAATCGTCAGAATAATTTGCATGGCATGTGGGAAATGGATAGGATATGAAAATACCTTGTAATTCAATTCCTTGCCCATGCATCTCACATGAAACAATCCTATCTTTAAATTTCTCTGAAACCAAGAAATAATCAATTCGCATCCTTTTCCCTCGATACCTACAAAAAAACCACCCATCAGGAAATATAACACTTGCTGCAAACAACATATGCACAAAAGATTTCCATAATTACAAAACTTGAATACTCATAGCATATGTTTTATATGTATGCTAAACAGCTGATGATACTTATTTCATACTTCCCAATTGGGTGACCAGACCATGAGAAGCCATGCTCCATGTCCTTTTCCTTGTGTAAAAATCTATATGCATCAATGAGCTTTCCCCTGAAGCATATTCCGAAACTCCAAACTTTATTAACAGGCAAAATTAGGAAATAATATTAAAAAGCAAAAGAAAGTCCATTAATTAAGAGCAAAGTGCTTCAAAATCATAGTAGCATATATATTTAGTGGAAGCACCAACTCTCTCAAAATGGAACCAAAGCGCTTTCTTTCATTCAAGGTGAAGCCAGGCTGCCCACAATCCTGCAATAACAGAAGGTAAAGGCCAAGGAAACTGTTTAAATGTTGAATTGAAAGGAATGCTAAACAGTTGAAAATCAAAACCACACTGAAAATAAGGACATTAACAACAGCCACATCTGCACATGCCCATTCACTCGCACACACATACACACACATAAAATGGTAACCCTCAGATAAATGGAGACCTTTCAGCTCACATCACTGCAAAAAGAAGTTATTCAATAGCATCCATTCTTGCACTACCTCCGGCAGTATGCTAATGACTCCTTCTGGACCACAGGATTTATACCTCACACTTTAAATGTGCAAGACAATGAAACAATGCAATTTACAAGGACCAAATCTTAATGCATAATGTAAAAGATGTCACAGGAAATTTCTGCTTTCATTTCAGCGGCTTATATTTTCCCAAGAGTCTTGGTTCCAAAAGCAATTGTAATAAGAGGATGCATGTATCAAGTTGATTAGAAATATATCATGTCAGAATATATGCTCAGAAAAAAATTATTGACACCTCTTTATTTGGAGGAACATAACCATTTTGCTTTGCTGCACTGAAAAATTCAGGATGACTCACGTCAATCTCTTCATGGCTGCACATTAGAAATTAACTTTTTAAGTCTAAGACCATTGATAAGAATCATTTGCCTATTTCAAGAATTAGACACATAAGAGTAGATCTCTTTGCAAGAAAACTTTCTTAAAAAGTCAAGAACAATTTTCTAAGAGTAAGGTAATCTAATCATAAAACTAATAAACAAATATCAATTCATCATTTGTGTAGAAGACAGTTCCACCTTTTATTTTTCATAGTTTATCAATGATCATCATCAGTTCATGAAACTGAAGATATGTGGAGAAAAAATTGCAAATGGTATTTGACCATCTACATGTGGTGTTGACCATAAATTCTGGAGAAAATACTAATCATTAAGCATTAGTGCATTACCATCTTAGTAGAGTTAAAACAGCAATTTGTATGCACATATGTCAAGTGCCAACTAAATCAATTCTATGGTTTCCAAGTTACTCCATAGATCATAATAGCTTGGGTGATGCTAAAGTCAATATGTAACAAGAAAGCAATTGGAAAGGGATAATAACACAAGTTTTCCCACACCTCCATAAAAGAAAGATAAAAGAAAAAGGGAAATACTAACCTAACATTCAGATCGCCACACCATATAAGAGGCTTATCTGATAATTGTACAATAAACTCTAGCATTCTTTTGTCCCATTTTCTTCTCCTTTGAAATGAGTTCTCCTCCTCTTTCCAGCCATTGTTTGGTGCATATGTATTCAATAGTCGGAATGTCTCAAATTCAGCTAAAATAACCCGGCCATCTGGTTCATGCTTTGAAGCTAATGACAAAGGAAAATTTACAAGTGACTATCACTTCATACGCAAATGTGAGGGGAGAAGAAAAATGATAGATTTTCCATCAAGTACAGCAGGTATGTCCAGATTATACTGTACAATTTTTCTTGTCCTTAAGAGAGAAATATTTCATGCCAATTGTATGAACCAATGAGTTTGAACCAAATACCTGTTCTGTCTAGAGAGAAAGAGACCTTTATTGGTTGAACACACTTCTTTACTAATAATGCAGTCCCTGCATACTTTGAATCTGCAAGGGACCACCAAATGCGATAGCTTCCAAATGGTGGGCTGGAAAGAGCACGTAATAATATCTGCATGATTTTGACAAAATCTATAATAGGTTTTAAGTAACCATTAGAAGTTTGATATTTATACACATCAATTATATCTCATATGAAACTGCTCTTAATGCAAAGACTTCCAGAAAGAAATATGAACTGTGAAAAACAGACCACATTTTCTAGAGAACAAAGAATTTTACCACATAGATCCAGATTGTATCAATATCATCTCCAACAACTCATCACTTAAGATATAACAGAGAGATCACATGAACATCTTTGTCATTTTTCTGAAGTTTCTGGTGACAGTTAAAATATGAATATAAAAAAATTTTTAAGCTTGAAAGTCTTAGGACTCACAAGAGCCAATTCCAAGCCAAGTTGTATTTCACATTATAGATCATGAAATAAACTACCATAGCAGAAGATTTTGTGAAATTCTTGGAATATTGATGCTAGACGAATTATAATGGATCCATATCTAGGGCAAAATGCTATATATACTTGGTCTCCTTAATTAAAGCTTCTCACTGAAAATGATCAACTAATAACTACCAGCTCCAGTCACATTGTGTTCATTTAAGATAGTTATCAGGACACAGCTACTGTTTTTATATTCAAGACAATTCTCATGACAAATTACAATATTGAGGATCATTAAAGCCTGTTACTTAGATAGAACAAAAACTCCTAACTTTAGCCATGAAAAATCAGAATATCAGAAAACCAAAAAAATAATAATAATAATAAATTAAATTAAATTGAATACAAAAGAGACAAGTTTTAACAGTTGTCATTTGCTATTTTACTTGGAACTTGCATATAACATCAAATCTCTCAAAGTGGACAAGGATTGGGAAGACATATAACAAAAATATATACGCATTTGTTACTCAGAGTTGTTGTTAGTAAAACACCCCTAGCCAAAGCTACGCACAATAAAACAAACACAAAATTCATCAACTACAGGGTTACATAAGTTTTAAAGAATTTCTAGGTCACAAAATAGGTCCTGAATTCGTGAGATTGTCCACTGTGTAACAATAAGAGTAAATGTTACCTGCTTTTCCTCACGGGATGAGCTTGTATCATCTTTCAACTCTCCAGGGTTTTTAGGTGTGCCCTTTGAACCAGCAGCAGGCATCCTTACTTCCTACCATTAGTGTACTTTTATTAGATGCTGTCTTGCTTACATGGTTAGTGAAGTTAACTCAGCTGATGATTTAGTATGCGACAAAAATAATAATTATGTGACATGATTTATGTTTGCAAATACAAAAAACACCATGCAATAAATAGTTTTAAGATGACAAAATAAACCATGATATGCACCAATGAAGTACACCTATCAGAAAACAGTTCCAAATAAAGTCTTGCAATGTAAAGTTATTCCATCTATTACTTCAGTTGGAAAAAAGAAAAAACATTATTTGCAGTTTCTTCATCAGTGGCTATCTATATCTGGGATATGACCTTATGTTTCAAATTTCACGATTATTTCTCAAGCAAAACAAATCTCCCCCACCCCCACCCCCCTCTAAAAAATAAATGATCAAATGGATGAATGTGATCTTAGCACTAAAACTAACACTGCAACTTCCTTAATTTCCTCACATACAGACCCAAGTAACATCAACGTGAACAACATTGAGCCCCTTGAATCAAACTACAAAGAGAATAATTCAAAACACAGATTTCAACCTTACAGCAGAGGGAATCATTATATCAGAACGCTAAACATAGCACATTCACAAACCTCTTTGCACCTATATTAGACTATGTCTACTGTGTCTATTGCTCGTATTCTAGCTAAGGGTGACTCAAATTCAACAAAATCGAAGAATCAAAGTGTAAGTGTTGAATCACACAAACTTTCTTTTCCTTTGGCTCCATTGATGCAGTAATTACATTCACTTTCACAAAGCACTACACAAAAAAGGGGAACTAAAAATAAACAGCAAATGGATATCTGGTTAGTGTTTTTGACAACAGAATCGACCATAGTTTTAAATGCTACTTTCTCCACTGAAAAACACACTGCTTGATTCAAATGCATGCAAACGAATTCAAATACATAAACAAAACCAAAACAGTCCTACTTCGTTAAATACCCCCATGTCATTATCGTTACATAAAAAGTCAATCTTCAAAATACCAATCATGAAAAACCCACTTACTGCGAACATTACCCAGCTGAAAAGAAATTACTACACATCATAGTGTCATAATATAAACATATGGGTAACGCAGCAGAGAGAGAGGGGTACCTGTATGGCAATGACATCAGGATCAAGTGCAGAGACGAATTTAGAGAACTCAGGCCAATTGTTCTTGACTCGAAGAAGCAAGCTATTAGCATTCCATGTAACGAACTTCAAAGGCTCCTTCTTGTTCCCACCATTGTCAGCATCTTCTTGTTTTGCAGAGAGCGCGGGTTTCTTTGCAGACCCATCCTTTTCTATCGGCTTGAAAAAGCGCTTCATGGCAAGAACTCAAAGTTAAAGAACTTTCGGCTTTTCTCCAATAGAGGCCGAAATGCAAAGGAGTAAGTAATAGGTAATTTTCTTTTATGCCATTAACAAAAAGACTACCGAGCCATACACAGAGTGTACGCCGTGAGGAGGAGGAACTCCAGGTAGAAAATATCAAAAGTTACAAGCAGATGTAATTTAATTTGTACATATAATTTTTTACTAATTCATTATCTATATATATAAATTATAATATTACCAACTCTTGATATTATTAAAAATCTAAAAAGATTTAGAAAATAAAAAATATATATTTTTTATAAAATAAAAAAAATTAATATTCTCGAAATAAGAATTAGCTTAACTTTATTTATTATATTTTGATTTATATTATAGATAGATAGCTATTATAATAATAATAATTAATTAATCTTAGAATATCATTTATAATTTTTGTATTTTTCTTGTTTTTTTATTTTTTGCTAAAGTCTGAACGCATTAATTAATTTTGTGGTTGGTTTTTTAGAAAAAAAATCTTTCTAATTTGTTATTAATATAACATCTTATAGTGAATTTTTTTGTGTTTTTTATACCAATAAATATTATATATTATTTAATAAATAATAGTTGGTTTTTTAGAAAAAAAAATGCTTTCTAATTTGTTATTAATATAACATATCTATAGTGAAATTTTTTGTGTTTTCAATATACCAATAATATTATATATTATTTAATAATTAATTAAAAATTTATATTTATTTATAAAATAATTTATAACCAATCAAATTAAATTACAATTAAAATAATATTATATACTATTCTTACCAAAATATATATATTATATAATATAATATATCCAATCAAATTTCTAAATTAACTTTTATTTTTCCAACCAATAAAATTAAAAATCTTAAAAAATATTATATATTAAATATATTTAATAGACACTTAATAATTTCTTAGTCTCATCCAATAAAATTTAAATTATATATATAAAAAATTTAATATTAATCAATCAAAAATCAATTTATCTTTATTTTTCAACCAAATACAAATAAAATCCTTAAATAATTATTATTTCTTTAAAATTAAAATCTTTAAAAATATTATATATTAATATATTTAATAGACACTTATAATTTCTTAGTTCATCCAATAAAATTTAAATTTAAATAAAAAATTAATATAATCAATCAAAATCAATTTATCTTTATTTTTCAACCAATACAAATAAAATCCTTAAATATATTATATTCTTATCATATTGAATATATACCTTGTTATTTAGTATATAATATAATTTATTATTTTATTCAATAAAATTTAGATTTAAATAAAAAATTAATATGATCAATTAAATTTAAATTACTTTTATTTGTTCAACCAATAAAATTAAAATTCTTAACAATATTTTTGTCACTCTATAAACTTAGTAGTGGCGTTTTTTATGATTTTCATGCTTCTCCTTCCCATTGCTACTCTTGTATATCTTCGATATATATACAGAGAGAGAGAGAGGGAAAGAGAGAGTTAGATAGATAAATTGTCTATAAAATAAGTATTAATTGTTTGAATTTATATTTAATTTCTTAGATTAGAGAAACTTCTTCTTAATCATATTTTTTATCAAAATACCATACCATTATCCTAACAGTATTTGTATGAGTTTGTGATGTCGTGAAAAACTTACGTATAAGCTATTTGTGAATGATAGAACTCATAAATTTTGTATTACAAGTATTTTTAGGCATGTTCATATCCTCTTTATAAATACACACAATCACATGATAATGTTATTAATTTGTGGATGTCTATGGTTTATTAATTAATTAATAAAATTTATTTATTGAGGTATTGAAGTAAAATTAATAATTACACAATAAATATAGACATATGATGATGAGAAGTAATGTCAATAACCAATACGATGATTTTATAGATAAAACCTCTAAGAAGATGCCTCATTGTGATCGTTGTATTTCAAAAGATTATTTGATATGTCATAGAGCTTTAAAAATTATTAATTTTAGAAACCGGGATTTTTTTTTAATGATATTTTATTAATTAAATTAAGTTTAGGGACTAGATAGTAATTTATCAATTATTTATTTGTGGCGATGTGGCAGAGGATAAGTTGGTTAGCCAAAACCGTTAAAAGACACCAAGCAAATTAATAAAATTATTAAAAAAAAAACAAAGAAAAAACGAAAGGAAGTGTTCGGAAAGGAAGAGAGACTCTAATGGCTTCAACGACTTTCTCTCTTTCCTTAGCCACAGTTTCTTCTTCTTCTATTTCTTCAGCCTCTCATTCCAAAGCTTTTCTTGTCCAATCTCATCAAACTAAATTTTCATCCTCACTGTTGGGTACAAAATTATGTGTAAATAAGACACTAATAGCAAAATCAACGAGCAAGAGAAGCACTTCTAGTGGGTTCACTTGCTTAGCTTCCTCTTCTGTTCTTCCATCAGCTCTTTTATTCGACTGCGATGGCGTGCTTGTTGATACTGAGAAAGACGGTCACAGGGTTTCCTTCAACGATACTTTCAAAGAAGTAAGTAGATATTCATTCTTTTGCTTTTATTGGTTTGATAATGTGGCTCTTTAGTTAATTTTGGTTCAGTTTGTTTTGAATGAGCAACGAATTTGGCATATTTATCGCATTTTTTAGCAAGTGGATTTTGCTTTTGGTGAGGTTATGGCGAATCCGGGTTTCATTGTACTTTTAGTCTTATACATTACATATGTTTCATTGATTGAATTAATTAACCAAGCAGAGGCAAAAGAGAGTGAAGAAACTGCGTATGTACTAGTAGTTGCTGCATTGGAAAGAAATGTTATTTATGTTCCTTTCAGTTCATTGGTTGATTTCAGCTTTAATTTTTTTAACAGAAAGAACTGGGGGTCACTTGGGATGTAGAGTTGTATGGCGAGTTGCTCAAAATTGGTGGTGGAAAGGAACGGTAATGTTTTCCCTCAATAATTTCCTTGCCTTTTCAACTATATATGTGCCTTATGAAATCTTCACAGCTTGATTTATGAACACCGAGGCATACTTAATTCATTTTGTTTAATCCTAAACCTATTTCTGTGAAGTTTGGACTAGGATGTTAGAAAAATACATGAATGAATTTTTTATTAGTTCATTCTCGTCTTTGTAGGATGACAGCCTACCTTAACAAGACTGGTTGGCCAGAAAAGGCTCCAAAGAGTGAAGAGGAACGAAAAGAATTCATAGCTTCACTTCATAAGCGAAAAACGGAGTTGTTCATGGCTCTAATTGAGAAGAAATTGCTACCTCTTCGGCCAGGTGTTGCAAAGTGGGTGATTATTGAATGTTTGCTTATCCATTGATATTAGCACTTGATGCTTTTGTTTAATTAACCGTATATGTGAGTGGCAGTAATTATAATTTCATTTGATTTTGTACTTTAAGCAGCTGGGTTACTCTTGACATCATAAATGGAAACTACAATTTTTGCAACAATACTTTTTCTTTTCATGTATCAATTCTTTTCTACAAATATGAATGTGGTCATAATCATGAGTGATGGCTTCCTTATCCAATTTTACAGGCTGGTTGATCAAGCTTTGGGAAAAGGAGTAAAAGTTGCTGTCTGCAGCACTTCCAATGAGAAGGCGGTATGCACAACAAGGTTCTAAAATTTGCTAATATAATTTGTTAAATTTGATTGAGAATGATAGGCTATGGATATTAAAATCTATAGAACTGTTACATGTCATAAGTCTGAGATTCATTTTCTTAAGAAATCAATCCCTCGTATATTGTCTGGCAGTATTTTCAGTAACCGTGTTACCTTCTGTAAAATACATGTGATAGGACTGATCACTTTGGTTGCAACACCCTGAAAAAGGCCATGTAGCCATGACTATGACTCGTAGATTTATACCCTTGATGTATGGTTAAATACTTAATTAAATACCCTTGTCATTTTGGTGACGCAATCAGACATTTGGTTTCAGGTCTCTGCAGTAGTTTCATTTTTGCTGGGACCTGAGCGAGCAGAGAAGATCCAGGTATTTGCAGGAGATGTGGTTCCCCGTAAAAAGCCTGATCCGGTATGATGTATATCCCTCTTGTTGTTGATTCAGTGCATTTTCCAAATGCTGTGTGGGATCTAATGCCTTTTGATTTTGGTCTTATGTGCTCTTAGCCTCAAATTCATCATTTATATGTTCACTTCCAAGCAAGAGTTTTGAAATTGCATGTCATTATATCCTAAAAGAATCGAGTCCAGCTCCTTGTAATCATAAAAAAGCTGAATAAAATATTTTCAGTTTCTTTTTAAGCTATAGTTTATAGAATATTTTTTTCCCTACATTTAGCATGATTTTATCATCAAGATTTTGTAGTGGTTAGGAAGAATGGGTTCATTTGCTGATCACAAAGATGTTTCATTCTTCTAACAGGCCATTTACACATTAGCAGCCAGCACGCTTGGTGTTGATCCTTCAAGGTACTCTTTGATGTATTTTATATCACTGTAAGCAATAAGGTCAGATTAAATTTAATTTATGTATCAAATAATGTTGAAAGAAATCTGTCCACTGCGCCTCGAATTACTCTGCAAAATCAACGAAGCAATGCTTAGTCCAAGACTAACAAGTCCTGCGGTTTGATTTATGTTATGCAAGTTTATGTCCCGTAATCTATATTCTGTAGTTGGCATTCAATGAGAAATTAGAAGTTTCTATTCACTAAGAGCAAATGCACATATTCTTGATTTCCGCAGTTGTGTTGTGGTAGAGGACAGTGCAATAGGCCTTGCAGCTGCTAAAGCTGCGGGAATGAAGTGCATAGTAACAAAAAGCGGGTAAGTTTCTGTTCAACTGCATAAACAGACTGCTTAGGTCCCTTTATTTTGAAGGGAATTTCATTAGTGAGGATACATTCTTGTCATGAAAAGTATACATCAGTTTAAGTTTTGAGATGGGGTTAACCATTTTGGTTGTTGGACTAGGAATCACTTTAGAACTGACTGAAATGTCTTTCTCCACATTGCAGAAACTCCATTAGCAAATTAGTTCGATTTCATTTCAACTCTTACTAGCCTCTCATCTCTCAATGTCTGAATCTTGATTTACAGTTACACAGCGGATGAGGACTTCTTAAATGCAGATGCGGTGTTTGATTGCATTGGAGATCCTCCAGAAGAGTGTTTTGACTTGGCATTCTGTGGAAGTCTTCTTGAAAAGCAATATGTCAGCTAGATCATCTCTCTCTCCCTAGCTCCATTGCTTTTTGTATGTCTATTTCTTGTTTATTTTACCTTTATTTATGATAAACAAGTAAAGAAAACTTGAAAGCTTATATGCTGTTACAATTTCTTATTTGAGTAGGTCCTATCGTTATTATGCAACATGCCTCTTCCTATGGGTGAGCAAACAGGCGAAAACCGAACCGAAAATTGATTTTTACTGAAACAAACTGCACCTAAGCAAGTCCGGTTTTATAATAATCGACTCATGAATCCAACTAAATCGGTTTGAATGGGCTTCCGGTTTTTACCAAACTTGGCTCTGCCTCTAAACAAGAACCTAATTGCGTCCAAAAAGGCAAAAATTGAAGGCCCAACTCTTATATACATATAGCAATTGCAAACCTCATGTCTCAAAAGAAATGGACCTGAGCCCATTTCATGGTTCACTCACTCTGTTATGCGGTGATTGGACGATCTGTCGTTCGAGACAGATAAGTCGGTCAGTATCAAATCACTAGCCACGTCAATTGTTTATCATGAAACGCGCAGTTAGTCGTGCGACAATAAGCAACGGCGTTTGTCGTTTACAATTGAAGATCACCATTTGAACAATAAACGACAAGTGAAGATGTAAATCCCAATGCTGTTTGTTTCCCAAGAAAACAAAAGATAAGTTGGAGGCTTCAACTTATGCATTTAAAGCTCTAAGCATGGAGGAGCTAATTAAACTTGTGCATAAGTTTTCTAGCAATATCTATAATTATGAAGAGAATTTGAAGGCTGATTTTCATACATACATATATATATTCATATATATATATATATATATATATGTATGTATATTTCAGTGTTTCTTATCCCTTCTGTGACCATATACGTATTATCCCTATCCACAATATTCCTTCTAGTGATCGTGCATATGGTAGAAAACTAATGCCATTACATTGAAACATATGGCCCTATCCCATATTAATTATTAGAATATGATGTGTTTTATGGTATACATTTAAAGAGTAGGTTAGCTGTTCACATGTCGTGTATTAAAGCATGGAAACAAGTATGCAAATAATACATATATAGTCTCTTTTCTCCAATGTGCTAAAAAAAAAAAAAAAAAAAAAAAAGCTTATTAAAGCATGGAAACAAGTATGCAAAATAATACATATATTAGTCTCTTTTTCTCCAATGTGCCTAAAAAAAAAAAAAAAAAAAAAAAAAAAAAAAAAAAAAAAGAAGAAAATAATTAAATTATTAATCTAATAACTTACATAGATATGTAGAAAGAACTTGAATTATTCCTATAATGATTTATCAATTATTGCCATTAACTTCTTTATAAAGTAACTTTTCTCCATGTGCATGGTTGTATAAAAATGTATCTGATACATATGTAGCTAGCTAGTTATTAGGCAATGTGAATTGTAGTTGTAGGGTTGAAGGTGTCCCCCGTTCCTTTGGCTTGCAGTTGCAGCAAGCAACGGAAAGAGAAGCTACAAATTTAATTATACACACAACGGCTACCTACTCATCACACTAATGGTCCCCCACTATCTCCTAACAAAGTGTCAATCTTCGTTTTCATTTTCAATTTAATTAAGTTCTTCGTCCAAATTCTTATTGCTCCTTGTCTTTTGTTAACTGTCTTCTTGGAAACCAGTATGTGTATGTATATATGTGAAGCGTATGTGTATTTATACATGTGAAGAGTCACATGATTGGCACTTGCAGAAAGAAGACTTGTTTCTTTCAACTTCAAAGGCTCTTTCCTTAAAAAGACAAGATGGCAACCGAAGCAAACTTTGCTACCGAAGAGAAAATATCTGAATAATCAATACCATAAGTCTGCGTATATCTTTTGGCTACATATCCATTTACATCCAATAGCTGTCTTCCGAGCAAGCAAAAGCACAATGAATGAACCGCAAAGCTATAGTTTTATATGTGCACACATTCTCTTTCAACTACTGCTATTAATTTCATTTCAATCAACATCCATATTTTTTTTAATACCCTGTTTTTATTCTTGACCAATGACTGGGTAGAAGGGAAAGATGAACATGGCACATGTCACAGCTAGCATAGACATGCATGCATAATTTATAAAATATATTGGTTTAAACCATCTTAGTTGTTTCAAACTGGCTGTCATCAACCTCCTCATTCATCATTATCAATTATATTTTCAACCAAGAAAAGGAAAATTCATATTAATTTTCAATAAAGCAATAAAAAGAATTCAATTAAACCGTTAATTGCGCCTAATCTTTTACATCTTTTTTTTTTTCCTGAAGACCACCTCAGTGTCAAGCCCAAATCCATCAACTCTCTTTACCTCCACCAACTCCGACTCCTTAAACAGCTCCACTAATGGCCTCACACTGTACAAATCATTCGCCGAATACTTATCGGCCCGTCGAAATAGTGCCACGTGTAGAACGCAAACTCCACCTGGCTTTAATGTCCGTTCGATCTCCCCAACAAATTTCCAGGGATACAGCGCGTGGTCGAACACATTGGAGAACTCGAAGTCAAAAGTTTCATTCTCGAATGGCTGTGCATGGAAATCTCCTTTTACAACAAGAGGCGGAGACGGCACCAAGTCTATTCCGATAGACTCGGAGACACCTACGCGACGAAGCGCCTCCACTTCCTGGCCTACGCGAGCGCCAATGGATAACGCCTTTGAAGCGTTAGACAAGAGGTTTCTTTGCTTTAAGGACTCGAAGAAATAGGAAAACACCCGAACTTTGCGTTCCCAATCTCGGGTTTTCCAAATGTTCCGGAGTTTCGGATTTAGGGTTTTGTTCAGTTGGTGCTGGATGTATGCATTGTAAGAAGAGTAACCGGGCCGGATACGGAGGTCAAGTCCGGTGGAGTTGGTGGTGAAGAGGGGCGTTTTGGTGGTGGTTTGGCGGTGATGAGGAGTTATGGAAGCGATGAATATTAGAGCTGAAACAGAGAAGAAGAGAGAGAGAAGGAAGGGCTTGAGGATAAGAGGGAGTTTTGGAAGAGGTGATAACATCTTTGCATGTGTTCTATTATGAGTGAGAGAGAACTCAAATACCTAAAAACTCTCTTTCTTTCAACGAAAATTTAGCGATATGTGTGAAGCATTACAGCTTTAGTGGTGACTGTGATAGAGCTTTTGCCTTTGGAGTTGGTTACTTATTAGAAGAAGTTGGCGGTTTGATTTGGTTTGGTTTGATTTTATATGGTAGAGACTGGAGAGAGAAGAGAGTGGTTAGCTTTTATAAAATAAGGTGGTGGTGGTAGTGGGGCTAGGTGCCAAGTGCAAAGTGCTAACATATTTTATGCTAGTAAAAGTTTTGCGGTGTGGACCCGTGATGAGGTTACAAGACTGGTGATCACTGATCAGGTGGTCAGTGTTTGGGACCCAAAAGCTATTGGCCTCTGTATGTATCTGCTGGTTATAGGTTATAACTATTGGTTGAAGAAAGGTTAGCTTGCAAATAGAAATTTATCCTCGTGACTTAAATATTCTAAATGTGCATAACTTCACGAGATCTTATTGTTCTTTGTGTTGTTGAGTTAGTAGGAGTCAGGACTCGTGATGGGCTGTGTACAGGGGTTTAGAAATGGCTCGGCTAATTTGGTTCGTTTAATAATTCGATTCTTAGCGAATCAATTTTTTGTTTGAAAGATAAAATTTAATTTATTCGTACGATCGGTAATAAATCGATTAAAACATAATTTATCGAGTTAATTAGATCAAAGAAAATAAATGTTAGGTCTAAGTGATTCAGCTAAATTGGCCAATTTAATTAAATTAATCAATTTGGTTTGATTAAATTATAAAAATTAATTAATTTGATCAATTTAATTCGATTAAGTATGTTATTAGGTTCAATTGCAAAAATAATTCTATCAAAATTTCACCGAAATTGATTGAAACTGTTGGAGTGATGAACCCTAGCTATATGCTTGTAAAATCTGCTCTAAGAGAACCATATCATGTGTATCCAGTAACTCACTCCATTCTGCCATTGTAAGAAAAACAATTATGGATTGATTCGATGACAACCAACTCATAACTATATTCTATCTCGAGTAATGGAAGGTATAGCCTCCTTTATTATATTGAAAGATTAGGAAGAATTTATTCTTGTGATAACGTAATTGGATGCGTCTGGCTTGGATTGAATTGAATTGCTAATTTAGGCATGAAATGGAAGTAAGTGGGTGTACCCCCACCTCAACCCATGCCAAATTTGGTAACAGTTAAATAAATTCGAAACAGGTACAGATATAAAACTTTTCGGTTGAGTTATGCTTCGACTTGAAGCTGTGTGTGTACACATTATCCAAATCCATTTTAAATGTAGAAGGAAATTTACTACAGCATTAACAAGCTGATGATTCTCTTCAACTGGTTAAAACAAGATAAAGCAAAATGAGGCACAGCTATACAGGTACAAACATTTTTCTTAAGATAATCTACTTCTAAACAAATGATATACATGATGGTTCATGCCCCTTATCTCAGGGTTGAATAAACCTACCTACATTAATAATTATCCTCAAGGCACAAGGACTAACCTGCATACAATCTGGACATGGCCACTGCTTTAATCATGTTGGACTTGGCCGCATCCAGCAATGGGTCGGACTGAAGTGCTCTATCGAAACAGAACTTGGCCTCCTCTAATCGACCTTCAGCTACGAATACAAGACCAAGGTTGTTATATGCAGGAGCATAGCCAGGCTTGAGTTCCAGAGATTTATTGAACATTGCCTTAGCACGTTCATATTGCTTTTGCTGCCGGTATAGATTTCCAAGGTTAGAAAATATTGCATGTGCTTGTTCAGAAGCTGCGAATGACAAAGCCCGCTTATATACATCTTCAGCTTGAGATGATTCTTCTGATAATTGGAGTGAGATACCTAGATCATATAAATGACTGTAAGGGCAACACTGCAAAAGATATTTTAACTGCCAGAAGTATAAAGACAGGGAAGGAAGTTCATGAATCTGCCATACCAAGATTTGACCATGCATAGCTGCATTCTTTTAATTGAGTGACTGCAACCTTGAAATACTTCTGTGCTGTTTCAAATTGTCGGGAACAGAAACAATGCAGGCCAAGCTGGTGCCACTGAACCCCATCATCCGGATCCTCTGCTATTGCCTAATTCACATGCATACAAATAATGAAAAGGACAAATATAAGCGACACATTTACATATTAGCAGTCAATGACAGCAACATCCGCAAGATAAAACTTAATTCTGAAGCGAGGATAAATTTAGACTTTTGGACCAAATTAGAAGACAATGTTATCCCCCCTTTGATTTAAACTGATTGCACATTTCGGTCACCCCAGATTTAACAATCACATGCAATAGAGAGATACCGAGTGAAAACAAGAAACTGCCATCATAAAAATATTTGCAAGTATCAACAATCAATAATTCACTGAAAAGCAAACCCTAGAAAAAAAGCATCTTCTTCCTTTCTTTGTTTCCCTTTTCAAAAATGATATTACTCTACTTCATAATTTTATTGACTAAAATAATTAAAACCACACATTTCTATAGGGATTCCAAGAAAAAAAATTTATCAAAACCTTATCATTGTATTTATTATGGGAAAATATAAAGCATCGACTTCAAGCAAGACGGAAACGTCTGCAACCATGATTGAATTGTAGAGCTAAATAGCTTTCAAATTCTATTGAAGAACAACTATGGAGAATGAAAATATCTTCTTGCATTATAAAGTCATTTGAGTTACTTTTTGTTTAAATGGAAGGCACAACTAGTTAAAAATGCCAAATGGACTCCCTCTCTTCCCAAAACGTTACCTGCTTTAAACTGTAGAGAGCACGCTCTTCGATATCCACCAACTCACTATGTTCTGTTTCAAATGCTGCAGCAATCTCATGTTGAGCCTTGTGAACCATGGCAAGTCCAGCCCATGCAGTGGGGAGTTCAATCGGAACAGAATCACCTTCTCTCAATATTGAAGCCATTTCATTTCCAGCCCAGGAAAGCTGTTCATTGGGATCTTGAGACCTTTCTGCATCCTTTATTCGATGAATTGCCACAGCATATCGAGTAGACATACAGTTCGGCTCCAATTTTGCTGCCTGAAAAGCAATAAACATATGAAAAGAAAACTACTTTAGCTTTTAAAACAAAGATAAGAGTAGAAAAAATGCTGACATAGAACTCATGCATCCATAAAGCATAAAATATAAAGGAATTTCGAAATTGTTCATTGCCAAAAAGGAAAGAAAATTTCTCTTCAAAAGATCAAGGAAACTAATGAACAACCTCAACAAAGAGGCAATAAATGACTGTATCAATGAACCATAAGCACCTTCTCCAGACACTTGCTGGAACTTTTATGGTCACCCATCAAGTAATATGCATTTGCGAGATTTGCCCATGTATGTCCAGCTTTAGGGTCCACTTTTAGAGCAGCAAGTAAACACTCCTTTGCAACATCAACAGCTTCAAACTGATCTCTGAAAGCACCTTCACCGGCGTTTGCTCCAGCACCTGAGAATTTAATAAGGAGAGCTGTAGTTGTGCAAGTTCCTTAACCATATCGTATGATTAATAAGTGACAACATCTCAGAAGATTGATGAAGAATGTAAGCAAATGGCCGGTAGAGTTTAAGAATTATGGATCTAAACTCAACCCAAATCATACCTGCAACAAGAGAACCATGTTTACAGAGGAGGAGAGCAGCATAGTTGACAAAGGCAGCAGGATGGTTTTGATCTTTAAGGATCAAATCTTGAAAACATTTTGCTGATAGCTCTATATTTCCACTGCAAGATCATTAAATAATGAACTAATCATGGATTAATTGCTTTAACTCCTAAAAAAATACCACTCAAACCACAACCATAGTACATATTTATTTCACAAGTTTTGGTAATAAAGATTGATCTAGAAACCCAACAAAAGAATGAATGAGAGAAACAGATGATCACAGGATAATCATAGCACAATTGTAATATAAGATTCCTCACAATAAAGAATGAAATACAAGCAATAAAAACCTTAATTTATATCAGTTATCACAATAAAGAAAATGAAGATAGTAAAATCTGGAAGAGAGCAGTTAGATTCATTACTCATTGGACTCCATATAAGAAAGCCCGCACACAAATTTTGCACTTTTATCAAGTAAATATTAATTTGATGAAACAACTTCCTGATATTGAAAACGACTAGTATTACTATGAGGTTGAGAGAGAATTGCAGAAGCAAGATTGCAATATTCTTCAAGTCTTTTCAAGAGAAGGTGAAGGCACTTCAACACTGTCCCAATAAGAAATTGCCAAATAGTAAAGATTGTTCAAAAATCTTCACTAATATTAGATGTTATAACGTTTATATTATCTAGATTATTATTGCATCACTCTTCTGCCAAAATCAGATGATTTCTATTTCTCGCTTTCACGCATGAGTCAGATAACAATTCTACAACTTCTTGTCTACACTTTTCTTAATGATTCCAGAACTCCTTCTATAATTGTTTGAATCAATTGTCTTACCTTTGAAGGTATGCAATCCCCAGATTTCCAAGGCAATCATAGTTGTTAGTGTCAATTGCCAATAAAGATGACAAAACTGAAATAGCACTCTAGAAAGAAAATTAGTTAGTCAACATGAGGCCATAAACACAGAAACTCAAAATCATTACAACAATATAGCATGTTATTGTACCTGCAGACGACCAGATTTAAGAAGTATCAAACCCAGCGTGTTCCACACGCCCGCTTGTCTTATATCTAGTTGCATTGACTCCTTTAATCGAGAAATGATTTCCTCAAGCTCTTCAGCCTCAAGTTCTTTATCCAAACTATTATCGGCAGAATACTCAAGGAGAATACACTGCATAGTTCACAATGCACGTTACGAAATCAGAAACCACAATACAAAATGTGAATTGAAAAGTAAAACACCATACAACATGTACAACACATAAATGCACCTATGAACTATTATTTCACCTGAGCATGGTGAATTTGAACTAGTGAAAGTAACTCTGGCCTAGCAACCTCAGCATCACAGCGCAGCAATATCTCTTCTGCCTTCTCATAAGCAAAAACTGCCTAGAAGAGTTCAAATAACAAAATGAAAACTATCATCATTTGTATCAACCAAAACACACAGAGTTAAACAAATTTCAAAAAATCTACCTTCGGAGGTTGGCCCAACCTTTGATACATAAGACCAAGTATAAAATGAGCGTGAGCATTTTTTGGCATCTTCCTTGCAACATGGAGCAAGCCCTAAAAGCATTTCATAAATTATATCAAACTAATGGAATACACATATCCAATAGAAAAAGCCACATAATTTTCCTTATTTGTTTTTTCATAAAAAATTAACCATCAAATGATGATATAGGAGAACTGACAGTTTTAAGGCTGCTGACTTTTTCTTCGCGAGAAGAGGGAGGTCCTTGACCAGGTTGATCAGCATCTATGTCAGGTCCATAGTCAAGAGACGCATCTACCTTACTGTTTCTCGAACGACATTTCCCCAACTTGTTCAATTTTTTACCTTCAGCTTCCGCGGTATCCACCTCTTTGCATGAAAAGTTAGTTTTATCTTGACTTTCATCATTTGTTAATCTAAATCACGTACCAACCCTTAGTTCACGCTTAATCAGAAATCAACAATTACATTTGTAAAACCCAAACAAAACTAAGAGCAAGTCAATTATTTGGTAGCTCACTTCGAAACAGATTTTCCTCGAAGTATAAACACTTCAAACTTAAAATCAAGTGAAAAAGAAGCACGATTATCAAGATTTCACAGTTATCGATCACTAAAGATAAAATTACTCTACCGCCGTTCTCTCAGCAACCAAAAACCAAGAAATTAAGCTATAATAGCAAAAGAATTGACGTATAAATTGAAATGGAGGTGAGAAAGGCTGGATGAAAACGGAATTGAACGGACCTGGTGAGTTCTGGAACTGAAAGGTGGACAGAATCGGTAGCGTCGGTTTCAGGAGGATTGACGTTAAGGTCAGCTAAAACAACAACCTTGGGAGGCTGAAGCGTCTTGCAGGTCTCTTCCATGGAGCCGTCAGCGGTATCGACTTCAGTTTTAATAGACAAAGTAACTGCCTGCTGTTGAGGCTCTGGTTCAGACATTTTTAGTGCTTCTAAGTTTTAATAGACGATAGACGACGAAGACGAGAGTTAAAATAATTGCCAGAAGTTAAATATAAAACTCTGTTTGGTTCGTTTAAGTTAGGTTTTTTAACGGAAATGTTTAGATGTCTTTGGGCTGGGCTAGAATTTGGGTATTGCACTTTCGAAACATAACGCATTTTTGATTGTCGCAACGAGCCCGTGAGTACAGTAGACCTTCGGCCGCTGCAGGGGAAAAAAAAAAAAACTTAACCGTATTTTACTGTTCGATTGCGATTTAATTCTAGTCTCTGACTCTCTGGGACTAGGAGTCCAAGAGCGTCTATATAAACCAAATGGATTCAGTGTTAACAAAACGGAGAATATGGTTTAAAGAACACGAGAAAACCAAAACCAGAAGGTGAAAAACAAAGCTCTAAAGTCCACCCCATGAAAATTGAGTCCTATACTCCTTCCTGTATTTTCGCCAAACACGCCAATCACTTTAGGGCGAAAGGAACTTAGGCAATTCCAAATTAAAAAAGCATGAATTTTATTAGTCCTATGGAATGCAAATCCAACGGAAATTCCCCAGAAATTCTCGACGTTCTGATGACTGAAGAACAGGATAAATACTCAATAAAAAATGAATAGCAATGTGAAAATGAAGGACATAACCAATAACGCTTCCGTGGGGAAAAAAAACTACCAACCTAATCATCATAATGCATGTAATAGCAGCATCATGTCATATCCCCTTCTTCAACTTACTTCTTGATGCAAGATACTCCTAAAGCTATGTTAACGGTAATAACAAGGAACCAACTTTATACATTGGCTGGGATCACATGAATCTCCATCAGATGATCACTAGATAACGAAAGACCCAAAAAAAAAAAAAAATCACATTTATTAGTCCTATGGATGCAAAATCCATGCGATTGCAAATCCTCTTCCTTGCTCTCTATATGAACTGAAGAAAGGATAATACTCAATTAAAAACATTAAATAAGCAATGTTTGGAAAATGAAGGAACATGTAACCAATAACGCTTCCGTGTATAATATAAAACTACCCAACCTAATACAATCATAATGCATGTAAGCTAGCATCCTTCTTCAACTTACTATTCTCTAAGCTTATGTTAACACGGTAATAACAAGGGAACAAATTCTTTTACATGTGGGGATCACATTCATGTTAGATAACGAAAGACCCAAAAAAAAAATAAATCAAAGATATTCTTCATATCTTATCTATCCACCTGAAGCTCAGAGTAATAGTACAAAGATATGGGTCTAACAACAGACACGAGTAGAAATATACATATTGTTTCTTTCTGTAGCTTTGCTAAGGTTGAAGTTCTCCTCTGACACACCCGAACAGATGCCTGGCCAGCCACCCTTTCCTTCCCTGGGCATAGTCCACATATTCTGTCTCCTTCTCCAGCCCATCCTTGATGCGTTAAAGCCTTTGGTCATTCTGATGATAGTTATATCAGTACCTTCATATCTGTACAATCTGCCATAACATCTCTTTCTCCACCTCATGATATATAAGGCATCCCAGATACGGAATACACTGGGCAAAGCTCACTGGAACAAACCCCCCCCACTTATACATACTCCTCTCTCTTTTGCATCCTCCACCAGCCCCAACCAGTCCCACCTCTCTAAGGAGTCTCCTCGCCTGCATGTCGCCAGCTTAGCAATAAGTGATGCACTGTCTCGCTCCACTGCAATTCGGCGGCTCTCTGTCTTATTCCTTATCTCCTCTTTTATCATCTTATCACTGTCTCCTAGCTCATGAAAGAGGGTCAAGTTCATTTGAAGTCATTCCAATAAATATCCAGTCGCTTTTGTATCTTCTGTCTTGGATTCTCTCTAGAAGTGCTATAAACAAAGCATTAACTTTATATCTTCTAGTTTGAAAAATCTTCAATTTGAGTAGCTGTTGAAGCAGATAACATTGATTCCATTTCTTTTCCCTACCCAAAAAAAAAAAAAAATCAGAAGATATTCAAACATCATATCTATCTATCCACCTTTGAAGCACAGAGAAGATTAAACAGTACAAAGAGGTAATGGGCAACAACAGACACGAGAGAAACTAACGGACATATGTTCATCTCAAGTAGCTTTTGCTAAGGTTGAAGTTGCATCTGCAACAGACAACCCGAAAGATGCTTGGAGCCACCCTTTCTTCTGGGCATAGTCCACATAGAAACTGAATTTCTCCTTTGCATTTGGAATGTCAAGAGCGAGATCATCAAGCCCATCCTTGATGCGGGTAAAGCCTTTGGTCATCTGATTGATAGTAATCAGACCTTCATTGAAACACTCCTGTAGCAGATCAAGTATCCTATCGTTCTTCTTCTCCATGGCCATAACTAATGCCTTCTTCACCACCTCATGATTAAAGAAGGGCATCCCAAGATCACGGATACACTGGCAAGCCTCACTGACAACCCCCCCACTTTCATACTCCTCTAATAACTTCAATATCTTGTCTTTTGCATCCTCCACAGCCCAACCAGTCCCACCTCCCCAACACCTAAGGAGTCTCTCGCCTGCATGTCGAGCAGCAATAAGTGATCGAGCCATATGCACTGTCTCGCTCCCACTGCAATTCGGCGGCAGCTTGCTACCTATCTCCTCCAAATTCAGTGGAGCCAATACATCATCAATCACTGCCCTAGCCAGAAAGAGGGCAAGTTCATTTGAAGCATCCAAAATATCCAGCGCTGTATCTTCTGCGGATTCCAGAAGCATAACAAAGCCATTAACTATATCTTCAGTTGAAAAAATCTCAATGTGAAGAGCTGAAAGCAGAACAGATGCCATTTCTTTTTCCCTGTTCTTCCTATCCATAGCAAGGGTGATGAGCTTTTTCAGGAAAATTGGGTTAAACTCAGGCATGCCAAGATCTTCAAGACTCCGTATAAGTTCTGGAATGTCATCAGAGAGAAAATACTCATGAATTATTGTTACAACCTCCTCCTTATATTTTCTAACCTTTTTGTCTTCAGCTAGTACTTGTCCATCTTCACTAGATGACCTCATGAATGAAGCATCCAGCCAACCCTCAGAAATAGCCTTGGGAACAAGGGATTGGAACAAGGCTTTTGCAGATGGAATATCAAGGGCAAGGTCATCAAGGCTCTCCGCTAACCGAGCAAACCCCTTCACCATTTGACTGGAACTTATCAGGCCTTCCTCGGAAGCCTCCTTCAGTAGCTTTAATATAAGTGGTTCTGCAGTTCGAATCTCCATGGCAAGAATTAAAGCCCTCTTAACAACTTCATGATGGAAGAATGAAACCCCCAATCCCCTTATGCACCTGCAAGCCTCAAAAGCATCCCCACTTTCCACATATTCCCTCAACAGGTCAGCAATCTTCTTCTTTACCTCCTCAACGGTGATGTGAGTACTACCACCCCACCTCCTCTCCACAAGCTCAGCATGGTGTGGGGCTGACAGATAGCTCTTCTCAGCAGTTTGGAGAACCTGAAATCCCTTTGAGGACTCAGGAAGGGTCTTCTTTGCCCTAGTGAGGAAAGCTGGAGGAAGAATATCATCTACCACGGCACGAGCTATGTACAGAGCAAGGATGTCAACTGCATCTAGTATGTCTACTGCAAGGTCATCAGCTGACTCTAAAAGTATGACAAAACCATCCCTAATCTGGGATGGGCTTATCACGTCAGCATATAGTGCAGATAGCAGAACAGAAGCCATTTCCTTCTCCTTATCATGCCTGTCCATGGCCATGGAAACAAGACGCTTAATAAAATAAGGATGATATTCACTTGAGCCAAGTTCTCTGAGGTCAGATGCTGCCACTTCCACATCACCAGTACTGAAGTACTCCTCTATTATGGAAGCAACAGCCTTTTTGTACTCATCTAAAGGATCTGAAATAGTTGCTCCGACAAGCTGATATGGCTCCTGTTAAATGAAGGTAGAAGAAAGCAATATATAATTCATAGTCGAACCATTGCCAAAAAAATTTGCAAGTGAAAAGGCAGAGAGGGACAGAACACAGGAGTAAGATGTGAACACAACGATTGCCCACAGCCTGAGAGCAATACTCTTTAGACCAATAGAATATATCAAAACCAAGAATAAAATACAAATCATATTGCAAAATAGCAATTACCTCTCCACTGTCATAGTTGGGATCATTTCGATCAATATGGGATTCACCATCTGTGTCAAGCAATTTTCCCCATGTGCCCTTACCACCAGCGCCATCTGCCAACGTTAATTAAAGAGGAAAATTAATCAGCCTGTAACTGACATGAAGTTTAATTTACAGGAAGTTTAATGTCATACACTCTACAAACATGAGTTTAAAGAACGCCAGGCATGTACAAGGTAAGTAATTCAGCATTCAATCAACAAGCAACAACTGGAAGAAACAAAGAAAGATCGACCAAACAATTTAGCAAGCCCATATACCAGGAACAATTAACGGAAACAATTGATGGAGGCTGCTTGTGGTAACCTCAGACAGCAATGAATCATAAACGTAAGTTTATGAAGTCAGGGTAAGCAAAAAAGTAACATCAAGCGTGCTTCATACAACTCCTTTCTTTTTATTTATGGAAAAAAAAATTTCCCCAATTCCCCATTTATCTTCTCAGTAACAATCCCTTATGTTCATCAGCAAATGAAATCAATGATTCTATTAGGGAGAAAAATTATCCAAGAATTGGCATCCAATGCAACAGAATGGACAATGTAACTACTCCTAAATCAATTATTGCCAAACCATTTATAGGTTGCTGGTGGTTTAATTGTATTCAGAGCTTCCTAGCACTGAAAATTTGGCACAAAGTTCTCCTCAATTCACTTCAAATGCAAACATCAAGAAGCACACAAATAACCAGAGCGACCTAGATATTCACACATGAAAAACTGCAGAAACATATGCATACGCATTTGAGCTTTATTCTTCCAGCTTTAGTTAGAATGAGGATTATGTTGCTTCATTAAGATAAAAACTTGTTGATGCAATAAAAATAGAGTACTGAAAAGCGATGATTATTGGCAATGCTTCCCAGGCCAACTATCCATTGTGAACTATCAATGCTATTTTATGAGTGACTTGCAGTCAAGCAAACATGCATCAGGCCAATTTTCAGTCATCCAAAAGCCAAATGAAAGCCAGAACTTCCCTAGCAGTGAAGATAAAGCACTAGGATGCAGTCTTTTTCCACCCAAAAATCGCCGTATCATCATTTCAAAGATACAAATTTCTAAATACAATCAATTATGAATACTGCCAACCAGTGAATCATTTAGGGCCTAAATTCACAAAATAATATAACAAAAACATGAAGATAGATCTAGGTTGCTTGCTCTATGAAAATCAGACTGCTCAATTAGAGATCACTGACAGCACTAGACTGTCTGAACTATCCAAACTTGGCATCTTGACTGGCAGCTTAAATATGATGGCTGACATACGATGCACACTTTGACGGCTTACAAAACTATACCCATAGGGCAAATTAGTAGATCTCTTTAGCCAAAAGTTGGGATTCTTTTCCATTTGAATACCAAAAAAGTAATAACATTATGATGGATGCAAGGATAAAATCTCATCCACAATGCACATAGAAGTAACTTCATTGTAACTTCCAAATAGCTATGTCTACATCAAAATGGAGAATCCATGAAGACTAAAATACTAATCACTAAACAATCACAATTAATGAAAGTTAATGAGGTTTCTCATGAACTAATTCATTAAAAGGACAATGGCAAGTTTTCCCATTAACTAAAGTAAAACGATAAGATTGTTGTAGATCAGAAAGTTCATTGATATAAATCAGAAGAAAATGCTAAATATGATAAAATGATCAACCAACCATATGAATCAGATGATCAATTGACAAACACTGAATTATTAAATGCAAAAGATCACCAACATAATTTTTGTAGTAACAAAAAAACTAAATATGTAAGAGTCACCACATACTATTACTGTCCCAAAATTTTCTTATGTAGCTCACGATCATGATACGCATAAATAACCAAATATACTCACCCTTCTTCACACGCACATATTTGCCCGAGTGCGACCTTCGCACGTGCCTCACTGCAATTCCAGCATTCGTTGCCTCGCCAGAAGCAGGAACTTTTAACGGATGTTCAGAAAGTAACATTGACGGGGATTTTGGCGATGATGACGAATTCTTCAGGGAGGATGATAAATTATCCATATTTATACTCGCTATTTTCATCATTTCCCTCTGCTCTTCCGTCAGAAATCCCTCACTGGACGCCATTTGAGCTTTGCCAATTCTATACAGTCACTAAACCTAACCTAGAAGAAGAAAACTAAACAAATTATCAGAATAATCTGACCATAGAAAAGTCTTGACAATTAATTAGAAATGTAAAGAATGCCAGCACGGATAGTTAAGTAAAAACTTCAACTAAAAAGAAAAATAAGACTTGGACAAGCATAACTCACAGTACAGAAGGAAACAATGAATTTTAAACCATGAATTACGAAAACAAGATAGAACTGATTAAGATGCTAAAACTTAAAGCAGAAGCTATGGTATTCAAACAATAGTATCATCTTCTAAGCATAAAAGTCACTCTCTGACAGTAAATTGTTTAGGTAAAGTTGCTGTGTTTTTTGAAATATAAAAAAATGCGAAAACCTAAGATTCAAAAGCTCACTTTCCTTTCCTTTCCCTCCTTTTCCCAGTAACCAAACATACCACCAGTAAAAAAAAAAAAAATCATATGGTAGAGAAAGAGAAAGAACCTGTACGCTTACGCAAGTATAGTTGAGGAGGATTCAATCGAAAAACCGGAATCCGACACTCCTGTGCTTGGCCCGGATCTCGAGCCAAGAACAAGAGAAGCAATCGGATCTCCAAAACGGGGCGTCCGATCCGAAACTGAAATGAAGAGAGAACAGAGGAAGTGTAGGATTGAATCTGAAAACCCTAGATCAAAAGGAGTTCCCGGTTGGCCAGAACCTTGGATCCCGAATTCAGGTATGTGTTTTATGGGTCTGTAAGTGTCTCTATCTGTTATAAGAAGAATAAAAGAACGAGAAAGACAAATGGATGAGAATGAAAAAGATGAGAGGAAGGAGTATTTATAGGGAGGCTACGGTTACTGGTACACGTCAAGAGGAGGTTTTGGCCTTTTGGGTATATTATCGCTTTGTGTGTCCACGTGGCACAGGCGATACCGTTGTTGCCCGTCTTTGGCTTCCACCCGGCACAGTGGCAACCGGTTTAGGGTTTTTAGTTCTTTCTACATACGACTTTAATTACGGAAATATCCTTCTTTTTCCTTTTTTCCTTTTTTTTGTGTTGTCTATTTTTAACACCGATTGGATAAATAATAGCAGAGGGATGGGGGCTGTTTACAAATGACAAAGCACGATGCTTCTTGCATGGCAAGAAATTTGGAAGCAATTATTGATAATCGGTAAAAGGATAATTTGGACATAAATTCTTTCATTGATGACGATCTTTTACAATTAGATTCATTTTAAAATGTAATTATCTCCTTCGATCCAATCGCGTTAATAATAAATTTATTTTATAATAATTCATAATTTGTTGGGCAACTTTACATACAAATGACTTATATTGGAACGTGAAAGTGCCAGTTGAAATTTTAGCTTCAGCCAATTATTAAATTTAAAAATAAAAATATCTTATAAAAAATATAAATTGGATCGTTAAATTATTAGCAAATAAATAATGAAAGCTCTTTTTTCAAAATTAATTATAAGATATTTAAATCGTGATTTCATTAACATTTTGAGATACTTCCGTCTGCAGTAGTATCTTTTAAGAAAAGTTAAAATTGATCTCTTAAAAAAATTAAGGTGGAAAAAATATGAATTGATTCTCAAATTATAGTCAATTTAATACATAAAAGATCTTTACTTTCAAAGACTAATTATATTATATCTAACTTATGATTTCGTTAATATTTTGGAAGGAAAAACGTGGTGTTAACGGAAATTATAATTTAAAATTCTCATAATTAGATAAAAAAAAACTCATGTATTAATTTGAAAATAATCTAACAAACACTTTATATTTTCTTTTTACTATCTTACATGTCCAACAAAATAAATTGGTAAATTGTATTATGAAATTTACATATACGATGTATTTTATTGCATAAAAGTGCAATGCTGTCGTGCATAGTGCTAATTAACTAATGTAAATAGAGTATTATCCTTTCATGCGTTTCATTATATACCAACAAACGACAATATGATATGAGGTGAGCTTGATCATAAAAAATTTAAAAACACAAAAGAAGTATGCTTCTTCTGGGGCAATAAATGAAATTGTCTATAAACATGTAATTAGGAAACACATCTTTCTTGTTTTATTATTATTATTATTATTATTATTATTAATGTCCATTATATCATCCAATTAAAATTTAGTATGTAAAATCAAAATATTAATATAATTACCATATATAAAATAAAATGCCGAGGTAACAATAGTGAAATGGGTTGATTATTTTTTAAGGCAACTTGTTACTCTCCTTTTTCAAATCCTCGTATTCAAGAGGGTTATTTATGTTGTATAACCAATCGTGTTATTTTGGCCCATCAAGCCTTTTAATGAATAAAAGAAAAACTTTTTTAATACCCTTTACATTAATAGATTTGCCTGTTTTAGAAGAAAATAAATTACCTTAAAAAAAATAATAGAGGCATGTCAATAAGTATTACACAATTACTCTTAAATAGCAACTGTAGCTAGCATTCCTTTACCTGAAAAAATTGTATCATCTATTAAAAAAATATTAATGAAATTATTAGATATAGAGCTACATCATGTATTATACACCAAAAATGTTTTCTTCACATATTGTTTTCAATGATAACTTATTATTTGTTATGTATGAATTTACAAGTAAAATTTATTAACAAATGTTAGAATGTTTAACCATGTTAAACTCGCATAAACATTTTCTCTGACACCAAACATGAAAAAAGGAGAAATTTCAAATAAATTTTAACAAAATCTATAAAATTTATTTTAAATAAGAAACAAGAAAAAAATTTAACGTACAAATACCTCTAGTATAGAAAAAAAAAAATGAGTCATTATCATTAATTAAATGTCTCTCTCATTTGAGAAAATTAAGAAAACATAATAATAATTTGCCTGACAAACAAGTTAAATTCGTCCACGAAGCCCTTACTGGCAGCCATGTTCTTGGCAATTTATAAGGTCTCCTAGTAGGGAGACATAGTGCTGTTGCTATGATCAGAAGAAGCTTGTGAAACAATTATTAAATTTTAAATATAAAAAATATTTTTTTTTTTTCAAAAAATTTAGATGATGACATGAGAATGGCGATGAACAAATTACTTCACATATACATATATAAATAAAGGGTCATGGTATTTATTTGCCAAGTAAGGGCGCTAAGGCAAGACGCACTTTATTTATCTTTTACTTAAGGGTGGCTTACATGGGCCGGGATCCAACAAATATAAAATTGGTTTTAAAATTGTATTTTATTGATATTTTAACCATACCTTACTCGGATGTATTTTATTGCATAAAAGTTGGCATAATGCGATTGTCGTGTCATATTGCTAAGTTATAATCATAAAATTGTAAAAATTTACGCAAATAGTCTTATTATTCTCACTTTTACATGCTGTTCATCTACTTTTGTATCCGAAACATAACGATACTTACCTTTATGATTTATGAGGTGTAGGCTTGATCGTGAAATAAAATATAAAACATATAAGAATGTATTTGCCTCCTCTTCTGGAAGGCAATAAAATGTTATATCTATATTTGTCCATATACATCACATGAATTTAGGTAAAATCATTGCGACTTTCTTTCTATGTTTATAATTATATATTAATTTATCATCCACCATATTGTATTATTAATGTCCATTTAAGAATATATCTCCAATTTAATTTATATTTAGTATGTAAAATCAAATATTTATATATTACCATATATTAAGGATTATTAAATGTCTGTAGGAGTAACAATAGATGAAACTGGGTGTTTGATTATTTTTTAAAATGGCATCGTGTGTTTACTCTGGTGAACTTTTTCAATCATTAACGTACTTTCCAGAGGGTATATATTATGTGATAGAGGCCAATCGGTGGAGTTATTTTAGGCCATCAAGACCTATTTTCTAAAATAAATAACAAGAAGAAACTTTTTTAATACCCTTTAGCGGATATTATGAGATTTGCTCTTGTCTTTTAGTATATAGAAATATATATAAATTACCTTTCCACACAGCATTTCAAAAAAAGTAATCTAAGAGCATGTCTCATATATGTATTTAGCGACGCGCACATTTAACTACTCTTAAATAGCAAAACCTCGCATATGCCTTGCTATGGTGTCGCGGGGTTAACCTGAAAATTTGTAATCATCCTATTAGGACTATAATACATTATTAATTGTATATATTTATAGTGCATTAGTTAGTTTTTAATTGACCTACATACTCATTGGTGTACTTTTAGGTGAACACAAAAATTGTTTTTTGTGTCACAATATGTTTCCTCTTCCTATGTTTTAACTTTATTATAACTTGTTATTCCTATGAATTTACAAAGTAAAATTTATTAACAAATGTTAGAATGTTTTAACCATTGTTTAATCTCGTCACTGACGATGATTTCTCTGAGAGTTGATCCAAACTTGATATATATACACTGGTGAGAAATTTCTTAAAATACTAATTTATTTATTACAATAAATCTATAAAATTTATATATTTAAATAAGAAACAAAGAACTAAAATTTACGTTTTACACCAATAACACTCTTTTTGTGTTTATATAGATGTGATATCAAATACAAAAAAATAGAGTCAATTAAATCCTCATCCATCATAAATTAATATATTGCTCTTCTGCTGCGATATTTGAGGAAAATATTAAAAAGAAAAACATAAATAATAATTATGAACCTGACAAAACGAAAGTTAATATTTCTCTGTCCTCAATCGAATCCTCTTACTGAGCTCAGTGCCGCCCCCATGCTTCTCCTGTGCATATATTATAAGGATCTACACTAAGTAGGGAGACATAAGTGGCTGTTGCTTATGATTCAGTAGAAGCTTGCTGATATAACAATATTTATTAAAATTTTAAATAAGTAAAAAATATTTTATGTTTTTTTCAAGAAGAGTTGGTGGAAAAGATTGAATGACAATGAGAATGGCGAAATTTTGAATAAAATATCAAATTTTACGTCACTATTTTATCAATATACAATACGGGATAAATTATATTATACACCATACTGTTTAAGGAGATTATGGTAGTAATACACAACCAAAGTGGGGTAGGGATACCTTAATTATGGTATAATATTTATCAAATATATAACATTATATTAGATTACTAATCTTACATGATCTGATATGATTATTCTCGCGCCTTAAAAAGTGGCAAAAAAATTGCAATCGGACTTTCTTCATCTTCGTCATGTGTGATTGGAACTAAGATATGTTTTATGTCACGAGGGGTGGATACCACTAGACTCATTTGCCTAATAGAACAACCCAAGTCAACCGCTTCATATATATATACATATATTAGATTACTATCTACTGATTAATGATTATCCTTAAAACTGAAATTTCGATCTCATATTCTCATGTGATGGAACTAAGATATGGTTAGTCACAGTGATACTGACTATTGCTATGAACAACCCAGTCAACCGCTTCACCCTATGAAATGGTGACCGTTTCTGATATATTCTCTTCTCTATTTTCTTTCAACAATTATGACAAATAACTGATCAGCCAACGATCAAACTTATACCATTAGTACAGGAAACAGTATTAACACAAAGAAGCAAATTTTAGATGTTCATAGAGTTTATATTCTAATATTACAAAGATTTCTAGACCAAGGATTCATCAAAAGAATGAAAATTTTGTACACAATGAAATATGGAGAGAGAATTACCTGTAGCATTATCTGGAGACTTGAAAAAATCAATTGTAGCCAAATGCTCTTGTAATGTTTCATATAGGATGATGAAAAATGCTCCATTGTAGTTTTTCAGTGTAAGCATGTTCATGTGGTTAGCTGGATTTTTCCTTTCTCTATTTAATAGCTAAGACCATGTTGAAATATCACACTCTGGAGTATAGGTTGTTACATGAGCAGAAGATAGATATTCCCTGCAGAACTCCAATACAGGTCACTTGAGCTTTCTCACATTATAGAGCTACGCAAAAATCATAATCACTCTCCATCATGACTCATGAGCAGCATTATGCATTCCTGGATGCCTTTTCTTGTGCTTCCAGAACTCGTCTTTCTTTCCTTTCTTCTTAACTTTCAACCAACCCGTTTGGCTATTAATTATACCAAGTATGGCACTTCTATCCTTCCTGTTCTTTATTTTCGCTTTTTCTTCCAATATTGCCCTAAGCTTTTGATAAGACTTGGCATCTGGTACTTGCCCACTTTTGACCATCTTCTTGTGATAGGTGAATGCCCTTTTGAAATCACGAACACGAATATATGCATAGATCATGGTTAAGTAAGTAACAGAATCAGGTTTTAGACTCAAAGTTGCCATTTCTTTCAATAGCTGCGGCAATTTCGAGTGTCTCCCTCCCCGTCCATATGCATTCATCAGCATATTATATGTCATTACCGTTGGCTGTAAGCCCAACTTCCCAAATTCAGATATCACATCCCTTGCTTCAATGTATCGACCTTGTTTAGCAAACCCATCAAGAAGAATGTTGAATGTCACCCTTGTCCCTTCAACCTTTTCACTTATCATCAGTTTCCAAATTTTCATCAGCATTTGGGTGTCACCAGCACGCCTAAATGCATCCAGTAGAGCTGTGTAAGTTTCTACAGAGGGTTTGATTCCTTCCTGTTGCATATGCTCAAATGTGATGTAAGCTTTCTCATGCCATCCACCGACAGAATAAGCATGGATAAGAGCTGTATAAGAATGGGAAGTAGGCTTTATACCGACTTTCCTCATTCTCAAGAATGCATCTGCAGCCATGTCACTCATCTTCTTCTGCCTCCCATATGCACTTATTAGGCATGTATATGATTTGACATCAGGCTCTAATCCTGCATCTTCCATGTCTAGCAGTAATTTCTCAACTATCTCTGGCTGCATTCTTCTGCTGTAAGCATCCATAAGAATGTTAAAGGTAGCAGTTGTAGGTTTGAGGCCTTTTCCTTTCATCTCAGTAAAGAGACCTTCAACTTCTTCAATTTGGTTGGATTTATTATAAGCATCCATTAATGTGTTGTACACAATTGTATTTGAAGTTATCCCTTTCCTTGCCATTTCAACTTGGATAATTAGGGCTTCGCTCTTTAGTCCCTCATCACAGAATGATTTTATTAGAGCACCTAGGACTTCTGGACTCCATTTGACTCCTTTACGATTCATTTTCTCAAAGAACTCCCAAGCCTCTTTTGCACTGCAGCCTTTTTTCCTCATGATGGTAATCATTATAGAACATGTCACATGGTCTGCAGAGATATTGTTTAATTCCATGGCCTCGTACACCTTGTAAGCATCATCATACCTGATACATTGCACTAGATATCAATAATGAGCTGAGCACCCATGAGGGAATAAATTGAAATTATTAATTCCTTTAGTAAAGTAATCTAGAAACAGAATCATATGGAGCAGATAAGCTTTGACACCAACAAGATTAGAGAACAATAAACTGCATAAAATAATCAGGTCCAAACTAATTGCTAATTTGCTGTAGGTATCTGGAAAGGAAAGACAAATGCTTACAACATAAAACATTTTGCTAAGAACACCATACTCTAAAAAAATTGATCAAATTGTCAGAAGCACCAGGCAGCTCATCTTTGTTATTGCGTTTCTTGTTAAAGAATTCAAACCACCCGATATGCATTTTACACAAAATCAAATAGCAATTTTAAGGTAGTAAAATACTGCCAACAAGAAACAGCTGCATATGAATTCTGCAAGAGGAATAGACACAGTACACCATAGATCTCCGATGGAGATCACTGGTTAACTCAATACTTCATTAGCCAAACGATAAATTAACTTCATGTACACCTAATTCACACGACAGATTAAACTTCATGCATATATAAATCCCTATTAAAAAAAAAAAAAAAAAGAGGATATGTATATAATTTCCATGGCCTCGAATACACCTTGTACCCGCATGCTCATACACCTGTTATAACATTCTCACTAGCATATCCCATTAAATGAGTTGACAGCGAGCGCATGAAGGGAATAATTGAAAAATTATATAATATCTTTTTTTAGCTCACACCCAAGTAATTTAGTTATATACATTCCTGTATTATTCGGATAATGGAGCAAGATAAGCTTTTGAGCGACCTACCAAGATTATGAGGAACAACTAAATCTCAACTGCCCATTAATATATAATCTATGTGGTTCCATATCTAATTGCTAATTGCTGTATGGTAATCTGGAAAGGAAAGACAAAAATGCTAATTACTACACATATTTGTTTATAACCATTTTGCTAAAGAACACCATTACTCCCTCTAAATAAAAATTTTTCATCAAATTGTCAGAAGCACCAGGGGAAGCTCAATTCTTATGTTGTTTGTACGGGTATTCGGTATGTTAAAGGAATTTTTACATACCACCGATTTTATGCTATTTATAACACCCCTCAAAATAGTCAAATAAGCAATTTTAACCGGATATGGTTTTCGAGTAATATGCCACAAGAAACAGCTGCATAGAAATTCTGCAAGAGGAATAAACACATTACCCGCTATACGATCTCCGACTGCGCCGACAGATTCATCTGGTCTTGGGAATATCCTTCATTCCGCTCCATAATCTTTAAAATTATCCACCATTCATGTACACCTTAATTCACACGACAGAAATTAAACTTCATGCATATATAAAATCCCTATTAAAAAAAAAACAGGTAAAATGGATTCGCTCATTTTTACTCGAAGAGAATATCTCAAACTTGATTAGAAAGTGTAGATAGTATACTACTTAATACCTTCCATCTAACAAATGGAGGCGACCGACCAGAAATAGCAGACCCTCTCTCCGAGAACATTCCCTTTCCAAAAGATGAAACATCTGCGGAGACACATGTTTGCGCCTTAGTCATGTCGGACAAGTTCCTAAATTAGTGGTAATTCTCTATATTCAAAGACTTTTTATCATACCCAATCCTTGCCCTTCCCGATATATATAGTATTCCAGAACAGCCTACAAATCTCACGGGGAGTGAACGTGAACAAAATAGATTGAATGGCTCCTGCAAATCGTGACATCCACTCAAAAATGCTAAGCATTCAGCAAGTGATTCCATCCATCTCCTCCTTTCTGTCCTCTCATCGCCAAGCATTAGCGCAAATAACTCTCTTCACCCACATAATGATATTCATTTCCCTACCTCCAACTTCATATATATGCGCTCAATTGCTCTCCATATATTGTTTGTCATGTTTCTTTCCAAGCCCCTTGCCGGAGAGTAAACATCTGTATTTTATTATTTCCCCTACAACTCCGTCGGGCCAAAGAATTTGAATTCGAACCAATTTTGTTGATTGATCCATTTTAAACGAAGGATCCCTGTACTTCCCGGTATACAATCTTTTAGATATTACGATGTTTCATATCAGGTTCAGGGTGCCTCATGTGGTGTGTCTATTTCCTTGATGTCTTAGGTGGGATAAAAAAAAAAAAAAAAAGACAGCCATTATAAAAAGCCAAACTGATAGAAAGGTGTGAAGAATCTAATACCTTCCACAACAAAGAAGACCAGAAATAGCAGAATTATAAACATGAACATCTCGAAATTCCTTAGTCTGCGGCAAGTTCCTAAATAGAATCATCAACTTATCACCCATCCTTGCCCTTCCCAATATAGGAAACAGAACAGTACAAGCACGAGGCGTGACAAGAGATGGCTCCTGCAATCGCATCCACTCAAAGAAATATAAGCAACACGTGATCATACCCTCCTCGCCCATCAGCTGCAAAACCTCTACACATTGTATTGCATTAATCCTCCCTTCATAAGCGCTCAATTGCTCTCCCAATGTTGTATTCTCTTCCAAGCCCCTTGCAAGATTGATTATTTCCCCTACAACTCCGTCGGGCAATGAATTTGAATTCGAACCCATTTGTTGATTTTCATCTTTGATAAAAATGTCTTCAATATCAGGTTCGGTGTCGGATTCGATGTCAGGGGCAAGACGCCAAAGAGTGCGGCGGTTTTTCTGGAGGGAGAACTTGCCTGGACGCGGCGGGTCTTCGGTTGAAGTGCGGGACTTAAAGAATTTAACGATTGGGTCTGTAAGGCACTTCTCATCCTTTTCATTTTCTTGCTCTTGTTGAGTTTCTGCTTTCGGTTCTTCTTCTTCTTTTTCTAGGAAAGGGAGAAAAATGGAGGGTGAAGAGTGATGAGGTGGAGTGGATTGAGCAGCGAACAGAGGCAACGATGGCCTCACGGATTTTGAGCAAACAAAGGGATGAGGTTTTGAAAATTTTGGTTTATGAAAGGAACAGTGTGGCAAGGGTATAGCAGAGTGGCAGGCTTCGCGTCCGAGAACAACCATGGCTTTGGGAAGAATGCTGCTTCATTTCCGATGAGCTCGTCCTGTATCTAGTCATACAGTGACACGATCAATTGCACACGACGTCGTTTCCTTTTCAAATGATTTTCATTCCACCTCCTCAACTGTTAATTTGATCTAGTTTGAAAGCAAGATTTAATTTTTCTAATTAATTGTATTTTGGAAGAATTTTACAAACTGACTGACATTTTATAGAATTTTAAAAGAATAACTCTCATTTTGCCCCTTGAATTTGAAGACAATATATAATTTGTCCAAAAATTTAACTTGTTATACAATTTGTCTCAACTTGCACCAAGTTATCAAAAAGAAGAAAAATAAGCATAAATCCAATTTTAGAATAAATTCATAAAATATGCATTTTTTTATGACCACGAAACTTGTAATTTTTTTAAATATAATTAAATATTGATTGAACTTTAACTTTTTAAATATATTTAATAATTTGTAATAATTTATATTTTATATTTATAAATATAACCTTATATTTTTTATATTTATGCATTTTCCCTGCATTTCCATTTCTTATATCTTAAAAAAATACTGTTTCTCCGTGTCTTTCCGTTTCTTATATTTTAAAAAAATACTGCTTCCCGTGTCTGCTTCCGCGTGTCTACGCTTCTGCGTTTCCGTGCAACATAGATCAACGGTTTTAGCATGGTCATCAAACAAGTTAATAGTGGCTAATAATTTCGGCGGGGCAAAACAACCAGGCTAAAATAGATACCAAATAAAGAATAAAAAATATATTGCTCAGCTCGCCACACAATCATAATTCATAAGCCAACTTTCTCTTAAACCAAATACCAAACAACTGTAGAGAATGGATGAACAAGCTCAAGCACTTTGAGGAAGGCATTCACAAACTCTTCTTAAGGGAAAAACTTAAGGTCTTATCTTCTGCTGGTGGCCTTAACTACTAAAAATTCAAAATTTACCACTTCATGCAAATTGCTATGAAGCTTCCCTTTTTTCCTATTAGATCATGTTGGGCCTCTGTGGCAGCAGAAGATTATAGAACTTGTCATGCAAGAAGAAACTCTTTCCCTTGCTATCAACAGCCTTCTTCCATCCACACCATCCCCCATTTACAATTCTCCTGCGCTCATCACTGCCAGTATAATGAGGATCGAGTATTAAAAACGCACAATCTCCATTGCTTTCATTGTAATCAACTCCCAGAAGGGTATATGCAAGAACTCCACCACCTACATTCATGTAACTGCGATTAGAGACTCATGGTTTTTCTGTTTCGATGACTATTTTTATCCTTCTCCCAACTAAAAACATCATACAAAATTCTGAGGCTTTTTTTTTTTTTTTTTTTTTTTTTTTTTATCATACAAAATTCTGAGGCTATTTTTTTTTTTTTTTTTTTTTTTTTATTGTGTGCGCGGGAAATCTGCAATAGTTACATCTCAAATTTATAATCTTCGAAAGAGCATTTAATGTACAATTAATTTGGAGGCAAGTTCATAATTCTAACTCACCTTTTTTTTTTTTTTTTTTTTTTTTTTTGTGTGCGCGGAAATCTGCAATAGTACATCTCAAATTGATTATCTTCGAAAGAGCATTTAATGTACAATAATTGGAGGCAAGTTCATAATTCTAACTCACCTATCATAACAGGTGTTCCTTGATTCTCAAAGTGCAAAGCCAGCTCTCTACATTTTTCTGGAAGCTCAGCTCCTGATCTAACATTCATGATTTTACAAGTTACCTATCAAAATAGCAATTTATCCTGTCAAATCCATTGGCAGAAATTTGGCATTTCCAATGTATTCTATGCATATTTAGAATAGAAAGATTAATGCGGAATATACTCAATATTCATCGGGAAGGAAATAATGAAACCAAATGTCACACTTACACCGAGGAGTTTATCCAAAACAAAACTCAACTCAATGGCACCGATCCAATCACGTGAGCCAATAAAAGAAGGATCTTTATCACCAATCTCCACTAGTGATTGTTGTATTTCCCTACAGACAACTATGGGTTAATTGGATAATATTGATACCAAAAACAAGGACTTAAATTATATGATATTTATATTTACTTTATAGATAAACGAAAACATAGTACACTCTTGGATAACACAGATAACAGTAATCTAGAAATCTTGTTACATAAACCCGTCGTGACCCTTTCATACCTATGGGAAGGAACTTCAACAGAGGTATAGTGCTGGAGTCTGAACCATGAAATGATAGTTTGTAGAGAGCGATAAGCACAACCCCATCCCTAACAATTCATACATAAAAGACATACCAAATTAGAACTATAATTTCAATGACGATCAATGATAGAACAAATTAAATTTCATTACCAAGTCATCAATGCCATCTTGAAGATAGTGATGGTACTCATAAGAACCCTGAACCAAAGATGCAATGCCTCCTGAGACTGCATGAAGATCACATTTTTAATGAATTTATATTAAGGAGACACATGACAGGAGGAAAAAAAGAAAAATAAATAACGTCAACACTAACCCCCACTACTTGGGATCCCAATATGCACATCTTTAAGCAAAGAAAGGCCTGACATCAACAGAAAAAAGCACAAAGTTAGTACATAAAATACAGACAGCAAGAGAGAATTAGGAGTGGGAAGATTAAATAGTAGATGCTGCTGCTGTCTAGAGAGTTTCCAGTTTAAAACTCAATGGTTACCTTTTTGTCTCGCACTGCTCCCTGAATTATCTTTCTTTACAAAGAAATCCAGTGCATTAGCAACTCTTAGAAGAGGGCGATCAAAAGGTAGCCCGAGCCTCAGGTGCAAGGATCTTCTGACTTCAACTGCAGAGAATGAGTTCCAGTGAACCAAGTAAATTCAGAGACTCACATACCATGGTATCCAATAACTTAAGAAGATATCAAACTACAGTAAAGGCTTCTTTTCCACTTCCTAAAATTTTCCAACAACCAGACAAACTCCTTTTTTCTCCATCGACAATAACTCAGATATGCTGACATATTAACTGGTGACTGGCTCTTTTCCTCACCATATTAACCAAAAAGAGAAGAGTATTTAGCTGTTTCAGATTTTAGGTGAGCTACTTAAATGGGATTAGAAACAAAAAATTTTATGTTAGTTGAAAGACCTCCTAGAGTCTTTCCAGAATAAATTTTTTCACACCAAAATATTACTTTTCTCATCATAACAAGCATATGCTGGATGAAGCACTTGTACTCTTAGGCCCAGAAAGTCTGTAGTTAATACTGCTTAGTACTTACCTTGTTTCAATTCAGTCTCCCCATAACTGAGCTCATAGGTTACAGTTATTGGATGCAAAAGCCCAGGTGGATTGACATGATATGACCGTAGCTGCAAAAGAAAAACAACTTACTAGAAAATCATTGGAGTTAATAGATCAAGAACTAACAGTGACAAGGGCATGTAGGCTTATTGTTGTAATAAAAGTGCACCACTATCACTTATTTCCATATTGCATCCTTTCTCATAAGAGTTTCAAGCAGTTGCTACTTTTTAGAAGCATTATCCTATCTGATTTTCTAGGTTAACGCTCCTTAATGTTGCATTACTAGTATCCAAGCCTCCAAAATACCTCAACACCGACTACAATCTAGATGCATCCTGCATTTAGTCGTCTGAGAAGGATAGTCAATAACAAAAAAGCACATAAATAAATCTATACTATTTATATTTTATTACCTGTGAATGTTGTGTTAAAAGGTTGGGAAGGATTGCTTTCTTCATTGAATTTAATTGGTCAATTAATCCTGGAATTATCAGCTTTGAAACAGCATGCATCAGTGAAAGATCCTTGGATGCATAGCAGAGCACATCTAACTCAAAATCCACTACCAGCAGTCTTGCTCCTTCCAGAGCTGAAATCAAAAAGTGGAATATCTGATGGGATTAATAAAGATATAGATATATTAGAGTAACATTATGAAGTAATAACAATCATATTCCAAATAGTAGCAGTTTAAGTGTTAGATATTGAAGTCAATACCAGGAAAATATGCAGCAACAGGAGCCGTGGTTTTTGCAGACTTTCCTGATTTATTAAGCAGAAGGCTCACTTGGATAGTGTCTGCATTCTAAGCAAAAAAACTTCTTAAAAAATGGATTGTATTGCAATTTCTGAAAGTTGCTCATGAAAGCAATGCAAGACAAATTTCCAAATAAAGATGCAACAATTTAAATTCCCCAACATCTCCAACATGCAAATTATGCCTCCAAGGAACTACATATCCTTTCTTTTACCTCTGCAGAAGTCACTGTTGGAGCAGATATGCTTTTCAAACAGAAGCCTCTGCATGTTGATATTTTTGCAACAGAACCTTGAGTAGCTTCCTTATCCAGGTACTTGATATCAGAGAGCTCTGCATTAAAATCCAATTCTGTACCACGGACAATGACAGGTTCAGGTATTTCTACAGTCTCTTTGCTTAACCTCTCTACCATAAATACAATATGTGGATCTTTGATTTGGGAAACAGCTCCTTCAGCTGCACGCAAGTACATTTTCTCTGCATCTGAGAGACAATGATTGAATCAATCCTCTGTGATTTAGCATTGTCCACAAATAACATATACTTCACATCCTAGCAGAAATGACCTATGTATAGATTTAGCTGCCACTTAAATATAGAAATTCAGGAGAGGCCAAGAAGCAAAACAAGCAAATAAGAAACAAACAAATTAACCATTAGCAACTAGTTCGAAAGTAGCATCCCACTCAATTCACAAGCCTTAAATTATAATGACTTCCAGTCACTCATATGGCCTTTATCCGGAGTAATCTCCTTCTTCAAATAACCAGTAGCCCTGTCATTTTGTTTTTCACCAACAAGTTCAATCCATAATCTTTTCATCCCCCTTCATCTTGAATTAACCCACTTTTTGTTGTGTGTGCTAATTGGTACCTTGAACACGCTTATTGTATTAAGTGTTAATGGTTCTTTCAGCATTTTTTCTAAGTTCTCTCCTTTTAGTTTTGATGCTTTTGCAGGTTGTTTCCAGCTTCCAAATCAAATTACTAGGAGATAATGCCTCGAGAATATAACACATTATTGTTCTGACTTCTGAGAATAGCAAAATGGGTTAAAGCATGCACTTTTATTTCTTCTCTCTCCTCGTATTGGTTATTTGAATTCCATGCAGTTTAATGCTAGTTGAGGTTATAAACGCTGAAATAACTAGGTGAGCCATAAAGCCATGCAAAATGAAATCTCTGTGTACCATAAAATTTGACCATGTATATCTACTACAAAGGACGTGAAAAGTACTAACCTAACACCGAATAAATATCCCTGCTTGTGAAGTACACCCTTCATTTTTTTTTTCTTAAAGAAAAAGAAAAAAGGTGACTGTATGAGGACAAGCGACCACGAACTACACTTACCAGATCGATCAGTTACAGGAATACAACATGGCAGCCTAATAGGAAGCTTGCATCGAATCAAACAACCCCTCTCCCAAATATACTTCTCGGGATGATCTTCGTAAACAACAGAAGCAAGAGATTCAATGATCTTCAAATTTCCAGTTCTTGAAACAAAAAATTGAACGTCGCCACTGTCTGAATCCGCGACTGCTCCGATAATTTCTTGATTCCCCAATTCTCTTCCATCAGAAAGAAGTTTCCTCAATTGTAGAGCAGCATCGATAGCCTCGCGAGCAGTTTTTTGAGAATCAGAGCTAGAGTTTCCAGAAATTAACGCACCGATCACATCAAATCCTTTCAATAGTAGAGTTCGAATATCGTCTGCTCAATTACCACTAAATGCTTCAATATCTGCTCCACATATAAAGAGATCCAAATGCCAGATAAAATAGAAAAATTAAGTCTGTAATTTCCTCGGAAAAATACCTGATTCTTTGTTATAATCCGGGAAGGAAGAGTTCTCCATGTTGTGAATACATCTGAAGGTGGATACTATTGTTAAAGGCGGGAAAAATGGGGATCCAATCAGCCATTGAAGGCCCGGCCCTTTTCTGGTTATTTGAAGTTTGGGACACAGAACTCTTACGCTTGCGTTCTCACTCGCCTTCTCCATGGCTCCTGTTTTCTGATTAAACAACGCTTCTCATCTTCCTTTGATTACTTATGGTCAGTCTGTTACTTCTTGCGGGTGTTTGTTGGTCATTACAATTCGGGCCTCAATGATAGGTCATAGGGCCCAAATGAGGCCTTTGGGCTAAAAATCTAGATTAAGGCATAATGTTGGGCATATTGTAAATTTTTTGTTTTCTTTGACCAAAACATGAAGTAGTAGTGTAGATTATTTTTTTTAAAAAAAAAAGTAATTAATAAATAGTAGTGTGGATTGATTGGTTAGACATTCAGTCATTCAGACTATAGAGTCCACAGTAACATACAAATAAATATAATAACAAGAGAACGGGGTGAGGAAGGATTAGGAAGTATTAGAAATTTAAAATGAATATTAGCCGTTCCATTCTCTTTTAACCCGAATGGAGTAGTTTAATAATAAAAAGCACTTTCTACGGTGTAAAATTTCTTTAGCTTGAGAGCGAACGGAAATTAATTAAATTTATTTTGAACTATTAAAACGAATATGAGTCCAAACACTCCGTGCAAATAAAAAAATTTTTCATTATTCTTTTTTTTTTCCCAAAGTACTAGGAAGAAGACTTAATCCTAAATCTATTATCAAATAACAAAAAAAATTTCATTTTTTCTTTTTTTTTTTTTTTTTTTTTAAAACGGAAATTATGAGTCCAAACACTCCGTGCAAATTAAAAAATTTTTCATTATTTCTTTTTTCCAAAAGTTACTAGGAAGAAGACTTAATCCTAAATCTATTATCAAATTAACAAAAAAAAATTTTCATTTTTTCTTTTTTTTTTTTTTTTTTTTTCAAAGTATTTGGGGAGAGACTGAATCCTATAATCAATTTTTTTTTTTTTTTTTTTTTTTTCAAAGTATTGGGGAGAAGACTGAATCCTATATCAAATGGTTCATGCATCTACCCCTAAATTATACCTTACTGAGCAATTTCCATTAACTTATTTCACCAAGAGTTCATTGCAAAATTTCATCTTGATTTCAGCTTTATGATACCTTAATTTTATAATGAAATCACCTAATTTTATTTTCTTTGATTGAGTGAACAATTAACAATTATCAATTTTTTTTTTCCAGAGAACTATCCTTTTTTCTAAGTTTACCAAGAAATTTAAGTACTTACTGAAACTGAAATGAATTATGGCACAGAAATTGCCCAATTTGCCCCTAATAAGATACAGCATATTGTCCATTGTAAGCTCTAATGGAACATTAAATAGCACAAAATTCTGCAAGATTTTCATATATACAAACAAAAAATATATGAGCGCCTTTGACACTCCCATGCAGTGAACACAAGATTCCTGATATCCTTCCCTAGCAGAGGAGAACTATTTCGCAGAGGCACAGGGAAGAACCCACCCAACTAATGGAAATCTTCTTTGCTGATGCGTCAACTGCCAAGCCTGTATTTGACACACTATTTAATGTAAAATTCGAGCCAATAAATCACATGCCCAACTTTATAGCGATTAACAACTATATATTTATCCGCTTTATGATTTCATTTTCTTATTGTTCAAAACATGAAGCCATATTACAGATTTATGCATTGTTACCTTAACGGGAAACGTGGGGGTTCTCCAACAAAGAGTCACAGAGTTCTTCAGCCTGCCAAAACAGAGCTCAAGGAGTTCAGAAAGGACTTCAAGCAAAATGGCAGATGCAAAAGTACTTCCAAAGACATGGGATAAGAAATTAACTGGATCAAGAATAATTTGTCAAAAAAATGATTAAATTTTTAAGGGGCAACCTCTCTTACACTTTAAAACTTGAAGGTTTAACCTGACTTGATGATAAAATGACCAAGTTATAGAACAACAATAAGAAAATCTTCACTTCAAATTTCACAATGGGCTCCTTTTTATGGGGAGGAAAATTAGAAAAAAACGTTTCCTTATTTTCTCCTATTTTCCCTGATCTAAAGGTATATACTTCTGATAAAGTCAACCAAACTATTGAAAAACAAGATTTTTGCTACATTTCCTTTTAATGGCTCTTCCTTTGCACTATGGTCTACAGCACACAGATGATGTCTGCGTCATGAATTGTAGTATGATCTGCATCCCACCAGAAAAAGGAGTGGTGCAATGTAAATGAAAAGCACTTACCCATCCTCACTCTCAGAGTTGTTGGTATAATCTTTGCTGCTGAATATATAAGAACCATTGGTGCTGTTGCACGTTTTGAAGGTTTGCTTCCCAGGAATAGATAGTGCAAGCTTGTCCTCTTGTTGGTTACCCATCCAAATAACTCGAGAAGTCTCAGAAGAATGTAACCTCTTCTGGAACCTCAGACTTCTAGGAAAACAGTTTGGCTGGTCTTCAGTCTCCTGACTAGAGGAAATCTCATATTCAAGGCTGCTTCCCTCTTCTTTTGAAGAATCAATTCCATACGCAGGGGTTTTTGATGCATTATCTTGCAATGATCTATCGGAAGAGGTTGTCCCCATGCTCAGGACATTCCCTTCACTATTTCTCAAAGCTCTTACCACTTCCATTCTGGGATAGCTGTCATGCAGCATTTGAGATCCACAATTAGAAGGACAAGTTAAAAAAGCTGTCCCACTTATGATAGGCTTTTCAGATATATCTGAATCACTTCTGCATTCCATAGGCAATTGTGACTTCTGATACATTCTGCGGGAACAACTAAACAACCTAAAAGATAGTTTCCTCAGTTTTGTGCACTTTGACTCATGAGCACAGAGTACTAGATTAATTCGGATTTCCACATTTCGACCCAAAATTGATTGCAGTGAACTTGCTATCATTTTCCATGACTTCTCAGCCTTGGACGCATAGTCAGGATGGTGAAACTCCAATTCAGCAACAGCCAGATCTGAAATTTCAGTTGTTGCTCAGTCATTGCTTGCAAAACAAAAATATACATTTTTTATATTCAAATACTCCAAGACTGAAATTATAAGGGGAGAATACTTCATGTATACACGCAATAGTTTCAGCCAAAAGGAACAAAGAGAAACTACAATTGAGAGAGAGATGATATATGTAAAAAGCCAATCAAATTTTGAGATATATTACCCTGCCCTCATGACTTTTGTTTTCTCAACTGATCCAGATGAAGCAATCTCATGAAACTAGTCATAGCTATAAGTCCATTAGATTGTCAATTCCCCAATGAGTAATTATTTGGATTAGAACTCCTTGACTTTCATGGTAGCATTTGGGCTCAGTGACTGAAACTAAGGTTGGCTATGAATTTCATTGTTGCTTCTTACTCCCTATGTTCACTTTTACTATTCTTCTTTCCTAATTTCTAGACTTTTGCTTCAAGTGGTATGTGGTTGCTGACTCACAATAGACCACTTATTGTTGGCTTCTTAAGCTCTGACTATTTTTTTCCTGAGCTGACTTTCTATATTTGACAATGTTTTGTTCGAGCAATCTGGAAGCCTTAAGAAAGATGCTTACCTTGATTAACACAAAGAGAAGACAATTTCCCTTGTTTCCTCAGAAAATTCCTGAGTGAATTCGATTCGCACAATTCTGTAGCTTTCTTCCAAATGGATTCCAATGTTGCTTTACAATCTGCCTGCATCATTAATTTATGTGACTTGCTGTCTTCACACGAACAAGGGAAAAGAACTTTCAAGCTCTCCCCTGTGGATGAGGTACTGCAAAAATCGACATCTGCATCCATTAAACATGGACTCTGTTATGGTTTTGCCAGCAGCTATGGAAAAGTAAAATGTATTGAAAATAACATAATAGGGTGAAGAAAAATATCACTTATTAGCACTATTGATCAATGTCCTAACCTCTGTCCCGCACATTTCTCAAAGTAGGCTTTTGATCATTTGCATCCAGGGAAGGAGATTCTAAAGAGCTCAACTGTAAAAGAGCTACAGTGAGCCATGTGCTTTGATTTTTGGACATCCTCAATTGTTTCTCAGTTTCAGAAAGTATTTTCAAAGCACGACTCAGCCTCTGCATATCCACCTCAGCTATGAAATAAAACTCAAAACCTTTAGTATACAACTGATAACAAAATCAAAAAGACAACGTGAGCAGAAATATAAGGTGAATATGTACAACATTTTGAAGACAGCATGAAGTCCAAGTATCACATGTTAAATGATCAAGCACCAAGTGTGTAAATGATATTACTGAATCACTAGCAGACTCTAATATTGGCAAACAACCCTATGTCTCTAGTACAAACACCACTGTGCATGAGTATACAAGCCCAATTTTTGTGCAATAAATGACGAGTCAAGCTTAACCACAGCAAGTAATATGACCTGATGGGCACTTTAGATTACCACTCAACTGTCATTAGCATGATCTAAGACCCCAAGCAACGAATCTAAGTTGAACAGATAGTTCTGATCAAATTTTTTTACATTTCCAAACAGTAGCATGAATGATGATTCAAAAAGGCATTTCAGTCAATTATACAAAAAATAGAAAAGTTAATAAAAATAATGAAAATTGTTTCCGAAGTTTTATAACAAACATATATTGATTATTGAAATATATTTTACTTACATGCATGCCTCCTTGAAAATTTTCTTCTAACTTCAGAACCGTCTCCTTGGCATTTACCAGCAAGTATGTCCATTATGAGATTTGCCAGCTGTGTTACAAGTTGCATGGGATCTATCCTGGACCTCATTAACTCCCTAGCCCTTATAACGGTATTTGAAGTGTCAGATGACAATGCAAGATCCAGCAAATCAAGCAATTCATCCTCAGAAACAACTCCAATCTGCATATTATAAGGAGCATATTATAAGGACAAACTTCAGTTATTTGGATGAGAACAGACACACAATAAGGACATTTCTGAAATAAAAATGTAAGCACTCACAAGCTCGTAGGCCAAGGACATTGTGATTCTTTTACCAAGCAAACTCAGTTGATCAAGCATCATTTCCGCATCTCTAACTGAGCCGTTTGATTTAGCAGCAATGAAGTCCAAAGCAACCTGATCAAAGTGAATACCCTCTTCAACACAAATATTTCCCAATCTAGTGGCTATATCAGCATCTTTTATCTTTGGAAAATGATATCTTTGAGACCGAGTTATTGCACTTCTTGGCAGTTTATCCAAATCAGGTGTGATCATCACAAAGACGGCATGTTGAGGAAGGTTCTCTAGGCTGTTCAGAACAGTTCCCCAAGTCTCTCCATGTAACAAATGACATTCATCAACAATGAAGACTTTGAAATGCGATGAAATTGGAGGAATTGATGCACTCTTAATAAGGGATCTAATCCTCTCTGTTCGATTAATTCTTACTGAATCCACTTCTTTGACATCCCTACTCCTTCCAGAAAAGAAAGTAACACATTCTCGGCAAAGACCACACGGTTTATACTCCTCTAGTGAGAGGCAATTTAACGCAGCAGCAAAGATTCTTGCAGCAGAGGTTTTGCCTGTGCCACGGGGACCATGGAATATATAAAAAGAGGTTACCCTTCCTTTTGAAATAGCACTCAAAAGAGACCTTGCTACCACATTTTGTCCCACCAATTCATCAAAAGATTTTGGCCTGAACTTCTGATTGAAACTCCTAGGACTTTCACTGGTAATGAGCTTCCAGTTCCTCTGCCCATGAGATGTTGTCTCAGCAACATCCTTGAACAACAAGGGGTGACCTTCTGCATCAGAATATGGATACGATTCTCGGAACCTAGGGGTTCTAGTCCAGCAGCAGCTTATCCCACATCCACGGTCATTCTGAACCGTGAAATCAGGCTCTTCGTTTGCAAGAAATGATATGCTATGGCTTGATAAAGCATCACTTACTGATAGACAGGGACTACTTAGACGACTCAGAACATCACCCATCATACCAGATGATTTGACTTGATTTTTATATTGGGATTTCTTTCTTGATATCTTCTGGTTGACACATTCTACTTTTGGTGATCCTAAAATCAGTTCATTATTTGAATCCACATCCTCCAAGCAATTACTCAAAGGCATAACACATGTCAATTCCAATCCTTTGTCCCTATAGTTGCAATAATATCTTTCACTCAGTGACTTGGTTCCGTAAATATCTTCCTGATTTAGGTCACAATTATCCAATCCTTCAAGCTTCTTGGTCCTAATAGGAATTCCCACATTATCTACTCCACCGGAATTCTCATATGAGATCAACTCAGGCTTGGATGATTGCAAATGACACTGCAATTCAAAATCGTCAACTCCTTCATCCTTCTTTCCATTAAGACCTGAATTTTTCAATCTTGCAAGACCATTATGATCAGAACCACCTTGTTGACATTCATTCATGAATTGCAAAGAAAACTCATTACTAGAATTGGATTCCCAGTTCATATTTTCTAGTAAAGCAGAGAATTTGCTCATCGAGTTAGTTGATGGATCCCTCAAAGACCTTACTCTCCTAAGCGCTATAAGAGTCTTTGAGATGGGAAGGTCAACTGAATGCCGCCGCCCATCCATCATTTTAAAAAATTAAGAATCAAGGGAATTCCTTTTGCACTCTGCAAAATCAAGTTTCAGAATCCACCACCATAAGAGAGCTGCATTTCCAGCCTGAAAGAATAAACATCCCAACAAGCATTCTATATAAGAAAAAACATTTGAATCTTATATCACTTAAATTTTATGTGTTCGTGCATGTGTTTATCTCTTCCAATTTCCACATAGTCCAGATTGAGAAAAATGTGGAAAGTTCAGAGCATTTCAAACACCAATAGAACAGTTAACGCTGTATATTCCATTCAGAACAATACCCAGAATCCTTGTAGAAATATGAAAGTGTAATATATTTTTGACAAGCTAATAAACTAAATTTTTTCTTTAAAAAAGAAAAATCACTGCATTGTCTTCTAATTCTCAAAACATACTATGCAGGATTGTTTAAAATAGAAACTAAAATGACATTCAATGTGCTCAATTTTGCCACAATAACAGTCTCCTAATATTTCAAAAACTGAAGAACAAGAAAAAAAAAAAAAAAAACCTTTTGCCTCCACAACAATACTACAATACAGTAAAAAGTACCTTTTGTCTCCAATAAAAGCACAACCAGAGAACTACAGAGCCATTCCTTACTCTAATACTTATAAACAAGACAAATGCAGCTAAAACTCAATCAACTCCCATCTCTCCACATTCCAAGCAGAGAATGACACAAACATGGAGAAAGAAAAACGCAAAACAAAACTATAAACAAGCAAAACAGAGAGAGAATACAAAGAATTCAAACTCCAAACATTAAAAATACAAAGGTAAGAACAAAACGAATGCGAAACGACAAATTAAAAAAACCGAAACCTGCAAATAGAAATGTCCATATCCCAGCTTCGAGGTTAACGAAATTTGAAAAATTAACAACGTAAAAAGCGGGATACCAGAAAATATAATAAAAACAAAAATCCCAAGCCCTAAAGCCCGGGTCTCGATGGCTGAGCTTTGAATGTCGTTTCAGCAGGTTAACAGCAGAGAAATAATCGTAGGAGAAAGTACTGAACACTGATGGGGGGAAAGATAGAGATAGAGAGAAGAGGTGAGTGGCAAATAAGTAAATGCCATTGATGAAAGAGGGTGATAATAAACAAGGGACCATTGTTTGTGTGACAGGGGGGGGGGGACAGGGGGGGGGGGGGGGGGGGGAGAGAGGGGGGGGGGGGGAGAGAGAGAGAGAGAGAGAGACAGCGTGTACAGAAAATAGAGAAAATTTAATGCAGAAATTCTTGTTTCTTGTTGCAGAGATGCTGCAGAGAGCTGGTCTCGGCTTATGAGCCTAGTTGGAGGGCATTTTGGTCATTTAGATATGCGGACGGTTTCAGTTAGTTGGTTTGGGTTAATAGCGAAAAGCTGTAACTGTGGTCCGGACTAGTTCTTATATTACATATTTAGTATTTACTCTCGCTTTTGGCGCGTCAGACTACGTCTTAGAGTCAAACAATAGAGTCACGTGCCTATCACCGAATACGGTTTCTGACCGCCAGATTTTTTTTCCTTTTGATTGACAAGTTAACGTGACTACTTGTCTACTTGAAGTTCCAATTACCTGTACACAAGTTTTATAAAAATTAAAAAATAATTGAATTATAAAAGTAATTAACTAAATTACGTGTATATATAATAAAACTTAAAAGCTTGTACGATAATTTGTCTTTGAATAACAAATTTTATATCACATGGAGCAAGGAAATATGAGGTTATACACAAATGTAGGTTTTTTTTTTAATTATTTTTACTTTATTAATAAATACTTGAAAGTACATTTGTTTGAATTAAAAAATTATTTTTAATTTTAATTAATTTAGTGTATTAATAGAACCATAGAGGCAGGAGCTTCCCGACCTGGGTTATAGGTTTCACATGCCAACCGCTTAATTAATAGTCACGAGTATTCCTTCACAGAGACATTAAAGGCGCGTGGCTATACAAGCATTCAAAGAAAAAAATAGGCAAGGAAAAATATGTAGTCAAGAAGAGTCCACTCCACTTCATGGCAAAACTCTTTTGAAAGATTCGTGAAAAACAAATTACAGAAAAAAAAAAAAAAAAAAAAAAAAGCATCAAGTGTTTGGCAATGTAACAGAGCAATTCGAAATGTAAAAGAAAGTTAGGACAAGAAAGGATAATGGTTAGTGCTAAGAAGACGTCGACTCCACTCTCATAAATGGCAAATGTCACTCTCACTTTTGCAAAGATTCCTCGTTGAAATAGACGAAATTTTTAATCAATAGAGAAAAGAAAAAGATAAAAAAAAAATAAAAAGGGCGAGGTTGTTAAAAGGCAGTAACTATCGAGCCTTTCACCTGGCGGTCGATGACAAGGAACTCTTTGCATGGCAGAGGCAACAGCTTCAACGCATTTCTTATTATATGAGAGTTTGTTTGTGTACCGAATTTTTACTTAAAAATAACGTGTAACGTAACAGCAGACGTACATTCAAAGCCCGCCACGCCTGAGCGGCGCTTGAAATACGACTAATGTTCCAGAGGTCTCCCACACTGGTTGTTATGCTGTGGCAGAAAAAAAAAAAAAAAAAAAAAAAAAAAGGTGTTAAAAGGCAGTAACTATCAGCTTTCGCTGCGCGATGCAAGCTCATGCATAGGCACAGCTTCAGCTTCTTTACTGTTTTGTTGTGTACCTTTTTACTAAATACTGTACGCAGCAGCGTACATTCAAACCCCACGCCTGAGCGGCGCTGAATACGACTAATCTTCCACTGCCCCATGGTTGTTGCTGTTGCAGAGCCACCGCAGAGAAACAGATATACTCATTCACGCAAGTTGACAAACAACAGGTCCAGCCTCTTGGATTTTTTTACTCTTTTTACTTGGCAAATGGACCAATTGTAATAACAACAGTGGCGTTTTATCATCTTCTTTTTTTTTTTTTTCCTGCATTGCTAATAATTACACCTACGAAAGTAATAGCAGTAAATTTCAAATTTGATTTATGCCTCTCGAGCAGTAACACGTTACTGCTAATTATGTAATTTAAGCCCTATTCTGTAATAGGGCATAAATGACCAAACCAACTAATTTCTTAAATGCAAGATCAGAATTACTAAATGCTATTCTGTACCATTTCTTAGTATTTGGAGAAAGAAATTAAAACTTTTTAATACGGAGAGATGTATTATTGTCATTAATAACTTATTTTAGTATGCATGAATTTCATAAAATTTCTTGAATTTTTTTATAAATTTAATTTTCATATTTGTGTTAATTTAGAGAATGTACCATAAATTGAAATTTTCCACTTATTATTAATAATTAAAACTTACAAATCATATTTTACATATATTGAATATAGATATTATACCATTAAATAAACATTAACGACAAGATAAATATCAATAAATTAACAATTTAAAATTTGTTTTATGTAAAATCCACCCGAGAGTTATCTAGGTTCGGAGAGCACAAGTCTTGACCCAAATCAACTTCAGGTCCAGCCCAAGAAGGTCCAAATATTTTGCGGCTCGATTTTGAAAATGCAATACCTTATGCTCTGGGCCTTCAGCTTACTTGACATATACAATATAGGAACTCACTAACTAGGCCTTAGGCCTAAAAAGGGAAGCAAAATTTGGGCCTCAAACAGCTAAAAGTCCATACAATATGACACCCTAATAGATCCAACCCTTTTTTTTATTATTATTATTATTATTTATGCAATTTGTGTCGATTTTGTGGACTTGAAATTCAACGGTCAGAATGATTGCAAATGTTGAAGCAACTAACACGAAAAGCGAAAGCGGATTGGGTAGCATGTGATTATAGCGCAGGTTTGACCTTATGGCTTGTAGACGCAGATATGCTTGATTAAAGTAAATTTTACTATCATATCTGCAGCTACAATAAGAAAGCTTGCTGCCAAAATGATTAGCTCTAGAATAAAAAAGTTACCTTGATTGATTGAAAATTACAGCCCCAGCACATGAAACCAAATGATTACATTACATGCCTCTTTCATAAGCATTTTGGTAAAACTATATACTAGTTACCCTGGTTTATAAATTATAATTAAGAAAAAATTACATCTTAGGATAATTTTCTAAGCTTATATTATTGTTTCGTAAATCTTTCTTTAACACAGTCAAATGTTAGATTATTTAGTATATAAATTTCAAATTGTGGTCAAATTTTCCATTATTGTACCAAATTAAGCTACGCATGATGTATGAAAGCATAATGAGGCCAAGCAGGTGCACTATTATTCACTTTTTATAGTGGTGAGGCACTAATTAATTAGCACTTGTACATTATCCTTAATTATGTGTTATACTATCTTGTAGCTTAAGTTATATCCAAATGTTCCCCATGCAAATTTGGGTATCTATCTATATTACATTAAATGACAATAATAATAATGTTTTGTGTTAATGTCGAGGTCCTACGTTGTAGTATGATATTATGGACAGTCTAATACGTATCATTTTAGGTTTTGGGAAGTTAAGTGGCAACTCAAATCAAGGTTAAGGAGACGGACTACCCACATATTTGTGTGTGTGAGAGACAGAGATATAACCCCACATGCTCTTTATTTGGTTTCAGATACAAATGGCATGGCTCTCTCTTGGCTGATGCCCAATAATGATGTTTGTTATACTACTTTGTTGATCGGTAGCTGTTGGGCCAGTCTCCCTCCATCCGCTTCATCTCATGTCTCCCATTTGTATTTGGAGAGTCTAAACTTAAAAAGTGGGAAACACCATGTATGAGTCCACGTATATATATTATAAATAATTTTTTAATTTAAATGAGAATATTTTTGACTAAATGCTAAAAAAATCAATTATAACTAATTTTTTAGTTCAAATAAAATATTTCTATTAAAATCAATTTGCACCCTTAATTTAAGATAATTTTTACACTGTGATCAATTTCGAAGGGGAAAATTGAATAATATTTGGTGTTAGTATGAATTTATATATATTTATTTTATATTATGATGCATCCATCGATAGTTGAGAAAAGCTAGACATAGACACAGACGTTGATTTGGCCATATGTTAATAATAATAATTGATGGTTTAATTAATTTGAATTTTCTAATTTAACGGTTAATAGCAAATTATACAAACTGTCGGTGAAACTAAAAGATGTTTTACAACTAAACTAAATTTTTAAAAAAAAATTGACAAAAAAAGATTTAGAATATATAATGCGATGAAATTTTAGACTCTCTCTCTTCAAATTTGGCAATAAACAAGAATTTTGGATTTGATGTGAAATAACAGTAGCATGCATGTGCTTATGAGCAAACCTATTGGTCAAGCGTGAGACTGCCACGTGGAAGAGTAGTTTGATTCCACGTGTTGGCAGGAGGAAAGGAGTTGCCAAATAGCTTTCAGGCACTATATCTACCAATCAAAACCCTTTTTAAAAAGATTTTAGCACAACTAAAATTTTAATAAATAAATAAATAAAATGCCAATTAACATGGCTTAACAAAGACATTGACGTTACTTTTTTTTTCTTTTTTTTTTTCAATTTTAATTTTCTTGTAAAAAGCAGTCGATTAATCCTCCACTATCTCGAATCAACGGTTTTCGATTACCTCCCAAATCTCCAAATCCAAAATGGAGGGCCAAGATTCGTCCTGGCACGCAAGAGAATCATAGAAAGGAGGGATGAAAATTGCCCATGTGAGGCCGTAGCTATCAAATTTCAATTCCAAGTAAGCAAGCAAATCAACGGATCATTCGGCCTCACTTACGGGCCATGAGTCGTGGACAAGTGGCATCAGGAGAGGTCACGGTTGTTGGCACGGAGGACCATATTCCTTCTTGTTTGGTAATGTGAAATTTCGCCGGAGTTTGCGGCCAAGAAAATTTTTCTAATATAGTAAAAAGAAAATAAAAGGGAAGTAGGGCAGCAAGGTTTGATTTGGAGGGCAAAAGCATGTGCAAGGGTGGAAGTGTCACGAGTATTTTTGGTCCAACTTATCATCAATTAAATTAAATGTAGTTGCTGCAAAATTTCTGATATTGTGTGGTGCATAACCAATTAATGCATGGGATTTTGGCTATTCAATGCTATATCGGATCTAATCAGCTCTTCTTTACATTTTGCATGACAACATTTATTTGGAGGATAAATTTTTTTTTGTGCATGTTCTTCCATAATGAATGTTACTCCCTTACCTATTTTTTTGGCAACAAGTAATACAATTGGTTGATAAGTTTAATAAATTGAACTCGTGTTTGCAGTTTATCAATACTATCACTTAATAAATAATTCGAGTTCATAATTTAGATTTTCAAACTCAACACAACTCGTTTCATTTGCAATTTTATTTAATTAATATCATATTCTAAATTTAATTGCACCTTCAGATGCATTTGCAAATAATTAAATAATTAAAAAAATTATCAATTTCCTTAAAAATATATATGGTAGGAATCCAGTTTTGGGGTTATAATCATAAAAAGTTAAAATCAAGATAATTATTGGTGATAAGAATCTTAAAAACTGATGGTGGGATCAAAAGGAGCATGTCCATTTCATGTATAATTAAGTAATAAATATTTAAAAAAAAAAAAAAAAGTTTTGTAGGTTTTGATATGCAAAGAAAGCAACTTCACCATCCACTTGATGCTTTTAACTGCACTTGAAATCCTTTCACGATTTTTTCCAAATAATAAAATGAACAGATAACATAAAATTTTGATGTTGGCAACTAAGACAAGCAAAGGGTAGGGGGGCCCCATAAAATCTAACGAACTTATTCTGTTACCATAAAATGGTAACTAATTATAGAGCGGTGTCCGTGGTCTTAGCTTTTCAAATCTTAATTAATCTCCGCCATAGCCGGTGTCAGCTCAGGCATTTAACCAGAATTTAAGCATACGACTATTACATAAGCAAGAAAAAAACAACAGATAAAAACAAATTAAAACAGGTGGTTTCAACGTCTACATTTTCCAAATCTAATGTCGGTGTTTTGTTCAATATTTGTTAGCCTTTCTTTTCTCCTAATTAATTTCATGATATCAGACTACATTACCTAGTTTACGCCAAGCACTAGATAGGTGTTTCATGTATAAAGTTCACATTATTTGACTTACCTGTAACCTAAGTTAAATAGCCTTCGATTGTGTTTATAACAGTGAGAAGTTTTGAGTTTAAATCCTTATAAAATTAATTAAATTCTAAAAAGATAAAAGAATAAAGTTTTTAACAGTAAAAAAAATGAATTTTTGGAATATGTAAATATGCGGTTAAATTATTCAAGAAGATAAATTGTTGCTTTTCCATTCTCTCTCAACTCAACCCAATCATGAGTGGAACGTTTGGTGCTAAAGTTACCATAAGCTACAGTAACTTGAAATGGGACATGGATATATAGTCAGTCAAGATGGATCATAGTTAAAAAAAGAAAAAGAGAGGGAAAAAATGAAAAAAGAACAGATAATGGAATTTTCCTCTCATATTTTCGGGTACTTTTTTACTGTAATTTCTACCTTTGTCTGTCAATCCCTCGCCTTGCTTAACGGCCAAAACTGCCTAATGTAAGGGAATCCCGTAAATCCAGAAATTACGAAGCACACAAAATGGGACCCACATCACGCTCGTTTAGTCCCATCTTTCTTCTCTTTATATAAACCCTTTCCTCTCCCTCCATTTCTCTCACACTCCACACGCTCCTTTCCCTTCTTTTGATTTTCTCTCACCCAAGAAATGGCAACCCCTTCATTGGCAGCTCTACCCTTCTTCTTCTTCTTCTTCTTCTTCTTCCATGTCCTAAGTACCCTATCCCTCACTTCCTCTTCCCCAGTTCAAGACCAAGAACTTGTTGTACAACAAGTACACAGGTAAGTTATAAGTACCGCTTCATTTGTTACTGTTAATGTGTATATATATAGTACCACATGATATATATTAATGTCTATTAATTACAATGTGTTACATTTCTTTTATGTCAGGGCCATTAACGACTCTAGAAGAAATTTGGGCTATCTCTCTTGTGGAACCGGTAACCCTATCGACGATTGCTGGCGGTGCGACCCCAACTGGGAGAAGAACCGCCAGCGCTTGGCGGATTGCGCAATTGGATTTGGAAAAAATGCCATTGGTGGAAGAAATGGGAGAATTTACGTGGTAACAGATCCCGGCAATGATGACCCGGTGACACCTAAGCCAGGGACACTTAGGCATGCAGTGATTCAAGATGAGCCATTGTGGATTATTTTCGCTCGTGACATGACAATTCAATTAAAGGAAGAGTTAATAATGAACTCTTTTAAGACTCTTGATGGTAGAGGTGCTAGTGTTCATATAGCTGGTGGTCCGTGCATTACTATACAATTTGTGACGAATATTATTATTCATGGATTGCATATACATGACTGTAAGCAAGGAGGGAATGCTTATGTGCGGGACTCTCCACAGCATTATGGGTGGAGGACTATATCAGATGGTGATGGAGTGTCCATCTTTGGTGCAAGTCATATATGGGTGGATCATAATTCTTTGTCAAATTGTAAAGATGGGTTGATTGATGCAATTCATGGGTCCACAGCTATCACAATTTCAAACAATTACATGACCCACCACGATAAAGTCATGTTATTGGGTCACAGCGATTCTTACACTCAAGACAAGAACATGCAAGTCACTATAGCCTTTAATCACTTCGGAGAAGGCCTTGTCCAAAGAATGCCAAGGTAAAAAATAAATAAAAAATAAAAAAGATTACTTAAAAAAAAAAAAAAGAAAAGCAAAAAAGTGTGGTAAATAATTGTTGTCTGTTTGAAATTTGCAGGTGTAGACATGGGTATTTCCATGTAGTCAACAATGACTATACCCATTGGGAAATGTATGCCATTGGAGGCAGTGCAAACCCTACAATCAATAGCCAAGGGAATAGATTTCTTGCACCTGACAATCGATTCAGTAAAGAGGTTAGGGCTGAGGACAGAATCAACTGAATTAACTACCTTTATTTTTTAACTCCCACTTTATACTTTTATAACAATTGTGGTAAAATGGAGCTAGAACTCATTAATTATTTGTATGTAGGTGACAAAACATGAAGATGCCCCAGAAAGTGAATGGAGGAACTGGAATTGGAGATCAGAAGGAGACTTAATGATGAATGGTGCATTTTTTAAAGCATCAGGAGCAGGAGCTTCTTCAAGCTATGCTAAGGCTTCAAGTTTGAGTGCTAGACCCTCTACACTTGTGGGTACCATAACAGTAGCTGCTGGTGCCCTCGGTTGTAAGAAAGGCTCTCGCTGCTGATTGTCAATTAATATCATTATAACATTTCATAATAACATGGAATTGAGTGATTTTGTTATGTTTCTTGATTAGAAAAGTGTGTAGAAGAATTAATGAAAGTCTTCAAAGAATGTGGAAGGTGAAGAAAGGTCCAATCATAGGTTTTCCAGTTTTGTTTCTTTTGTGGGCTCTCTAATTCTCTTTAAATTTTTAATTTTTTTTTTCTTTTTAGTTATTTGGGTACTCAACTTTGATGATTACAACCACTGGCCTGTAACTCTTAGAACCATTAGGGATTCTTTTATGAGAATCTTGATGTGTTTAAAGAGAAAGCAAGTGCAGAAGCGTTGATATTTATATATGTAATTATCTATTTATATTTATGGTTTCTTTCTCTGTCTTTATATCTGTTTCTCATAAATGCACAATTCCAATAACACAACAAAGGAAACTCCAATTGCAAGTGAAGACAGAAGAAACGTTTCAGCCATATAGTAGTTCAATTAATGCAATAAAGTAACTTATGAAAGCAACCACCAAAATTATTAAGTTTAACAGATTCCAAATTAATTTTAAAGTTTAAAGAAAGCGACAAATAAACTAATTCATATTCCAAGAATGGAATCTCATGCAAAAACACAGAAATGTCAATCCACCCAGGTCCAAGTGTACTCCAACCAAACCATTTTTACCATTTCCGTTTGCAATTTCAAAAAGGAAAAAAAAAACACATTTGGTTTACTTTTGACCATTGTGTTTAGTTTCTCTTTCACCAATGCGTTTTCAAAGTTTAAAGCACAAGAAAATGGTACTGCTGCTGAGGAACGACCAAAAAGGAAGCTACCCTAAGGTCTAACGAAATGGGTCCACATTTGATTTTAGAGTAGATTTGGCGAGAGGAGAAAAGGGAAAGGCACATGCAATCCAGTTTATTAATTAACTTCTTTTGATGGGATTGGACTTTGGTCTTTTATTGGACTATTAAATATAAATTATAACCTGATTCTATTTTCAGCTACATCTTTGACAATGTTGCGCGCAATCTTTCAACAGAATCGTTTTCTTGATTCTTTATTAATGGCTTCTAGCACTGTACTTGAAAATCTTAAGTGGGCTATAATGATTCATCATCAAGCTAGCATCCATTCTTGCGGATGCATTCGAATGTTGCTTTTACCTATTACCCTCCTGGTTGGGAATCCGAATTTTTTGTCCTGAACTTGCTGGTAAAGTTTATTTGGAGATATATAACTAGCAGTCAGCCCACTTCCATTGATGCCAAGTATTTTCTGCATGCCATTTCAGGTGATGGTGAGCCGCCAGTCGGATGGGTCCAGATTCTGGGAGGCAAAGTGGGAGTGTTGGCTGGCCCAGAATTGAGGAATGCCACGATTTGCCAAAAGTCCATTTGTTTGATCCAAGCATGTGAAGTGTGGAGATTAGAGAATATTAGATAGAGCTTTAATTGGGTCCACTATATGGCCCTCAATGTGCATTCTGGTTGCCGTTGCTCACAAGACACAACTTAACAAACAACCATACAACACAGGAGTGGTCGTTTCTCATTCCTGCTCAGTCAATGCACTATGCCAAAAACACAAACTTTCTTTTGTTTAACCAAGATTAGCAAAATATTTAGAAGGAGAGAGTTAAAATTAATTAGGTGATTGTTAACGGACCAATCCATGTGGCAGACAAACATTAGAAATTGACCTAACTGGGGAGAATACGAATACGATCAATAGAAAGATAAGCTTCGATAACGTGCACCACATGACTACGACTCATAGCTAGGACTACACAACTTGCAAAGCTAATTGGCCTTATGACGAGGCAAAATGGTTATTGATTGGGTTTGAAATGGAAGTCATCATGGTTCTCACAATTTATTCTGATGGTTATCTGCTTTGAATTGTACCTACGATAAGAGCTGCCTAATTATTAACGTTTGACTTGTACTAAATTCAAAACTTTGATCAAGTTCAACTTAGACTCAAATTTAATTGAGAAAATTAAGATTTAAATTCAATTACAAGACACATCTGAATTTGATAGACTAATTCTGAGAGGTTAGGAGTTTGGTCCGCCACTACGATTCCTAAAACGAGATTAGACTTATATGCAAAAAGGTACAACGAAACTCGTGGAAGGAAAAGGAAAAAAAAAAAAAAAAAAAAGGGGGTTTTCTTTCCCTCGTTTACAGGTCGTCATTCTGGTAGGCAATTCAATCAAAGTTTGAATGTCTATTGCTTAAAAGTAAAGGCATCCCCTAGCAATGGGCTCATGCTTTAATTTAGTTTGATTCAATAGAAGTACAGAACCGCAATTGCCGCTGCTTCAGAGGATTCTTGCACAATTATTTCAGTAGCAAAATTTTATTTCATTGAAAGTCAATAACATTTTCCCCACTAAAAAGGAAGTAGAAAAATCACAACAGCAGGAGCAGTAGTAAAGAAGCAAAAAAAAGTGTAAAAAGCAGTAAACTTGTTCAATGATAAACGTCTGTCATCTGTACAATCCATGAGCATTCAGCAGCGCCAATAATTCCTCAACTAATACACCGTTATCAAATTTTCAGTTCCACGGCTAACTTCCATAACCAAATATTCTCTCTAGCTGTTAAACCACCGGTCAACTTTGTTTACCTAAAAAGGATTCCCTGTCTTTTGAACGACGAAGAGAAAATGAACAATCCCTGTTGATGGAACTAACAGCAAAAAGCACAAATTTCTTGGACAACAGCTAGGGTTGAGCATTGGATCAGTTTGGTTTGATTTAAATTCAATCACAAAAAATGAATTGAATTGTGAATTGGATCGAACCAAACTTTCAATTTGATTTTTGGGTTTTGATGTACTTTTGAGCTAGATCAGTTTGATTTTGAACTTGTTATAAAATCATATACTAAGACAGAGATGCAATTAAATTTTCTGAAAATCAAACTAATTTAACCAACCGAATCAGTATGCGAACTGCAAAATGTGTGTTCATGGGACTCAATTTAATGGGCCAAGAAGGAAGAGTATGAAGCAGGTAATAAACCTTGTTCAGTATTCTCTAATAAATGGTTCTTTTCTAGCTAATTAGTAGGCCTTACACATTCTTCCTTGATGTGAGTTACTCGAGAGTGCTTTGTTGGGCCATTGAGTTTCGAAATTGTAATCCAACTGGGTTTTTATATAGATCCATGGGTCGTACTTGATTTCTACACTAGTATGGGCTTCCTGGGTGTTTTTAGCAGTCTGATGAAAAACCTATTTAAGAATTTTGTTTCCAATATTTTGGGTTGGTAAATGTTTTTATATATGTAAGGATGAGAATGTAAAATTTTTTTTTTCAAGGAATAAACAACTTCATCAAATCCATAAAACTCAGAAACACGACGAGGAATGTACTCCCATCTATAAAAATGCGAACGACAAATGTATATCCTTTCAAGATATTGAGCATTTATATTTGTTTGTTTTCGAACCCACTTGATTAAAATTTATTTACAATCCACTACAATCAAACTAAAATCGAAAATATCTACCATACTAGAGTTCAAAGCATTAACTAAATTTTGAGAGTCCGGTTACCATTAAAAAGTGCATTTCTCGAGAAAATATTTTTTTTTTTCGTTTTATAATCTGAAATAAAGATTAGTCCATGCTAAAAAAAGTGAAGAGATATACGTTCTACAAAGATATTTTTTTAACTATCAATGGTGAAACTGATCAATGACCAGCATTAGCTATATCTTTCTAATTTTAAAATTTATTTTATAAAATATAAAGAATTTCTAATTTACCTATAAATTGACGAAAATTTTCAATTTGGAATCCTTAATTTTGATTTTTTTTTTTTTTTTTTTGCCTTTCAAACTATTTTTTTTGTCCGCCGTTGTATAATCATAATTCGTTGAAGAATTGTCAGCACCATTTGATTTTAACAAGTAAACCAACAAACTTGCGTCTAAAATAGAGTTACAAATACACAAATACGTAACGAAGGTGGTTATGTTGCTTCCTAGAACAAGACCATTTCCAGAGTCAGAGAGGTTGAATGTAAATATTCCTGACTTGAAAAAATAAATCCAATCATTTCCTGTTTTTCAAAGAATAATAAGAAAAACAAATCCCAATCCGACCAAACATATCAAGTTATCTCTTTTTTCTCCTTTTTAAATTTGATGAGGAACAGTCCAAGAAACAACTATACCTTAAACAAATCAAGATAAATCTATCTCCACATGAATTAATTAACATTAAATTAGAAAAAGGTGTGATCCAGCCCCTTGACGCACCACCTAGGATCGGTCTTGGAATCCTTATTCTCACCCGACCTCCTCAAAATTTGAATTTATAAAATAAAACTTGGTCCATTTATAAATAAAATAGATATAAATATTAATTTGATTCTATCCAATTCGAGTCTAATTCAATTAATTTTTTTTTCTAAATTCATTTTAATGATTTTAAAAATAGTAACCCATATAGCTCGATCTAAATCCGATCCGATCTAATAGGAGCAGATATCCGATGGCTATTATATTTTGTTGCGGATTAAATATTGTTGCTGCAAAATCTGACCCGAGTCTGTTACCATCTCTAGACAGGTCCAACACGGATCCTTCCGGAACCAAGTTAGGCCAGCCTGAAGATCAAGCGATGGCATCATCTTCTGCCATGCTTGATTAAATCTGACACGTGTGAAGGATTCACCGGAGACAACGTGGTACCGACCTGAGTATTAAGATAGCGCCACGTGGAAGTTCAATGTTACGTGTCATTTTTTTGAAAATAAATGGACAAAATTGAAGCTGGCATGGATTAGTACGAGTACCACGTCAGACTGAGCTAAGGCTCTTCTGCTCTCCAAGAGCCGTTTATCATAATTCCGGCCTTTAACTCGAGGTGGTGATTTTATCCATTCCACGTCAGCTTTTGAGGACATGTGTGTTCCGATTTATTTATGTTCTCTTTTTGCCTTTTGTGTTGCTTTTGTTCGTTGTATAATAAAATACTTTGCTAATTTTTTAAGTATCTTCTGCAGAATGTAATCGCCGCCGTTCGAAATCAAATACAGGGAGAAAATCTCGATGGCCGGGGACAAAAGAGAAAGGGATAGAAATGGAAAATCAAATTGTTCCCCAGTGCTCAGCAATGATGCATGTTCACGACGCGCCCATTAAGACATGTCCTTGTTTTAACCAATCATATTGTAACAGAAAATAAATTCGGAAAGTTTGGTGAGTTATGGCAATTTAGGTCAAACTGATGCAGGCCTTCTAAAAAAGGAGTCAACAAAATTTGCTCAAAATTAATACTTCTTCGTCACATAAAAATAAACCTACTTTGATTTTCATACGTATTAAAAAAATATATAAGCTATAATTTTTATATACTTTTTCCTAATTTGAGTCCTTACATTAATATAATCTAGGTAAGATGGAAGATATAGAATTAATTAATATATGTGACGATAATAATCACTTTGTTTATTTCAATATTTGATTGGTGTTAAAGTGATATATTTTGTTAAAAAAATGCGTTTTAAATTAGGATAAAATAATAAATTGCAAAATTATTTTCTTCTAGTAAGAAAAATAAGATTATTATTTAGAACAAATGAAAACGAAAATATAATTAGTTAATTGATAAGATATATAGCGGAATTAAATTGCACTTATCAAGTATCTACATCTACGATGATTAAAGTCGCTTATTATCTCAATCAATACCACTTTGGTATATTTTCATGTATAACTTTAACGGATGCTCATAATAATGTTACTATAGGTTAATAATAATTTTATAAATCGAAAACCCTATTTGTTTTCGAAAAATAATTTGTCTTTAGAAAATATTTTCCTTGAAAATTAATTTTTTATTTTTTTTATAATATTAAAAATTAGTTAAAAATATTAAGCATAAAAATATTTATAATTATAAGAATTTTATATTTTAAAAATTTAATGTCAAATTTGAAAAAAAAATGCATAAAGAATTATAGATAGTAATAGGCATTGCTAACTCGTGGTGGCTGTGGATAAATTGATTGATGGCTGGTGTTGGTGGTCGACGATGACCAATAATCGATGGTGTTAGTTACCAGCAAGTAATAAGTTAAAAACTATATATTAATAAGGTTATAATAAAGTTGTGAATGTACAGAAAATAATGTGAAAATAAAAGACTTCCTTATATTAATTAATATCATTTCTTATGTTATGATGCCCTTTACATACAAATAATAATTTAATTGAGTTAATTGAATTAATAAATATTAAGAATTTTATATTAATTAGCTAACTAATTAATTAATACTATTCTTTTGACATTAGCTGATATGTCCTGATTTTTTACTATTTTCTATTTTTTTTCTATCCTTTTAATTTGACCAATAAGAATGAACGCCCATATAATTTTTTATTAGTTTAGATTTCTTTCACTTCAATGGTAAGGATGGATGTTGATAGATATTCTAAAATCATAATCTTTGTTTTCATAAATATTTATATGTAAATTAATTAAATACATTTCCTTGCACGTAAACTACTTCTAGAATAAGTTTTATATAAAAATTAAAAAAAGAAAAACATAGCAACAGCAATTATAGTAAATAATAAGAAAAGCAGTCTTGATTTTAAATATTTATATTTAATAAATTACCAATTTTTTTTACAAGGAAATATTTAATAAATTACCATTTAATGATAGATATTGGAAATTTGTTAATCTGTCTCCGAAATCTGAAAAAGAAGGTTTGTAGTAATTTTTTATTTTATTTTTTTGGTTATAGGTTTTTCTTACGTGTGGCCACGTTTCCTGCGCTACAGTTGTTCTAGTCAAATGTGTTTATCGACGCATCGTCAAGCAATAGCGCGTGTACTTTTTCTGTCGTCTTTTGCATTTTTTAAAATTCGCTGGCACTATCACCCGGTAGTTGGCTATAAAGCTTGGTACAACCAACTCCATTCTCATTGCATTTGCAATATACCGCAAGAAAAGTACTGAAACGTTCGTTCCTCTTCTTTACTCATGGAAGAAGCTTATAACGCAACAAAAACAACTGCCCCCGTCTACGGCGATATGAACGATCATTATAGAATCACCGATGAAAATTATCGTGAACTACCTGCCGCCGACGTTCAAATCATTACATCCGACGGCTTACGCATTCCGGCTCATAGTAGCATTCTGGTATAGATATAACTCCTCATCTTTTGAAAATTTCTTGGATTTGTGATCTAAGTTGGAAATCTAACTTGTGTTTCATTTTTTTCTCGACGAATTGGTATATCATAGGCCTCTGTATCACCGGTGTTGGAGAATATCATTGATAGGCCACGTAAACATCGGAGATCTGAGAGAATCATTCCCATCCTCGGCGTTCCTTCCGACGCCGTTTCGACGTTTGTTCGATTCATCTACTCCTTCAGGTCAGTTTTCTGCTTATCCCCCTAATCCAAACAGTCCAATTTGACGGCTGAGACGAGTGGCTAGATTCAAAATAAAAAATTATGAACAGGAGGAGTATTTGGTCGATACTTTGCTTTTGAATTGTATTCCAAGCAATCTATTTTGGTTATACTTTGTAGATCGAAAATTCCAAGGATACTTTTCATTCAAAATGACAGAAATGCCTCTTGTTCAGGTGCGATGAGGAGCAGCTAGAGAAGTTCGGGATTCATCTATTGGCATTATCCCATGTTTACTTGGTACCTCAGCTGAAACAGAGATGCGCCAAGGCTGTGAGTCATCGGTTGACGGTTGACAATGTTGTGGATGTACTTCAATTGGCAAGGCTCTGTGATGCACCGGATCTCTACTTGAAGTGCATGAGATTAATCTCTAGCCATTTCAAGAGTGTAGAGAAGACTGAAGGCTGGAAATTCATGCAAAATCACGATCCCTTTCTAGAGCTCGAGATTCTCCAATTCATCGATGAAGCTGAATCGGTAATTTCCGTTATTAAAAATGATAAGATCTTTTTGAATAAATGATTGAAAGTTATTAACAGTAAGTGTAAATCAAAAACAGAGGAAAAAGAGAACAAAGAGGCACAGAGAGGAGCAGCGCTTGTACATGGAGTTAGCTGTAGCAATGGAATGCTTAGAACACATATGCACTGAAGGGTGCACGAGTGTTGGGCCTTATGACGTACATCCCACAAAAAATAGAGGCCCCTGCAGCAAGTTCTCCACATGTCAAGGCATCCAGCTCCTGATCAAGCACTTTGCAACGTGTAAGAATCGGGTTAATGGAGGTTGCTCCCGTTGTAAGCGGATGTGGCAGCTTCTAAGACTTCACTCTTCGATGTGTGACCAGCCTGATTCTTGTAAAGTTCCTCTCTGCAGGTAATTACTTCACCAAATCCTTCATTTTCGCTTAATAGGCAAATCAGAATTTTGTCCTGAGTTATTATTTGATTGTCCTTATTAGAATGCTCTATTAAGGATCTAAGAATGGAAATGTCTTTTTTTTTTTTTTTTTTTTTTTTTTTTTTTTTCCTTCAATTTTGTCCTTTAACTAGGGCAACAATTCTCAGAATTTTTGTCCTGAGTTTTATTTTTGACTTGTCCTTATCTAGATAATCTCTAAGGAATCCATAAGGAATGGAAACTTGTTTTTTTTCTTTTTTTTTTCATTGTTGTTTGTGTTAATGGACACAGAGGGCCTCTTGCCAGCTAATACTTGTTACATTTGTCTTTGGCATATACATACAGACAGACATTTTTTTTTTTTTTTTTTTTTTTTTTTTTTTGTGTGTGTAATGGACGGGGGCCTCTTGCCAGCTAATACTGTTATTGTCTTTTGGCTAATCTCCAGCAGCATCGTTGGATAGTACTATTTGGTATTTTCCATGTGATGCACGAGTTTTTGGATTGCATTCGTGCACAGTGAACTCAGTTCATATGGTGGATTGGTGTCTTTATATATATATATCTTGGTTTCATTTAGTCCAGTAAAAACTAGTAAAGCCTCTTTATAATTTTAAAGAGGCTTTACTAGTTTTTATATGGCCCTTTGTTTTTATAAATTAAGAGGGAGGCAAAGATATAATTACATCTTAGTAGAATTAAAACACAGAATAATTATTGATCCTTTAGAAACAGTAAAAGCTAGTGCTATCAAAGGGTCCATATGTTTGGCATGTATGTATTAAATACCAGCTATTGGGTATATTGCGCCATTCATAAAATTACAAGTTCCAACTACCAACACTTATCCTTGATCTTTCGTGGATGTTACAGGCAATTCAAAATGCAACAAGAGAAAAAGGGCGATGACGCCCTCTGGAAATTACTGGTGAAGAAGGTCATGTCAGCCAGAGTTCTTTCTACTCTGTCTTTGCCAAAAAGGAAAAGAGAAGAGCAATTGAGCGAGACATTACAGAATCATGGGATTAGAACCTTCAGATTATAATGTACTGAAGCAAGATGCATTGTGATGTTCGTTCTTTTTGTGTATACTAAATAATTTCCATGTCAGGTCTATCGTAAACAAAAGCGTAGTCCTGGTTAGTTAGTTCTTATGTACTCCGGTTCTGTCTTTTAAGAGTATGGGAAGGAGTAGACAAGTGTTAATTAATTAGATAATGGAAATGAGTTAAGTATTGTATATATAAAGGAAGGAAAATGTAGCGCATGAGGTAGTTGCTTGTAATCCCAAACCTTGTGTCTATGAATGCAAGTGGCCGTTTTCTTGTAATTTTGCTCACTATTTTTTCCCAATTATATTACTACAGTACTGCCGTAATTCTGACAATTCTTGTTGGTTATCCAAAATATATTTATTGTTTAATTTAATGAAAAAAAAAAATAACTAAAGCAAAAAATAGATGTGAATATACTTTATTGGGTAATTCTTTATTTTTAATGCATTATTATCATGTTTAATGGATTCTTTAAAATTTTTTCTTTATAGAAAAAGCAAAAGAGAGATGAAAAGGCGGCCACTGTTGGCCTATACGGCCAAGAAAATAGATATGAGATAAAAGAGGAGAAAATGAGAAATGGAGAAGTGAAAAAGGCCTGGGTTGAGGGGCCCACAACCGGTAACTCAGATGTTGTTTCCCTTTCACAGTAAATGCCACATCTCAATGTTGCACTGAGAAAGGGGGGAAAAAAGAAAGTCTTATATTGCAATACTTCAATTCAATTTAATTATATTTACTTAATTCTCTATAGGAATTCTCGACTGCTAAAATTCTTCAAAAGCAGATATTTCATTGGATTGATTTTTCAAAAACGCAAAACACAAAACACCATAAAAATCATGGAAAATGATATAATATTTGCCTCTAGGACATATTTTTTCCTTTGAAAATATTTTTCATAGACATTTTCCTTAAACAATATTTTTTAAATAATTTATATTACATTATTTAGTTATAATATTAAAAATTAGTTAAAAAATATTACCATAATTTTTAATTTATAAGTGTGTACAAATATTTAAATGTATAGTATTTGTAAAATTTATTTTATATATGAGCAAAATACATAAATATAATAAAATTATAGTAGTATTGGTGAGTTCATGGTTGACGGTGGTGTTTACTAATAATTAATGGACTAATGAATATGCTTTTTAAGATTATAATAAGTTTTATTGATATTCAAAAAATATTTTTCCTTCAAAAACCAGAAAAATTATTTTCTCTTAAATGACTTAATTTTCTATTAGACAAGAAAAATATTTTCTACGAACTGATATTCTCAAACGTTCTAATTATCGGAAAATCTGAAAAATATTTGTTTGGACAAAAATAACTTAAACACTAATTGATTCCTACTGTTGAATTCCAACTTGATCATTTCACAGAATATAAATATCTATGTTTAGGGCCCACTTTCACCTCAAAGATCTTATCTCAATGCACCCTCTTAGTATTAGTAACATCTTTAAACGATTCAAGAAGATTACTCATTGAAGCTGCTCCCAGTTGCTCTCAGCTTTTTCCTTTCAACTCCTGATATTTCTGCCGCAAATATCTCGCTTCATACATACAACTCGTGTCGACTGTCCTTGCTCAACGTGTGTGGTCATCAATCTTTGAGGTTTTGAGGATTTCAATTCATTTTCTCACATCCAATTGACATGAAATTGAAATTTCCTTTCGATGTGAATTTATTTATTTCTTCAAAACAAATAATTAATATTATTTATTTGAATATCGAAAGTTCTGGAGTAGGATTTAGAATTTTTCCGGCGTTTGACAAAAAATATTTCCCATGAATAGAATTTTGGTGTTTTTTTTTATTGAAATCACTAGTTAATTTGATGGACTTTTGGTAAAAAAATATTTTTAAATAATTTTTGTTGATTAATGATTACATTTTATAGTTGCATTAAAACTACTAAATGAATTGTGTATTTTACTGAAAAGACGAATTGACAACTTAAAATTTTCATTTTATATTGAAACCACCAATTCGATTGGTGGTTGGAATACAAAATAAAAATTATTGTTAATTTATATAACTACTTTTTAGTGATTGCTTGTCGATACGGATTGCTTTTTCTATTATATTAAAACCACCAACTCAATTATTAGTTTTAATACAATATCCTAAATTCATGCCATGTCATAATAAATATTAAATCGATAAATATTTTTAAAATGACATTAGATTAGAAAATAGTATTAGAAGATTATTATTTTTATCAAAACCCCGTATTCTCCGATTTTTATGGAAGACATAATCAAATATTTCGCAGTGGATGTTGAATATTAGCTATCAAATGATGTTTTCACGGAGGGCCAGAAAATTAAACATTCAGCAGAAGTTGACTCTCTTTTTAACTTTTATCGATTATTTATTTAATTGGCCAACATTTTTTAAAATTTGAATCGGATAATATTTTATGGATTTATTTAGTATTTTCTCTTTTTTTTTTTAACTCATTAATTCAATAAGTAACTTCACGTAAATTTGAAAGTGTTAGAAATAATACAAAATAGAATTATGATAAAACTGAATTTTCTCATTCAAAAATATTGAAGCCTTACAATTGTATACAAATCATTTTTTAAATAAATTATTTTTTGAAAATAAATTAAACACTAATTAATTCATTGGTATTATTGAATTCTAACAGAAAATAAATATTTATGTTTGGGACCCACTTGCACCTTAAACTTCTCGTCTGGATGCATCCCCCAGTTAGTATTAGTAACATCAGATTAAGACGATTCAGAAGATTATATGATTGAAACTGCACCAGTAGCTTTCAGATTAGAAACCTGATGCATCAAGTCTTGATATTTTAGCTGCAAAAACAAAATAAATATCTCACCACTCAACTTATTGTTTAACGTACGTGTATGGTTATGAATCTTTACTGTTTCCAAAATTTTGTTTTTTCACGTCTACCAAAAGCATTGACATGATGATGTTGGATATTTTCCTTTTCATATTACGCCTTCATTCATTTTCATAATTATTATTTTGATTGGACTTGCATATAAATTAAGTAAAATTAATTAATATAATTAAATTATAATTCTTGCTTTGTTTCTCTTTAATATAACCATATATTAAATATTATTTAAAATTAAATGATTTATATTAAATTATAATTAAATAATTGATTAAATAGAGTTTTCTTAGAAGATAAAAGGTTGCTATTTTTAATTTTATTTGCATCAAGATTTATATTAAATTATATTTCTGGACAAATAAGCATATCAAATAAGGGTAACATATTAAACTTCAAAATATTTTTAAATGAATAAAAAAAAAAAGTAAGATAAGAATTATTGGACTGGGAGACAAACTCATTTATTTTTTTTTTTAAATTAAAATTATTTATTGAATATAGAAAGTTCCAGAGTAGGATGTATGATTATATGTACATTCACGGTGAAGACAAAATCAAATGTTATTTTCATGGAGGGCCAGAAAAATAATAACTTTTATCGATTATTTATTAATTTGGTTTGCTGGAAAACGTTTTGCTAACGACAAAAAAAGAAAAAGCTTCTCTTTGCTGCAACTTGTCCTCCAACATTGCTGCAAACAGTTACTGATTTGATATATAAATATCTAATATTTAAATGTTGAGGATGATATATGTAGACATGTATATACAATTGTTACAAATTTTGATTGTTGGCAGCTTATTTAATTAGGGTTTTTAATAAAAATTATAATAATTAAAGAAAAATATATGTGATTATCCTGCTTGAAAAAAATTTGTTTAGACCATGTTATAACGATTAATAGCCGAACACATAATTCATTCTTAAATTTTATTTTTTTTTTATTTTAATCCATCGAACACTTCAATTTATAAAATTTTATTTTTAAAAACTTCAATTTGTAAATTATTTTATTAAACACTTTTAAATTATAAAATTATATCACAATACTATTCATTAGATTAAAATGACAAAATTTAAGAAGGAAAGTATGTATTTAGTGAATAATGATTAATGAAAAGCTGACTTTGATATTTGTCCTATGAATAATGCCTTCCGTTGGAAAGTGAATTGCACTCGACATTGAGAACGTCGATCCTGCTAATGCTGGACTTCTTTCTTGGGCCCATTAAGTATCCATCTCTATTTTAAGCAAATATGGAATTTAAAGAAACTGTATTAAAAAAAGGAATTTTGCAATTTCACACTAAAATATTTTCTGGTTCACCAACAAAGTGAGTGGATTGAAATTTTTTTGCCTGATCTGAAATCCGAATGCTATGTCTACTATATATAAATACTTGAATATTTAAGGAAGAGAAATGTATTTTAGACATTAGAATTTTAATTGCTGAAGAACAAGCAATCATGAATATTATTAGCACATAGGGCGCAAATCAACGGCGAAAAGAAGGATTTTGCTGTGATGGTAGGGGACCAAAAGAACTTGTCAAAAGAGAAAAGTGGAAAAGAACTTGAAAGCAAAAAGGCTTTGTTCAATGACCCATATGCAAAAATACCTTATTCCCAGATAATGGGTCATCTTTTGGGCATTTGTATGGGCTGTTCTTGGGCTACTAATTCAATGATTGTTCTTGGGTTTGAAGTTCGAACTCTCAGTTATTACCAATTAACTTACTAAACTAATAGCTTTACAGTACTTATAATATTTTCACAAGAAAAGCATAAATTTAAAATATTATAAACAGAACTTCAAACCCTCAATTTTGAGAAACACGTATGAATTGATTCGCCCTATATCAATCTATTGCATTAATGGTGAGAATAGGAATGGTAACAAGGCAAGTCAGGGATATTATGGGGTAAAAAAAATCAATGCTTCATCTTGTCTCCTTAAAAAATATAAAATCTTTGTTCCTGCCTTGACTGACTGTAAAAATTTTTATATATTATACGACATATAATATATTATGTATATATAATAAAACTATATATTTATCTATATTAAAAATTATATATATTATACATGTTAAGAAAGAGATTTTTAAGACGGGACATTAAAATGTTAAAAAAACTACCTCATTCAAGGCGGATGGTTCGTGTTCCCGCCACTTTGAAGCATTTTGCCATCCTTAGATGACAATAGATTCATATGTATTTCTGGTAACTTTATATACATGAATATATATTAAATTACAGCGCATATCTATGCATTTAACCAATTCAAAAATAATATTTTTAGATGCATCTAAAATTATATTTAGAGGTGTAAGTAAGGTCAACGTTTCCTTTTCCTTTATCAATTTGCAAACAGTACCTTTCATGAAATGGACATTACCCATAGCCAAACAAATTAGTGAGTAGGAAATTGTGGATGAAAAATGATTTTGAATTTTTGATGAATCTTCCTCGTAAGCAGCCAAATCCTAAATTCGATCTTAACATCTACAAATTTTATGACTCCGATCAGTAAATTGACCACATTCATTATTTGAACCACCCAAGTTGCTTGTGGTCTGCACAATCGACGTAATTAAATAAGTGACTGATCGATCTGCTCCTCCAAGCATAGAGCGCTAAGAAAAAATGGCGACCGGCACAGCCAATCCTGCACTGGATCCGGATCTCGACAAACCCGATAACCCGTCTCACGAATTCGCTCAGTTCGGAGCAGGCTGCTTCTGGGGAGTGGAGCTGGCTTTTCAACGAGTGGTTGGGGTGGTGAAGACGGAGGTCGGCTACTCTCAGGGTCATGTGGATAATCCCAATTACAAACTGGTTTGTACCGGCACCACTAACCACGTGGAGGTGGTGCGCGTCCAATTCGACCCGGAACTTTGCCCATATACCAATCTCCTCTCTCTTTTCTGGTCTCGCCACGATCCTACAACCCTAAATCGCCAGGTACGATTGAGTTCAATATTTGTTTCAAATTTCAAAACTTGATAGTATTAATTATGCTAAAGCTGTTTTCTTGATTCATTTTGGTCAGGGCGGTGATGTGGGTGCGCAATACAGATCAGGAATATACTATTACAATGAAACCCAAGCAAAGTTAGCCCAAGAATCAAAGGAAGCTAAGCAGCTGGAACTTAAAGATAAGAAGATTGTGACTGAAATTCTTCCAGCAAAAAGGTTTTACAGAGCAGAAGAGTATCATCAGCAATATCTTGAAAAAGGAGGAGGTGAGGGATTGAAGCAATCTGCTGAGAAAGGTTGCACTGACCCTATCAGATGTTATGGCTAATTGGCTAGCTAGACCAGTTCTAGCTTAATGCTTGCTTGTTATGCAAACCGGCAGTCGCTTTATGCAATGTAATTCCAGTAATAATATGAATAAACTGCCTTTCTTAATTATTTGCAAAAGAGACAATCTTCAATGATTTTATTAATTTTGAAACAGGAAACAAGGTGTTGAATCACTGATACAACATTATTGAATCTGTGAGTTTGTTGTTAATTGAAACTGATAGCCAAGCTAACATATCAGCGAGCCCATTGCAGCAGCATGTCGTTTTTAGAGTTCATCTTTGGGAGAAGATTTGGTTCCTGTAGGATTATTTGAGGAGTTTTTGATAGGATATGAAGCCTCCATTGCTATACCACACAGTCCTTCTTTCTCTGAGATTCCACGTTTCATTCTTATATAACCTTTCTCTCCCCATTCTTCTCCCCAAGAATTCTTCACAATCCAATATTTGGTTCCATCAAGTGTTGTTCCATAACCCACAATTGCCACTCCATGATCCAGCTCTGTTCCGCAGCTTCCAGTAAATACGCCCTGCAGATTCATGCTAGCATTAGTTAATTAATCAAATCATAAATATTTGTTTTAAGGGAATTATTAAGTTTACCTCTGAGTAGAACTGGAAATCTGAACCTCCAGCATCAATGGCAACAGATACAGGCTGGTTTGCAACTGCTTTGAGCAACGCATTCTCATCATTTTCTGGAACTTTCTCATACCCATCAATGGAGACTGCAGGTGAATTCTCCTGGAAGTAGCATTGCCAATTTTAATTATAATTAAGCAATAACTGATTAAATTACGTCTCATAATCTAAATTAATTAAGGTTAAAGTAAATGAAAACATGGATATAAATTAACCTTTTTAGAATCACAAGTTCCATCTTCAGCTTCATAAGGATAGTTAGCCTCAGTTGTTAGGCCTCCCTTTTGCTTAATGAACTCGAATGCATAATCCATTAACCCTCCATCGCATCCTTGATCCTGTTCAGTGTCACAGTCCACCAACTCTTGCTCTGACAAAGATACTAACTTGTTTGTCTTAATTTGATTAATACCTTCAACTGCGACTACAGTTGAAAATGCCCAGCAACTACCTGTACCACATTGAAAACGACAAAAATTAAATTGTAAGCAATAAATACTGAAATCAAACTTCCTTTATTGAGAGGAGCATAGATTCCATTTTTTTTATAACCTGTCTCTGCATATCCTTCATTTACTGACACTAACCAAAAGGATATGCATAAATCTCTTCATGAATTTGTGAAATAAGACAATAATAAATGAAGTGAAGAACAAAGGTTTTTGCTGACATATTTTACTGCTATGAATTATAACCTGTGTTAGTTAAGAAGGAATGGAAGTCCTTGTTTCGTGGAAAGATGGCTTGGTTAGATGTCTTGCTAGGTAAGTATATATGGTTCTTATTTTCTCCCTGTAAAAGGGGTATGCTGTAACCAAAGAAGTGAGCAAGAGACAGATGAAAATAGAGAAAAAAACAAAAAAAAAAAAAAGTTGCTGACTTGTTCCTTCTGTTATGTTAATGTTTGAGTTTGCGGTATATGTTTTGTTTTTGAGAAATCGAAAAAAAGAAAAAAAGCCGTATAAATTCTTCCCTACTTCACAACAAAGGCTTACCACATTGGCCTTGGTCCTTAACACCAGTGACGGCGCCTTTCTTTCTCCAGTCAACAGACGGTGGGACTCTATCCACATTTTCATACATGAAGCTGACATTTCCTTCTGGTGTCCCTCGAAACATCCGATGATGTTTAATCTTTGATCCGGCATACGAGTTTCTGAATTCATGGCTAGTCAAATCTGCAAACTTGTTAAGTTTCAACTTGTAAGGCTTATCAAGCTTGTTAGTGTTATGAACATGCATGACATTGTGTTTAAACACATTGAATCTCCTGTGTTTCTCATGAAGACTGGTAGAAACAGTGTGGTGGCTCCTCCACCTCTCGTACAAACCCCATAAACTTTCATCAGATGCTAAATCCTTTTCATGGAAATCGAAACTCTCAACAATTCCCAGAATCAAAACCAACGAGAAAGCAACAAGTAGAAAGCTCTTCATTTTCTTTTTGATATGAAAAACTCTTGATGAAATAATGAAGAATAGTAGTTGGTTTATATAGAGAAATGAATAACAGAAGATGAAGAAATGAAAGAAGAAGAAACAAAGAGCAATAAATGAACAAGTTACAGGTTCCTTATGGGCATCAACAATCTGTGATAATTATTAACAAGAAGATATGAAGATTGGGTTTGAGATTGGGAGAGTATATATTTTATTGATGGGGAAAGAGCTGTATGGATATAGTATTGATATATATGTCTATAAACTATCTAAACAAGCAAATAGACAGTCTATATTTATATAAGCAGTGAAAGATTGGTTTTTAACTTTTAATTCACTTTCAGTTGTAGCAGCAAGAAAAGGAAAGAGACACTGGCATTTCTTTGAGCCAGTTACACATAAACAGAGAAAACGTAATGGATGATATGATTTTAATTACATGCATAAATAAAGCACCATCACGTAATCTTTTTTTTTTTCCCCTTCTTTTTTAAATCTTGGAAATATATCAAGATTTGCAAAAGGAGTACATCTGGAATTTAGCCTTTATCAATTTAATCTCCTTTAACATATAAAACAAGTAAATCATATAAAGTAGCTTAAGTGCAATGGACAATTTGTACAAAATCAGGTTACGTGATAAGGCCATCTATAGCATAAAATAGAAGAGAATGGATGTTTGAGTCGCCACGATTTTTTTCAAGTGGGGGAAATAAAGTCTCTCGTAACTGATTTTGCCTAAGCTTTAACTGAAACTCACCGCCCAAGTAATTCAATTTTCAGAACAGCAAGTGATTTTTAGGAGATGAAAGTGCATGACATGACATCTGCATGTCTGCTAACCTTTCCCGTAATTGGAGGATGAGTGGGAAATTCTTCTACTGCCTCGTTGGCCGTTGCTTTGCTTGCCTATCAATCTCTCGTTCCTTCTTCCTTTCACTTTCCTATTATTAACTAATTAATAACAGGTCTAACAGCAATCTCTCATTCATTTTTCCTTTCACTTTCCTATTATTAACTAATTAATAACAGGTCTAACAGCAATCTCTCATTCATTTTTCCTTTCACTTTCCTATTATTAACTAATTAATAACAGGTCTAACAGCAATCTCTCATTCATTTTTCCTTTCACTTTCCTATTATTAACTAATTAATAACAGGTCTAACATCCTCTTCCTTCTCACCATTCCTCATTATTAACTAATCTAATAACAGGTCTACAACAGCAATCTCTCATCTCCACTTTCCTTTCACTTTCCTATTATTAACTAATTAATAACAGGTCTAACAGCAATCTCTCATTCATTTTTCCTTTCACTTTCCTATTATTAACTAATTAATAACAGGTCTAACAAGTCCTGTTAGAATATAGTATTACGTTTCCTGGCGAATTTTACATATAAAATTAAATATTGAAATCAACATTACTAGAGGGATTCTATCTGAAATCCGGTTGTAGGACGACGCGCTCATGCAAACCAAAATTTGAAACTTAATGTGGCAGATATATATATATATAAGATTAAGAGACAAAAAATATATTTGTTGAAAAAGGGAAAAAAAACAAACACGAGATGGTTCATAATTATTTGACTAGATAGTCAAGGTATTGCTTGTGGGGATAAAGTGCCGTAATGCATTGGCAAGTAGTCACTTCTACGGTTAGACTTAGATCACACACACGGAGGAAAGAGAGGGGGGCGAGCCAGCCACACCACCAGCTATGTATCAACAAATTTTTAAATGAAGATAAAGATTCAGCACTTGTTAAAGGAAGCACAAATTGAAAGCTACAGTTATGTATTTAATTACACATTCCGATATTAGAAGATTAGCATTTCCTTCACGATATATTAATAATTAAGATGCCAACCAATAATGGTTGGCTCACTTAATTTACCTGAAATCTTAACTTACTACTTCAGGATTATAATTGTTTTGTTTCCTAAAAAATTTAAAGATAAAGAAAAAAGAAGAATGGGATCTATTAATATGGCACACAGTGATTGGATCATGTAGCGGGAGAGAGGAGAAATTGAAGCCTGCAAGAAATTGCTTGTTGCATTATTGCTGTATTTGTTAGACTCGTTGGAAGCTTGTCAATTATGGAGGTCTTCTTAGGTGTAATGGGAAAACTCCAGAAGATGACTTCAGAATGCGGCCAAAGAGCTACATTCACAACTCTCCTCATACATTTAACAATAACCCACTGAAATCACTAAGTAAATAAACTATTATCAGTACACCTAGAAAATCCTCATGGTAGACTATTTTCGAAGGTTACATTTCTCAGAGAAAAAGAGATTCTCTTTTCTATCTTTAGACTGAAAGAACAATCCAAAATGCTTTCAATTCTCATGCCTTCTAAAGATCCAAAACTCTATATAGCTCATAACATGCTTATGATCCATTATTTAATGCTTTACCTCAGAATAATTCACACCTTCCTAAAGCAAAATGAACAACAAACATATCTACCATTATCTCTTTCTAATCATTTCTGGAAAGCAACAAAAATTGGAGGTTCAGATAAGTAAATACACCTTACAGATCAAGCAGGCTAGCCGCTAGCACATCAGATGCAACAAGTCAAGATTCCGAGCATGGTCATAAGACAGACAAATCAATCTTTTCTTCTTCCCTTTTTTTTTTTTTTTTGAAAAAAAAAAAAAAAAAAAACTACCACTTACAGATCAAGCAGGCTAGCCCTAGCACATCAGACGGATGCAAATGTCACATTCCGCAGCATGGTCATCAAGCGACGACACAATCACATCTTCTTCTTCTCCCACCAACTGCACCCCCTCCCGCTGTCACCCCGATCCCTTTTTTCTTCTTTCTTCTTCGTGTTTTGAAAAAACAAAAAAAAAAAGATTAAATTCGAATGGTTTTCACCAACCACTTCCCTCCTTAAGCATACTTCATATCTACTTTTTTTTTTTTTTTTGAAAAAAAAAAAAAAAAAAGATAATGGAAATGGTTTCACAACAATATCTCCTTAAGCATACTTATATTACTTGGTATGTAACTCCATCAATAATTATGATCATGACTTAAACATCAAAACAACTTTCATACAACAATCATCAATTATTTTTTACCAATCAGTGAATAAAAGCAAAAGAACTGTTTCTGACATAAGCAAATTAATTTGCCGACTCAGTTATTTTCAGCTAAAATTTGTAAAAAGAAGCTCAAAGAGCTACAGGCACTTCAGAGAAACAGAAATTTCATCAAATAAGTAGCTCATGCAAGAGGATCCCTCACTTTAGCTTGCTGCAATAGCTCCTCCCGGACCCTCTTGATCTCCATCTCCTTTTCAAGTCTTTCTTTCTGGAAGGAAGATATCCAAAAGCCAATAAGCAACAAGTTATGATACGCAAAAAGACACCAAATTTCAAGAACAAATTGCTGTTTAGAAGCATCACTACAACAAAAATCAACAAAAGATTTTAAATTGAAAGACAATAAATGAAAAACAATTCCTTTTTCATATATATATATATATATATATATATGATTAAACCTGATGGACAAGACCAATATTTTGAAATTTTCCATCGGTCTGAAGATTGAATAATCCAACTCATAAGGCAAGAACCAAGCATTGATGTCAAATTTCCTGGTCAATCTAGGACCAAATTCTAATACAAATATCAATCAGATGTCAATCCATAGAGGATGTAATATGCAATAGCATAAATTTGTAGCTTAGAGTATAGAAGAGCTACCCTTCTCTAATCTTCTCAATGCCAATTGCAGAAGAACATTTCACTTTGATAGTAATAACCAAGGACTTTGGCTTATCCTCCAGGTTACTTAACCATCAAAAACTATATCAAATCGTCTATCCTTATAACCTTAAAGTTAAACTGTGGCTAAAGTTATGCTATCCTGCAAAACCGCCTCTATTGCTAGCAAAACTCAAAATTGCAAAACCGAGAAGAGAAAAAAAGGGTGGCCTGCAACTACATCCCAAGAGACCAACAACATCAATCTAACCCTAGAACTAGAATTACATCAACAATAGCACAGATACTCACATGCTCAGTCACTGATAGATATTAATATATTCATATTGTTTTCAGATCAAGTTACTATCTCAGAAACTGGCAAGTGATATAAAACCTAATTAAATCAAATGGCACTCTATTTAGGAATTTAACTAAGCAAACTCGCAACAAGTCCACAGTTCGTTCTGCATGCTCAGTGTTCATAAAAGCATGCATCGCTTTTTAACAGCAACTGAATCACCAAAGAAAACCATAAATGGATGATAATGTAGCAATATCGAACGTTCGATAAATTGATAATGATATAGCAATAGCAGTTCCAAGTATAATTACACAACAACACAATATATATATATATATATATATAGCAGTTCCCAAGTATAATTACACAACAACACAATATATAATATATATATATAATATATAATTAATATACCAGCTTATACAGGTTGTCAATCAGCAATCTTTTCAGAATTTAAGGACAAGGGTTGCAAATATAAAAGAAAATTGTCCATCATAAGTTGAATTATAAATTTCAAACATCTTTATATATATATATATATATATATACACTCTATACAGGTTGTCAATCAGCAATCTTTCAGAAATTTAAGGACAAGGTTGCAATATAAAAGAAAATTGTCCATCATAAGTTGAATTAAAATTTCAACATCTTTAACTCTTGGACTCCCTATTTAACATAGAATTCTGTAACATGTCAAGGTTAAGTGGTTACTGTAAGGTTCAATTTCTTGCGTCACCCTTAAGTTCTCAGGCAACCTAATCTAGCGATATATCCTTCAGTTGCCCACCTGGATAATAGCCGCTCTCTTGCTTTCGCATAATACTAAATAAATCTATCAAATTCAGACAATCTGTTCAATAGTATCAAGAAACTACAGTAAGCCCACCTCAAATTTCAACCACATTGTAACATAGTAAATTAAGATCATTAATTTAGTATTCTGTAACATGTCAAGGTTAAGTGGTTACATAAACGAAAACAATTCCTTTTAATCACTCTAAGATCATGACCAAAATTTTGATTAAAGAATCATCTCATTAAATGAATTTGAGGAGCTCCAATTCAATCTTTCAAATAAACATAATTGCACAATTTTAACAGGAAAAGAACGCACCTTCTCATCTTGGTGAAGAGCAATCCAGACATGGACTCTATCCATCGATTGCCAAAATACAAAGGCTCCCAATGACATCGCGAAATAAGTCGCCACTCTCACCATTTTCGCCTCTTCCTCCAAAGTTTTTGATTTAGAAATGACTAGTTACGTTTCATTCAGCAATGGAGAAAGACTTTCGATTTGAGATGAGTGGATTTGGATTTTCCCAATATAAACGGGTCGGATTCGCCGGACAAGGCTACTCACTCTTTCTTGGTTGCTTCGCGTCGTGCACAGATCGATCAATGGGCCAAGCTCGTACTGGATTTTGGATTTCAATTCCCGGCCCAAGCGTTTAAATCGGCGACTCCAACTACCAATCTCAATTCTCAACTATACAAGCTGGACATCACGCAAAGAAACTTTTCCTTGTATAGAAGGAAATTTTTCTTCTTCTGTTCGAATTATGAGCAGACCATGACATGTTTGCTCTCGTTCAAATGGCCCAATACGTGTTTTCATCCCTTAATTTTCAGTAAAAAATTTTATAGTTCCTAAGATTTTGCGAGTTGATCAATTTATGTCATTAAAATTTTAATTTCAATAAATCGTAGACACTCTATTGTATAACTCAAAATATTATTCTTACCCACTGGTCTAATAATAAAATCTGAAAAATATTATTTTTGCCCATAGGTCTAATAATAAAATCTCTTTATAATAATAGATAATTAAATAAAATAATATTAAAGAGTGAATTTTTTTTAAAAAAATAATACCATGATTATCAATTTTTAGCAAAACGCATAAAAAAAATCTCCAATTCCTAAAGATTTACTGTATACCTAAGAGAAAAAACCAACATAAGATTATGAAATGATGAATTTGATATACTCGATTGGAAGTCTTTGGGAGTTTGTATAATTAATTAATTGTAATCAGCTACTTCCTACTACTCTCTTTTATCTATTTTTATATGATGATTAAGAACATAATTAAATCACATAAAATATAATAAAATACTAGTTAATTTTGATTAAATCACCATTTATTTCACGTAATTTTCTCTATTAATATGCTAAAACTAAGATGGGTTTTAAGAAATTATAAAAAATAATTTGTATTTAATAAAGATAAAAATAAAATCGGAAAAGATTAATTGATACTCTTAATCTTCTCGAAAGACATACAGCAATTATTATAAGCAATTTTCTTTGAAAAAAAAAATGGAGAGACTTCCAAATCTTGTCTGCTATAAAGTACTTGCTTTAATATAATGTGAAACCTGAAAGATTGAACACGAATAAAAGGATGACAATCTTTTTCTTTAGGGCAATAAACAAAGTAGAACACGAATTCGATTTTCAAACCAAATTTTCACAAGAAAGTCGCACAAAAAACACACATAATACACAAAACTTTCTTTTAACAATCTCAAAGTTCAACCATAAGTTCCATGAGAACAAACTGTGGTAAAGGGATCAGGCAAAAACAATAATAATAATAAAAAAAAAAAAAAATCAATTGAGGCAATGAGGTTGAGCAATATACCTCAAGGATCACGTCCAAGAACTTTAATCATGTTTAAATACTTACAAGCAATCAACCCATTCATGGCTTTCTATTTACAGTATAGTTTTTCTACAGTGGTAATCCTTCCTGCTAAGCACATTCCTCTTCCCCTCAACAGTCATTCAAACAGTCATTCCCAAGTTAACTTATATCATATCATGAGCCAGCAATCACAAACTTGTTAGTAAGCCGAGCAGTAAAATTTTGCAGAGGAATGCAACCAGATTCGGGGTTAACAATCTGACATATTACACACACAAGGAAATAATCATGTCCAGGTATAAATAATTCCATTCTTGTCTGCTGTGGCTAACGGTTTGCCAAGTCCACTCCATGAACAACAGAGAACAGAAGTTGTGTGCTCCTTCAGAGTGCTTACTATATCAGCTTTTGATACTGACCAAATGTATACAGACCCATCAGCTGATCCAGCAGCAACGTAGTTGTCATCAGGACTGATGCAAGAGCGACTCCAATTAGATGCTACTCTGTTTCCACTTGCCCTTAATGTACCACAAACTTCTAAAGATCTCATATCAAATAAATTATGCAAGTTATCTCTCCCACTTGTCAATATAACATTTCCATTTCGTGATAGACAGATAGATGTAATAGCAAGTGAATGTGCAGCAACTTCACTGAGTAGCTTTCCTGTTTGAATATCCCACAAGCGAAGATTCCCATCAACATGGCCCGAACAAATGGTCTGTCCGTCCATACTAAAGCACAGCGAATTGCAGTTGCTGTGGAAAACAATAGTGTTGGTGCAGTAACCTTTTTGCAAATCCCAAACTTTTATAGTACGATCATAAGCAGCACTGACAACATGACGACTTGAAATTTTGCTGACATCCACAGCACACACTTTATCAATGTGCCCTGTGAGAGTGTGACGGACACGCCCTGAGTAGGCATCCCATGCATACAAGTTATTTGAGCTACTAGCAGCAATGACAGATTTATTATCATGGGTAATGCATAGATCAAGAACAGAACCAAGGCAACCATAAAGGGTACGACTTAATGATCCAGTATTTGTATCCCACATTTTGATTGAGCGATCCTGTCCACCGCTAATCAGTTTGCTAGAATTATACTCGAATATTATAGAAGCACAGCCACCCTCATGAGCTGTAATTTTGTGCTTGCATACCGATGGAACAGTTGATTCCACAAAGTACTCAGCACCATCTTCATTTTGTCGGACCACTCCATCCACTTGCTGCCGAGCCAGTCTCTCCAAACCACTTGCCTTGAGCCGATCAACCATTTCTTCATATAGAGCATTGGCCTAAGTTAAACACGGAAATCATTGATTAGCCATATACACAGCATGAGAAAAGCAATAAGAAAGCAATTTAAGTCCATAAAAGCAGGATAAAGAACATGAACACAACAAACAAAACTCATAGTCACATGACTCAATATTGCTCTGCAAATTGTTTACGTAAGATCACCATGCAATGCTTCACTAACACCATCTCCATGTGTGAAACCAAATCAGAAAACAATACAAGACAACTATCTCAACTCCAAATCCTCTAAATGACTAAAATGGCCCTTCCAGAACCTATCAAGTTTTCTAGAATTGCTAGGGAACTATAATAACTTAAGTAAATTCTTTTAGAAAGCATATTCCACAGGGAAAAAAAAACCTCTATAGCAACATTTTCATTTCAATTATTGCAATGATATAAAGTACCTCATTAAGACGTTCAGCATCCTGCATCTTTTGCAGCATCCAGCGATCAACTAACATCTTATTTTCGGCTTCCGCATTCTTAGCTTTGACAATCATCTCTTCCAATTGTGTTCGAAGTTCATGATTCTCACTTACAACCAATTCTAGAGCCTTAATCTTTTCTTCTAAATCTGCCCTTAATTGAGAGCACTCATCCCTGCAGCACAAATCCATGTTTCAATATTTCCTGACACCATAAACCTCAAAACATCTTCCTAGCTGGCTAAAATATAGATAGAATGCCAACCTTGTTTGTATTAACTCCTTTTGCAAATCAGTTAAAGCTGCTTCTTTTTCTTCCAGTAAAGCTTTTGATGCTCTGGACTCTGCTACCTCCACAACAAGTTGCTCAGACAATCGAGATTGAGCTTTGTAGCATTGCTGAAGTTCCAATTCCAGATTTTCTGCTTTCTCCTTCCATTCTGACCCCTTTCATAAATATAAGGAACAAAAAATTATACCGTTAAGAGAATAATTATGAGTCAACAAAGCAACAATAACAAAAATTACAATGATAGTAATTTAAAAAAAAAGAATAGAAATTGATGTTCAGACAATTGAAGTAATTGACCAACGAAACCATTACCAGGTATATAATTCAAGTATTAGCTTTTTCCCAATAGACAATTGCTAGTAGCAATTGTTTGTGTGTGAGTGCGCGTGAGAGAGAGAGAGAGAGAGAGAGAGAGAGAGAAGACCTGAGAGATAATCGGTCTGGAAAGAGCAGTATAAGCGGGAGCATGAGCAACTTCTTCAAGCAAATGCCGCTTCCTTAGGGCCTTTAGCGCATGGTTTATAGCTTCTCTCGCAATCTCTTCCCGAAACCTGAAACATTCACACGAAATTAAATCATCGTCTCTCTGGTTGTTTGGCAGCTAAGAAAACGCAGGAAAATTAACAGAAAGAAAATCAATACAACTAAAAGTAATCTAGAAGCTTGACTTAATTGAACTCAATTATGGACAGAAATTTTTTTTTTTTTTAAAAAAAACGGAAGTTAATGAATCTAAGTTAAAAAGAAAAATAAAGGAATCTAAATTACTTACATATTTTGATTGAATGGGTATCAGCCTCGACCGTATCTGAATTAGGGTTTGTAGAAAAAGAATGAAATGTTGGAAGAAGGTGCAATTTATGCAACTTAAGAAATAGAAGGAACGCCCAACTTGTCTTAGATTTCGATTAGATTGAATAAAGTGAAAGTTTTGAGGACCCAACAATTATTTAGGAAAGAAAAAAATAAGGAACGGTTGAACGATAGAGCACAGAAAGACTCAGAGTCTGGAGACTTGGATTAAGAAAGGTGGCGCCGCTAGGCCCACAGTTCTTACTGCTGTTTCATATCGGGTTGGGCTAGCCCAACAGTGGCTTACTTAATTTATTAAGTAAATAATAATGTTTTTTTTTTTTTCAGATGATGAGAACTGAGAAGACTGTAATTATATAATTATATTTTTATTCGTAGGGAGGTCTACGTAATAGACTCGCTTATTTCAATTATTTAAGTTTGTCCTAACTAGCTTCACCTAATTATTTGGATTATCCTATTCATGTTTTAATAAAAATTAATTTTATTAATTTAATTAATGAGTGAATTTATAAATCCGGACAAATCAATTCTCTTATTTTGATGCATGCGATGGGAAATCATTATCATATACGTAATCGAACTACTAACCTTACAACACTTGTACGTACAAGTACCAACCAGTCTAACCTAACAGGTTTTTCTTCAAAAAAAAAAAAAAAAAAAAAAAAAATTTTAATTAATTTAATTAATGAGTGAATTTATCAAATCGCGGACCAAATCAAATTCTCTATTTTGGAAAATGCAATGCGATGGGAATCATTATCATATACGTAATCCGAATAGCAACGCTTACACACTTGTACGTAACAAGTACCAACCAGTCTACCAGCACAGGTTTTTTTCCTTCAAAAAAAAAAAAAAAAAAAAAAAAATCTTGCTAAAGGCTTAAACGTGCATTCTAGTCTTTTTCAGAGAACTATTTCACTTAGCAAACAAAAAACTGCACTGGTTCCAAGGGAAAGCTTTTTCGACAGACCTAACACTAAAAAAAAAAAAAAAAAAAAAAAAATCTTGCTAAGGCTTAAACGTGCATTCTTAGTCTTTTTCCGAGAACTATTTCACTATCAGCAAACAAAAAACTCACTGGTTCATGGAAAGCTTTTTCGACAGACCTACACTTATCTCAGTGACTAAAACTTAAAAGAACAAGAGGCAATCTTGCAAGTAGATAGACTGATTATAACCTGTGAGCTTCATTTCTTTTGGACAAAGTAGAATAAAGAGGTTAGAATTCTTCCATTAACAATCAACGATAACAATCCCACCCGGACCCAGTATATCAAACCCTACAATCCCATTAAACAGTTATTATGCAACTTCAATGAGCAAGGCACACACTCTGAATTCACTAGTTAAAATACCAAATAATTTTCCCTTTTTCCCCATTTTCCTTTCCCCTTCCCCCCAAAAAACCAATAGTGCACAAATTTTACAAAGGACTTGGGCTTCTATCCAGCACGAATCCTATCCAGCCAATCGACGCTTTTCCGTGCCTTTTCTAGTTGTAGGTCGATGCTTCTTCTAGATTTCTCGTGGTATTCCACACTTCTCCGCGACCTCTCCATTTGGTCAAAGGAGACCTTCAACTTTTCTAGTTTTTCAATATTGGTAAACTTGTATTCATGAAACTTCAGTTTTTCAGGTCTATCAGTGCTTTTTCTTGGTTTCTCCCTCCGGTCTGTACTCTTCCGTGGAGCCTCAAAACAATCGGTGCTCCGTCTAGGCTGTTCCATACCATCTACACTTCTCCTAGAAGTATTTCTTCGTGAAGGTGATTTCTCCACTGTTGATATGAACTTCTTCAGATGCCTAAGATACTCTGGATACAGCTCTAAATCACAGTGATTACCTCCTTTGAGCCATAGTGGTTCATATTTCTCTTGACATAATTCCCAAAGCTGCTTGCCATGAGAACAGTCAACTACTTCATCAGAAGTTCCCTGTAAGAAAGCAAGCAAACCAGACAGTGAACACAAGACAGACAGCCACAAACTCAAATGATAACATGGAAAAAATTAGCATAACAGAAAAGCCACTTGGTATCCTAGGTGATTATAACTAAAAAGAGCTAGGGTGTATCCAAATTCACCCCCAACAATAAAACTAATTTTAAACTATGCATCAATTTGATTCCTATATAAAGTCGATCACTGATAATTTTTCTTATATCTTGTATTCCGAAATCTTTTTCTTAGGATCAATGTCTTTCCTACTGATATGGATAAATAGTCATGCACAATGCACTAGTTAATCACCCAAGTATTCCACATCATACAAGTGAAATGACAAAGCACAGTTCTCATGGAGAATCCATGTGTTCCCAAGAATTTGTGTAAATTTTAGAAATCCTTCATACAGCATTTGTTTAGTTGTTGTCCAACACAAAACAAGAATTGCATAAATATAAATTTAAATAAACAATATCATAATACAGTTCCATGCAGTTGCTAAAATCCAAGTGTTGCGTTCCAATACTTACATGGATAACCAGCACAGGGCACTTCACCAATGGAATCTTGTCTATGTTCTGCACAACAACCAAGTAAAAACGAAATTCAGTTCAGAGGCATCTCTGGCAGCAACTATTCTTTATATTATAAAGGAATAGATTCAAGAAGATGAAAAAGCATATTTAACCTTGTAGATATCAAACCAATATGTGCGTTTCACAGGATACATGACTCTTAACCCTGACAGTATAGGACTATGCAGAACAACAGCTCTTAACCGGGGTAAACGTGCAGCAAGATCCAAAGTAGGCCCACTACCAACAGACTGACCATAAAGGATTATGTTCTCCTGCTTGGCACCATAGCTCTCTTCAAGACACTTATAAGCAGCTTCAATGTCAGCATAAGTATTGTGCTCACTCGGCTGCAGAAGGCATATGCATGAGCTTTAGACAAGCTGCTGGTGATAGTAATTTCAGTTACATATCAAATATGACAAGATTCGCACTGCCTACCTTTCCTGATGACTGTCCATAGCCTGAGTAGTCATACCTGCATAAATTGGGGTAAAGGTGTTTACGTACTATAATTAACCAGAGGATGACAGCATAAGCTGACGCATGCATTACTCTATTAAAGAGCAGGACCTTGAGTGATACTCTGGGAAAATTTCTGGTGTGTTAAGCATTGATGCATAGTGTCAGACAAACATCAATCTGTTAACAACAAATTATCATTCTTATAGAGAAAATTAAAGTGCAAATTCTATACAATTAAAGTAATTGAATTTCCAGGCCCTACTTTGCTTCATCCATCAAATAATAATTGCAAAAAAGATGCTCGCACCACAGCACACTGTTCCAACTTCAACACATTTTGGTCCATGAATTCAAGCAATAAAATACTCTATGCACAATTCAACTAAGATACTTACTTAGCAGGCAGGTTCAGACTTCCAAGATCCATGCACCTTTTATATATGGTTTTAAGAAATTGATACAAAATTCAGTTAAATCAACAGATATGGTGATCTGAGCTTCCCAGAAATCTTAGTGGAAAACCAGTCAGTTAAATCTTCAACAGCTCATATTTTTGTCTTCAAACTAAATTACATGTGTGATCTTCTTGCTCTTCTTTTGTCCATATCAGGTTAATTTATGTTTGACATTTTCTTTGAAAATGAAAACATAGAATTAGGGAAGAAAAGAAGTAGCTTTACACATTCTAGGGCCCAAAAACTTACCAGACTCAGGACAAAAACCTATGACAATAAAAATTGAAAAAAAGAAAAAAAGAAATAATCAAACTTTCAGTTGAAATATTTCTATTTCCTGTTAATGCAAATCAAAATACTGATTGCAGACTATATAAATCACCAAGAGGCAAGATCTTTCATCTCTTCGCATCTAGGCGGAATAATTACCCTCCACCAAGGTGTTGCTGATCACATAATTAACCAGGTATGCTACTTCCATAGATCAAAATCCAAAGGATATTCAGTTCCCCAAAATCAAATGTCATATAAATAAAGAAACACATGCAATCAATAGACCAAGAGTAACATCATATACATATGATGTGAATGGGATAGATCTACTGAAAGAACATTTCAGTTCCCTTTTTAGACAATCTTTAGTAAGAACAGCCAAACCTGGCACAAACATACACACATGAACCACTTGATCTGCAACAGTCTCCATCCCCTTTAACCTAATCACAGCCACGCTTGATCAAAATGACCTTTCAAAATCTAAACAAATTACACTTTTTACCAAGCTATCTATAATCTGAAATATATCTTTCTAACATCCATTCCTTCGAGTATTATAAATTATACACCAAAGCTCTAAATTTCAACTGGGTATCATACATTCATTTAAATTTCCACAACACACCTTCTGCACATGCACTATAAGAACAAAAATTTCGAAACTGAAGAAAGGGTAATGCGAAAGTGAAGTTACCCCAAGAGATTGACACGCAAGTGGATACTCAATTCGATGAAGAGCTCATACATCTGGCCAATATCAGCAGCATTTCCATGAGAGTACAGCAGAGTAGAAGTGGCCATGGGATACCTAACATACACAGCAACGATCTCAGTGCCTCGGCGAGTAGGTAGGCGCAAGACGTCGACGTTTTCACGGTGAGGGAAGTGGTCTAGAAGCAAAAGGCCAGTAGCATCATCAGCAATTAACTTGTAAGAAGGGGGGTTCGGAGGAAAAAAAGCGAATTTTGCTGCCATAGAGGAAGTCACCCCACCCATTCTGTATATTTATATATATTTATCTAGAAGCAGAGTTGTATTCTTTAGAGAAACAGTCAATTAATGATATTAATAAGAGGAGGAGGAGGAGGAGAAGAAGAAGAAGAAGATGAACATTCCCTGCCTTTCTCTTTTCTTTTCTTTTTGGCAGAGAGCATGTAGTTGTTCTTTGGCATTAGCTCTGAGAAAGAAAGAGAGAGAGGTCAGACGTGGTCAGTCGTGATATGTGAAGTGAGAGAGAAAGAACGAGAGGATTAATTTTGTGGGTGGAATTTTCTCTCTTGCCCGTTTAGAGGGCAATGATATGATTACAGCTTGTCTCATGCGGATGTTCATGAGACCTTTCTCACGTGTTAAACTACTGTCCTGTTATTATTTTAATCGCTTTTCATTAATTTTCATTTCTACCCTTATTGTTTTTGTATCTTTCCCTAAGTTCCCAAAAGTTTCCTTTTCCTTACATTCATGTTCATGTCCAGTTAATTTTTTTTCTTTTTTGAAAATACTATTAGTTTTTTAATCCGGCCTATAAAAATGAAGAGTTTTTATAATGGCTAAAATAATTCATTAAATAATAATATAAACATATTTATTTATTGATGAATTTCTTACAAAACCTATTTTACTAATGGAAATATTTCGATTCAATTGTTTATTTAAACATAATAAATAAATATTTAGACTATCGAAAAAATTAATAATTAATGTTAAATTACAATAAATAATAGAAAATTCTCTTCAATTTGTAAAGGGATTTAAAATTTTAAATTAAAGTTATCCTCTACCTTTTTTTTTTTTTTTTCGAATAAATAATATTTTAGACTATCGAAAAAAATTAATAAAATAATGTTAAATTAAATAAATAATAGAAATTCTCTTCAATTTGTAAAGGGATTTAAAATTTTAAATTAAAAGTTATCCTCTACCTTTTTTTTTTTTTTGAAGACATAAAAAAAAAAAAAAGAGGAAAAGGCATTTAACTTTTATATGAGCAATAAGTAATTGGTTGGCCCAGTAAGGAGCAAAATTTGACTGAAAAACCCTCTAATAGGTCCTAAAAACGTGAAATGGAAGGCAGTAAGCAGGCTTAATCAATTAGTTTTACAAAAGGCAGTATGCTTAATTGCTTACTAATCACAACAATGGACAGATAAATACCTTGAATAATTATGCAATAAAGGAAAAATGAGAGGACATCATTGCAAAAGTGCCTTTTTTCTGTGGACTCACACAGGGAGTCCAGGTTGTCCCATTTTGTTACGCGTGTCTGCATTATTTCCCGACTGACCTCAGTCCTCAGCAAATAACTCTCCTCTGCTTTTCGAGTATTTATTATTGGAACACGTATAAAGCTAAATAAAAATAAAATTTAAAATGATATTTTTACAAATATATATTATTTAGGAGAGAAAAATCAAAATTTGGGAGACAAATATGGGCATTTTCAAAAACATAAAAAAGAGCTGGGGCAAATATAAATATTTAAAATTTATGTAAAATTGAGGAAAGAAAAAATTTAATTTTGAAAATTAAGGAACAATAGACCTTTCAAGACACAACAATAACTCACTCCCACATGCATATGATTGTAAATAAGTGAAGTTATTCATAAGCTGATGGAATTCAAACTCTTCTTTCAATAACATTTACTTTAAACCTTGTAACTTTGCAAATAAAGTGCATAATGCATTTTTAATTTTCATATTAGTAAATAAATATTAATCAAATGTGTATTTTATCGTTGATTTTTTTTTTTTTTTTTTTTTTTTTTTAATATTTCCAAATATTAGTAAATAAATATTAATCAAATGTGTATTTTTATTCGTTGATTTTTTTTTTTTTTTTTTTTTTTTTTTTTAGGGGGTTACGTTATCATTGAATTGAAATTATTAGTGTTAAAAGGAAAAATTAGGCTTCAATACAATCCCCAATACATGTTTGTAGTGAATAAGACAGTTTGGGTCCTAAATTAAGAAGATACATGTAATACAATGGACCAACAACCGTAATCTTTAATTTAGATATGATTTTTTTTTTTTTTTTTTTTTTTTTGAGGGGGGTTACGTTATCATTGAATTGAATTATTAGTGTTAAAGGAAAAATTAGCTTCAATACAATCCACATACATGTTTGTAGTGAATAAGACAGCTTTGTCTAAATTAAGAAGATACATGTAATACATGGACCAACAACCGTATCTTAATTTAGATATGAATGTGATTAGATAATTGCAACTACTGGTCTGAAATAAACCAAAATCAAACAGTTTCTTGTTAATGTCTAGTTTTAAAAGCATAGGACCCAGGCCATATTAATGTACATGATGGGTTCCTAAGAAACAAAGCCACTTGATTCCACGGTTTTTAACCTTTGGATCTTGAATGCTCACCATAAACTATTATTATACATAGACGGAAAAATTGACTCTTTTAAATCTTGCTTTTTCAGATTGCATATTGAGGTTTAAATTTATCTGAACGGTGTGATTTTATACCAAAAGGGGCCAAGGAAAAGGAAGATTAGAGGAGAAAAGATGGATTTAGCCTAGGATCCCTTTCAATCAACTTTGATGTGTTGTTTTTGCACTATGGAAATATTTTTCATATTGCCAAATCAGTTGTCCATTCACCCTTTTTCTCTTGATGCTAAGGACTACATCGCCAAAATATTAAGAAAATTCTAAATTTTGAATTTTGACTGATTTTAAATTATTTTCACTTATATATAAGTCAATCAAATAATTAATTTGCCAATAATCATTTTCTAAGTTTATTATGAATGGTTAAAATAATTGTATTTAATATGTTATAATCGTGACATGGTTTAAAATAATTAAATATAATAATATATTTTTCAAAAGTTCACCTCTAATCGAACTTCATTTGATAAGAAATGTGAAAGTTGGAGGAATATATAGTGATAAGTGTGAAATGTGAAAAAGCTTGAAACTTAAAACCTAGAGCAGAGCACCACAAATCTTCTTGGTTCTTACCATTCCAAAGATCAAAGACGGTAGTATGTTAATGCTGGTGATGGCCAAGACAATATCCTCGAGAAGGAGAGACTACCCACATGTGTTCTTGTATGGGTCGCCACTTGCTCTTCTTCTCATGTTCCTCGTATCTTCAAATCCCCCACGTCCTTTTCCTTTCCCCTTGTTGATGGGTCGATCTCACAACTGCCCTGAATTACATATTTTTGTTTTTATCTCATGTATTCATGACAATCGACAAATGTTTTTTTTTTTTCTTCTTAAGTTTTAATTTTTTAAGGAGAAATATTTTCGTTCGAGAATTCAACTTATCTAATCCTTATATGTATAAATAAACCTATCAAAATAGAGAGTTTTTAAAAATTATTTTTACTGTATCCTTTTGTTTATAGTGAATAGTCGAAAATAACCTCGTTTTAACAAAATATTAAGTTTCATTGATCAAATTTAAATAAGCCAATCTCTTCCTTTTAATTCATATTCAAGTCGAGGTGAATTTAAAAATATATTTTTATGTTTAAGATGATGTAAATTCAAAATTATCTTTTGAATATATCCCTTTAAGGTATTAGGAGTTTGTTTCTTGGTAATATTCACAGGGTTTTCTACTGAAGACATTGTATAACGTAATTTTTGTTTTTTCGCTTCCCTTTTTCCAAAAAATAAAAATAAAAATAAAAATAAAAAGAAGAAGAAACGGGCCATATCTCTTTACAAGAGGATTGACAAACTGGGCCACTCATGCAATCACTACTAGGCCCATCATTTTTGAAGATCTTAATTAATGAGATAAAAGTGCAGTTTTGTGGGCTTGAAGCCTTCGACATTGTAGAGTTGATTTGGAGCTTCAAACCCTTATTTACAGTGTTGGATCGTCCAGTTTGATTCAAAATAGGAATGACTCTGTAATATTTCCACCGTACACGTGTCGAAAATCTCAATTCAACAGATCTTAGACAATACTTTATGGTATTTGTATTTAGTGGCTAATCACATGATTTGTAATCATTTACTAAACTAAACATCAATTTTTAAAACCTAAAACATTTTCTTCGTGCTACCATCCAAGCACTAAAATATGACTTACTTTTTGAATACATTTCATAAATTTATGCACAAAATGTGATTAGCAGAGACAAAGAGTGGTGTAATCATAATTAATTAATTAATTAAAATGAAGTCGTAGCATGATTTGATTCCATGAATGTAGCACATGAGTTCACGCAGCTAAAAAGTGTCAATATGATTAACCTTAATTAATTACTAATTTGTTTATTCACCCAAGACATTGGTTTTCTATGTTAGCTTGACGGTTGTTATTTGTTTTATTTTATTTAATTTAGTGACTAATTAGCGATTATAAATTGGAATCTTTGTTGTTAAACAATACCTTAATTAATATTCACTCAAAAGGCCAGACCCACTGATTAATTTTGGGCAACCGACACACATACGTAATAAAATATTACCAATTATTTTTAGTGGTTGCTCGGAAAATACTATACTGTACATCCTCCCAGACAAAGCAGAAAATTATCATTATTATTTTTTAAAATAATAAAATGAGCAGCTACACAAATATAATCTTAGAGTTCAATTTTGTAACAATATACCTTTGTATTTCTTGTAAAATAAATAAATTAATAAAAATAAAAAGCTTGAGTGGAAACATATTCGTGGTACATTTGTAGTTGATTTCATGGCCCACCAACTAATCACCTCATCTTTTCAGTTTTTGCCAAGTGTCAACTCTACAATAACCTAAAACAATTGTGTCGTCCCAAAGCTTACCAATGATTCTTTCCTTGGCTTAATCATCTATAAATGTAACTATATTAAGAACAAATCACATAAATGATATTTGCATTGCAAAGAATAGATGTTCTCCCATGGATCCCTTTACTCCAAAATACAACTGCCTCACCACTCTCAAAACCCCAACCCCACAACAAATCACCTGCTTGGCACTCCACAACAATTTCCTGTACGCTGCATCAATAAACGAAATCAACGTCTTTGATCTATCTACCTATACTCAGATTGACACATTCTCTACAAATGATCCAACTTCCGGTTCCATCAAATCCATAGCATTCCATAATACAAAGATCTTCACTGCCCATCAAGATTGCAAGATCAGAGTCTGGCAAATTTCTCAATACTCCAAAGAACATCAACTTCTTTCCACTCTTCCCACTGTTAAAGATCGTCTCCGCCATTTCATGTTGCCGAGAAATTATATTAACGTTAGGCGTCACAGAAAGCGGCTTTGGATCGAACATTGGGATGCTGTTTCTGGGTTAGCTGTGCATGGAGGGTTAATATATTCTGTTTCTTGGGATAAGAGTTTTAAGATATGGAATGTGAAAAATAATAGGTGTTTAGAGTCGTTGTTAGCTCATCAAGACGCTGTTAATACTTTAGCTGTGTCTGATAATGGAACCGTTTATACTGGTTCTGCTGATGGATTCATTAGGGTTTGGGAAAAAGTTGGCGACAAAAGAAAACATAGTTTAGTTACTACATTAAAGAAGCATAAATCAACGGTCAATGCTCTCGCATTGAATGGTGATGGATCGGTTTTGTTCTCAGGTGGCTGTGACCGTTCGATCATGGTGTGGGAGAGAAAGGAAGTTGATGATAATGCACATCAGATGGTTTTTGTGGAAGCATTGCGGGGTCACGAAGGGCCTATATTATGTTTAACGAATGTAGATCATTTGTTAGTCAGTGGATCGTCGGATCGAACAATTAGGATTTGGGAACATGGGAAAAAGAGTGGGTATTGTTGTATGGTAGTATTGGAGGGACATGAAAGGCCAGTTAAGTCAGTTGTTGCAGTTAGAAGAAGTGGTTGTAATAATGGTAGTTCCATGTTGTCGATATGCAGTGGAAGTCTTGATGGGGAGATAAAAGAATGGGAGGTCTCAGCTGATCAGCTCAAGCCCGAAGAAGATGGTTGGTAATTAGCAATTACTCTAACAATAGCTAGCTTATAATTAATTAATTAGGAAAAATGAAACAGAAAATTAAAAGAGAGACAGAAAAAAAAAAAAAACACACTAAAGACTGTCTCCTGATTTTACATTTAAATTATAATCATATATGTCTTTGTTTCTCTCTGTATTGATCTCATTTATTTATTACAGTTTCTATATTATGATTTGATTTGTGAGGTTTTCTTTTTATTTTGAGTCGTGTTTAATCAAAATTAATAATTTATAATATAGATATAAAAATTGCAAAAAATGAAGGAAACAGGTATCCATCCAAAGGGAAAACATTCTTTTCTTGTGGCAGCAAATGTAGAATATGTGGATACTGTAAGTGGAGGCAGCTTGCCTTTTGGAGCCCATCATTGAGTGCATGTTTCGTTTGTACTTAAAAAAATAGCAGCTGATTGCTTTTTCTCCTTTTGAGATGTCGATCTTTTGTTGTATGTTTCTTAGTTCCTTCCTTTCTTCTTACTTCAACAGATGCTTGTCCATAAAAAGAAATGTCAACATGCTTGAATTAATATATTAAGCCTCCATAGCTTTAAAGTCTTAGATCACCTCCACATAATGTGTAAACTGCATAATTTTTTAATTAGAATCAGATAATTTTCAATTTTTTTTCTAAAACTACATTTATCATGGAATTTATTGGTGTGTGCTAATTAACTGATTGGGCTTAACAAAGGTGATTAATTTATCTTCAGAGAAATTAGGATTAGCTAGCAGTTGTGACTGTGTTTAAAGCATTGTCTAAATGGTAGCATGTGGGATACCATTAAGCAACTTAAATTATAGGTTAGTGACTAAACTGCATAGTTAGTGCATTATGTCGCCTTTGCGTAAGTGCTTACGCAATTTCGAAGCTTTAAAAAGAAAAAAATAGAGAAGCTGCATTGAATTAATGTTTGCTAATATCAATCAACATGGACCTAGAAAAAAAAAATAATAATAAAGAAAGGATTTAGTTGCATCAATAATAGGAAAAAAAGAAAAAAACCTAAAAATAAATTATGGCGTAGCCTAGTAGCCTTCGGACCAATGTGTCCCCATCACTATTTTAGTACTAAAAGAGTCGTGCAAGACAAAGAATTGCCCTGTGCTGGGAAATATTAGTCTTTATGGATTAATGGCTGCTCTGGAAATTTCAGGCCCTACATTGACGGAGAAACAAGTGCTAAAAGAAAATTCTCGATTATCAAATCACGAATGAGACTCATTTTGCTCTTAATTAAGAACCTACGGAGCAATCAATCTTTAATATAATGCTCGTCGTCCATGTGCGAGTCTCGCGGTGGTCCGGTCAAGGTGAGTTCATAATTTCAGAGAATACAATTATGATCATCCAATTAGCATAAGACAATAAGAAAAAAAAGGAAAAAACCACTAATCTTGATAACTGGACATTGCGTTTCCCCTAAATATTCTTCTTGAATTAACAAAAGATACCCATCTAATCATATATTATTCCAAGATAAGAGATTGTTCCTGTTTAGGAACCTTCCCGTGACTGTTTTAGGATAAGTTTCAAATACTTACTCAATTAGATCATCAGTAAGTATATCAGTGCAAGTTCAATGCTACTCATACGTTATGAAACTATCAGATAATCGGTACGTACTTTCCCAGTTCTAAATGCGGAAATGCTAACCTTCTATTTCCCTTTTCATTAGAGGTTTATGAGTTTGAAGACGAACCAATTGATAATCACCAAATTCTGCACCTTCCTCCTAACTTGATGATATTATAAGCAACAAAAATTGCTCATATTGGTTACAACTGTTATTCTGTCAGTGTGGATGCAAGAATAGTATTCCAGAAGCAAAAGAAACAGTGATTATCCGGTTCCTGATTCAAGTTTTACTCAAACGTAAAGCAAGACAAACATTTGGGGAAGTTAACTAGCACATATTGTGAGTTGCTCGTCCTGCTCAAAATTGATTAATTTTACCTGTGAATGGCTGCACTCTAACCTTGACCATTCTACAAAACAAAGGTCTGAAAAGGAGAGAATTTAGTGCTTCCATTTCAAGAATTTAAGCCCAACCAATCAACACATCTATTTCATTCACTATAGGAACTCCAACTTCAGTTAATCTTCAGACCAGTTAGCAGTATTTTTAGTCTAACAAATTAATCCACATTTTTGTCCCATACAGCAATCCCTCCATCCAGACATGAAATCTGAATTTTGGAAAGGAAAGAAGTAATCGAAATCAATCTGACGGAGGTTTGCATATAGCAGTTGAGTTGAGGTAGCTACATTAAAACAGCAAAACAAAACCCTTTGTCTATGTTGTTGAGTTATATTATATCGATCTGAGAATTGTTCTCATTCACAATCATTAATCTATGTTGCAAATGAAACTCAAAACTTATTCTTTGTAGCCTGGTTTCTTATAATCCCAATTCCACCTTATCTCTTGATGTCTGAAACTCTACCACACTCCTTTCTCAGTGACTGTCCAAATATTTCTCTAATGTCCACAAATTATTAGTGCATATTGATTGAAACTTTGTGCATGATTAATCTTAAGTCCTCAATCACCATTTCAAAGCATTACAAGTCCCAACAACAAGAAATAGAACTCTGCAAACTGTATGATGAATTGGATGAAGTATGACTGAATCTACATAAGAAGATATCAAGTCAATGTCTGTAGTCTTTTGGGCAAGGTTAAGATTATGGAAACTATTTGACTAGAAAGTTCAATATCAGGGAATACACATTTTCCATTGGCTTTTGCCCTCTTTCATTATACATTTATGCTAAAAATATAGGATTTTAAATCTGTCGGAGATACGTAGTATCCATACATAAAGACATTGAAGAAAACAAAATGAAGTATTTTTATCAACTTGACAGTGCAATGCATCCCAGCATCCACCTATGGGCATGCAGATGATATCTGGTAAAAAACACATATGCATCAGAACGTGACAAAATTAGTAATAACCATTTGGCAGAAAAACAAATTTCACCTAGACTCGACAATTTCCACATCAATCACTATGAACAACTCGATTCCATTTCAGCAATTAGTTAAAAATTGTTCCATACTTTTTCTCAAAGTCAAGCCCAAAAGAAGATTGTCATCAGAAAGGATATATATATTCCACTTCAACAACTACGGATGATATCAAGGGAACCAACAAATTGGAATTAACATCATGTATGACCTAACCAAAGAGGCCAACAAAGCTTAGCAGATACTTTCTGTGCTTCTAATAATAAACAGCTTATGAACGGTTCATATCCAACCATTCTTCTGATACAAAGAATCAAACTTATATTTGAATTCTCAAATGACTAAAACAATGTCTCCGAATATCTTTGAGGGGCCTTCGTAAGTAGGTATAACCAAGCCCCACCTAAATTAGCATAGTCAGCTATATAAAACTTGAATACCATAAAACTCTCTACATTGCACTCTTGATCCCCAATATATATCCTTCTTGTTCTTATTCTCATCCTTGCAACATATTCAACTAGGAAAAAATGCTTAGTGATTCTTATTTGCTCCAAAAAGTCCTTATCTTTCAACTCCACCAGCCACATAGAGCTAATTGCACTGTATAATGGAAGCATTAATAATCCATAGTCGCGAAACTCTTTAGCATCTATTCAGATATCTTTTATGTGTTGAGTTGATTTTTCTTTTCAATCATTTTTCTCAGTTTATTGAGAGATGAATCTAAGTGGCACAATTCTGTTCAAAAAACATATATGGTGATAATTCTTTTTAATTTCTATCCAAACTCTCCGTCAACAATGAAAAAGTTTTACAAACTTGACTTTATCCAATCTTTCTCTGTAAACTAACAGCTTATGGAAGCCCTGGAGCTTTTCCCTACATCAGATTTCTCGCTTTGCCACTGTTAATACCAGGAATGAAAAATTGCTAATTGTCTGTCTAGTTTTAAGCATTTAGAGATGAATTGGAAACGCAAAAAATGCTAACTATTGGTTTGGTAACATAAAAAATTGGCAGCTTGATGCATTTCAAAAGACATAAATTCCAAATTCCACAACAATCATAAAAATTATTCTATTTAATCCGTTAAAATTAACTGAATGATTCTATATCTCGAAATTCACCCAAAAATTGGTACGCGAATTGAACATCCATATTTTCTAGTTCAAAAATTGTGAAAAGGAACATGAGCAACTAACCACCAATACATGTGATTTTTACCGAGATGCCTTTTAAGCTTTTCGACGGAGACGCTTTCTGAGCTTCTTATACTTGTGCTTGTTCATCTTCTTCTTCCTCTTTTTCTTCACACTATCAGCCCACACGGTCTTCGCATCATCGGTATCATTCTCAGCAAAATCAGCCCCAATAGCATCCAATTGATTAGAACCCGTTATGGAAATGGGTTTTAAGCAATACCCAAAAGGGAAGCTGGGGTAATAAAACTGAAAGGGTTTAGTGGGGTTTTGAACAATTGGATTTTTCACTGTGGATGCTGAATCCCAGAGAGGAATTGAATTGTTTATGAAGCTAGATTCGTTAGTGTGCGCGGGATTGCAGAGCAGTGGTGTTTTAATGGATGCAGCTATGGTTCTTAGAGATGGCGTCGCTTTTCTGGCAACTTGGTTGATTAGGCTCGCCATTGGGAGTTCGCGTTCACCATGAAAGATCCAGAGAGTGATTTTTATCAGACCTATTTGAATTAACGTTGTCGTTTAATAACGGCGGCAAAAAAGAAAAGAGAGCAAAATGACATTGCCCCCACGCAGGATCGAACTACGGACCTTCAGTTTACAAGACTGACGCTCTACCACTGAGCTATAGGGGCTTGTTAAATGACTTTGAAAATAAAATAGTATATAAAGTTAACTTTCTTTTTCTAGTTTTTTTGGTTGCAGTCGAAACTGGAAGGGGAAATCTTAAGCGCCAGAAGCAACGGCTGGATTGACATGGAAGACGACACTTTCGATCCTGTATGTGTATTTTCGCTGATTATCTGACAGTACTTAATTTTTCTACTGAATCAGTATTCATATTGACAAACGCAAAATTGAAATTGTTTCTGTTTTATTTTTTGGTATTTTTAGGATTTAGTTCACGCCATTTTCAAGCTCGTTTGGAGCAAAAGAGCACTCGGTTTGTAATTTCTCACTCATTTTTTTGTAGATTATATGAATAATTTTGTTTTGATAGTTGAAACGTTTCGCTGTCGTGTTGCAGAGCGCGAGAAAAATGAAGTAACTGATGCTATGGACTGCGAGGTATTTTTATACTAACACTTTCGATTTGTTTATATTGTTTCGACCTAAATTAGCTGTCAGAATTTGAATTAGAGCATGATTTTACAAAATCGTATTCATTGAATATAAAATTCATTTATAGAACTTTCAGTAATTTGTTTATCTCCTTATAATGGATGAGTGTCTTCGATGGAAATCATTTGAATACACTATCAAAGTTGTAGTTTAAATTCCTACATGTGATCTTGGATCACAGTGTTCAAGTTTGATTCGTGTTTTCAATATTCACTATGATCTGGATATGTGTATTTTAGTTATTCTGGGGGTAAGCTCTGTGTAACTAGATTTCTTCTCTTTATACATTCATTTTGAATGATTCATTGACAATTTGATTTTTAACTCATCCAATGAATGCCTATTCCTCATTCTACTTGTTCTTCTGTGCTTGTTGGCTGAAACGTATTCCTCTAATCCTTTAAGTTATATAGATGATTAATAGAATATCAATGTTTTTTCTTATGAAAATCGTATGAAAAATCTAATATTAAGAAACCCATAATGCACAAACTAATGCATTGTTTTCCTTCTTGTTGAATTCTGTATTCGTTTTTCATCTGTCTATACTGATACAGGTAGGAGTTGGAACGTCCAAGAAAATTCGGCCAACCTCTGGTATCTCCTGTCATTACTGTGTTTTTTCAATATGTACAGTCTTTTTTATTGAGCATTTTCCACCAATTTTTCATGTTTTCATTCTTGTTGAGTCATAACTGAGATGTAGCAAATGTTCATCAGTTTAATTGCCATTCTTCTGTTCATCTTTTCCTGATGCAGCTAATTCAAATGCACTAAAGCTGAGTTGTGAACTTCTCCGTGTTTTTATCTCAGGTTAAACCTTGTGAAATTAAAATTCTGTACTTTTCTTGAAACCACAGGTGAGTTTAATTTTTCTGTTTCTATTGTAAAAAACAATCTGATGAAACCCTTGCATTGTTGTAGAGGCTGTGCAGCGTGCTGCTACGATTGCTGAAGCAGAGGGAGTTGAGAAGATTGAAGCAACTCACTTAGAGAGGATTCTCCCACAGTTACTGCTGGATTTTTAATTTTCAATGGAGCTTCAACTTTCATATGGAAATAAAATATATGGTCAACTTAAATGTGCTGATATTTTTTTAATATCCAGCAGTATGTGAGTTCTATCAATTTTTGTCAAATAGTTAACTGAACAAACAAGAAATAAAATATGGACTTGTTTACTGCCATGTGATCTGAAATTGAATAAATATATGTAAAGGTCGTGATATTAGTCAAACCTTCTGGTATTAATGTTCCTTCTAGGTATTTTTCTATACGATTTTTTTGATGAGGCTTGCACTGGAGTTGTAAAGAAAGAAAGATTTGAACTTGATTTGTTACTCTGGAGGTAGCTCTTTACTTTTCTAATGAATAGTAAAGAGCACTAAAACTTCTTTTTGGATTCTTGCAAAAAGTGTTCAGTGGAATACAATATTTGTCCGGTAAAATTGCATGATGAAAAGCTTGGCCACTATTAGCACATTTGAAATGAATTCAGTGGTTAGCTTAGTGAGAAATCAATAAAATTGTCATAACAATGTATTATCCAGTTCAGAAAACCTAACATAAAGATATGACTCAAAAGATCTGAAACCGACGGCATTTATCGCCCAACTCCCCATTAGCTTCTATGTCTACATATACTAAATCTTTTAGTATACAAAATGCAACAATTTAACAATTTCTCATTCTATGAAAATTTGAATGCCTTTTACATTTATTTGATAGGCATTCAAATATGCAAACACTTAAAGTTTATACCTAAACAAGCTGCTACAATTAAGAACAACAACTAGCTAGACTAAAATTTGTTGTTCGTACACAAAAACGACATCAAAATACACATTTTCTTTATTCTTACATACTATCAAACATGTAGCATATATGACAACTAATGCTTAATTTGAGACAACATACACCTGATATCCTTACTGTTAGGCCTTTGCTTTGGGTCATCTAGACTGCAAAAGCAAGCAATTTTCAGGACTAGCAACATTTGCTCCTCAAACCCATTGCCCATCAAGCTGGGATCGATTGCTTGACATGGATTTTCAGACGTCATAACATTTCTCATCCACTTGACCAGACTCACTTCGCGGGTGTGTTGGAAGAACTCATCAGATGGAAGTTTTCCCATCACCAGAACACCAAGTAACACACCAAAGCTATAAATGTCACACTTATCAGTGAATTTAAGTGTTTGATGATATTCTGGTGCTATGTATCCCACAGTTCCTGCAACATTAGAAGTCGAAACATGTGTTTGAGCATCTGGCATTGCCTTTGCAAGTCCAAAATCAGCAATTCGAGCTTCCATATCATCATCAAGAAGAACGTTTGCTGGTTTGAGATCTCGATGAATGATTTTTGGACTATGATTCATGTGAAGGTATTCAAGCCCTGATGCTACTCCTAATGCAATTTTATGCCTAGCAAACCAATCCAACTTTCTTGTACCCAATGAAACCTCAGTCAACACATCTTGTAAGCTTCCATTTTTCATGTATTCATATACAAGGTAATGGCAATCAGGCCTAGACACATGAGCCAAGAGAGGAAGAAGGTTCCTGTGTCGAATTTGACCAACAGTGTTGATTTCTGATTTAATTTGCCTCATTTTCTTGTTCAAAAGCTTACTGTCTTCTTCAGTTAATTCTGCCGCGTCTTTTGGAGGTTGAACAATCTTCTTTATTGCAATCAGTTTTCCGTTACTTCCTGGTAACTCTGCTCTGTACACTTCTCCACATCCACCTCTTCCTATGATTTCCAAATTAGCAAGCCCATCGTCTTTTTCCAAGAACGCTAAAAATTCTTTTTTCTTGATCACATGTGGGCTATAGATTGCCGGCCCAGAGTCTTTACCTCCACCTTTTATTGCTGCCAATGCTAGCTTCAACATAACGGAAAATACAAACCCGGATATACTTCCGGCTACTGCTCCGGCGAAAAATCCTACGATCCATCCATTCATCTTTCTTTTGCTTTTGTTGTGCTTGCGATGACCTGAAACTGTTGATGGAGCAGGTGCTTGAGCAGAATCCATTGTTGCAGTTGGTCCAGCAGCTGTTGCAGATGAACCAGTTCTATTTCCTTTAGCTGTTGTGGCATTATTCTCGGCCAGAATGTAACGCTTTGGGTACTGATGAGATCTTAAAGATTCAGTTTTTTTCATCATTGGTACTGGCCCTTCAAGAAAGCTATTACCCGAGAAATCGAAGAATTGAAGATTGCGAAATGAACGTATAGACTTTGGAACTGTTCCTGTAAAAAGATTGTTAGCAAGAGAGAGACGTTCAAGATTTGGGAATTGCTTCAAGAAACTTAAATTCCCCGAAAATTGATTGTTGGAAAGATCAAGAATTCGAACACGTATAAGTTTCGATAATTCTGATGGAATTTCACCGGAAAATTGATTGTTTCCCAGGTCAAGAATTTCCAGTTTCTTGCAGTCAACTATTTGAGGAGGCACTTGGTCAACTAATTGGTTGTTTGGAAGAGAGAGCTCTTTTAGTTCCGTAAGCTGGCCAATTGCCGGAGACAAGAAGCCGCTCAGCTGTTGGGATTTAAAGATGAGTTTGGTGATTTTGAGTACATAGGTGTTATTGTTAGAGAGCCTTCTCTCGCAAAACACACCTGGGTTGTTGCAAAGAGTGGTGGAGAGGCTTCGTTGACCATTGATGCCCAAGTCCTTCTGTATGATATAAAAGGCTTTAAGGTCTGAATGGTCAAGACCTACTCTTGCAGAGGCGACAAGGAGAAGGGAAAGTAGAATGAGAAGGGAGAAGTAGGGATTGTGAGGTTTGGAAGCCATTTTACGCTGTGGTTTCCGGCGGATTGTGGTAGTGGACGCTGGGAATTTATAACATGGGGAGCAAGAACAACGTTGTTTTTTATTTTTCAAAGAAACGAGTTGGTGGTACATTGTTGAGTTATTTTTTTATAAGCCCAAACCGTGTGGAAAAATTATAAGAGTAGGCCCCCATTGTTCTGAATGTTATTTGTCCTTTTTTCTTTAATTAGAAATTCTTTCTCCTTGTTCATACTTGGGTTTTCGGGATAGTTTTATAAAAAAATTTTCGTTAGACAGATAGTTTTATGAACCTATTTGTTATTTTTTTGTTATTTTTGTACATTTTGATCTGATTTACTGCATCCAAATTCACAAAATAAAACTGATCCGATATAAATAGACTCAAGCTAACTCGATTGATTTTTTTTCTCTTAAAAAAGAAAGCTTTTTTTAATTTTTGAATATCTCTATTTATGATTCGAATAATTGGAAATAAAAATACTACATCCCTTGCTCCAAATTCAAAAACCAACATATTTCATTTCGATATTTATCTTTCTTTTTATTTAATTTTTTTTAACTCAATTGACATATCTCATATTTTAAAAGATAGTTAAAAACAATTACTAACTATTTTTTATATAATTATTCCTACCACTATGATTAAATCAACTCAGAGAAAAAAATTCATTACTTTAACGGTTGGTTTAAAACTTTCATTTGCATTTAGTCATTAATAATAGTTCAGAAAAATATAATTAAATAATTATCTATATTTGTGTTATTTTAGCATATATTTCTTAATTCACTCATTATTATAATAAATTGGTAAATTGAGCTGTAATTTTATTAGAACAAAAAAGAAACATAAAAGTGAATTTTATAATATTGTATAGTAACTAAGCACCTCAAAGAAATTACAGGAGTTCAAAACCTAATTATCCCTTTCCAGGAAATGAAACAAAATTAAACAATTTCTATAGTTTGTATCTCTCAACAGGTTATGGAAAATAATCTTATTTTAGTATTTTATAGTTATATTGGAAAGTATTTAAAATTTCTGGATTGAGTATTTATGTTTCCTCCAAATTTAACTTCATTTAAGATAGTTTTATCAATTTTTAGATTTTCATTCTACCATTATTGGTGGTAGAAACCAATTAGAATAATTTTATTCGAGGTGCTAAAAAAAATTATTATAAAATGCAATTAATTATTTTTAATTAATTAATATATTAGCTACGATTTGAAGTCAAATAATATTAAAAATCAATTGGATAAAATTCACTGCTAAAATATAATAATTATTTTTTACATTAATATTCAAATCAAAATAATTTTTAATGTAGTTTCTTTGAACTTCTTAAAATAATAATTAAAAAAAAAAAATCTTATCATGAGCTATGGCCCACACACTATGGCTAATTAAGACTTGTGAAGTTATGAGACGGGAACTTTAGGAAAGTCAAGTCAACGCTGAGAGAGAGAGAGAGAGATAGAGAGAGAGAGAGTTTGGGCCAGCCAAGTCCAAGAAACAGAGTATAAAAGTCTTTGGGCTACTTTGAGCCGTTGGATCAAATATAAATCCACAGTCTTCGGATTCGAACGAGACCGACCACATTTGCCTAATATATTGGGATAAGACTTGCCTTTCCATATATTAAATCAATCCACGAATGTTTTTTTTTTAATTATTATTATTATTATTTTTTTCCTCAATAAATTATTAAAAATATTTTAGTTTCAATGAAAATTAGACTTGATCTGGATTCTGGGATGGACACACCACGTGTAAAACCATATACAAACGACAAATTAATTAGCGTATAGCAAGAGGCGAGCATGTACGCCTGACTTTTTTTCAAGGAAAAGAAAGACTTAGCAATTGGCATAACTCGTTAACCAATTAATCCTCGAGGTCGATGTTCCAACCAGTCTCAACATCAGTCAGCTGACTAACCATCCAATTGCTAGTTGGCGTCTCGTTCGGGCCAAAGAAAGACTATACGGCATTGGAATAAACATGCACACTACTCAATCACATTAATTTCTTGGTTCCTGCGGTGAAATCCGAATGACTGATTGCTGCATTTACTTTGACTTCTCCTTTCGCAATTTTATTTGTGAAAAACTTCGGAAATTTCTACAGCTACCTCGTTTAGACATAGCTGGTTCACTGAATCGCTGATTCGAAATGTTTAAAATTTTAAATTGGAATTGACTCTTGAACTTTCGGTTTCGATTTTAGCACGGTTTAGTACGGTTCCGGCGAACCGATAGTTCAAATTACGATTCTGATTCGGTTTCGGCATTACACAAATTTTAAAAAAAATGATAAAATTTTGATTCCAAATTCATGAATAAATAATAATTTTAAAATGTTTAAATTTTATTAACTAAATGCTGGTTCACTGATCGCTGATTCGAAATGTTTTAAAATTTTAAAATTGGGATATTGACTCTGAACTTTCGGTTGTTCGAATTTAGCAACGGTTTTAGTACGGTTCCGGCGAACCCGATAGTTTCAAAATTACGATTCTGATTCGGGTTTCGGCATTACTAGCAAATTTTAAAAAAGAAATGATAAAATTTGATTCCAAATTCATGAATAAATAATAATTTTAAAATGTTTAAATTTGTATTAACTAAATAAATTATTATAGAAATTTTAAAAAAAAGAATAAACTTCTATAATCTAACTTAGAATTATTATTAGCATTTAAATTTACAAATTTTGCTAATTTACTGATTATAATAAAAACTATAAAATGGGAATATAAATTAATGGAGATGCATTGAAAAATTATTATGTTTTCAAGATATAAGAAAATTATTTAAAAATCAAATGAAGTAAGAGTTTTAATAAATGGAAAAAATTGAGATTAGAGAAAGATTTGGAATTGGAATGTAAGAAAATATGGAATTGGATGTAAGAAAATAAAAAATAAACAATAGATAATTCCAATATTAAGGAAAATAAAGCAATAAAAAAAATAATGAACTATGGAAATTTAAGAGAATTCTGATTGAGAATAAGAGAAGAGTTAGGATATAATTGGTTGTGAAATAAAAAATCATCAACTCATCATATTTATACATGTTTTTCATTTATTAGCTTCCTAAAGTGTCCCTTATAACAGAAAAATAACAGCTATATTTTTGGATAATTTATTAAATTACAGCAAATAAATAAATTATTAAAAATGAATAAAATTTATTTATCAATAAATAAATAAAAAACACCTATCATATCAAAAACTATCCGTTACACTCTTTTTTTGTACACTTGAAAGTATTTTTTTTTTTTATAAATTAATTATTCATGTACCATTTTTTATATAAATTAAGTCAAAAAATGAGCATTTTTTTTCACCACTTTTTAAAACTTATGTGCCATTTTACTTCTCTTCACCATAAATCAAATCAACTACAATCAAATCAAGTGATATAAATTTTTTTATAAAAATTTTAAGCTACAATTTTTTTGTGCATTTTATAAAAATTTTAAGCTACAATTTTTTTGTGCATTCAGTTCGAACCGGACCGAAACCGCCGGTTTCGGGCAGGTTCCGGTTCATATTTTAACATTAACATAAACCTTAATCGGCCCTTGAACTACCGGTTCCGGTTCAAAATTATGAACCGCTGGTTTCGATCTGGTTCCGGTTCGTCTACAGTACGGTTCGGTTCCGGTTAGAACCGAACCGGTGGCCATGCCTAACCTCATTCTATGCTTTTCTTGTTAATTATAATATATGATTTAACTTCTAAGCTATGACAGTTCCGGTTCGTCTACAGTACGGTTCGGTTCCGGTTAGAACCGAACCGGTGGCCATGCCTAACCTCATTCTATGCTTTTCTTGTTAATTATATTAACTTCTAACTATGACATCTTGCATAGTTCATATCAATATGGACATGCAGATGTTTGTGGTTTTATTCATTAAGAGCTCCATGATCAAAGCATTAATATAAAAGGAGGAATCTCATTTCATATTTGAAGACTAGCACAAGAATTTGCGGACCCTTGCTAATGTATGAGCAGCGGAGTTGGATTGTCTTCGAATCCAATCCAAGAAACATTAACATTGTTGCATGAAGAACACAACACTACACAATATGCAGCAACAGCCCAAGTCAGAAAAATCTGCAGAAGAACTTCTAATGGCATTATACACCTCTTGAGCGTCAATCTCAACCTGAATGAAAAATTCCGGTTTTATTCTAATTTGTACTTAATCAGTTGTTTTAATTGTCTTCAATTATTTGGTCAAATTAAAGAACAATATTATGAAGAACACAAAAGATTATGGCACAAGAGACAGCTGTTACATAGGCAAGACAATTAGAGGGTGGAAATTGCCTGTAGATGTAATTTATTTATGTTTGATCTTCTGATGGATTGATTATTTAGGTCCTTGGCTGGCCGGCACATTATAGACCTGCAAATGTTCATTCTCTTAAATAAGGATTCTTTGATTGGTAGTAATTAATGAATACAATATTTGATCAAATTACACAATAATGTAATCTTTTATTTTATGAATAGACCGACAACACTTTAGTCTTTCATCTAAAAAGTGTCATTTTTATTATTAAGTGAAAAATTAAATAGTAATTCATTAATAAATGAAACAAACTAAATTGTAACACTATATTAAATAATTAAATATTTAATATTTAATTTTTACAATAACATTCTTTATGAAGAAATTAAATAGTTTAGTTTTTTTATTAAACTTTTAGAGACTAATCTTTTATCAATAAAAAGAAAAAATTGTAAGTATGATGAAATCTAGGAGTAAATAAGTATTTACCCTTCATTTAAACAGGCCAGGCCATAAATGGTGTTCAAACGTATTGGCGGCTTTCGCTCCTCCATATTTCTGTTGTTATGGACTTGAGGTTGGGCCCATAGGTGAACAACATAAGAACTTATATTTTTACCCGACTCAATGAGAAAGGAAAGGCCCATAAAAGCCCAAAAATAGATGTTTTTTGGCATGGACGCACGTCGAATTCGCGAGAATGCACGAATGGGCTGACAAGTGTGTGTCCCTGTGTGGAGAGAGAGAGAGAGAGAGAGAGAGAGAGAAAGAGTGAGAGAATAAACGAGAAACTAAAGCTTACAATGCCAGTGCCTATGCCTCTATCCCCTGTAGTAGCGTATGGTTGCCGCAACTGTGTACCTCCTTCTCTTAAACGCTTCTTAACCTACTCTTTCCATTCTCATCAGCACCACTGCCTTCTTCTTCTTCTCCGCCGTAGTCGGAATTTGCCCTCTCAGTTTTCCACTCTGTCATCTTTCCATCTCCCCAAAAAACTCGATTGTTTCCTTACGGGTAACTCTCTCTTCCTCAGGATGGAGGTAACTTCTCTCCCTTCTGAGATTGTGCGTCGTGACGTCTTCTTTGATTTTGGTTGATATGTGCTGGTTTTTGATTTGGTATGTTGTTTGATTCTGTTAATCATCTTCAGTTCAATGATTAATCGGATTCAAATAAAGTGAAATCTCTTGGGCTTTTGGGTTCATTTATCTCATTTCTGCCCTGTTATTTCTTTAATCAAGTTTTGCTTTGTTACTGTGTTAATTGTTGTTTTTCAAGTTTGATACCAATTTCTCTCTCTCGGATGATTGATCTTCTTTTATTTCCTCATAATTTTTAGGCTTATGAAAATTATGTAACTATGCTATTGTGTGCTGTTTGATTACTAAATACTTGTTTGCTTCATTGCTTGTCTAAAGGTGAAAATGAACTGTGATAAAGTTTTATCAGGTTCTGATTTGAGATAACGGAACAACTGAATTGCAGCATTTTAAATTTCTGTCTGTGGCTTAGTCTTGGGTTTTTTCTATATTAAGGTGCATCGAATAGGAAACTTGAGTTAATGTTATGGCTTGCTTATTGGAGTTTCTCATATTTTGATGTATTATTATCAGTGCTCTGCAACTGTCTTGGAGTTGAGATTTGCTCGTGTTGGCTGGGGAATAATTTTGGGAGAGTGGATCTTATAGCAAGAGGGACTTATTTAAAACATTGGTGAAGCTTATCTGTTGTTGACTGTTGACAATTTATGGAAATGGACTGGAGGTTAATATCTTGTCAACAACAGTAGGTGGCTTTTTTGAGGAATGGTTTCAACTGTGGCTCTTTGAAGAATGTTTTGTAATAATCGAGAGTTCAATTGTCATATTTGTTAGGTTTTCTTGTTATATAAAATTTAATGGAGGAACTGAGGCTATCAAGAAGAGCAAAAAGTTGGTGAAATTTATCATGTTTTGGTGCCACAAAATTATGTAAAAAAAAAAAAAATAATAATAATAAAACTCACAGTAAATTTAGTTCTGTTTGTGTTGCCTTGTTTGTGTATTTTCAGGGAAATTTATGTCAAGTTGGGTGGACGTGCTATGTCCTGCTGGCCATTGTTAGTGTAGCAGATTGCTTCGCCCAAATTTGCACAAGCCTGGGGGCCTTGGACCTTCAAATTCAATCAATGGCACAGGAGGTCATGCATGTTACAATACATACCTCGAAGACTTCAGTTCTATGTTTTCAGACAGGGTTTAAATGCATTTTTGTCATTATTCCTTGTAAATGGCGGTGATCGTGCTTTTGAGTCTTGCATGTAGTATTTGACTACTAGTAAAAAATTGTTTCAAGAATCTGCTGCTTTTTTATCTTTATATTTCTTCAATTGTACCATATTATGTTTGTCCACCCTGTTGGACTTGGATTGCGCTTCATTATTCTCTTCTATGCAAACTTTGTATTGAATTTCTTTTGACAACTTACAGCGATACTGGGCTGGAAGTGGAATCAATAAGAATAAAGCAATGGTAGAGAATTTGCAGCATTATGGAGTGATCAGCTCCAAAAAGGTGGCTGACGTTATGGAAACTATTGATAGAGCTTTATTTGTACCAGATGGGACTCCTGCTTATGTTGACAGTCCTATGGCAATTGGTTATAATGCTACTATTTCTGCCCCTCATATGCATGCAACGTGCCTTCAGTTGTTGGAGGAGCATCTAAAACCTGGCATGCATGCTTTAGATGTTGGCTCAGGTTCTTTTCTTAGCCCTTACCATTCTTTAAGTTCCTATCAATATTATGATGTCTAATGATGATCAAATTCACTTGATGTATCTCTCTCTCTGTATTCTTTTCTTTTGTTTTTCTCTCTCCCTCTTTCTTTCTTTCTTTTTTTTTTTTTTTTTTTTTTTTTTTTTTAATGTTCTCTCTCTCTGTATTCTTTTCTTTTGTTTTTTCTCTCTCCCCTTTCTTCTTTTCTTTTTTTTTTTTTTTTTTTTTTTTTTTTTTTTTTGGGGGGGTGGGGGGGGGGGGGGGGTGGGTGGTGTGGCGGGTTAATTAGATTTACGGGGGGGGGGGGGGGTGGTGGTGTGGAGGGTTGAATTAATTTACTAAATATCTTGGCTGCAGCTTGATTCTGAGAATGATACAATATTCATATCCTATGATTTTTCTAGCTTTTCCACAATATTCTCTCTGTGGCCCATAAAACTCTGAACTTTTCTGCATTTTAATTTCCTTAGGGACTGGGTATTTGACAGCATGCTTTGCCATAATGGTTGGGCCGCAAGGTCGTGCCGTGGGTGTTGAACATATTCCAGAGCTGGTTACTTTTTCAATCAAGAATATTGAAAAAAGTGCGGCAGCTCCATTATTGAAAGAAGGTTCCCTCTCAGTGCATGTTGGCGGTATGTTTTCAAAATTGGCAAATGATTTCTAAAATGGACAGCAATTTTAATTTTCATTTTGGTTCAAGAATTGTAGCCTATGATGCTAATTCAGTGTTCAAACAGTAACATAATTGTAAGTTTGCGCCTGACTCATGGGTTTTCCCAATAAGGATTCAGACAACTCTCCACACACTTATCAACAATGCCTTTTGAATTTCTCTCTTACAAGATTACTTCATTAACAATCAAATTTCTACAAGAACCTCTCTAACGGATTGTATTTCTTATTTGTGGTGGGAGTTTTGATTGATTTTGTCTTTTGCACTATTCGGTTTATTTGATTCACCTACAGTTGCTTGGTGGAAAAAAAAAAAAATTCAGTTGCATTGAAATGAAATCTTATTAAAAAACAACTCTCTAGTATATTTAACTACTTGTTCTGGTTTTGCTAATGGTGACAGATGGAAGACAAGGCTGGCCAGAGTTTGCACCTTATGATGCAATACATGTGGGAGCAGCTGCACCAGAAATCCCACAGGCGCTCATTGATCAGTTGAAAACAGGTGGCAGAATGGTAATTCCAGTAGGAAACATATTCCAGGATTTGAAGGTGATCGACAAGAACCAAGATGGTTCCATTAGTATCCGGAGCGAGACTTCTGTTCGCTACGTTCCTCTAACGAGTCGAGATGCACAACTACAGGGTTATTAAGTTTGGTAGGTTTTCATCTGGAGGTCCTGTGGTGATAAGACATAGGAAAACAGTTTGGTTATGCTGTTGCACATTTCAATCCATGGAAGCTATTGTATAGTTGTATAGGGATGTCTTTGAATGTCCTTTTTTTGTCTACTGTAATAATCATATGCATTTATGGATTTCAATACCTTCGTTTTTGGAGACTTTTGTTTTGGACTTTGTAAATTTGCTTTTCAATACCCAAGGTGGACTTTCAGTTTCAACGTTCAGTTCGGGTAAAATATTAGAAACTGAAACCCAGAGAAAGCATTTCATCACTGCGCGAAGGTTTAGAGATTATTCAGGCAAGATAACGCTTGGAACAAAAACAATTTCTACACAATCATGGCTATGGTTTGCAACCTTGCAAACTAATTTGTAGAGGTAATCTCTTCCCAGAGCAGTTTTTATATAGATGTCTAACTGACAGGTCTCAACTTCAAATATTTTGCATAATGAATTTTGCAAAATGAGAATTGCCAAGACAAAGCAACAAAAAAATATACATAAATAAAGTACTGTAAAAGGTTCCAAATGGCCTCACCATCTAACAAAATTCCAGCAAAATGGAGCATACAAGATAACCTATCAGGTTAAGAATGCTCTAAGCAGCTCAAATTGTCAACCATGAGGCACAAATATATCCATGTAACAGTTTTGGTATCCAAAGCCAGCACCTTCTATATCAGTAAGAAAATCAATGAAGTTGAATTATGCTTTATAATCATATTGAGCAACAAATTCTTAAGTAACACATAAAGCAACATTTGGACAGCTTCATATATCCTCATAAAAAGCTTTCATACAACTAGCTAACAAAAAATTGATACTATAAAACTTGCTCGCAAAAAAGGATAAAAGAAAATGAGAAGCAAAAACTACAAATGTGACATGTATCTAAATCATATTCCATCAGAAGTTACGCCTTGGTCTTCCCTCAGCAACATTTACTCTGATGGCCCTCCCATCCAAACTCTGCAAAACCAGACATTCATATATCACCAATCATAAGCCTCAATAAATTAAATAGTCACTGCAGATATATAAATAATCAGTAGATAATTTTCATTCATTTCTTTTCTCAATCTAAGTCCATACAGGTAAACAGAACATGCCAAGGTTTGCATTGATAGTACGTAAATGTAACTCTATTCATGTCAATCATTAGGTTGCTATCAGCTGCGTTTCCACACGCACACACATTATGGAGAATAGTAATACCAAGTCCTTCCATTGCTTAATCATATGAAAAGAAACAGTCACTTACCCGTCCATCAAGTGCAGCTATAGCATCATGCAACTCAGTTTCAGAGGCCATGGTTACAAAGCCAAAACCACGGGAACGGCCAGTTTCCCTGTCATAAACTACCCGAGCTTCCACCACCTTACCATGTTCACTAAAAACTTGCTCCAATCGAGCATTATCTACATCCCATGGCAAGTTACCAACATAGATTCTAAAAGCAGGTTCATATGTGCGAGGGGGACGTTCAGGCCTTGATCCTCTAGGAGAGGCCTTGTTAACAGTCAACAGCCTTCCACTCAAATCCTGCTCGAAAACAAACCAAGAATTGAAAAAAAACTTGTAAGTGGAAAAGCATTATCACTGGAGACAAGCCATAATATAGCAAGTAAAATCTAAATAATCTATTGTTACGAAGGGAATTGGCTTCCAACATTCCTAAACCGAGTGCTTTTCTTAATAAGGTGGAAAGGTGAGGCATTGGCTATTATGCCATTGCCAACTGATCGAAAGGTTCTAAGAACTTAGATTGTAAAAACTAAATTTTACAGTCAGCATGTCAAAAGATAACCTCATCAAAATGAATAAAATCAAAACAACAGAGAAAACATACAAGTCTTTTAACACCAATAGAAAAATAAGTAATATATATCAATCAAATGAATAACAAAATCGTAGATGTTTCCAGTTTCCAAAGCATATTAGTCCAAATAAATTGCTTTCCAGACAAATCACAAAATTCTATCAGCATACTTTATGTTGTTGTTAATAATAAAAATTTTGTGCAATGCTGTTGACTTTTCACCTGATGATAAGCAAATCAAAACCCCAATATTTCAAAAGCACTATCTGTTCCATTTCTCTCATATTCAGTTCTGTTACACTTAGTTCCGATAATGCCCAAATAAAACAAAGCGAAAGGGAAATGATATAGAAAAAGAAACTTACATAGCGGTGAAACATTTCCACAGCCTTCTCAGCTTCCTCAACGGTACTCATCGTCACAAACCCAAATCCCCTACTAGAATCATTCTCCCTGTTGTAAATGACCTACAAAGAAAATTCCAAGCAACAAAGATAAGCCTAAATATCAAACTTTCATAAAACCGTTGAAAGATAAAGATCAAATAAGCAAACAAATAAATAAATAAAAAAAGGTATTTTCACCTCAGCAATCTCAACAGTTCCAGCCTGCTCAAATAACATTGCCAACTTCTCACTATCAACATCGTAAGGCAAATTCCCCACAAAAATCTTAGCATCTTCAGGTGGCTCCACAAAACCCTCGTCTGCTTCTGGCTCCTGAAAACTCTCTTCTTCACCACTCTCTCCTTCATCTCCACCTGCCACCGCAGCTGCATCCTCTCCTTCTGACTCCCAATCAGAAACTCTGGCTTCAGCACCGTCACTTTCTTGATTTTCCCATGTGGATTCTTCTTGTTCTGATTCAGTAATGGTGATTGTGGTTTCGTCTTCCTCTCCTTGTTGAGCCCAATCTGAGGTCTGAGCAACAAAGGGGATAAGAGATGAGAAATGGGTTTTGGGTTTGAGAGAGAGAACGGATAGGGAGTGAGAAGGATGTGAAAGGTGGAGCTTAATAGGTCTGGGTGGGATAGAGAGACATTGATATGGACGTTTTGCAGTAAAAATGGAAGGGAGTGACAGAAGGCATGAGTCTGCCATTGATAGAGGCTTGAAGGTAGGTGAAGCTGTGGCAGACATTTTTGGGAGAAGGAGAGGGGGTTTAGAGGAGGGTTGAGGATAAGGGGCAGATTGCAGAGAGAGCGAATGAAAGAGAGAAGTAAGGGTTAGAGAAAGAGCATGTATGTATAACACTATCAACAACTAGCCATAGGACACAGATGACTCGGCGGATGGTCCAAAATGGCCTGCAACCTTATGCTTTATGGATATGTAATGGGCTTTTGGAGATTTTTTTTTGGAAGGCCCATTTCGTTATCACTGATGGAATGGATTTGTTTGTTATTTTTTTACAATTATATATTAGAAAAGTAAAACAAGTAAATGATTTTAACCAAAACAGTAGACTGCTAGAAGTTCATTTTTGGATAAATCATTAAAAATTTTAAATCAGGGTTGTATCAGTTTTAACAATTAATTCTAATGATTATATTTATATGCTGCTCAGTAAAACCTGAATATGCTGCAGACTCTCCATTCCAGTTTTCTTCTGCAATAACTTCAAGCTAATGCGAGAATTTAAAACATCTACCTCTAAAATTCCAAATAAAAATTTCCCACTTTTAGCAGCAATTCTTCTACTTATTCATCCATGACTGGGTCGTTGAATAAACAATCTCGAATAGGTTATGTAGCTCTTAAAATGGAGCTGTCAGGAAGCATACCTTGCCCCTTATCTTGAGGTAGCCACCTCTGATGCTTGGGGTGGCAGACAGGTCGTCCTTCTTTCTATAAGTATTAAACTTAACAATTGCTTCATAATTCTCGAGAACAAACTGAACTTCAAACCGAGATTTGATTGACAGTCGATCGTCGTCTTCATCGTCTTCTTCGTGGGCCCTTGGCAGGCCGACACGAATCAAGTTTTGAATGATTTTGTTTCTTTCGTTTTTTTTTTTTTCTTTGAGAAGAAAAAAAAATTTTGATTTAGCAGATATATACTTAACAAGGCGGGCCCACTTGTCAAATGAATGGGTGGGCTTTCTTAAAAGAAATTAAATCGGTGTTAATAGTGTGAGCTCTTGACAGTCCAGTTAACCTTGGCCCAAAGATTGGGCAAATTCAGGCCCACTAAAATTCTTAAGAAAATTCAGGCCGAATACTGAAGGCCCATGTAGAAAATCAAGGCCCAAATGAATGCCCATTAAGAAATTTTAGGCCCAAACCGAGGGCCCATTCGGAAAACTAGGGCCCAAACAATAGGCCCAGTAAGAACATCCAGGCGCAAAACTGGAGGCCCATTAAGAAAATCATGCCCAAAATTGGAGCCCATTACGAAATCTTAGGCCCAAAATTGAGCCCATTTAGATATCCAGGCCCAAGTCATGGGCCCATTAAGAAAATCTGGACCCATATTAGAGGCCCAATAAGAATCCAGGCCCAACATTGAGGCCCACCAAGAGAATCCAGGCCCAAACTTGAAGGCCCATTAATGAAATCCAGGCCCAGATTGGAGGCCCAATAGGGAATTCAGGCCCAACTACGAGGCCAATTATGAAAATTAGCCCAAATTGGAGCCCATTAAGAAAATTCAGGCCCAGTCTGAAACCCTTTAAATTTAGGCCGAAAAACATAATGCAGCCCATTACAAAACCCTGACCAATTTTATTGGGCCGAAAACCTTACTGTAAACCCAATAAGAAAATTTAAGACCAATATTTTGGATCCGTTATGAGAAATCTAGGCCCAAAATTGGGCTGACTTTCCAATTTTAACAGACTTGAACTGGGCTCACTTTAGGCCCTAATAAACTCACGACTAATATGAGCCACACACTGCTTTTTCGTATCTAATAACCTTGTAATTTTGGTAAAATTTTACAAATGATCCATTCTTTTGATGCCAGTAATTTCATTAGAATGATATATGAACAATATTTCTTTATTTCCTTACATCTTTAATGCAGCGGAAGAAGAAAAAAAAAAAAACAGAAACCAATTCCTTAATATACGAATTCAATCTCTCTCAAATTGCGTTCTCCTTGCAGTTCAATGCTCAATAATCCATCTTCTGCATTGTACGTCCAATCCTCCTCTTTATTATCCACCATACAATACTTTGGTTTAGTGCTGGAGTAGGCTCCGAATCGGCCACAGCCTCGTCCTTTTACTCTGATTCTGCATTCTGCAAGATCCTTCATGCAGCTTATTACTTCTATGGCTCCTCCAGAGTTGTACATATCCAGCAATCCTATTGGCGCAAAGAGAATATTCTGACCATAAACCCTAACTGGAGAGATTGTATATATTTCACATTTAAGTGTGGCTAAGGACACTTCAATAATTCCACTCCTGGGCAATAGAGAAAGAGCACCTGCAATAATATGTGTAATTTAACAGTTATTAATAAAAAGTTCATTTTTTACGATGACAACCCAGTACACAAAGCATCCCATGTTGATTTTATATGGAAGGAATTACCACATCCAGTGAAAATTAAAATGCGGAAATTAAGTTTTAACCTGAATTAAAGGCATAGATTGCACAATCCCCATTCCAATTTTCACCTGCAACCTCTTCAAGAAATTCAACGTCAGTAGTCCTTACATGTCCTGAAAGGAATAAAGGTGTGGATGCTGCAATGGGCATGTCTTCAGTTTCTAGTTTCATTGGCCAACTTCCTGCTCCTTGGCAATTGAACACGCCAATTACACCTGATAACTTGTTCAAGTTCCATATCTTTAACAAACTACACAAAAGAGTAAAATCCCAGCTATTAGTAAACCATTTGATTCCAAATTGTTAGAAGACAGGTTTAAGGATTATATGTTCACCTTTTCCCATCCATGACAGGATCTACAAATAAACAATCTCTGGTCGGGCGGCCAACATTTCTAGCTCTCAGGATAGATCCATCAGGCAAAACAAGCTTACTCAGGATGTTGAAATCATGATTGCCTGGCTTGTCGCTACAGCATAGCATTGATACAAATACTTAAGCATTAAGTACATTTTACGGATACAGTGAAAGAATAACAAAAAAAAATGGGTACAATCCATTTTGGCTCACCTCACATATATTGCACATCCACCCACTGCTCTTGCAGCAGCATGGAATTCAGCAGTTTCATGTTTGCTCTGAAAAACAGCAGAAGTAATTTACCTGTGTAAACTTGCAAGAAAAGATACTATTTCACAACTAAAAATATGCAAAGACAACTTACATGGAACATGTCCCAGTCCGGAATCACAATCTCCCCGAGAAGAAGGCTGTTATAAGCTACAGAAGCAATATGCAAGGTCTGAAATTTTGCCTCTCTTGGCATGAAATCTTCTGATGCTCTCGCGACTGCACTTTTCCTTGAACTGTAATACAAAATCAGAATATTACCATCCACTTCTGGGTATTAACTAGTTAAAAAATGTTCCAAAAAATAGAAAAGATCGGATAGACCTGTAAATTGAGTCTGAATTGTGACTCATACAGCAGATGAGATTGTTGTCTTTGAAGTTTCCTGCAACAGATTGCTCAAGTGCTTCTTGGTACTGTCTAGTCAAAGTGACACGTCCACCATACCCAGAACCTAATGTTTCAATCAAATTCTGAACATCTACCTTTACTCCATCTACATTGCTGCTTGCCAAATAGCTATGGAGATCATTGTAAAATTCAAAAATTTTGCTAGGATCAATAACTCCAACTCCATATTTTTCTAAGCTGTCCATTGCAATATCTCTTTGATTCCCAACATTACCAGGTGACTGAACTGGATATTTGAGTTTTGGGTTGTACTTTTTCATTGTTTCGGATGACGGCATGACTCCTCCCCAGTATCCAGCTAAAGCATGCCAAACATAAACATATCTGCATTTGTTAAAATTTGTTACTATCAACAAGTGAAAAATTCAATATCCACATTCAAGACTTACTTTAGTCCATATCTCTCCTTGATTGTATCAATAAGCTCACGGAGATTGGTACAGTTTTGAGTATCATCTAAGCCTAAACTCTTGAACTTGCTATTTTCTTTGATGTCAACCAATCTACTCGCAAACCTATAACAAAAAAGAAATCTTAAATATCGAAATCTGAGACTAATTTAGAGGAAAAATCCTGATCAAACTACAGGATAGTAATTACTGTGTTCCTTCAATAGGCGGTTCGCCTTGTTTGTGAAATTCATTTACTGTATCTTGCCATCCATCATCAATAATAAGAAATTTCGGTGAACACCCACCTTCCAAAAATCTGCAATACAATTTTGTTAGGTATGCAGATTGCTACTATCTTTTAATACTTATAGAATCAAGAATTAAATGTCACATTGTACCTTTGAAGACCCTCTTTGATTCCATGTGGATTTACTTCAGAGTAAAAAGCATCCCAAGTGCACCATCCAAACCAGTCTAAATGTGGAGGGATCTGCAAATTAAACAAGATCAAGTCAGTCAATTGTAATGAAAAATTAGTCATTTTCTAAAGGTTACAGGTTTTGGTACGTCACCTTCTTGTTTTCTATATGGCTAAATGTTCCCTTGTGCTTCTCCAATATCCTGCATTAATGCACATACATAAAGAAGATACATTCAGCATCTGCAGATTAAATAAAATGGATTATATATATGAAAAAAACCATAATTATGATCTTGATCAAACGTACTTGACAGAATTCTTGATGAGCTCAAAAGGGTTGTCCCCTGAGTTTATAAATACAGCTTCAAAAGCTTGGGAGGTCTGGACATTAACATCTCCTAAGGAATTACACAAAACAAAATCAATACATTACAATGAGGTTTTTAATTAATGTGTTTATATAGAAATAAGAACGTTCAACTTACCACTTTCAATGCAAAACTGGAGCTCATTTGCAGAAGTTCCCTGCAAGCTGGTCCGAAACTGACCATCCAACACAGGCAACAGGAGAATATAGAAGGTGTTATTATTTGATGTATCCGAAGAAATTTCATCTTGCAGAGCAGAGTCCTCTGTTGCTTCCAACATAAGCATTTGAGTCTCCATTGGGATTTCTCTACCTGATTTCCCCACACGAGGTATCATCCACCATATTTTGAATCTAAAAAGGCACAAGAAACGGTATCCCCTGCTATGGCAGATCATTAGAAACGCGGCTTCAAAATCTCAAATATGACCTCGAGGAGTAGAAACTTAGTAGAAACTTACTTAAGAACTCCAAGGGTGAAAACATGATGAGAACTGAGAGTTGTAGAGGTAGCGCCAAGGAAAGCAGAGTCGCAGCTTGATGCAGAAACGACAACGTTTTCTGGAACTCTGGTAAGGACCTCCTTGCCTCTGACCATGAGGCAACCATTCTTGAGGGTAGCCGTGGTATTGATGGTCATCGACCTTTGTTGATCAAATGAAATAATTTATGCAATGCTAATGGAAACAAGAACCAAATGTCGTGGAAAGCCAAGCCTGATGGTAAAAGATCAAAAGATGTTAGGTGGATTCAACTTCAGTTAACCAAAATAGGCATACTCAGCTAGATATATATATTTGAAAATTATACTTTCCAGACCTTTTTATCATATATTTGAAAATTATACTTTCAAATATATATATATATATTTGAAAATTATACTTTGACTAATCGAGAGAACTTTCCAGACCTTTTTATCATAGAAGTAATAGGAAAAGAAAATATTAGTAAAAGATAATCCAACCACGTGGATGTAAAATATTACTATCACATTTTAATTAATTTGGGAAAATTATTTCTGGAGATTTAATATTGTTAAATTATTTAGTCTCTTATTCTTTTTGTACTTTTTTGTACGGTGGAGCTCAAGCCACGCGAAGAAAAAGAGAGATGGATGAAGTAAACATGGGAAGCTCCAAACTTATCTAATTGACGTGGCACTGAGTTGGCTTTGACGGTGAAGTCCTTGTTCATAATACCCTAGCCGGCGGGCTTTGCAGTCGAAGAATTGCGGAGGTTGAACATGCATCCCAGTTTTTTGACTGCACTGTGGAAAATTTTATCAAATGGAAAATTTTTCTCTATAAGTCCTCATCCTTCAAAGGGATGTTCCCATTAATTAGTCGTAATATTATGTACATACAATTCTCATATAACAAGATGATATAAAGGATAAAGCAAACTGCGATTAATTAATTAAGCAGATTCATTAATGAAACATTTAACAAGCCATTCTTCTTCCTTCGGTAGTATACTTTGAAGCAGAAGGCAAGCGCTGAGAGGCATGGCGTCCCATAATGTAAGGTCTATCACCACATTTGAAAGGCGTATGGCTAACCTGCATAACCATAAAATTTCCTCCAAAAAGATCATTGATGTGAGCTTGCCCATTCTTCAACCTCTTCCAAGCCTTTCTCCAAGAAACCTTTACCCTATGTAACAACCTTGGTCTTTTCCTTAAGAACCTTCTCAGGCCAGGAATTCTAAGTTTCAGCCGCCTCCCATTGATATTGAACCTCCTAAACGTGGGAAAATCTGTGTCTAGTTCCTCATTGAGTCCTCCATGTCTCTGCAGCCGCTGATATGAAAACAAAAATCTGCCCGATGATGCCATTGAAGAGTTTATATTATGGATTGGCCTTTTTTTATATGTTGGAGTTAATGTAGACTTGGGAGATGAGTCGTCATCTCCGTTGATTCAGCTTTATAAAGAAGCACCTTTCAGTGTACTGAAACTAGCTGAGTGCATTTAAGGCGGCCATTAAGAGTGCTGAATTTGTTGGTTGGCTTTCAATGGTGATAAATTTGACAACAAAGTCCAAATACATGTACTGATAATCCACTATAGGGATGGCAAATGGGTCGGGCGGCACTGAAACTCGACACCCTACATCAAAACTACGTCATTGTATTTTAATGGTGAAAAGTCAGTTATTTCTTTTTTAATATCATTATCATTATTATAATATAATACCAGGTATAATTAAAAATGCTATACGAACCACCAGTCCAGGCCAGGATTATCATGACTTATTCCTTAAAATTAACACGTAGTGCCAGGATGTTCATTAAAAGAGCCTACATCTTACAGTTTCAAGGGCACTCGTCCATTTGAGAAGAATCAGTAAAAATACACATTATCGCATTTGTTTTCTGGACCAAAGGGTTTCTAAATTCTAACAGACTTGGGATCCAGAAAATGAAACTGTTATTAGCTGAAATATATGTACATATACAGAGTAAGAAATGCACATATTGATGGAATTGTAACAGCAGCAATTACAATAATAGCAGCAGCAGCCAAACATATTGATGGAAGCCATTAGTGAACGCAGCCCTTCCTTATAAATAGCTAATTCAAAGATTTATTGCCTCTCATTCGATGCCAGCCAGTATGGCGCCACTGATTGATGCTCTTTATTTCTTCTAGGATAAATGCACATGGATGAACCTAATAGAGTTTTATCCTGGTGTTAATGGCACTCCGGCATATAGGGCATAACTGAAGATCTTGACCACAGTCGCAGCATGTCTGCGATTGAATAATGTTTAGCACAGGCAAATATTCCTGCATTTACTGAGAGAGAGTTTATGACTACATTACCTGATGTCCACAACCGAAGGCCAAATCCTTTGCATTGGTAAGGCAAATTGGACAAACCTGTTGAAAGCATGACAAGGAAATTTTTGAAATTCATTATGCTTACTGGACTAGCTATAATAGTTTAATTTTCTTCTAACAATAAATATATGGTGAGAAAATTCAAACCAGTGAAGCCAAAAAAGTAATAAAACAGAAAGAAAGCTGCAATCTGATTCAGGAAGCAGAAAACTGTGAAGTACATGATTATCAGAAGCAGAACTTGCAGGAGGAGCTGTGCCAGCTGCACCATATCTACCAGAAGAAGGTGCACTTGAACGATAACTGCTTGAGTGCAAAGGTTTTGAGTTACCAAATGAAGCCACACCATACTGAGGAGGGGGAAGAGGAACTCTATCTATAGCCTTCCCTCTAGTACAACTAGAAAATAAATAAAAAAGAGAGACATAAACCATTCACTTTAACAGTGTCCAATATTGCAAAAGGGAAAGACATCATAAGCCTTATAAAGAAGTTAAAAACATTACCCCAATATATTGAGCTCTAGCGTTGCTTTATACTGGGATGGTATTTCCATTAAGGCTGCTAGGGCAAATTCTGCTTCTTTTCTCGATCGGTCAACGTTCTTTGACATTATATCTGTAAAATTCACAAACTACAAATGTACATTTCTCAACTTAGCATTGACTAGTACAAGTTATTGAAACATGCTAATCTTGATTGAACAAATGAAAAGATGAAGCCCACTTGCCTGGAAATTATCAAATGCACGAGCTGGGATGTTGTCATCAAATTCCTTCATCATGTCCCATGGTCCATCTCCAACACCAACTAATATAATTGACAGCGGATACTCACTGAAAACTAACTATTGCATCAAGAAGTGTTTTAGCAGAGAAGATATACTTTCAAAACAAGCTCAAACGTTTTACCTTGCTTTCACAATTGCCTCAACAGTTCCCTTCTCCTGTGGGCTTAGGTGGCCATGCTGAGTATCAACACTTCTGGTCACCTATACAACCCACAATTGCTTCAACCATGACTGTATAATTCTATTCTTCCATCAACAATTTGTAAATAAAATTGGAGTTTGAAACAACTCTTTACGTGTATAAAGTAATTCCAGCTTTCTAGGATCCAGGTCGGCATATCTTAGAGATTTCAACTTTCCTTTCCAATTTGCTTGAAATATGAATATCAATCACGAGAATCAGCAATATCCGATTGCTAGACATTATGTGCAAGTCAACAAAAAACCAGAGCTCAACTAGCCAAGAAACTCCCACAATATCATTTCAATCACATTTCCATGTTTTTAATTTCCTCCAATATGTTTGGTTAGAAGCAAGATCACTATGTCACAAAACTTTGAAATGTTTTTAGCTCAATTCTGATCTGAAACTACATTTTGCAGGATAGTTCAAGTTCAGCAAAATGTTATAATTTTGCAAAATTCCGAACTCAGTGTTCTGTTTAGCTGTAGTAGTAGTACATTGAAGTTAACAAAATTTTATAGGAGATGTTAGGATTATCATGCTTTCATCATTCAAGACACTGACAATGTTTTGCCCGTTGTAAAGTGCAGCGTAAAAACTACCAATGTAATGGAGCAGAAGAAGGTGAAATTGTACTAGTTGTGAATGTTGGTATGACTCAAACAATTCCAACAATTTTGATCAAAATATAGGCTGGAAACGAAGTACCTGTCCATCAGCTATTATAACTAGAACATGGTACTGTCCACAACTTTGCTCAACAATTGTAATTGCCATTTCAATGACAGGTGCAAATGATGTTGGCCCTGCAAAGAAAGATTGGATGAAAATTCCATAAGCAGATGAACAACTGAAGAGGAGAGAAAAAAAAAAAGTACAAATTTTCAAATTGGAACCTGCTAGCCTTAAATGAGGGACCAATTCCTTATATCGACTTAACACTTCCTCAAACCCATTACAAAACCTCTCATCTGGATAAAAACTGAATACTTCTTGATCATGTGTTGATGCTGCCATTTCATATCCCAATATATATGTAATTAAGAATGTTAAATTTTAAATTGGGAAAGCAACATCTGTTCAGAAAATACCATCTCCAAATCCAAAACAAGGAATCAAGTTATCCTCATCAAATGAGGACAATGTTTTTCCAATGATGGATATTGCTTGTTCATAGGGATTCAAATCATCTCCTATGTGATGTAGGCTTCTTCGGTTAAATGACCTAGCACCTAATATTGAAGCAGGTTAGAAAGTTTTATAATATGAAAAGATGAAATTATGTATACTCAGTCAAGGCCAAACCTGTCCATTCATTGCTCTTTGTGAAATCAATACCGACAATGAGATTTGAAGACTCCAAACCTGAGCGTGCCAAGGCATCAGTAACCTGTGTTGACAGATTGGGGGTAAGATGGCTGTTTTTGTTATTGTAAAAAGGAAAGTGATCATCATCCATTGCTCCATGTTAGGAATCTTTTTATGGTTTGATTGAGTTTCTCCTTTGTTCCAAACAGCATAAAAACACCATAAAAGTTTCAAAGTCCAACATTTCCAAATGAACCAAATACTGAAGCACTTCTCAAGAATAAAATGGCTACCTTTTGGTCCACTGCAGTTGATTTACAGAGATGTAACAGTGAATGTCCAATGCAGAAGCAAGTATAGAAAATGAAAGGTTGGTTTAATTTTTAAAGGAGCCCACTGACGGCTTGATTGACTGAACACTGAATTTACTTGGATACGGTTTTGTTTCTTACTCAAACAACTAATGAATTACTCACAAAGCTGCTGTCTAGTCAGCACTTAGAGGGCATCCCTTCCAAGTAACTACTCAAATTACCTAGCAACAAACTTGGTATGATTATATAGAGGATGTGTGTCTACATAATTGACCCTGCAGCCATAGACTCATGCATGATAAGAATTCCAACTTTAAACTCTTCTCTTGACTATAGTGCTTAAGAATTCCTTATCAGTGATTCCTAAGGACTCCATTGTGAAGCTAGGTTCAATCTACAATGGTCCCAGAAAAGTACATCCCCCACTTACTTGTAATTAGCCCCTAAAAGATTCTTGAAACCCTGATCTTGAATGCTCAATTTGATCAAAAACAAAACCTTTACATGACAGGTTCAGTAGAATGAACATCTCACCTGCTCCAAACTGTTGTAATTATCATCTATCTTAGAGTACTTTCTCTCCAACCGCCTCCCTGAATCTGGGGGTAGACTACCATAGCTTTGAGGAGGAGATGCATAGTGTTGATATGGCATATATTCTTGACTTGGTTGAGCAAACTGTGGCTGTGGATAGCTCCATGAGTATGAAGTAGAAGCGTGACGTGGACTTGCTCGTTTTGAAAATATTCCACCCATCAATTCCAGTCTAAAGATATTCTGCCACATTCATTGAACGTGAACACAAATCAGTACATCAAATTGAGGCAAATGGAAGCATACTCAACACAATGAGAACCCAAGTCGACCATAGGGAAGCACATTCACAAAAATACAGCACCTCAAATTAACAAACTTTATACAGAATGATAAAGCATAATTAAGCTTTAATTTCTTTAAGGACCAACTGAGAGTCCCTTTTTGCTTTGACAATCATATTATCTAAAGAAACTTCATGGTCTGTAAAGGGGGGAAAAGTATCAACAGTATCCATAAAGTTAGAGAAGTTCTAAGAAAGCAAGACAAGCAGTATTCAAATATGTTTCCATGATCCTAAAAGCTAAAAATTAACAATGAATTTGCATTAAAAAGAAGATACGATTCCAGAATATGAAGTTAACGTTTTGTAGTTTCTTGTCAAATTTTCATGATTAGTAGTAGTTATAGTGTGGGAATTTCAAATGTAATTTCTTCCTCCAATTTTGAGCTTTTCGATGGAACGAGGACATTTTCTTTTCTTTTTTGGCCTCACAAGGCAAGAAAAAAACCTGCAAAAGTTCTGATCTGAATATCAAATATACATCATATAATTCTAAATTCCTTTCACACATATAGTAAGCAGAAAGTCATAAAATACATTTAAAATTTAATCACATTTAGTCTGGCATCAAATTTTAGTTTTTCATTTTCTTTTGGTGAATGAAGAAAATTCTACTGAAAAGAATCGCAGCTTAAAAAGACATTTACCCACTTTTCCAGCAAGAATACCTGTAACTATCAGAATTCCACATGAGAACTCACTCCATACACTCAAAAACACATTGTTAAGTTTTAAGAAAGAAGAAATCAAAATTCAACAATATTTATCAGATGAAAGAAAAATAAAAATACCGTATCAAGAAATCAGTTTTTTCAACATTTCTTGGATGAAGATTTCAGAGTGAGCGCGGAATCAGTGGGCGAAGAATTCAATTTGCAGAGTGAGCTGGTAAGGTTTGTTGGGTAGTAAGTGAAAGTGGATATGACCTTCACTGGTACAAGGCTGCTTCTTGGAAGTTTCTGTTGTGGAAACCGTATTGCACTATTGTTTACCTTAGCGTAATTGGCCAGTCCCAAGTCCCATTTCTTGATCACGACGACAACTAGTATTTGTTTTATCACATAAAAGAAAAGGTAATTGGAACAAGAAAGGCAAAGCTTAAGGATTTATATCAAAGTTGCTTTCTTCTTTTACAATGGGAAAGTGGTGACCTTATCCAAAGATTAGACCTTGGTAAAAATGGATATCTTCTACTTCAGAGGGGCAATTTGAAAAGCAATAATTGCTTAGGATTGACGCAACTGAAATTTTTATATCAAGAATCACATTATGCAACCATTTATTAATATAAATTGTTTCCTTTTTCTATTAATTTGGACTTAAAGAACTCATTAAGGTATATCAAAGTTCAGAAGAAGAAGCAAATAGCTTGTTTGGGCTAGCGTCTACTTGTTCGGTAGGTGCATGCCCGGCGTTATACGGCGTCAAATTTAAAATTAGAAAACATTATTATTTAATCCCTATAGTTTACTGAAATTAACTATTTAACCTTTTCAAAAATATAGTACTTAGTCTTTGGAGCTTGGCACCGTTGAACAAAATCGTCCTCCTAATTTTTATTGTATTTTTTTATGCTAAAATAAAAAAAATTATTTTTAAGAATGTGAATATTGTACTTTTACTTTTAGCATATTATTTTTAATAATATGAATTCATTATTTATATTGTTAAAAATGATTTTTTTTTATAAAATGAATATAATAGAAATGGACAGGATATTATTGTGTTTAAAATTAACACAAAAAGTACAAATTTTGGATGAAAGAATTTTATTGTTTCAAATGGAAACAAACAATAAGGATATATTAATGTTTTTTTTTTTTTAAAGTAAGGATTAAATAATTAATTTTACCAAACTGAGACATATATGGAATGGAAAAATACAATGTCTTAAGGCATATTTAATAAACTAAATAGAATCCAACATGTAATTTTCATTAGTACTCAAAAAAAAATTTGTAATTTTCATTATCCATTCCTTTGCAAGTAAAGTTTTCAAGTTAGGGATTTTGGGCTTAATAGGGAATTTGAATTCTGAACTCGTTCTCTGAATTTTATTTCTAAATGAGTTTTTTTCTTAAATATCACTTATATCTTTATTTTTTAAGTTGATGTTTTATTATTCGTTTATTTCATTTGGAAAAAAAAATTTACCTAGACCCAATCTATAGTCTACTTATGGACCAAATAAATGGAATTAAAAAGTTTTTAAAAAGTGTTTTGTTTTTTTTTTTTTTCAAAGTGTATGGTTATAAATAATCTTGTTTCAATAAAAATATTTAATTTCATTGATTTGATCCATAAATGGAATCATGGACAAGATTTAGATAAGTTTTTCCTTTCATTTCTCTCTCCTCCAACATCCAGTTGCCATTTCAATAATATCTAATGAAATAAGCTTTTCATCTATGTAAGTTTTTAATTGTTTTATTTATTAAACTCCAAGTTTTGTTGATTTTGCAAAAAAAAATTATCCCATTTCGTTTAAAATTACAGTTTAGAAATTTATTTAAATTAAAAATAGAGATTGAGAAATAATTTTTTCTTCACAATATTTATATTATTTTACAATTGCAAGAGATAATCAAAGTTAATATAAAAAGTAAGCCTTCATTAATAAAATAATTCATTTAATAAATTAAATTATGATAAAATTATTGATATGAATATTTTGATCCTTCTACTAATTTCTCATTTCATTTTTCCTATTCTATGTTGTATAGTAAACAAATTGATAAAATTAGAATTTCTATTTTTTTTGAAATAATTTTTAATTTCATTCTATTTCGTTTGATATTTTATTTCAACTCTATATTAAAATCGCCTAGGTATTTATAATAAAAAACTGCATACACAATCCAAATCAATTTAAACCTATTTAAAAATACAGATTTAAAAAGTTAATGATTTCATTCAATTTATAAAACATATAAAAATAAACTATCAGTTCGGTTTATAATTTTAAAATCAAAATTATTCTAATTAAACAAAACCATGTGCTAGCTCTGTTTATTCTAATTAAACAGAGGCCTCAGCCACTACAATGTTCAAAACCACAGGGGAACATTCTTCCATCCATATCTGCTCAAAAGAACTTAAAGTCAAAGCTTGCTTAGCTAAGCAATGTGCCACAGAATTACATTCTCTAATAACACGATGACAACTTGAACTAGTAAAAAATTCTACTAATTCCTTAAACCTTTGCATCCTTGTACGCATCTCAGTAACGGGCACGAGATCAACTGAAGAATAAAAAAGCTTAACTATGCTGGCACAGTCAGTTTCAAACATCACTTGCCTGAATGTCAAGTCTAAGACACATTGCCCAGCCCAGAAAACAGCTTCCATTTCTGCTTCCTCCACTGATAGCGAGTCCCGCACTCGACACATTCCAGCTGCCATGACCTGACAAATACTATTTCGCACCATAAAACCCATCCCAATATATCCATCTGGACCTAGCGCAGCATCTGTGTTTACTTTATAGAAATTCACAGGGGGCGGAGACCATTTTTGAAACCGTCCGACAGTAGGACCTTCTACCTGAGCAAAATCAAATGAATAAAGTGAATAAACCGGAACTATTAGAGGTTGAATTTTGTTATGCAATTAATAAATTTTATTATGGTCTCAATTTCATTATTTTTAAAAAGAGAGCAATTCTCATTTTTATTTTTATTTCATTAGAGGCTGACTTTCTTAATTTTATTATTTTTCATTTTAAAAGTACTCTTCAGATAATGGAATATGAAATTATATAAATAACGAAATTCATAAAATTTAATAATTTATATTTCATAAATTTTATGAAATTCTTATATTTATATTCTATCGTCTAAATTATCATCTAAAAATTTATTTCTTGTAGTGGTAACTAACAAATTAAAGGTTGTTAGTTAAAAGTTGCTAAATCTAATTTTGAAAAATCTAAGAAATTTAATTATCGAAAATAATTAAAAATATGAAATCTACTTCTAATAAAATAAAACAAGCCATTCAATTTTATGCTTTTTGTTAACCGTTTAATTATTATGTTAAGATAATTATTTATGTTCCAAACACCGTCTAAAAATAAAAACAAATAAAACGAACATTCTTCTTGTGCTCTGCCACCTATTAGAGGTTTCAGTTAAACGGTGCGTTTTGTTCCAAATAAAACGGCGTCATTTGGGCTGCTTTTTAAAATCCTCTACGACGCAAGAAAAAGGCTGGTCAGGAGGATAAGGTTATCCCGAACAGGAAAGTATCCGGAATAAGCAAACCAGATAAGCAAGTGCGAAAGGAAAAAAAAGAGTAGAAAATCTAAAATCAACTGCTTTTTCGACTCCAATTTCTGATTTCAGTGTCTCGTAGAAGCTCTCAGAAATGGATTCTATGGGTCTTCCCTCTCTCAATGCTCTACCAGTTTCACATTCCAAATTTCAAAGAGAACGGTGTACAAAATTATGGGGGAAATTGCATTACTTAAACTCTTCTATGCCACTTTCGCTGAAACTCAGTCCCACTTTTAGAATTCACCGTTTTGTATGCCAATCTTCAGTCTTTTCTGATCTCTGATTAATCGGTCCTTTTTCTTTTCCACTTTCAAATTTGTCTCGTAATTAGTTTTATAGAGGTTGTCAATTGAATTCATTTTTCTCTGAAAAGCAGCATGGGAGGGTTATCCAAATGCAAACTGGAGATGAAGATTATGATTTGAAGCAAATGAGAGACATGGCTGCTGCGAAGAGAAGATGGGATGCAATGGTAATGTTGTCATAGCAAAGCGTTAAATATCATCACTCGAGGTCGAGAAAGCCGAAATCTTGATTTTTTTTTTTTTTTTTTTTTTTTGATGGGATGCAATGGTAATGTTGTCATAGCAAAGGCGTTAAATATCATCACTCGAGGTCGGAGAAGCCGAAATCCTTTGAATTTTTTTTTTTTTTTTTTTTTTTGTGTGTTTTCTGCGGATGTTGCCCTCTCTAAGAAAAGGAGTCTTTTTATAGAAGTACAACGTTTTTAGCTGAACCCATTTCTAATTGAGTTATTGGTAATGTATTTCAAGTCCAGTGTCCATTGTGCTTATAATAATGAAATGATTGCCATGCGGATGGTAATAGAAGGTTTTTTGTGTAAGTTGCTGGAATGTAGGTTATCTCAAATCATAAAGTTTTGTCTTAAAGGTCATCTTTTGAATTTTTTGGTGTAAGTTGTGATTGCAAATTGCTTCAGTCCATTGAGATGAACCTTCTAAAGTCAAATAATGAGACTTAGGTCTTAGTATTTGGTACATGAACATTGTTCTTTCATGTGTAGAATCGGGAAGAAAAGTAAAATGTCCTTTTTTTTTTTTTTTTTTTTTTTGTGTGTTTTTGCGGATGTTTGCTCATAAAAAGGAATCTTTATAGATACACGTTTTAGCTGAACCCATTCTAATTGAGTTATTGGAGTATGTATTTCAGTCCATGTCCATTGTGCTTTATAATATGAATATTGCCTCGATGGTAATAAGAAGGTTTTGATTAAGTTGCTGGATGTAGGTATCTCAAATATAAAGTTGTCTAAAGGTCATCTTTGAATTTTTGGTGTAAGGTTGTGATTGCATTGCTTCAGTCCATTGAGATGAACCTTCTAAAGTCAAATAATGAGACTTAGGTCTTATATTTGGTACATGACATTGTTCTTTCATGTGTAGATTCGGGAAGGAAAAGTAAATGTCCTTACACCAAGAGAAGCAGGTTATGCAATTCAACTCTCTAGCAAAATCTTACTCGATGTTCGTCCCTCTGTTGAGCAGAAAAAGGTGAAATGTTTTTCTTTCTATTGCTTCCTCTTTCCCTGTCCAAACTCAAATGTTATAAATTCTACTTTCTTTATTCACTAGTTCTCTGTGATTTATTCCTTCAATTTGATGGTTATATAACATTTCTAAGAGTATTTGTCATGATAGCTATGCGATATCTGTGAGTGTCACTATTCCACTAGAATTCTGCAATTACTGGTGATTTAATTTCTTACTGACTCATTTGTTGCTTTTTCTTGTTGATAGAAAGCATTATCATAAAATGTTGCAATGTATAATGGCTGTTCTGTACTTTCTCAAATTATTGACCGCTTGACTGACATGTTTTTTAATTGATAAACCAATAATCTCCCTTAGCTCTTTTTCTTTATGGACATTCTGCCCCGTAATAGCATCATTTGCTTCCTTTATTCCAGATTTTTTTTTCTAGCTCAATATTTCCATGAATAATGTCATCTCCATTGCAATGGAGTTAATTCTTTACATGTTTTGAAGGCATGGGTTAAAGGCTCAACCTGGATTCCAATATTTGAAGTTGATGATAGATCTGACATTGGAACACTTTCAAAAAAGTTCACAAATTTTATGATGGGTATTTCCCTGTTCTTTTTCTCATGTCACTGTTAAATACCTGTCATAGAACAAACATGCAACCTTTAAATCTGCAAGAAATAGAAGATTCTGTTGTTTTCTTATACTTCAGCTTTTTCATTGTGTTGAATGTCTTGTGTGTTTGTAGGAGGCTGGTGGAGTGGTGTGCCTACATTGACTTATGATAAGTATGTGCTGAATGTTTTTCGATTTTCTTAGTTTCTTGTACACATTTTTGTCTACATACAATTACTTTATGAATTGTTTTTCTGTGTTTACCAGTCAGTTCTTGTCAAAGGTTGAAGAGAAGTTCCCAAAAGATACAGACCTGATTGTTGCATGCCAGAGAGGATTGAGGTGGATTATTAGTTTAATCTGATAATAATTTCTTCTATCAATTCATCCATATGTATTTGAATGAGTGCATTTATTCTTTTATTATTCTGAGGGGTAACCTAGATGCTTCCATTTGATTCATAGCATTTTAAATGTAATAAGTTTTGCCTCTATATTTCATTTATAACGATGATATTGGATATATACCCAAGGAAAATGTTGCCTTTCCATGAACAAGTCAAATCACAGAGCAGTAGGGACTAGGTTATGGTTCCAGGATATGGATATCTGTTCTTTCCATCTTTTGTTCTAATTTATTTCATTAACTCCCAAGTCCCACCGTTAGCTTTCCTAAAATGATTCATTTAAAAGAACAAAATTTTGGCTTCAAATGACTTCAGAAAGTGCTAGCATTATTTGGTGTTCTTGTAATTTCAAAGCAGTATGCCATTTTGACTGGGAAGGCGTCAATGCTAATGATGATAATGCATAATGGCAGATGATGGAAAAACATGGTGGTCTTTTAGTATTAACTTGTGATCAATTTGAACCCAATTTAAGTCAGTCACGGAACATGAGAAAGGATAAATAGAGTGGGGCAAGAAACAAACTAAGTCAGAGATATAATTTGCTTCTTTATTTTGAATATTCACAGATCTTTAGCTGCATGTGAACTGCTCTACAATGCTGGTTACAGAAACCTGTTTTGGGTTCAAGGAGGTCTGGAGGCTGCTGAAGAGGAGGTATACACATTCTCAGTGTGAATTTTTATATTTCTTTTAGTTATTATGATTGTAATTCTTCTGTTAGTTGATTTTATTTTACTGATCAAATGAAAGTAATTTAACCATCTAGTGACTTGTGAAGTAGGATCTCGTCATCGAAGGTCCTCAGCCTCTTAAGTTTGCTGGAATTGGAGGGGTTTCTGAATTTCTTGGGTATGCTTCTATTTACTGCTGAATGGATTTGGCTATATAATATTTGTAACTGCTATACTTGTTGTTAACTGCCTGCCTACTTTAGTTGGACAGATCAACAAAGAGCTGCTGCTGCCAAAGAAGGTTGGGGTTATCGATTGCTATTCTCTGCACGTCTGGTAACTAAAGTGTTTTCCATAACCTATTGTTTTCCTGTTGGCATAGAAATTTAATGTCCATTTTGTTTCTCAAGCAGATTGGAGTCTTTCTTGTAGCTGATGCATTGTTTCTTGGCGCTCAGCAAGTCGGTCGCTATATTCAGGATATAAGATCACATTGATTTGGGTTTGAAAGTTTATGACCAATGAACCTCAGAGGACATTGTTCTCTACATCATATAGAGTCCACAGGATTGATGGGAATCCCAATTTTGGTGCCAAGAGGAGTGTATTAATGCCAGTAACTTGTTATAGTGTGATGTATCTACTTATGTTATGTTATGCTGCCTGCATGTATATTCAATACAAGAACTCCATGTAATATTGCAAGGTGCATATTTTTGTTCTCTTAGTCCCTGAATTTTGAAAACCAGCTAAAATCATCTTCATGTAATTTACGTTCAATGTCCAGGGAAACAAAACGCAAAATCTGAAACAAATAAATCTAAGGGCATACACACGAAAAGTGAGACAGTGTCTCTGCAATTTTTTTTTAAGTCATTACAGTTTGAGGTTTAAGTAAAATGAAAACTTAAGGATACATTTATGGTCATCATTTTTGTTAAATTTAAATATATAGACTCTAAATCTCTTTCACCTTACAATATCATGTACTTTCTTTTATTATCTGATTTGTTTATAATCGTTAACACATATTATTTATTTCATCTAAACTAGTATTATATATTTTTAAACTAACCCTAAATACAAAAACAATATAGCTCTAAGTTATAGTAAATAATTTATATACATTAAACCCACACAACTAGAATTAAGAAACACTTAGGATTAAGAATATGGAGTTGCAACAGCCAAAAGAGGAAATTTACGGTGAATGGTGAGGCCGGTGCACTCAGCAACGTCCAAGTCCTCTCCTCTTTCAAGACCATGTAATGCCCAGTCAAACTTATACAGTAGATTTGCCAGTGCAAGCTCATCCGTGCTCATAGCAAACTGAATGCCTGGACAAATTCTCCTGCCGGCTCCAAATGGTATCAATTCAAAATCTTGTCCTCTGAAATCTATACGATTTTTCAAAAACCTCTCTGGCCAGAATTCTTCCGGACGATCCCATAATGCAGGATCCCTTCCTATTGCCCAAGAATTGATAATTACTTGGGTTCCAGCAGCAAGGTCGAAGCCTTTTATTCTAACATCTTGGGTTGACATTCGAGGAACCAGTAATGGAATTGGAGGATGCAAGCGGAGTGTTTCCTTTATTATTGCTTTCAAGTAATCAAATTTGCTTATATCATCCTCTGTTATTACTTTTGATTCTTTGTTTGCCATTTCTGATCGCAACTCATTTTGGACTTTCTTCATTTTCTCAGGATGTCTTAAAAGCTCTGTCATTGCCCATTCTAGGACTGTGTATGTTGTGTCTGTACCTGCCGCAAATACATCCTAGAACAAAAACACAGATTATATTTTCTTTACGTGGGATTGTTAAATGTAAGAATTGTGCAACATTATTCTCTAAATTTTTAAATATTAATGAGGTTTGACTAGTGATACTAAAACTTGCAAAAAAATTCTATAAAATTTGAAATTTATTTTTGAACTTGATTAAATCTTATTTAAATTGTAGATAGATAAAAACAAACGTGGCCATTAATTTGAGCGAAACATTGTTAGATAGAAGATTGTTTTCATCCATTTTGTGTTACATAACATTTTCTTTAAGTGGTGTTTTTATCGTTTTGACTAAATATTATTTTTTAAAAGTATTCGGTAATATAGCATTTGGATTAGCTTTTAGAGATTAATGTAGTATTTTATAAAAAATTAACTCATACCACACTTAACTTTTATAATTTTATGAAAAACTATTCGAACAGCTAACAATTAAAGCCACTGCATAAGTGGCAAAATTTATAGATTTAAAAATATGGTATTTAAGATATCTCCAATTAAAACAATTTTTAAGAGGTTATATATTTATTTTTTTATTAAATGAACATAATAATTTGACTATATGATCAATCAAAAATTACAATAATTAAGATTTTGATCCTTGAAATATAGATGATATGAAAACAAAATATGTAATTAAAAAAATTATGTTTCATTAAATAAATTCTTATGCCATGTTTCAAGATTTTTTTATTAAGTAAAAGAAATTTATGTTATTAAATTATTAATTAGCACATCTATTTTTAAAATTAAATTTTAATTTATGCGATACTTATTTGATAAGACTAATAGAATTATTTTAAAATTAACATAAAATTTTATAAATATGACGTGATGATTTAAAAATATTGAAAATATTTTTTGTTTTTTTCAATTAAAGATGCCAAAGCTAAAAAAAAAAAAAGAATTGGATTGGAAAAAAATTGACAAAAGATCAAAATAGAGCCGAATTTCAAAACCTGCAAAGTATCAGACTATCATGTAATGGCTTGATCCATAATGTATGGCTATGGACCGGATCTATATAAGTAATTTCCTATGATTTATCGAGCGATGTAAATATGGGGAGAAAGAAGATTACCAAAATGAGAGCCTTGACGCTAGTTGTATCCATACAAAATCCGGCCATATTTTCTTTCTGAATCCAAAGCAAAACGTCCACAAAGTCTTTGTTGTTAGCATCTTCACCATCTTTTGCATCTCTATGCTCTTCAACTACTCCATCTAAAAAGCTATCCAACTCTTTAGCCACTTTCTCCACCTTACTGTACAATCCATTTACAAGGTTTATCCAACTTAGCCATGGAATGTAATCCCCAATATCAACAAAACCCAAATACATCGCAAATTCCTCTAATAACTCCTTAAATTTTCTTTCTTTACTATATTTCCTCCCCAACGCTACTCTGCAAACTACATCATTAGTAAGACTCGCAAAAACTTCACTTAAATTGACTGGTAAACAATCAGAGCAACACTTCTCAACTCTTTTGATCATGCAAGTCGTTTCTTCTTCTCTAACATTTCTGAAAGACTGTACTCTTTTGTTGCTTAGTAGATGGAGAACGCATACGCTTTTCATTTGCCTCCAATATTCCCCATAAGGAGAATTTGCTATATCTTTCCCTTGATACAGAAGTTTGCCACCGATTCTTGATTTGGGCCTGTTTGCGAAAATTATGTCGTGGGTTTTCATTATCTCTTTAGCCATTTCAGATGACGAGATAACAAGCACTGGAGTGCTCCCAAAGTGAAGCAACATGATTGGGCCATGGATTTGAGCTAAGGATTGAAGAGACCGATGAGGGTATAAGCCGATTTGGTGGAGGTTTCCTATTATTGGAAACCGAGATGGAGAAGGTGGCATTGTTTTCTTGTTGTTGCTAAGAGGAGACCTTTTAAAGAAAATTATGAAAGAAAAGGTTAATATTGTAAAGGATAAAGGAAGCAACAGGGATGAGACTCCATAACGCTGCTCTAGCAATTGAACGGAACTCCACATTTTTGAAATGCTAGCTTGTGGTGGGATTAGATTTGGAGTCATCCAAAAGTTGCATAAACTCTTTGAAATGTTTGTGAGGGGACTAAAGTTGGAGTCATCCAAAAGTTTTATTTGGTGTCAGTTGTGGCCAATATGGTAGTTATGGGTAGATAATAATATCCTGGTTTTAGCTTTTGAGAAATCCAATTTAAATAAAAATTTGCAAGTGTCCTTTTACAAGTACTTGAACTAGTGGCTCTAACTGTTCACGTAACTTATTGAACTAGTGGCTCTAACTGTTCACGTAACTTATTGAACTAGTGGCTCTAACTGTTCACGTAAGCTCTAACTGTTCACGTAACTTATTGAACTAGTGGCTCTAACTGTTCACGTAACTTATTGGTCATGCTTGCACGTATCGTTTAGGTAAAAATTTAAGTCACTTTCACATTCTGCTTTGGTGAGAGGCGCAACTGATATTTTTTGGTAGAATTAATATTTTTTTGGCAGCTTTTTTTTTTTTTCTGAGCAGACTTTATTACTGCCATGGCAATTAATTTTTTATATCTTCAAATTGATTTAAATGATTATAGCTGATTTAGGTGTTTGACAAATTTTTTAACTGGTTCGCAATTTTGTTTTACCCACAAATATATTTTGTCTTGTATATAGTAACTCTACACCAACGAGTTATGGTTTAAAAAAAAAAGAAGAAAATATTTTGATAATTGACTCTAAAAAAATTAGAACTCTAACGCTACTTTTATTTCAGTAAAATAATTTGCTAAAAAATATTTTTTATATTTAAAAAATATTTTTCAAATGAATTATTTTTCGCTGTTTGATTGTAATATTATAAATTAGTTAAAAACATTAAAGTTTTTATCTCATTAGATCATAAAAAATATTAATAATAAGAAGTTTTATAATTTAAAAATTTTATTGCTAAATATGATAAGAATGTAAAAAAAATATATAAATTATGAAAGCAGCCGGTGGCCGGTGGCGAATAATGATTATTGGTAGTGATTATGATTATTAATAAATTAAAAAATATAGATTTATAAAGTTTATCAATGTCTCAAAAATGTTTTACTCTCTCGAAAATGAAAAGTTATTTTCCTTAAAAAATGACTGAATTTTCTTTTGATCAGAAAAATATTTTTCATTGACTTATTTTCCTGAGTGTCCCAAACAATAAAAAATTGTAAAAAATATTATTTACAAATTATTTTATGAAAATAAACGTAGTCTAAAGTTTTTTTTCTTTTTAATTGATAGCAATTGATCTTTTTTTTCTTTTTCTTAATTCAAGCAACTAAAGCACCTCGATACTTATTTTAAATTTTTTTTCTACTATAGCCATTTGTTTTGTTATTTAGTTCGATCCCTTCTCTTTGCCGGTTGCTACAGCCGCAATTGAGAGTGTTTTTGCAGCGATGAAAATTATTAAAAATGCATTTTGTAATAGAATGAGAAATGATCTATTGAATGACTATTTCATGACTTACATTAAAAAATATGTATGGGTAAATATTGACAACAAAGTTATTATGAATAGGCGAGGATGATTATAATTTAATTGTAATAGTTTGTTTTTTTTAATATTTATTTTATTGAACCCTCTCATTGAATTTCTTAGGCACGTCATTGGTTTTCCTCCTCTTTTTTACCCTTCAATGTTTTTTTTTTTTTTCAAAAAAATAAAGTAGGAGCATCCAGACTCGTGACATGTTATGACAAGAGCTTAATAAACAATAAATCCAAATCTTTTAAAGCATATATAAATAAATAAATTAGAAAAGCGTAACTTATCAATGTGCATAAAGTTATTATAAATTTTACTTTCTGAAAAGTAGATTTTCTAACTTATGTTACACAAAAAAGTAAGTATTTTAGGACAGCTAGGGAAGTTGCACTTTCTTAGTTAAGTGTGATAAATTTATCAATTTATCTTATTATGTAAATATATTTAAATTTGTATTGTTTTATGAATATTACTGTATTTTGTAATTTGAGAGCAATTTATTAATTTGCATATTCAATACTTTTCAATTATACTTTCCAATAAATAATTTTTTTAAATTATTTCCAATAAATAATTTTTTTAACAATATACTTTTGTAAAGTAGATCATTTTCAACAAAGTGAGAACTAAATTGGATCAACGTAGTTGAACTGAATTTTTTATATATATAATTATTTATAAAAATTTAAAAATATATAATCCCAAACAATTTCATACAAAATAACAATATAATTATCATTAAAACTAAAATTAAAAGGATTTACAAATATAAAAAATATTTTTGTTTTCATTTAGTATCAAATTTTTATCTAATTTGATTTGAAAAGTGAAAATTATTAAAATACTAAGAGTTGTTTTAGTAATTAATGAAAAAACGAGAACCACTCAGGTTTGACTAAAGTAGTAACAATCTATCTATTTTCCAAAAAAGAATATTTAGTTGAAACTATTTACAGTAATAATGAAAAGTTGGGATAAGGATCTATCAATCTCAAACAACGTTAAAAATTAAAATATTGTGGTTTGAAAACCATAAAAAAATAATAAAAAAAAAATTAAGCTCAATGTCTAAAGTATATGGTTTGAAATATGGAAAGATTCAAGTTTGTCTTTTTCTTATTTTTAGAATTTTGATACTGAATCTGTTTTTGGGATTGACAATTTTTTTTTTTCCTGAAAACCCATCCAACTGTTCACTATCGTTGTAAATACTAAATAGTTTCAAATAAACATTATTTTATGAAACAGCTTTAGATTTTTACATTATTTTAGTGGGAGCATCTTCGATATAACCGTGCATCTTTAATTTATGGGTAATTTATTATTTAGTCTTTCAGGTTTTACATAATTATTCAATTAATTTCAAATTTTGCGCAAATATCTAACTAGTCCCTCAGGTTTAACTCCGTCTAATTAAAAGGTCCTTCCATCTGAAAAGTTGATTTTTTTCCGTTAATTGAAGACTAAAAGACTAAAACACCCTTCCCTAGCTGACGTGGACCAGTATGAAGCGATAAGGGAAAATTATTATTTCCATCTGAAAAAAGTTGATTTATTCCCGTTAATTGAAAGACTAAACAAGACTAAAACAAACCCTTTCCCTTCAGCTGCACGTCGGACCAGTTATGAAGCCGATAAGGGGAAAATTATTATTTAGTCCCTCAGGTTTTACATAATTATCCAACCTAACTCCCACGTTTTGTGCCAAATATTCTAACTAGTCCCTCAGGCTTTAACCCGTCTAATTAAAAGCTCCTTTCCGTCCGAAAAGTTGATTTTTTTCCATTCTAATTCGAAGACTAACAAGACTAAAACACCCCTTTCTAAACTGGACGTGGACCAAAGTTATGAAGCGATAATGATAATATCCTAGTTTGTTTCCCTTTTCGTTTCTTCCATGCCATAATGATATACCTAGTTTCATCTTTGCCCACAGATAAACCTTGCACTTCAAAAGTATTACACAGATAACCTTACATTAAATATTAATATTCATATTCAAAGTTGTGAAATTATAATAATATAGGTGACAATAATAATTACTTTTTTATCTATAAATAACTATTGTTTTAGAGCCTGTGTTTTCTCTGCAAATATCTTTTTTTTTAGAATATTAATGAGTAATTAATTTTTTTTTCAATTTTACCCTTATTTATATTAAATTTAATAATTATTTTTATAATTTTTCAAAATCATATAACATCTCCTCTCTTACTGTCACGACCCGTTTCCGTGGGCCGGACCGGCACTAGGGCCCAGGTAAGCTTAAGACCCCCGAGGCCCGTAGTAAGCCTGAAATACTAAAAGAATAGATGACAATACTTTTGCTTTTTTTTTTTAGACTTTTATCAATGGATAAATAGTAATGTTCTTTGATAAAAATTTCTGCATCATTAAATATCGAAAATTTATAGATAAAAAAGTAATTATTATTGTCACCTATATTATTATAATTTCACAACTTTGAATATGAATATTAATATTTAATGTAAGGTTATCTGTGCAAAAGATAAATTAGGTATATCATTATAGCATAGGAGGAACAAAAGGGAAAGTGAGTATAACAAACAGTACACACTTTACATATTGTGTATATTATACTTTTATCATTAAAATTAATAGAATACTAGATTAGAATTATTATTATTATTATTGATATTTATTATATATTTTATTTTATCAATTTAAATTCAAATATATTAATGTGATATATGACAGGCAAAATTAAGCCCCACAAAATATGACAGTAAGTCAGTAACTCTTAAATATGGCTCAACTGTCCGTCCTATAAATTCTTCTCGTGTTTTCTACTATCAGACAATCTTAAAAATATGGGTCAACTTTGACATTCATTGATGAAAATCCATACAAGGAATATTAATTGCAAAATTGTCAGGAGTATTAAAAGTTTGACTGATTTTAATACCCATTTCCAAAAAAAAAAAAAATAATAATAATAATAACTTTGAGATTAGTTGAATACATTATGTAAAACTTGACGGGACTAAATAATAAAATTTCCCTTAATTTATTTACCATGTCTGTAAAAATTTGAAAGTTCAAAAAACAAAATATCTCTAATGCTATTGTTCATATATAAAAAGGACCTTTTAATTAGATGGAGTTAAACCTGAGGGACTAGTTAGATATTTGCACAAAACTTGAGATTAGTTGGATAATTATGTAAAACTTGAGGGACTAAATAATAAATTTCCCTTAATTTATTTACCATGTCTGTAAAATTTGAAAGTTAAAAACAAAATATTCTCTAATGCTATTGTCTATATATAAAAAAAATGAGAAATTATCTATAGTGCTCTCTATATATTTAGTAGAAGGTTCGTTAGACAGTAGAACGCAAATTTTTGTTCTTTTTTTCCTATTTATTCGTTTTTTCTTATTTCCTTTTTTATTGAAATTAATTTTTTTTTCGTACATTAGAGATTTATTTTTAAAATCTAATATCTACAACTACACATTTAACGACATTACTATCCAAAGTTTCTATTTAGTAAGACACAATAACCACAATTCATGATTGCATTGGAGATGGTATAATACTATTATCAATATTTAAACCAAATGGCGAACCAAAAACTATATATGTAATACAATTACCAACTAATCTGAAAATTATTAAACTTATATGATATATAAGTTTTCTATTATTAGGATTGAGTCTTCTGAAATTTCACATTTGAATTTAAAATAAATGAATTGGAGCGAATCGGAAAAATCCAATTAATTGTCATCTAATACTCTGTTTGTTTCCGTAAAATAACTTGCAGGAAAAATAAATGTTTTACTTTCTCGAAAATGAAAAATTATTTTCTTTAAAAAATAATTTAATTTTCCTTTGACTAGAAAAAAATTTTCCGTCGATTTATTTTCCTAAACGCCCCAAACAATGAAAATTATGGAAAATAAAGAAATAGAATCGAAGTATGAATAATCTAATTATATAGCCAACTAGTTGTCATCTAATTATGAATCACCTAATTATACACAAATGCTCTTATAATGTAATAATTCGAGATATTTGCCTCCCATAAATATGAAAAGAAAGGACAATATCATTGTGTGAAAACTGGTTATAGAATTAAAATTATTAAAAATAAAAGTAAATACACACTTCATAAGCTCAACGCATCATTTCATCTATTAATAATTAAGTATTCTGTTGGAGTAATGCTAGTGGGAAATAGGTATTGCAATGGCTAAAAGTGGATTCTTTCTACTTGTGGTAATTCCAACAGATTCGTCTACATCCAAGTCCTCTCCCTTCATTCCACCGGGCAATTCCCACTCAAAGTTGTTGACGAGATTGGCCAACACAAGCTCAATAATCGACATAGCAAATGGCATTCCTGGGCAGCCTCTCCTACCAGCACCAAATGGGATGAACTCAAAGTCATGACCTTTGAAATCGATAGGATTGTCCAAAAATCTCTCAGGCCAGAATTCTTCAGGTTTGCTCCAAAGCTTGGAATCTCTTGCCAGAGCCCATGCATTGATTAGAACCATAGTTCCAGCAGGAACCTGAAACCCCAATATGTTGATATCTTGCATACATTCTCTCGCGGCTAATAATGGAAAGGGAACATGGAAGCGAAGAGCCTCTTTGATCACCAATTTAAGATATTGCATTTTGTCCAAATCAGCTTCTGTTATGTTTGATTTTTCAGGAGCAATTGCCTTGATCTCACTTTGTAATTTCTTCATGGCTCTTGGATGCCTTATCAGCTCTGTCATTGCCCATTCTAGAACGGTGGATGATGTATCAGATCCGCCAACAAACATGTCCTGCCCAGAAAAATCAATAAATAAATTTTTTCAAGAAAAGCAGCAGCTGAATCTTCAAAATTTTGGCAGAGAAAGAAGAAGAGCAGGTGCCATACCAGAATGAGAGCCTTTATATTTTCTCTTTCAAGTGAAAACTCAGACTTACTATTGTTGCTTTCCTTTTGAAGCTCAAGCAGAACATGAACAAAATCATTTGGAACTTCTTTTCCATCTGTAACAGTTCTCCCATTATTGATGTGCTCTTCAAGTATTCCTTCTATAAATTCATCGAATTCTTTAGCAGTTCTATCAGCTTTTGCATCAAACCCACTAATCCAATGAATCCATGAAAGCCAAGGAATGAACACAGCTACGTCGAAACTACCCAATAATCTCATAAATTCCCCTAACAATTTCTGAAATTTTTTACCATCTTCACCCCTATACTTCTTCCCAAAAGCTACTCTGCATATTACATCGTTTGCAAGGCAAGCAAACATTTCACTCAAATTCACAGGCAAAGACGATGAAGAAAATTTGTGGATCTTCTCAATCATGAAATTGACTTCTTCTTCTCTCACGTTTTTAAAAGATTGAACTCTTTTGTTAGTCAAGAGATGGAGTACACAAATGCTTCTCATTTGTCTCCAATACTCACCGTAGGGAGCACTGGCCACATCCTTGCTGTTGTAAAGAAGCTTGTCTGTAACACTTAATTTGGGTCTGTTAGCAAAAACGAGATCATGGGTTTTCATAATCTCCCTTGCAGCCTCTGCGGATGAGACGATCAGCACAGGCTTGCTGCCGAAGTGAAGCATCATGAGTGGGCCATAGCGTTGACCCAAGGACATGAGTGATCGGTGAGGGTGAAGCCCAAGTTGGTGGAGATTTCCAAGAATCGGGATCTTTGGCGGTGAAGGCGGCGAGTTTTTTTGGGTGGCTAGTAAAGAAGTCAGCCATTTGATCAGGAAATAGGCAAAGAAAAGGAAACAGAGGACCGATACATAGAGAGGCTGCAATTGATGAGTAATGCTTGAAATTTCCATTTTGTCGTTAGCTATTATTGTTTTCCCCAGTTAAAGAGAAGGCTAGCGATTGTGTTAGTAATATAGTCCGCGTTCTACGCTGTCGTCGTGTACGCCCATATATAAAGACAAAATATAAAATATAGGCTGCATAGAAGATTTTTTTCTTTTTCTTTAATATTATCGTCAGCTAACCTAATCTGATAATATCATGAGAAGGTATTTCATATTAATAATGTTCAAGTGACCTCCACTCGAAAATAATTCTTATTCCAGAAATGGCCATATGCGAATCCTCCTTATATGCCTCTACCATTCCCAAAATGAGGTCATGATACTTCCGGTATAGGTTATTCCAGAATCCAGATTTTGCTGGAATGGGTCGTTTGTATTTTCCTCTTTTACGTAGAAAGTAAGAAAGAAAGAACGAAAAAAAAAAAAAAAAATCAAAATGACGGTTCATGATACTTCCGGTATAGGTTATTCCAGAATCCCAGATTTTGCTGGAATGGCGGGCCGTTTGTATTTTCCTCTTTTACGTCACGAAAGTAAGAAAGAAAGAACCGAACAAAAACAAAAAAAACAGGAAGTCTCCTAGATAGCCTGGCACAGATAGTAGAATGCGCTAGCCAGACTTTTCATGGCCTTGCGGCCGTTTACACTTCATGGGAAGCCGGCGAGGTGAAAAAGCTTGGGCAAATAGGCCACGGCAGTAGTTCCATCGTCCAACATCATACGCTTATGTGTCGCTCCACCAAGCAAAAGCCCAACTTATCAACAACCACCAGCCCACTAAATCTCCGGCCTCTTCCAATAATGTCAAAATCTTCTGGCTGAACAATAAAAAAAAAAAAAAAAAAAAAAAAGAGAAGTCTCCTAAATAGCTGGACAGATAGTAGAATGGCTAGCCAGACTTTTCTGGCCTTGGGCCTTTACACTTCATGGAAGCCGGGTGAAAAGTTGCAAATAGGCCACTGGCAGTAGTTCATCGTCCACATCATAGCTTATGTTGTCGCTCCACCAAGCAAAAGCCCAATTATCAAACACCAGCCCACTAAATTGCTTTCCAATAATGTCAAATTCTGGTGAACAATAAAAAAAGAAAATTTGCTGAACCAAATTTTTTTTAAAGATTTTAAAATAATTGTGTGATCTGTCCTTGGAAAAGTTCATAACTTTCCCAATATTCTAGCTGTTATCTGACGCTAACTGAACCATAGTTAAATCTAATCATAGTTAATAAACCACATGACAAAAGCCTTGAAAGCTAGCAGACAGGTGTCTCAGTCAGACCCACGGCTAAGATAAAGACACGTGGACGGACGATTATTGTCTTAGCCTCCTTGCACTCGCATTGTTGTTGGTTAAAATTAGGGTTAGCTGTGAGTCGCCTTCTCCTAACAATACCTTATCTTCCTCCTAACGCTGTTTGTTAGTTTCTCGTCGTAGTTCCCGAATTTTCTCTCGCTTTCTCATCTATTTTCTCTATATAGTTTTTGTATTTCTTTTCGATCCTGCTTTCGATCATGGAGATGGAGCGCGTGATCGAGTTTCCCCTAACGCATCTGGATCGGCGACCCAGGAAGAGGGCTCGTTTGGGCTGGGACGTGCCGCAGGTTCCTAAGGTATCACCTCTTCTTCTTTCTATCTTAGCTCGCTACCTATTTTGCTTTTTTTTTTTTTTGTTTCTGTAGATCTGATAAATTTTGTTCATATTTAATTGTATAATAGACTAATCAGGGTTCAATCTTTCTTCTTTTAACAATTTATGTTCCAAAATTACGGGATTTTGTGTTTCTTATAGCGGATCTAATCCTTTCATTTATCTTTGGTACCTTGATCTGTTTGAATCTTTTTCTTGTTTGTTTCCATCGACAACATATTTTTCATCTAATATAACAGGATTTCTTTATTTCTATACATGTTAATATGAATATGTACATGTACTCAGATATGTCGTTTTAGGGATTCGGGATTTTTTTTTTCTAATGCTTATTTTGATAATTGAGTTTATTATGTTTTCAGTTTGGGAGAAGAGGAATCATCAACTCTTTTTGTGTATATTATGTGTCCCATGAAATATTAAGACTTTGATAATGGTATATTGGGTTGGTTTAGAGGAAATATAGTATAAGATATTCATAAATTTGCTCAAAGTTTTCCATGTATCTATGTTTTCCATAGATGTCTCACTGGATTTCTGGTTTAAATATAATATTGTAGTATTTTTTTTTTCTGAAAATTACTATATGCTTTTTCTCATGAATGAGTTTTTGCCAATTAGCGAAGGGTGTTCCAAAGGGTATGACAATATCAGGTGAAAAATTTTGTTTTAATTTTTTGAGTGGTGCATAAATGGGTGGCTGTGTGTAGGCTCAGCTAGGAATATTTTGTGGACAAGATTTTGGGAATGTAGCAAGCTTTGCATCTTCTGGAGCAACCTCAGATCATACTACCTCTAGTTCTCTATTTGTAAAGGGAGTTGCTCGAAATGGTTCCCCCCCCTGGCGGGAAGATGACAAGGATGGCCATTACATGTTTGCGCTTGGAGAAAATTTAACATCTCGCTGTAATTACACTTTACTATCTATACCTTTTATAAACAATTAATAGGTTTTTGTAACAAATCAATGCTGAGCATACAGTTAATGTTAGTCATGGAGAAGTTCTCCTTAATAAAATCTGAAGATATGATTAAGTGGCATATTTATGTTTTAGTGCATTAGGTGAAGGTGCTGCTTCTTTTATTGCATTTGGTTCTTTGGGACTTTTTAAAACTCCATGCATGGGACCTTTTGGAACTCCATGCATGGGACTTTTGTTCCTAAGTGTAAACTGCAGTGTCTAATGTCTGTTGCTTGCTACAAACTAACTCAACTTCCTTTTTTTCATTCTTTCTATGCAGATAAGATACACAGCAAGATGGGTGAAGGTATTTTTACTGTTAATTTAATTTTGATTGTTGTTTGGTTTATCTTTCATCCATCTGACATGACACCCCTTTGGCCTATACCTTTTTAGGAACTTTTGGTCAGGTTTTAGAATGCTGGGATAGAGAAAGAAAGGAGATGGTTGCAATCAAAATTGTCCGCGGGATTAAGAAGTATCGTGAAGCTGCTATGATAGAGATCGATGTCCTGCAACAGCTTGGTAAACATGATAAAGGTGGCAATCGGTGAGTAATCTAACTGGCCTCCATTATCATTATGCCATTTGCAGGCCCTGTAACCAGCTTTCTTAAACATTATGTCACTGGTTAAATGGGTTTATTCCTTGCAGTTGTGTGCAAATAAGGAACTGGTTTGACTATCGTAACCATATCTGTATTGTAAGTATATAGTTGATTTGTAATGGATTAATTTCCCCAATTCAGAAATAATTTGGGGGTTAAGACTTGTGGGTGAATGTAAATGGTTTCAACAGGTCTTTGAGAAGCTTGGACCAAGCTTATACGATTTTCTTCGCAAAAACAATTATCGCTCATTTCCCATTGATCTTGTCCGTGAGATTGGAAGACAACTATTGGAATGTGTAGCATGTGTGTAGTAATTATCAAAGCTAGTTTCTTTCCCCTGCATACTTGCATTTTTTTTTTCTATATTATGATTTTATTGGGCGATGTACTTGTTGGCATGCTCTCATCACACACAAAATTTGTCCATTTTGTGGAAGAGTCACTTTCTTTTCCTTCCATCAAATAATTAAAATGAATCAAAATTTTATTTGTAGTTGCATGTCAGATCAACTTCGTTGGAATTTGCTTTTGAACTGCTTCTGTTTTTATCTAGATAACTTATGTCGTGTTATTGGTATTTGTTGAATTCTGCAGTTATGCATGACTTGCGACTGATTCATACTGATTTGAAGCCTGAGAACATTCTTCTAGTTTCTTCTGACTATGTTAAGGTCCCTGATTACAAGGTAAGGTCATAAATTTTATTTTAAGTTTTGTTATCTCTGTATGTGCAACATTTTTTCCTTCCAGTGTTACTTTCTTTGGGATTTTTGTTATTTGTGAAGATTTCCAATATTTACACCGTGTCTTACTATGTGCAGGGTTCATCTCGATCACCCAAAGACAGTTCTAACTTTAAAAGAATCCCAAAGTCAAGTGCTATTAAAGTGATCGACTTTGGTAGCACTACTTATGAACGCCAAGATCAGAACTACATTGTGTCAACACGACATTACCGAGCACCAGAAGTTATTCTTGGTAACCAGTCCTTGTTCTGTTTACAGAGTTTTATTTGGTTCAAAATCAGATGGCAGTGCACAATATCAATTGTTTGTAATATTTTAGGACTTGGGTGGAGTTATCCTTGTGATATCTGGAGTGTTGGTTGCATTTTGGTGGAATTATGCACGGTATGCTTCTGATATCCTCATTTCTACTTTCAGTAGTTTTTTGAACTGCCTTTCAACTTATTGATGTGAAATAAAGTTTGTTCTGATATGAAAGATTTTGTGCTGCTTGTTACTTCTTTTCAGGGTGAGGCACTATTTCAAACACACGAAAATTTAGAGCACCTTGCGATGATGGATCGAGTGCTTGGGCCTCTTCCTCAGCATATGCTCAAGAGAGTCGAGTAAGATTTTTGCTGTCTGTTTTTTCAATGGTGTTCTTATTTCTTTCATTTCTTTTAGTTGATATATCTTTCCTGTTGTGCACAGTCGACATGCTGAGAAATATGTTAGAAGGGGTAGATTGGACTGGCCTGAAGGTGCTACTTCTAGAGATAGCATTAAAGCTGTTTTGAAGCTACCTCGTCTGCAGGTTTGTGTTGGGTTTTTGCATCTGTCCTGTCTATTCTCTCTTTTTCTTTTTCCCCATTCTTTAATGTGGTCTTTTTCTGCTGTGTTGTTGTAGAATCTAATAATGCAACATGTAGATCATTCAGCTGGAGATATCATACATCTCTTGCAAGGACTGCTTAGATATGATCCTTCAGATAGACTAACAGCTCGTGAAGCACTAAGGCATCCCTTCTTTAACAGGGACAATCTGAGGAGGTGATTGGTTATATGAAGCAGCCAGCTTAATCAAGGGAAAGAAGGCTTCAGCGGAACGTTAGGGGGTTGGACAACTAGGCTAGGCCATGTTGGTAATATTGTTGATAGACGATTGATTGCCTGACTGTTGTCCCAACCGTTGGGAAGTTGGCGGATGTATATAATTTTCCTAGATGCCGCTCCCATCCCCTGTTAAACCTGCTAACCCTTGCTTACTTGTATATCTAAAAATTCACTGATCTAAATTCAGAAGTTATTGATTAGCATTTTTCTGGAGTATGGTACATGTATGGTTTTAAGTGCCCTATTTGATATCGTTTCTGATGCCGGTTTTCTGTTCCATAATAAAAAGCTGTATGTGCAACAAGTTTTCATATTTGCTAAGCAGATAGTTTTATCATCAGTTTAGAAAAGATGGGGGATGAAATAATAGTATCTTTAATAAACCCAAGAACAATTATATTTTACCCTATTGTAATGATGTAACTTAAAATTTTGTTCTAACTTGAATGATTTGCTAATATGAGATTATGATCGTGGGACGTGATGAGATAGATCAATGTCGGCGATGGGTTTTCCTGGGAATGTGTAAATAGATTGGATAAAGCAGACATATCTTATCAGCTTCTGGCTTTATTATTATTAGTGATGTTAGAATTTGTCCATAGTGCCAAATTAAAATTTGAAACGAAATTTAACATATATTATATATAAAATGCAAATTATATATGATGGGGATGACAACTAATAGTATCCTTTAAAAACCCAACAGAACAATTATATTTTACCCTATTGTAATCGATGTAACTTTAAACATTTTGTTTCTCTCTAACTTGAATGATTGCCTAATACTGAAGATTATTGACTCGTGGCGACGCCTGATGAGACTAGATCAATGTCGGCCGCATGGGGTTTCCTCCGGGAATGTGCTAAATAGGATCTCGGACTATTATAAAGCAGACATTCTTATCAGCTTTCTGGCTTTATTATTATTAGTTGATTGTTAGAATCTTGTCCACTAGTAGCCAAATTAAAATTTTGAAACGAAACACTTTACACATATATTTATCACTATCAAAAATCGCCAAATTATTAAACTATATACTATATATATATATATATATATACTACTACTATTATATCTATATTTATATTTGGAATGGAAATACAAATTTTATGTATTTCACACGCGGTAAACTATGCCGAACACGGAATCTTGACTAGCCACGTTTTGTCTATATATATATTTGAATGGAAAATACAAATTTTATGTATTTACAGGTAATATGCCGAACGAATCTTGATATGCAGTTTTGTTATTATTTGTATTCTCTAGAAAAACTGAAAAACACAAGTAATATATTTAATTATTGTTTATTAAAAATATTAAATTAATTACTTTAAAATAATATTAATGAAGTTATTATTTCATTAATTGTAGAAAACTAAAAATTTTATTATTTTGAAAGATATTAAAATTATCAATTACGTTAACATTAATAATATTTATTGATATTCATAATATTAATTCAATTGTGACTGTATTTTGTGGGTAATTAAGAAAAAAAAAATTACTAAGAGCAATCAAAATTTTAAGGTGACACCGATGGAAGAATTTAGCTTTTATACATAGATCATACATGTTTTTTAATGGAGAAAACTTCCCTACATTTCTTACGCATCAAATTAATAATTTTTTGGTTCAACATAGTATTTTCGATTATATATTTGTATATAAAATGATTATATAAGAACACAATCTTTTTTTAAAAAAAATACATTTTAAAATTGATTTAGTATATATATATATATGAATGGTTACATATATGGCGTTACTTGTAGAATTTTTTAAAAATAGTGCTATTTTATCCATTATTTTTTTATAAGAAATACTTCGCTTTAGAAAAAAAAAAAGAGTCATTTTTTATTAATTTAGTTGCATAGATAGGGGTTTACCTAAGTCTATCTCTAAATACTTAGACACTCGTGGATAAGAAAATGCCAAGCAAGTTAACCGATTGAGCTCGTAGGTAGTAGTGAGAAACTTGAAACTTTATTCATTTATTTATTTTTTGAAATCATAGTAGCAAGCACCGAGTAGATGAACATATACATTTGGAGATTTTGATTATGTAACTATTTTGACTTCAAATGCTTGCTAGTTCGGTTGCAACGTCCACAAATTGTCTGCATGCGAACATTAATAGGAGCTTGGCTAACCATATAAGTGGAAAGAGTTCCTTGTGCAAAACTAAATCCTGGAAATGGCTATATTACCATACTTGCAGCGAATGGAGCTCAATACCTTTCTTTTCCTCCTTGTTTTCCTGTCCTTTGTTTTCCTTTTGCATAAGCTTAGAAGAGGAGGTGGCAATGGGAGACTCAACTCACCTCCTAGCCCACCAAAGCTACCAATCATTGGAAACCTTCACCAGCTAGGCAAACTCCCTCATCGTTCTCTCGATGCTCTGTCCAAGAAATATGGACCTTTAATGCTCTTGCATTTTGGGCAAAATAAGACTCTTGTTGTTTCATCTGCAGAAGCCGCCAGAGAAATAATGAAGGGTCATGATATTGTTTTCTCAAACAGACCCAAAATGACAGCTGCAAATATTTTCCTGCATGGATGCGCGGATATCGCATTTTCTCCCTATGGTGAGTATTGGAGACAAGTTCGAAAGATTTGTGTTCTTGAACTTTTAAGCCTGAGAAGAGTGCAATCATTTCAGTTTATAAGGGACGAGGAAGTTGCAGATTTGGTCGATAAAATTCGAGATGCATGTGTCACAGGGGACTCTGTTAATATAAGTGATATGCTGGCATCTATTTCAATCAACATAATTTCAAGATGTGCTCTTGGCCAGAAGTCTGAAGGGGGCAAGTTTGGAAAGTTGTCAAGAAGAATGATGGAGCAATTTATGGGCTTTAGTTTTGGGGATACATTTCCCTTCTTGAAATGGATGGATTATCTAACTGGTTTAGTTTTCGAGTTGAAATCAACTTTAAGAGAGGTAGATGCTTTTCTTGATCAGGTGATTGAAGAGCATAGGAATTTGGGGAATCATGAAGAAGAAGATGACTTGTCTGCTAAGAAAGATTTTGTGAATATTCTCCTGCAGCTTGAAAAGAATGGCACGTTCGATTTTCAGCTTAGTCAAGAAAAAATCAAAGCGATCTTGTTGGTATGATATATATACTTTCTTTGCATTTTTGTTTGAAAAAACTGTATTATAACCATAAATGAATCAAGTCGTATATGAATTGCTTGAAACTTGGCTTGACTTAGAATTAGAAGATCATGCACAACCCTAATAATTTAAATTTTTTATCCGATTTATGGAGTTAGTTTAATAAACAGGTTGAATTCTTTGAAATGAGATACGCGAACCTTATTACCAAGTTGGCTCAGAAGCCAACTTATAACATCAAATGAGTTTGGCTCTAGCTCGAACTCGGTATACATTTTTAACAAGCCAAACTTGAGCTTAATAAAGCTTAGCTCGTTTAGCTGTTTGCCAATCTACTAGACACTTGTTTGGAAATGTCTTGACCAAGCCTAAATAATAACACATAACAGAATACAATGAAAACACTTGTGAACTACTAAATTCAAAATTAAATCAGATATCCTTGCAAAGTTTGATTCAAAATTACTTCATTGTAAATTTCAGGACATGTTCGTAGGAGGATCTGATACAACTTCAACTGCAACGGAATGGTTAATGGCAGAGCTTATGAAAAATGGAAATGTGATGAGTAAGGTCCAAGAAGAGGTAAGAAGAGTTGTGGGAAAGAAATTAAAGGTAGAGGCAGATGATATTGAACAAATGAATTACTTGAAATGTATAATCAAAGAAACTCTTAGATTGCATCCTCCTGCTCCTCTATTGGTTCCAAGAGAAACATCTACAAGTGTTGAATTGGGAGGATATTATATTCCTCCTAAAGCAACCGTGCTTGTAAATGCACTTGCAATTCAAACAGACCCAGAGGTATGGGACAAACCTCAAGAGTTTTGGCCAGAGAGATTTGAGAATAACCCACTTGATTTCAAAGGCCAAGACTTCCAATTCATCCCATTTGGCGGTGGAAGAAGGGGTTGTCCAGGAATCACGTTTGGGATGGCTTCAGCAGAGGTTGTGATTGCAAATCTCTTCTATTGGTTTAACTGGAAGTTGCCTGATGGTGAGGATTTGGACATGAGTGAAGTTTATGGGCTTTCTGTTCATAAGAAAATTCCTCTTCGTCTCGTTCCAGCATTGTACTCTCCCTGATCAAGTTCCCACTTTTGCTGTTGTATAACATTGGCATGTCTTGTGTTTCTTTTTTCTGTATTTTCAGGGAATGCTTTTTGGTCACAAATAATTCACATTGAAAAATGAACAGCAAAAGCTACCTTCTTTGCATTGTACTTCAAGACCCCGGCTATTAGTTTGTTCAATTCTTAACATTATTTAGTGACATAATCGAGAAATTATAATATAAATTCCTATTTTGAAAAAATGTCTAATTGCAAATTAGAAAAAGAGTTAATGAACTGATGATAAAATTTCTATTTGAATGAATGAGCAGTGCCCACCACTTGCTAATTATTCGGTGCAAATTTATGCTCCCAGTCCTATCAGAAAATGCAAGGAAGCTAAAGATGGAGGCAGCCCTCTTTATCTTTTTTTAAAAATTTTTCATTTTTGTTTTTTAAATATTTCTGTCCATTTTAGAGTGGCAACTGGACAGTTTGCACATCCATGTGCTTACCATCCCGGTTTCAGGAAAAACGTTAACACTTGTTATCTATTAATTAGTTGTTGGGTTACATATAATTAAAAAAGGGTCATACAAAAGAATATAGTAATGAAAAATGGGAGAATGATTATTCAAAATGATGGAATTGGTCATATAAGATAGGCCATATGAAGACAAAGTGAAATTTCATTATTAATAGTTGCTTCTTCTGTTTTATTTTTTCTTTTCTTATTCAGTAATATAAAAAGAGTGATTAATGACAAAAGACTTTGACAATCTTAAAACCAAAAGAAGAAGAAAGGAACTCTTTTGATTGAATTCAAGAATGCCAACTTACAGTATTAAGTTTATACATAGTCTTCAAAATTGACTATTGATTTATAAAATACAGAAGAAAGTCTATCTTGTCATCTCACTTTTAATATTATAATCACATATATGTTCAAATAATAATTTCTTCTGTTTAGTACCGGAGATATATTTTTGTGCCAAATTTTCTTATTTTAAGCTTTATATATTCATTTGTGCCAAATCATTTAAATTTCTTAAGTTATGGAATGAATATTTCGTTTGTTGTCAAAATGTTTTTGTCAGTTTTTTCTCTTTCATATTAAATTTATTTTTCTAAAAAAATACATTGAGAAACTTCATCAAACGCAAATTGTTAAATTGTTAAAGTTTATAATTTTTTTTTTTTCAGTTCAAAATTTAAATTAAGTATTCCCACTTAGCAATTGGATAAAAAAGCGAAAAAGTCCACCTTTGCTATTTTCCTCGATAGTACATACATATGCAGTGGACCGCCGGGCCGCCCAGAAAGGAAAAAAAAAAAAAAGAAAAGAAAAACCATTGCCTCTTGGCTTGTCTGGTGGCTTGGTACCCCTGCCTTTCCTAACTATATATTTGTGGTGTCCCTGTATGCTTTGCAATTCACTAGTAGAGTATCAAAGTAGAATAAAAAAGGAAAATGGAACTAGTAGCTTTGTTTCATCAATGGTGGCAAGAGCTAGACAAAACAGTTCCATTCGATCCTTTGCTTCTTGCCCCTGTCCTTCTTTTATCCTTTGTTTTTTTGTTTAAACTCGCCAAAAATCGCAAACTCAAATTGCCTCCATCACCACCAAGGCTACCACTGATCGGAAACCTTCACCAGTTAGGTCCACTCCCTTACCGCTCTCTCAAAAAGCTTTCTGATAAATATGGCCCTCTTATGATGGTCCATTTCGGAAAAGTTCCGACTCTTGTAGTTTCTTCGGCAGAGATAGCTCAAGAAATCACTAAAAATCATGATATTGCTTTCGGTGACCGGCCTAAAACCGCCGCGGCCGATGACCTGTTCTTTGGATGCCAGAACCTCGCTTTTTGTCCATATGGTGAGTATTGGAGACAAGTGAAGAAGGTTTGCGTTCTTGAACTCTTGAGCCAGAAAAGAGTACAATATTTTGAATTTGTAAGAAGAGAAGAAACTGCAAACTTAGTGGAGAAACTGCGCCATGCAAGCTTGCAAGGATCTCCAGTTGATTTAAGTGAATTGCTTGTTTCAATTTCTAACAACATCGTATCAAGATCAGCTCTTGGTACTGTATATAATAATGAAAGTGGGCATAGTAGTTCTGGGGATTTGGTTAGAGGAGCAATAGACCTTGTTGGAAGTTTCACCTTCCAAGATTTTTTTCCTTCTTTGGGTTTGCTAGATGTTCTAACTGGCTTCACAGGAAAAGTGAAAAAAGCTTCCAAAGAATTGCATGGTTTTCTTGATAAAGTGATTGAAGAACATCTAGGAAGAAGCCAGGACAAGGCTGATGATAGGAAAGACATTGTGGATATTCTTCTCCATCTTGAAAAGACTGACATGCTTACCGTTGATTTCACTCGCGAAAGCATGAAAGCTGTCCTAATGGTATATTTAAATATATGTATCTCTCTATCTGTTTTTGCGTTTGTTTGTGCATATCAGGGTTCAAATCCTGACAGAGCTAATATATATACTTTCTCCTGGTCTAATAATTGCAGGATATGTTTATTGGAGGAACTGATACTACTGCAACAACCATGGACTGGACAATGGCAGAGCTAATGAAAAATCCAAGAATAATGAAGAAAGCACAAGAAGAGGTAAGAAGAGTGGTAGGAAATAAATCAAAAGTAGAAGAATCCGATCTTGATCACATGGTCTACCTCAAATGCGTAGTGAAAGAAACTCTAAGACATCATGTGTCGGGAATGATTCCTCGTCAAACAACATCGGATGTTAAACTTGAAGGATATGACATTTCGGCCAACACAAGAGTATTGATCAACGCATGGGGCATTCAGAGAGATCCAAGGTTATGGGAACAAGCAGAAGATTTTATTCCAGAAAGGTTTGTTGATAATCCAGCTGACTTTAAGGGACAACATAAAGAGTATATTCCATTTGGTTCAGGAAGAAGGCTTTGCCCTGGTATATCATATGCACTTAAAGAAGTTGAATATGTGTTGGCCAATCTTCTTTTCTTGTTTGATTGGAAATTGCCTGAGGGTCAAGGGCCAGAGGATTTGGACATGGATGAGGTTTTCTATTTGGTTATTCGGAAGAAAATACCTCTCATGGTTGTGCCTTCTCTGCATAATTAGTTAAGTGTTGTTCATTATCCTTACAGATACAGAGGGAAAAGGATAAATGGTGCTCTAGATGCTGTTCATTATATTTTTCCTTGTTTATTTGGATTTAATGTTCTGTGGGCATAGACATGAACTGAAAGTGATGATTAATCAGTTGGAAGGTGAGGATTTGGATATTTAATTACGAAAGTTAATTAAGGTTTGAATTAGAGTTTTCTCCCTCTTGTACTGAAATAATATTTGAAGAGTTGATTAATAAATCATATACATATATAATTAATAGCTTCCACTTTTAAATAAATGTTGTCTTTATTTATATGCACAATGAAGAGAAATCCTCGTCAAAAATCAACCAACTTATATGATTTTGTTAATCTTATGATAACTTTAAAAAAAAAAAAAAAAAAATTCATATGACATGAAAAGAAAATTGATCAATCACGTGCCACTAGTTAATCACTTTCGTTTTCTTGTAATAATATATAATACTCCATTTATCTCATTTTGAATTAAAAATTTAGTCAATAAAAGTTTTTTTTTGTCTTTTTTTACCCTTAATAATCCGTTAAGATATTAATAAAACTTAGTTATACAAAGTGGGTTTCAAAGATATAATCATACATGAATTTGATTCACTACTTAAAAATGTTTGTGTAACTACTTAATTGGGTTGGTAAACCCCTGTCCTGTTGAGTCCAAATGAAAGAGACAAATTGAAAAGTTTGGTCAATGACATTAGCTTGGTCGGCTAAGATGAGGTGCTCATGATTTTCATTTTTTCTAAATTTTCTTCACCATATCTAATTGAAGAAATTTAACTTTCATTTGTTATTTTTCACTCTCATTTTCCGTTCTCCTCTTTTCAAACACACTCTAAATTTTTCCTTTTCATAGTTAATGGTACGTAGAATTTTTTTCTTTTATTTAAGTGTTGCAATGGAAAAAAATCATTGTTTCGACTGGACTATTTGTATTACAAAAGAGTTGCTTTCAAGCTTACATTTCAAATTTGAATATTTGACCCATTCCACTCCACTGTTACCGTTGAATTTTATTGCAATAGAACAAAATTTATATAATCATTATAGTCATATAAAAATATTATTAATTAGACCAATTTTTGAATTTTTTTAAGTGATAAGGTCGTATAACAGAGCTTGTGATATATGCTTTAGTCTTTATTTTTGTTAAGATAAAAATAATTAAGCTAAGTATGAATATGATTAACTTATCACTGAAATTTCTGTAAAAACAAGAAGAAGAAAAGCAAAATAAAAAAAGCTATACAAATACAATTCTTGAAAGAGCTATAATAATATCAGTCATGATAGGTCTAAGATCTGGCTCATCCTCAATACAACTCTTTGCCAGGAGCACCAAACAAATAGCATCTCCCAATTGATAATCCCCCTCCAAAACTGGATCTATGAATCCCTTTAGTTTTTCCAAGAACTGTGAAGAATCTTCAATCCTATCATCAAGCAAGAAATTGATTGAATCCATTACAATTTTCTCATCTGTAGTACTTATAACCTCTTTTGCTGATATCAACTGAAGCAAAACAACTCCAAATGCAAACACATCCATTTTAAGGCATATCTGCCCGTTAGTAACTGCTTTTGCCAAACTAAACCCTGAAATTTTAGCCCTCCAATCAGAAGTTACGAGCACATTTCTGCTATTTATGTTGTGATGAACAAACGCTGGTGTTGTTGAGTTATGCAAGTAGTGAAGAGCTGCAGCTAGATCAAATGCAATCTGCAGCCTTTTTGCCCATGTGAACTGCCTATCCAATTTTGGATTTGACAAGCAGTCCCATAAGGTACCATTCTCAGCAAATTCAAAGACAAGATAAGGTTTGTTGCTTTCATGGCAAAAACCTTCAAGCCTAACAATGTTTAAATGATTAATCTTTGTCAATATATAAATCACATTTCGTGCAGCTTCCTCAGAATCCATCTCTTCAATTGCAAGAAATGAACCACCGATCTTACCTTTATACTTTTTTGCACCGATCATTGAAGCCTCATTGAAATTCTCAGTTGCAGTAGTTATCTCCTCTAAGCTATAATTGATCAAGGAGTTCTTCAACTTTGACACTCCATCAAGAAAGTCAGGTGACATGTTTGATGACACTGAACTTCTTGCAGATAAAGGTTGAAAACTCCTAAGATGATTCTTTCTTTGGATGTATATAAAAACCCCACATCCTACAACAATTGAAACAACTGGGAAACACACACCTAGTCCAAGAAATAAACGGGAAACCCATTTGCTTGATCGTTTACCAGATGGTAAAACTTTCTCCAAAGGAATTACTGCTTTAGGAACAGATGAGTTTTTAGGGACAGATCCAATACTCCAATTAACATCAAGAACATCCTTTGTTGGTACAAGCAAAGTTGTTTGAGGAAAAATGGTACTGTATGGTGCTAATCCATTGGCATCCCAGATCATTTTCTCAGACACTTTAAATTTACTAGCAATTAAATCTGTGTGATCACCCTCGATAATAGGGTATGTAACAAGATAATTTACACCATTGATTTGCTGATTCGGCTCAGGGCAAGCACATCGAATAGGTACATTTATCACATAACCATCAGGAATATTATTTCCTCCCAAGTCAGGATTTTTCTCTAACAGATTCTGTGCTTTCACCAAACCCTCAAAAACTCCACAAGCAATTGAGGAAACCGAGTCTTTGCTAGAAAAATTGTACATGAAAATGGACTGAGAGAACCCATCAAGGCAATAACAAGTAATTGGGATAACAATTTCACGCCCAAGTGATAGAATCCTAAAATCATCTTCACTTAATTGGTTGACAAGGCGAAGATCTGATTGGGTTCGATTAAAGAGAGAAGCTATGGAAGAGACTGTGTTGAAATTATTTTGAGCCCTATAGACTATATAAGTTTTGCAATCCCTTTTGTTAGAACTACAAATGTAGTTGGCTTCATGGCCTAGTGAGTTTGAAGTGCAGCCGGAGGTGTCATAGAGTTGTTGAGGAAAAATGGGATTGACGAGAAGGATTATCAGAGAGCAAAGACATGTGAATTTGGGAAGTGGAAACATGATAGATTAGATAGTAAGGAATGAGGATATGGAATGTTTGGAGTGTTACATGGGATGGGAGGGGAACTTGCAATCAAATAAACTAATAAATGGACGGCCGGTCGGCCGGCCTGTCAACTGGTTTTTTACTAACATAAATATCGAATACATCTGTAGTCTGAGTCTCAACATCAGTGATTGCTCTGCGATAATTCTTCAGTTGAATACACAGATATGTGTTGTTTAATACTTCATCTTTTCCCCAAGTAAGGAATTGAATGTTTCTTGTTTTTTCTTTGGTTAAAAAATCCGAACATCCAACAATTTGTAATAATTTAACGAAGCATTTGTTTTCTGTTCTTAGCATTAACGATGATACAAGACAAATTAACAATCATTAATCATTAATTACGTTAAATACAAAAAGAAAAGCACTCATAAACTTGTCTTTATACGTTGTCACAAGTGTCAACACATAACATTTTTGTCGTGTATGTATTTTCATATTAGTACATTTTTTTGACAAGGCATATTAATACATTTTTAACTAAAATTAAATAGTATTAAATATTACTATTACTAATATAATTTAAAATTGCTAGAGACATAATTTACTTTGTTCTTTTTAGTAAAATAAAAATATGATAACTGCTATGAAAAATTAATCATTACTGAGGCTCCGTATGTTTTCTTAGAATAATTTGTAGGAAAATAACTTGTTGAAAAATATTTTCATGAAAAATATTTTCCTTGAAAAATATTTTGTAAATGACTTAATTTACATTATTTAGTTGTATATTGAAAATTAGTTAAAAATATTAAAGTCTTATCTCATAAGACCGTACAAAATATTAATAATAATAGAAATTTTATAATTTAAAATTTTTATTATTAAATATAAAAAGAATGAAAAAAAAATATAAATTATGAAAGCTGCTGGTGGCAGGTGGTGGTAATCGGTATGATGACCGGTGTTAATGATTATGATTATTAATAAATTAAAAAAATATGGATTTATAAGATTTGTAAATATCCAGAAAATGTTTCTCTCTCGAAAATGAGAAGTTGTTTTCCTTAAAAAATAAGAAAAATATTTTCCTTTGACTTATTCTTCTGAGCGCCCCAAACAACGAAAATTATAAAAAATATTTTCATATAAATTATTTTACGGAAATAAATAAAGCCTGAATATTAGTAGAATGTTAAATAAAATTTTGTTAAAAGCATTCCCTAGTAGCTGAAAAGTTCTATTTTAATATAAACAATAAAAAATTAAATTGCCTCGAAATAATAATTTTGTAAAAAAGAAGAGCATAAAATTATTATATACCGTTACCTCAACCTGCAAAAATAATAAATGAAAACATTGAATAATATTATGAAAGTTTTATTTTTGTGTAAGCAATCAAAATTAAATAAATATTAGTAATAGATATTTTTATTAAAGTTTTAAGATTTACAAAACTGATAGAAAATTCACATAAATAAAGCAAACATAAAATTATTTAATGTTAAATATAATAATTATTTAAAAAATAGCATTTTGTGAATAAAAGACAAAATAAGTTAAATCTCATGAATTAATCAATATATTTTATCAAATAAAAAAAGACCAAATGAATCCAAAACTTAATGATAAAATTATTACGAAACGAAATATTGTATTGCTGTCATGCTAAACGATAAAATATGCATTAGGCCAATAGAAAAGATAAAATTATTAATGGAAAAAAAAAAAACCATTGAATCTAGTACATTGGTCTTCTCATAATATGTAAGGGACGGATCCATATATAATAGCGCCGTTATACTAAACGACAGAACGAAATCCTTGTTACGAATTTTACAATATTCCTTGGTGAGATTTCACTTTTCGGAAAATGGTCCCTTGGCATACTCAGGAGCTAGATAGATTCGATTAATTAAACACCGTAAAAGCAGTGGAGAAGCGATTGGAAGATGGACAGCCATTAGTCGCTTTTTCAGCGCCCAATTTTGACCCCCAAATCACAAGTCTTTGTCCACCCTTAATTTTTAAGTTCTTTGTAGTTTCTTTCTTCTCCTTTGTCGTTTTGTTTTCGAAGGGGAAATGCATTATCGTCTCAATTCATTAGGCTCCACTCGTTTGTTTGATGCACTAACATGTCAGTAAAAATATCCGGTACATTAAAAGCGCGAGATGTTAGAGTTAGAGTTAGTAGGAGAATTGGGCATGGAATCAAGATGGATACACTTAAGGGACTTAAAAGAAAAAGGATTCATTGCTACCTTGCGATTTATAACTTTTAATCTGATTTTCCTTTGAAGCTCGTGCAATAACAGACTATCGGATCAATTTCTTTTATCTTTTAAAATCGACTGTTACATGTATAAGTTTTGTTTAGTATTTGAAAAAACAACATTTTTTTTCATTTGATTTATTTATGTGCATCTCCCTTTTTTTTTTTTTTTTTTTTTGCAGCAAAAATTTACCTTTTCTAAAATTAGCAATTATCGCTTTTTTTTTTTTAAAAAAAAAAAAACTCAATTCAATTAATAATTTGACTTGCAACATTTAAAATCAAATAAATATCCACCATATAAACATCAACAGTTCTTGCTAACATCATCACTCAAATAGCAAAGTAGCAGTAGATGCCTTTTTTTTTTTTTTTTTTTTATGGCAGCAAAATTTACCTTTTCTAAAATTAAGCAATATCGCTTTTTTTTTTTTAAAAAAAAAAAAAACTCAATTCAATTAATAATGACTTGCAACATTTAAAATCAAATAAATATCACCATATAAACATCAACAGTTGCTTTGCTAACATCATCAGCAAATTAGCAAAGTAGCAGTATATGTTCATATAAGTTTGTTCAATTAAACTGGAAAGAAATTGAGTCTGATTAGAATAAGGCAAAAATATTAGGGACTAAATTGAAATTTGATCTTTATTATTATTATTTTGCATCAGTTTTTTCCGTGATGGTAAGTGGCGCGAAGTACCCTTTCTAGGCTGCGCTGTTGCGTCGTGTCACCATCTCCTACTCCTACGTTCAGTGCCCTTTTTAAAAGGCCCTGCTTTCTCTTTTCTCCACATCTCCAAATATTAAACACACCTCAACCCATACCTTTCCATTTTCCCTAAACACGCACTTTAAGGCCATTCCTTAACTATCACCAGTCTCTTTCCCCTCGACTTCACCTCTTCCATGGAGTCCTCTGCAACTATTTCCATGAAAGCTTCTTCTTGTTATTCTTCTCTTTTCTCTATCTCCCTTAATTGTACTCCTAAACGCAGGCTTTTCCCCCATGAAACACAATATTCTTCATTTTCCTTTAAGTCCCTTAAGTGTATCCCTTCCGATTCCGTACCCAATTCTCCTACTAACCCTAACATCTCTCGCTTTTCATGCTCTGCTGTTACTTTCTCCCCTTCACCCCCAGCTGAGTTCGTTCCGGATAAGTTGCTGCATCTTATTACCGAATTCCAATCCATCACTGAACCAATCAACCGCGTTAAACGGGTTATTCACTATGCCTCCCTCCTTGCTCCGTTTCCTGAGTCATCCCGAGTGGATTCCAATCGGGTTATGGGCTGTACAGCCCGAGTCTGGCTCGACGCCCAGTTGGACCGCTACGGAAAGATGAGATTTTTGGCGGACAGCGATTCGGAGATTACGCGAGGGTTCTGTGCTTGTTTGTTATCGGTATTGGACGGGGCGGCGCCTGAGGAGGTGTTGAGCGTGAAGACGGAAAATTTGGCTGCGCTCAATGTTGGGTTGCCTGGCGGCGAGAGGTCGAGAGTGAATACTTGGCATAATGTGTTGGTAAGTATGCAGAAGAGAACGAGGAAACTGGTGGCGGAAAGGGAAGGGAAGCAACTTGTCGATCCATTTCCTTCGTTGGCTGTCACTTCAGAGGGTATTCAGGCCAAGGGAAGCTACGCTGAAGCTCAGGTAAACAAGAAAGTCCTCTATTTGACTGACTTTGATTGTATTCCTCTAACTTGATTATGATTATAGAGCAAATACAATAGTACTTTTCTCTGTGCAAAAAAAAAAAAAAAAAAAAAAAAACTGTGCAAAAAAAAAAAAAAAAAAAAAAAAAAGGGGAAACTATATCATTGGATTTGAAAGAAAATTTAACGTAGGAGAACCTCTTTTGCATTTTTGATGATGAGTCTACATTTTATGTTTCATACTAGCTCATTTTGTTCCCTTTCATAGGCCAAATATTTTGTACCCTGATGAATCTAAGGTCCGAGAACTTGGTTCAATGTGCTAAAAGGAAGAAGAAAATTGGTTGTTGTTGCTTTCACTTTTACATGGACCCTGAAGTTCAAGGGTGTCTTTAAACTTGCCTGCACAGAAAGCTATGGCCTCACATACATATATCTTGATTCATTGGTCATGGCAGGATTTAGTGCAGTGAAGATGGGGCAAAAGCGGATGCAAATTACATAAAGTCTTGGGTGTATGATTTTATGTCAGAAAATGTTCGTGCCATCCTTTGATCCAGGCTGGCTTGCGAGAGGGCTACTCATCTTTATTCTTGCTTCTTATGTCGGTGCTGCTTAGGGGAAAGAGTTGAAATGAATAAAATAATATTACATAAGGATCCAATCTTAAACCAACAGCCTTGATAATACTATAAGTATCACAGGAAAAAAAAAAAAAAAAAAAAAAAAAAGGGAAACTATATCATTGGATTTGAAAGAAATTTAACGTAGGAGAACCTCTTTTGCATTTTGATGATGAGTCTACATTTATGTTTCATACTAGCTCATTTTGTTCCCTTTCATAGGCAAGATATTTGTACCCTGATGAATCTAAGGTCCGAGAACTTGTCAATGTGCTAAAGGAGAAGAAAATTGGTGTTGTTGCTCACTTTTACATGGACCCTGAAGTTCAAGGTGTCTTAACTGCTGCACAGAAGCTATGGCCTCACATACATATATCTGATTCATTGGTCATGGCAGATAGTGCAGTGAAGATGGCAAAAGCCGGATGCAAATTCATAACAGTCTTGGGTGTAGATTTTATGTCAGAAAATGTTCGTGCCATCCTTGATCAGGCTGGCTTTGGAGAGGTACGTCATCCTTTTATTCTTGCTTCTTATGTCGGTGCTGCTTAGGGGAAAGAGTGAAATGAATAAAATAATATTACATAAAGGAGCCAATCTTACAACAGCCTGATAATACTTAAGTATCACAGGTTTAAGAGCTTAAGTATCCAAAGTTTCTTTTAATGACTGATACAGGTTCTAGAAAGAAGAACTTTAATTAATATTTCCACCTTTATACTTTTATTATGCACTGATTGGATGACAGTTTTTTTATCCAATGTAGATTTAACACTACTGGATCTCAAATACCATTAGAGCAATTTTAACTTTGTTCCTTTTTGATATTTAAATGCAGGTTGGTGTTTATAGGATGTCAAGAGAGCGCATTGGTTGTTCATTGGCAGATGCTGCATCTAGCCCTGCTTATATGAATTATCTTGAGGCAGCTTCAGGGTCCCCTCATTCATTGCATGTTGTCTACATAAATACTTCACTTGAGACAAAGGCTTATGCTCATGAGCTTGTGCCTACAATCACCTGTACTTCTTCTAATGTCGTGCAAACTATCCTGCAGGTTAGTATTATTGTAATTGCCCTTTTATCTTCTGCATCTTGTGTACCATGAAGCACGTAATCATCGATTGCCCCTTTTCCCCTCTTCTACTTCATCCACAGGCTTTCGCTCAAATTCCTGATTTAAATGTGTGGTATGGACCTGATTCATACATGGGTGCCAATATTGCAAAATTGTTCCAACAAATGACAGTGATGACTGATGATGAAATTGCTGAGGTACATCCAGCACATAATAGAGACTCCATCAAAGCATTGTTATCTCGCTTGCATTATTATCAGGTGATCTCTCCTTTCAATTCTCAATAGAGCTAAGACGAAATCAAAATTTAATATGCATAATGAATTCTGAAGTATTCGTGTAATATGGATATTATTTTGGAGTGGAGGTATCTATTGGTCTGATGTGTAAGCTGAAGCCTGGATTAACATTTATTTGGTTATTGATTATTGTACTACTTGTTCTTTTCATATTTTAGTTTCAAGATACAGGATAATGATTCAACAAAGTCAATATGAAATTGGCAAGCCATTAAATGAAACTGTTGAATTATATATATTAAGGCAAAACAGCTTTAGTCATTTATCCTTTTCAAACTGCTGTGGCAAGCTCTAGAATGAGAAGAGACTAAGAGATATAATTGGGAAAAAAAGGGGGGAGGAGGGTGGGGGGTGGGGGCCTTGGGGCACCGAACTTTTCTTAGCATTATTTTTTGGGGGCTAATTAGTTCTTCGTGGTTCACAATCAAGTCATTTTCTTAACCTGCCATTGCAGGCAGTAATAAAAGCAAAAGAAAATCTCCCTCTCTTAAAACATGCATGCAGAGGCATACAAAACCCTTGAAATAATTTTTAGGGAGTTGCATGCCAAGTTTCAGTCATTGCATCAGGATTTTGTGGGTGTGATATGTAAGAACATATGTCAGGCAGACTGATTTTGAACCACATATAAGTTTCTTGTCTAGTTATTTTTGTCAGCTCTCCTTAGAAAATTATCACAGAGCCCTAGAGTCTTACAGTTTTGTAAGGTCCAGCTCAGTACAGCCAAGGATTCTTTTCCGTATTATTTTCTCTATATTAATGCATTACTGCTGTCTTATTTTCTAAATTTATTGATGACATGAAATTTTTATATCAGGATGGAACATGTATTGTTCATCATCTTTTTGGAAATGAAGTTGTGGAGAAGATAAATGAGATGTACTGTGATGCTTTCCTTACTGCTCATCTTGAGGTCCCTGGAGAAATGTTTTCCTTGGCAATGGAAGCAAAGAGGAGAGGAATGGGGGTTGTCGGTTCCACTCAAAATATATTAGATTTTATAAAGCAGAGAGTTCAAGAGGCATTGGATAGAAATGTCAATGATCACTTGCAATTTGTTTTGGGAACAGAATCAGGGATGATTACTTCAATTGTTGCAGCAGTTCAGCATTTATTAGGTTCTGCAGGGTCTTCAGCAGGAGCTAAAATTAATGTTGAAATTGTCTTTCCAGTCTCATCAGACTCGATAACAAGAACATCATCAAATTCATCCCCAAGCCTGAAATCAGTAACGGCAGGGGACTTTGCATTACCTGTTGTACCTGGAGTTGCTTCTGGGGAAGGATGTTCCCTTCATGGTGGCTGTGCTTCCTGTCCATATATGAAGGTTAGTATATTCTTGGTATTGAACTGGTTGCATAACCGAAGTTACTCATCAATTCAATCAAATAAACAATTTCAGAGAATGTTCTCCAAAATTGTCTGAGAAATTTTATGCCTGAAGTGAGACCACTCATATGATATTTGCTGTGATCTGGCAGATGAACTCTCTCGATTCCCTTCTAAAAGTTTGTGAGCACCTGCCTGATGAGAAAAATGTCATTGCGGAGTATGAAGCAGAGCGGTTTAAACTGCAAACTCCGAGTGGAAAATCAATTGCTGATGTTGGTTGTGAACCAATACTGCACATGAGACACTTCCAGGTGAGGAATCTTCAACTAGCACATCATTTTAAAAGTAAAATTTGGGATCTAACGACTTAACTCTTCTTTGATTCCATTTGCAGATGACAAAAGAAATGCCAGAGAAGCTTGTAAATGAAGTTCTTCTCTCCAATGGCAATGGAAGGCCAATATCATAATAAGGGTGATAAAATCTAGGCTTGAGAGGATATTATTTAGAGGTTATAACCTACAGCAGAAGATTTTTATGTCAAACATCTTGTACACACATCTGCTATAGAAATCGTTGTACCTGCCAACGGTTTAGTTGAGCATCTTTTCGTTTTTCTTTTTTAATTATTTAAGAAAAATAGTAGTTTAGTGTTAGGTTCATACGAAATTGAGTGATTCATGATCTTAGAAAATGTTGTAACCATTTGTTGTGTATAGGAGCGTCATAATCATGGCCATGGAACAACATATTTTGGCTAAACAAGCCAGACTCTCATCTTAACAAACTGAAAATTCGAAGTCTTTTTATTTTTCTTTTTTCTGGTAATATTCCAAGCATTGCTAACACCATAGCCTATAAAATAATTACTTAAGGTCCGATGACTGGTTTTTAAAAACAACAGAAATTTTTTTTTTTTTTTTTGGGAATACCCATTATTGGGAAGGATGAAATCAACCATTATTTGGATTGAACTTCTGGGCTCACACTTATAGAGTTGAGGTGGCTCACCATAGAAGTCCGACATCTTATTGGTACTTTGTGTGTAAACTTTGATGACTTTTTATCAACATTTTTAATATATGTGCATTTTGCTAAAAGCAGGTCAACTGGCGGTGCATGACACACCCTAAAAGGCTAAAACGACGTACCTGAGGGGAAAAAAACGGAACATTGGTCAGGTTCAATGTTACAAATGCATTTATTCCGTATTACGTGGCCCATTGACGTACCGCAACCACCATCTTGACGCAGCATCTCGTTCCATTATTCCCAATCGAGTGTAATCTAATAGTCAAATTTCCAATGCATCCATAGCTGCAATTCCATTGTCGATGGTATCGCTTCTTCACCCGAATTCGACGGATCGATTCACTGCCTTTCAAAATCAATTGTACGCCAAACACGCGTTCTTCGCTCTTCTTTTTCTTCCTCTTTCTCTTTAATTTAGAGCTCGTCACTTGTTGCATTCTTATGGTAGTTTTGCATTTTACATCTTTGGATATGAAAATGAAATGAATTTATTTGGTTCATTATCTGCTTTATTTTTGGAACGTGGTTCCGCCTTTCTTTTGATACGTTTTAGCTTAGACTGGAAAACTGTGCATAACCTCTCTGCCTCAGTGCTATAATCTTATTTTGTCTTATCTGATTATAACATTAGCTGATAATTCTCATAGATTTTATGTCGTTTGCTAAATCTCTGACCTAATTAAATGGCTGCTTATTTGAACCCCAAATCTATCCATGTAAATTGAGGTGAATGTTCAGTTTGCTGTATTAGGATGTCCGCTTCTTCTCTCAGCAACAAATTTACTGCATAGCGACTGCAGCATTATGTCCATGTTAAAGTGCTTCTATTTTATCATAAAATTGTGGCTGTTTATAACCCTATGATAGATTCAGCACTAGCAATAGTTATACAAGTGCTTATAATTTATAACTTCTTTTATAACACTGTGGTAAGTATGAATAACCATGATTCAGCTTTGAATTATGTGAGGTTGATTGTTCATTGGCCTTCTATTCAAAAGTTAAGTTAGAAAAAGGTTGCTCATGATGCAATTTGTATGCTTACATGCATGATGAAATCTTTGTTAGGAGTCAATTTTTCTAAAGGGCAATACTATAACATATTGCTCTTGAAGGAGTTTTACATTTTTGACATATTTAGTAGCATAACTTTAAGGTATAAATTGTTTGAGTTTATGCTTGTATCCATTTGAAAACTATAGAAAAGAGGTGCTGAGAGACTAGCTACAGCATCTATGTTTTAATTAGAAGTTCTTTTGTACCTGAGACTGATTCACATTGATTTGCATCCTTAGAAAAAAGTTTATTAAAAAAATTTCCCCTATTGATTATAATTTTTATTATTTTACTTCATAAGCAGAGGATTGCTGGGTATCATTGAATGGAATTCTTTTCCTTTATCTTGTTAAAAGATTTCTTTCAAATATGTCTGTGTATTTGCTTTTCTATTCAGCATAGTATTGTCTTCTATGCTCATTTTATGAACTTGTTAACCATGGCTTGTGTGATCTGGCTAATGATTTGATGACTTGGCTAATGATAAATCATCATGATGTCTTGTAGGATATCAGTTTTATTTATTATATGGAGTCCACAAGTGGATTAGTAAGTGCACAAGGGAAGCAACCTGTTTTCTCTTTTGGAGTCATCTCTGATGTCCAATATGCTGATATTCCTGACGGTTACTCATTCGTAGGCGTTCCCAGGTATTATCGGCATAGCATCCACGTATTGCAAAGGGCAGTACAACAATGGAACAACCATCAGAAACTTAAGTTTGTGATTAACTTCGGAGACATTGTTGATGGAAAATGCCCCCAGGACAAATCTCTAACTGCTGTGAAGAAAGTAACTTATGAATTTGAGAAGTTCAATGGCCCTGTCTATCACATGATTGGTAATCATTGCCTCTATAATCTTCCCCGTGAGAAATTACTACCATTATTGAATATTTCAAGTCCGGATGATCATGCCTACTATGATTTTTCACCTGCTTCAGAATATAGAATCATTGTACTTGATGGCTATGATATCAGTGCCATTGGATGGCCTGAAGATAATCCTAAAACATCACAGGCTTTGGAATTTCTCAGGAAGAAGAACCCAAATTCAGATAAAAACAGCCCAGAAGGACTGCTAGGCCTAGAAAGGAGGTTTCTTATGTTCAATGGAGCTGTTGGGAGAGAACAGATGCAATGGTTGGATGGCATACTTCAGGATGCAACAAAATTGAAGCAGAAAGTAGTTGTGTGCTGCCATCTGCCTTTGGATCCTGGTGTGTCATACCTAGAAGCACTTCTGTGGAATTATGATGAAGTAATGAATTTGATACACCAGTACAATTGCGTGAAGGTTTGCCTATCTGGACATGATCACAAAGGCGGGCATTCAATTGATTCCCATGGAATACACCACAGATCCTTTGAAGCAGCACTAGAGTGTCCTCCTGGTACAGATGCGTTTGGCTACATTGATGTTTATGATGACAGGTTACTGCTTTTTGGCTCTGATAGAATGGAGAGTACAGATATGTGTTTCGATCCCTGAGTAAACTTCAGAGTAAGACAGTGCTAACTCATTCTTTAATAGAAGCTTAATGGGTATACCTTAATCACAAGCCTCTTAAGGAAAAATTCATAGGTCTTGGAAGACCACAATAATGAAATTGTTTGCGGAACATGTGGTGCCATTTTTAACTGCCAACAAAGGTATGAATGCAATGCTTTATTATTCTGTATGCAAAATCTATTTTGAAATATATTTGCATTCAGGGGATATCTTCTTCTTCTGGACTGGAGGTTGTTTATTTTTTAGGTGTATTTCATTCCTTGTCCTCGGCATTTCAGGAGTGCTTTTGAAGTTTTCAAATTGATCCTTCATGCCCTTTAGCAATGTCATGTAAACTATTTTATGTGTTGTGAAAAAATATAAGATGCTTGAGATAGAGAATTTGTAACACTTTTGGGTTTCAAATGGATTACTTTCACATATTTGATTAGGTAACTTTCTTGCAGTTTTATCTATTTGTGAAAAATAACTGATACGTAGATTTCAAATTACCGTTACTCAACTACTGTTTGCTAGGGCGCACTTATGGTGATCAGAGGGCTATTCATTCATCATGCCTGTGTTTAGGGCTGAAGCCAGAAATTTAAGTTAGGGGAGCAAACACTTAAGAAAGCTCCAAAAAGCTACTACAGGGTCCTAAGTTCAAACCTAGGATCAGCTTTGAGATTGTTCTTTTTTTTTTTTTTTTTATTTTTTTTAAAGACCTTTCAACCAACAATTACCCGTTACCTTCCCAAACTACTGTTTGCTAGGGCGCACTTATGGTTGATCAGAGGGCTATTCATTCATCATGCCTGTGTTAGGGCTGAAAGCCAGAAATTTAAGTTAGGGGAGCCAAACACTTAAGAAAGCTCCAAAAAAAAGCTACTACAGGGTCCTAAGTTCAAAACCTAGGATCGCTTTTGAAGATTGTTTCTTTTTTTTTTTTTTTTTTTTAATTTTTTTTTATTTAAGGGAGAGGAGGAAGCGCCGAGGCCTGGGTTTTTTTTTTTTTTTTTTAATTTTTTTTATTTAAGGGAGAGGAGGAAGCGCCGAGGCTGGGGGCATTGCCTACCCTCCCATTCAATATAGCTTTCCTCCTGCCTATATTGATGGAATAAAGTGTTAATTTGTGGTTATTTTCTGCAGCCAACTTCCCTTACCATTCCGGATTTTACTGGAGCTATTGTGCTCATAGTTACTGGTTGTGAATGGTAGTGTTGATTGTGAAAATCGCATAATGCCTTATCTCAAAAGTATATTAAGCATGATGGTTTTGGGATCATATTAGGTTCTTTCGCGGCCAATACATTAAAAGAAGTTGGAAGTCAATGGATCCGTCATCTTATTTATTTATTTATTTATTTATTTATTATGCGCAGTGCAGTAGGTGATTAAGATACATTGCATTTGAAATTTTTTACTTGCGTAATTTGAAGTCTATAAAATTATTTTTACTGAACATTTGATTAATCGTGGATAGATAAGATCATTTTTCTCTAATTTTCTCTTAAATAAGAAAGAAAGATTATAATTCCAGCATTCCCATATTCAACAACCTGTGCCAGTTGCTGTGGTTTTCAGGTGTGACCCGTGGGTATTTCATTTACCATGCTAAAGTGGATCTGATAGATGTTAATCCATCATTACTTTCTAATGCTATCATCATGATCCTCAGTATATTGGACAAATCACAAACATATTAATTGAATCTTTTTGCTAATGTCACTGATGGTTCATTGATTGAATCTGAAGGTGGATGTTAATTATCTGTATTATCCTATTAGTTTCATGTTAAGGATTGCTCTATTTTATTTGTCCTGAAATTATATTAATCTGAGTGAGATGCCGTGCATATCCAAGTCAATATATTATACTAGTAATCGAACTGAAAGTCAATGGCTATCACAGCTCATCTAAATTTGTTTATAGATCTTGACTTTTGAGATACTTCAAATTAGAATATTTCGCTTACATCACATGGTTTTGAGTATTGCAGAGAAAGTATCTAATACAATATTATACCAACTTGACATGAAATCATCTATCAGGTTTCAAGTTGAATTTTTCGTGCTCGTGCTGTGCCACGTAAGCGAAAATACAAATAAAATTTTTTACTGGTTGTGAATGAGAAACAAAAGGATATCGTCTTGCCTATACAAAGAAAAAACTACCATTTGCTTTGAAATTAAAATAAAATTATGAATACATTTTTCTTTAAGTCATGACCTTGAGATTTATTTGATAACAAATGATGCCTTCCTTTTAACAATTCAAAAGTATATATTTTGAGTATAAAAATACCATTGCTGTTGAACATTTATACAATATAAGTGAAAGTAATTTTTGTTTCACTTTCTTTAAGACAAAGAAGGAAGATTGTAATTTCAGCATCCCTATTGATTTATTCTTCCATATTGAACTACTAATTTTAACATAACCAATAAAAACAAAGCCCACATTACCATTTACCGCAAACAAGTTAGTAAATATGAAAATCCTAAAACACTCTATCAAGTGGGTATGGAACAGCTCTTCATTTTCCTTCAGTCTTCTTAGCCTTTCTCTTTTCGATATAGAAGAATCCAAACAAGGCCACAACAGAGAAGACGCTAAAGCAAACCGAGGCAATATCGAGGGACGCGTGGCGGCCGGTGATTGCTTGGATGTCAAAGAAATTAGTGGTTTTATGAACGTCAGTGGTCTGACCATAAGCCACCTCTTGTTCATTAGCGTTGAAAGCATAGGCGCGTACGAAGTACGTGGCAGTGGGTACGTCTCGCTCGACTGTCCATGTAAAAGAGTTGTTCTTATTCGCAGAGCTGTAAGGCTTAGTAACAATCTTGACTTGGCAAGTCTTGTCCTTGGATAGGTTATCCTCGGTTTTTCTCCAGGCGCGATCCTTTTGGCTTACGGGCGCGTAACACAGCTTGATCTTGATCGTCTTGTAGGCTGAGTCAGTCCCAGCTGGAAGACTCTGGTTTAGTCCCCAGGTTACGGTGATGTTATCGACACCAGCTTTAAGAACTGCAAATTTTATTAAACAAATACTTAATTGACCAAAAAAGATGATCTCTGGACTAACAAAAGGATTAAATAGAGAGATAAAAAAAAACGTTTAATTACCTTGTCCTGGAGATGGTGAAGCAGTAACCAGAAGAGTTTTTTGCAGGGAAGAAAAGTGAATAACCCCATAAGAGGATCCAAAGAAGGCAAAGAGAAGAATTGAAGCCAAGAAAAGACCACGTGGAGCCATTAATGCTAATTTGAGATTGAGCCAAGATCACCAAAAGGTTTGGAAAAGTTAAGAGGAAGAGATGATGGGAAGGTGGGGGCTTCAGCTGGTTTTTATATATGTACGGTCTGAGAGAAAAATAAGAAGCAGAAAGAGTCAACGGGCCCAAATTGCTTAGTGGCAAATATTGAAACTTTGCAGAGATTATTATAAAGTAAATGAAAATGAAATCATTTCAATTCAAAGGATTTGGCCCTTAAGCATAAAGAAAGGGTAGGGGATTTGGAATAAATGGAAGGATGTGTTTGGGATTTTAGTTAATTGAATGATTTTGGTGTGGCAATTTGGAAATCATTCTTGTTTTGTCCCCTAGTGCAGCTCAAAGAGTAAAGAAATGGAGGAGGCCGGGAATTGGGAACGAAGCTGAGGCCACACAATCAAGGAAAAGCCATAGACAAACAAAATTATATAGAATACAATAATAGAAAGGGCATCAAAGTCGCGTATGAAAACAAAAGTACAAGTACGGAAACAAATTAGTAAAATAAAAAGACTTGGTAGGAGCTACAATGCATACAGTTATTTTGAACAAGGAGCTATTGATTAATAACTAAATAGCCGCGCTTGAGATGTAAGAGATGTTGAAGTAGTTTAGACAATAATCTGAAATTTCAAAAAGTTATTTTAAAATTTTTTTACAAAATATTATAGTACAATCAATGTAATTTATAAAGTACAACTAGTTCGTCTCTGTTTTTTTTTTAAATATACTAATTTATCCTTATATTTTGCTTTTGTTATACTATTACGTCATTTTATCCAATATTTGCATCTTCTTCGTTAAGTCAACAAAAAACGTAGAGATCAAATAAAAGGTGCTAAAATATTATACCGAAAAAAAAAAAAAAAGCAATCCCTATGATTTGAAAAATGCAACTAATTCGTCCCTATATTTTTTAAAATAAAATGGATATTTTTTGTCATTTCATAAAATACCTAACGGAAAAAGTGTAAAAATTAAACAGAAGAACTTCATAGTCTCACGGAAGCAAATTATAAAAAAATTTTAATCTATTTTTTAAAAGATAAAGATGGACTAATTGTAGTTTATAAACTACAAAGATTGTATTGTATTTTTTTTTTTTTAATATATAACCAGGAGGCAGAATTCTTGTTCTCAGGCTTTTTGATCCTATCAGCAAAATGTGCTTTCAGAGATCCAACCTACTGCCCAACTAACACTTTTTTTTTTTTTTTTTTTTTTAATTACAAATAAAAATGACAGGTATAAAAAGTTAATTAAATGCAAAAAGCGGTAAATGAAAAAAAATATTTCGGCAAAACGGAGCGTGGGAGGGGAGGAAAAAAGAATACAAAGTAAAAAAACGCACATGCTCCTACAATGCATTTAGACAAAAAATGCAAGCTAAAAGTGTCGTGGTGTCAACAACTATCGAAAGATAGGGGTTGAGGTTAAAAATCAAACTGGATATTTTTTTTTGTCATATTCATTAGAGAACAATAAACCATATACGGGTCAAGACAAAGTGTTAAAAATTAAAACACGAAAGGCACGGGGTCATAAGTCTGGACGGGAATGTGCCCAAAGCATGTTAATACCAGAAGAATGGCATTTAAATGCTGTATTTTTGCTCTATTACAAGAGTATATAAGTAGGTGGAGGTTCTATATTTTGTTTATGTTTATTTCAACCTATCCACGAAGAGGAGTTGTAAGTTTTTTTTTGGGAGTGTATTTTCCCTGGTGCCTTTCCGTTAATATTATATTAAATTTATTAATCTAGCGGCAGAGAGCAGCTCAGTAATTTCTTCGTTGCTCTTGAGGCCTTTCTGTTTTGATTCGTCAGAATAAGCACAAATTTTTTGCTGGTTGTTACAGAAGCACGGTTTTCGCAACCTATCTGAGCAGTAAGCCAACTACACTTTTTTTTATTTTTATTTTGTGGCTTTACTTTTTTTTTTCAATGGTGAGGTTTTTACAAAATTGAATAGTGGTAACTCTTTTTTTCTTAATAAAAAAAATAAAAGTTTTGTAAGAAAATAGAGGAGAATGAACAGAGAGAAAAATAACCAACTAAGCAAAAGGTGGGCACAGGCTAGCCTCGATAACCTTTTCTTGGACCCGACACGGGCTTATCGCTGAGAGCATCTCGCTTTTCAGTTAGGACCTTGATGTAGAGAGAGAGATGGCTTCATGCTAAGAGCGCTAGCCTAATCCGAGTCCAGATATTTCGATCTACTACGTTAGTCTCTTTTGATAGTCATCCATTGTCTTTAAATAGTTTGTGCAATATAGTTACTGGTAGATTGGGACGAAAACATAATTGGCAAATGACACTGTTAAGAAAACAAAAAAGGCGGACTGAGATTTCCATTTAGTTAACTGCAGTTTGGGGAAAACTGGGCTTCCTTTGTGTGAGTTCTTCAAATTATACTTTAGATAGAGTAAATCTATCACAATATGTCCTTGCATTAATGAACCTGTCTTTTCTTTCGCTGATCATTTTTAAAGTACAACCGGTAAATAAATAGTGATTTCAATAAATAAAAATGTCAAGAAGAGTGAATCTTAAACAATAACATTTTATATTTTAATTGTGCTCTTAATGATATTAGATTATTATAGAATATTTTGAAATATATACAGAAGTAAATTTAATTTCTTCAACAATATCCACTTATGTTTAAATAACGTTATTGGTATAATTTTTTTATTATTATCTTTGAATCTGGGAAGCTCCCCTACAATGTTCACTATAAAATAGATTTGTATATCCTGATTTGTGACACATAGCTCTTTAATCTAACACAAAACATATATATTTGACATTGCAACATCACTGCATACCAAAATATAAGAGTGTAATTTTGGCTTTCCTTGTCATGACAAATAACTGTTATGTTGACCGACGAGGTGGTACGAGCTACGAACATGCCTACAATTTGGATTTAATTGGCTAAAGTAACTTACTACCATCATTGATTAATGAAATTTTGTCAAGAATGTTCTCCTTATATTGCTTAGTGTCTTTCTAAATAGTTCCAGGAGTACAGGCGAAAGAATACAATATGATATTGCACGGAGATAAAATTGGGTAAAGCAAGATGCAAAGTTGCACAACAGAGCAAATTTATCTATAGGAAATGTTGAGTCCAGCGCATCAAAGTGTCCATTGTAGAGTAGCTCGTTCGTCCTCGTCTCCTGCCTAGATGATATGTGAACAGGAAAGAACATAATGGTAGCATTAGTTGGATTTTTATCTTAATGCATTATCGCTACCATTTATCGTCTTCGCTAACACATCTTGACTATAGCAGTAGCGAATTAGCTAAAATAATCAGATTTGCCTTGCTCTTTGAGCTAACCGTTGGCGGTGACCCCCGTCTATTCCTAAATGTTTGTGGCAGGCCTTAAAAGCCATCAACAACGACCGCCTAGAAACATATTTTCGGAGTATCGTAAGGACTACTGCTTGCACAATTGGCGTCAGGGGAAGTAAGTCGGCGTCGCGTCGATGCACATTATCGGGTAATTGAGAACCTGGAAAAAACAATGTACAATTATTGGTTTATAAAGCAGGAGCGGGGCAGCAGCAGAAGCTGCTATTCACTCACAAAGTTTGGCAAGGGTACATCCACTAGACATTTGCGCAGTGTGAGATCAATTTTCTTATTCTGCTCATTTGAACCATGTAATAAAAGAAGTGCAATGACCGGTTCATTTCTTGGAATTTAATGGGCCTCTGACCGGAAGAGAAACGTTGTCTTCCCCTGCTTTAAAATTATTTTGCTACGGCTCTCAAAACTTTATTGTTTTCTTTCTCCCCCTTTTACATAAGGATAGAAACTTGATGTTTCTCTCTACTAGATATGAAACATTCCATTCTTCAAGTTTATGGGTTGTCTTAAAGGTTTTTTTTTTTTTTTTTTTTTAATGTTTAACTTGAAGTGATTAATTTTTTTTAAATAAAAAAAATAAAAGTTTTGTAAGAAAAAGAGGAGATAGAACAGAGAGAAAAATAACCAACTAAGCAAAAGGTGGGACAGGCTAGGCCCAATAACTTTTGGACCCGACACTATGCTAGCATCTGTTTCATTAAAGAGAGAGAGAGAGGCCATTAAGGCCCAGCTATCAACTCCAGAAATAAATTTAGTCTTACTTATAATTTCATCATTCTTATTTGGTAGATTCACTAGTTAGTCCTTGAGTTTTAATTTCATTAGACTATTTAGTCCTGCATTAAGAAAATGTCATTTTTCTGTTTAAGTAAAAAACTAAATAGTGATTTAATAATAAAAAGGAGAGATTAAACAATAACAATTTATTAATTGTAAATGATGAAATATTTAAATATTACAGGATATTTAATTTTTACAATATCACTTTTTAAATAACGTATTAAATTTTATATACTAATTAAAAAAATAGAATTGTAATTATTGACCAAACCTATCCAAAAAAAATAATTTGACTTGCACATACTGCCATACCAAATACATAAAATTAATTTGGTTCACCTTTCTCAAAATCTGAGGACCACATCGTAGCCGACTCTATTCATGCTGACTTACACATCAGCATGAATTTTGTCTAATCTCCTATATTTGTTCATGCCTCAGGCGAAAGAAAAAAGAAACCATAAATAAAGCAATAAGGCAAAAAAGCAAAAGGAAATGGAGTCAGGCAAGCCATTGATCCTCGTCGTCCTCGTCCTGCTAGTGATGGTGACAGGAAGCAAAGGAGATAGAGATCCATTATGCACGCCCATTAGCGAAAATCTTCACTACTGTAGCGATGTAATTCGTCTCGGCTTCTTGATCGGCGTACCGTCTCCTAAATGTTGTGCAGGCCTTAAAGCCATCAAAAAGACCGTAGAGCTTTTCGGAGTATTAGTAACTTGCCATTGCGTCAGGAATTGCGCTGCGAGCCATATCATGATCCAGAAAACAATAAATTATGGTTATAAAGCAGGACCAGCAGCAGAAGCTGCTCCTCCCAGTTGCAAGGCTCCAGATTGCGGTGGAGATATCTTTATTCTGCTGCAGAAAAAGTGCAATGCGGTTCTTGGATTTGGCCTTGACCAGAACGTTCCCTGCTAAAATCTTTCAAATTATGTTTTCTTTCTCCCCTTTTACATAAAGGATAGAATATTTTTACTGATATATCTCAAGTTTATTGTTTAAGGGAATAAATTATCAGTAAGTAGTCATGGTAGGCAGGTTCCATAACTCCTCTGTTTGGGGTGTGGAATAGCCTATGCCTAACTCCAATTTTTTTAACCTTGATGTTTGATAATGTTGGGAGCTGAATCTGATATTGCCCCCTCGCTAAATCTCAAAAACTACAACTATTTTGCCTGCCCTCTTATAAATCTTGGCTCCACCCTTGCTATTGATATATTTATTCATGTTTTTTATGAAACGACATGTCATATAGTAAAACGGAGAACTTTTTCTGAATGAACGACTTCCCATTATAGGTGACGGCATTTGTTTCTAATTTGTTCCCAAACAGTACAGGCTGTCGTTAAGCGACAGTAGACAATGGTGGCGCGCGGGTCATGACTCATGACTCATGAATGATCATAACGATATGCTGTTTGTGATGATGGGCCGCGACAGGTCTGGTTTCATTTGTTCTAAAGTAAACGCTTTGTCGTTGGACGACAGGACCCTTAAATGGTCAGAACACGCGCAATGATTAATTCATTTTCATAAAACTTGTCTACACCCTGTGTTTCAATAAAAATTCATATTTACAAATAATAAACTGCGTTTCATCTTCACCTTGATGATATTAGCAATGGTTATATATAATTTACAAGTTGCAAATTTTCCTTTGATATATGGTAAATGCCTCCTATTGCATAGTTATTTTAAAATTGGAAGCAAGTGTTGCTAATAGTAGCAAATTGTAGAAAAGACAACGCGAGAACCCAGCTAAGGAAAAAGACACAATAAGCGAACGCCGGCTAACATTCTTCTCATGATGATATTCTCAATGCAATTGTGAAATAATATAATTTAGAAACAAAACAGATATGTATATGCTAATGTATATTAAACACCTCTTATTTTCTTGATTGAAACATAAATCAAGCACCTCTTCTCTTTGCCATAGATGGATAGGAGATTGACCAGAGAATCACCTAAAGGGTCTATAATCCTTCAAAAGAAGGTAGTAGAGTCTCAAAAACCGATGACCAAAACCCAACATGCACCAGACCTCACTGATTTCATGAATGACATGTTCTTTGGGACTGTCAACAATGATAATAAAGAAACATACAACTTGACTGGAAGTCGTTTTGACAATGACGACGACGAAGAAGAAAGTTTTGATGACAGTGTGAGAAGTAACAGTAGCAGGTTAACACAGGAGTGGATAGAAGAGGCCAGACGCATGGTAGCATCATCAACTTTGCGGTGTGACTCCCCTTCCAGGCTCGTTGGATCACCGAGATTTGCAGCAGCCGGCAGGAAAACGTCTTCAGTACTTGACAGGAGGGATCCTCTCTCCAGGTCTGCTAGAAGGTACATGCATATGACATTTTGATTTGCACTTATATTAAATTTTATTGGTGCAAGAAAATGAACAAAATTTTAGTCTTTTCTTTACAGGTATAGAGCAGCAGAAGGCTTCAGTGGAGAAATACTAATAAAATCAGCAAAACACAGTCGCAATAAATCAGAAACTCTAGAAAGCTTTCCCAGCTCTCCCACAGAACCATCTCCTGCATCTCAGGTTCATCAGTGGTTTTCTAACATCCTCAAACCCTCTAATCCCGATGACCAACCTCCCTCCTCCGCCTCCACTGATCCAATGGCTTTAACTGTGCCACCTCGGCCATCAACTTATCGCAAGTCCCGCTTTCAAACTGACCCACCTCCACCACCTTCTCCCCAAGGAGTGCCAGTCCCCTTACCACGTAGAACTTTCAAGCCAGCTCCATTACCAGCAGACGCTCAATTGCTCTCTCCACCAAAGAATCTCATTGAGTCAGCCCATCGGAGATCAATATCATGGTCAACATGTTCCCAACCCGAGAGTCAACCTTTGTCTCCGCCCAAGAATCTTGTCGAGTCAGCTCATAGGAGGTCTATCGCGAGGTCTACTTGCTCTGTTGAGAAAATCACTGGACCAAAGGTTAATGTAAATGGATGGCAGAAGGAAGAGGAGGGAGAGAAAGGCGTTAGTCTTAATGGGTTCCTTAAGGAGCAAAGAATCAAGATTGAAAAGATCTTGAATGGGGAAATTGATTCTAAGGCTAAAGTTATCCTTTCTGGCCCTTCAAACAGTTAAGTGTGACAGGTGTTCGACGTTTTGAATTTAAGTAATTCAATATCATGTTCTTATTAAAACATCATCACTTATGCAGGCACAAGTTCAATGATAGCGGCGATATGCTATGCATGGCTGTTGGAAAATAGTTTCATGAAGAATAAAAGGGAGAGCGATAGTAGAGATGGGTTTGTAGTGGTGCCTGTGATGAACGTAAGGAGAGGAAAAATGTGGAAGCAAAGGCAGGCTGCTTGGATTTTCCAGCATGTTGGCCTTGATACTATCTCATTGCTATTTGCTGATGAGGTACCTCAAATTATGCCATTGGTAACCATTGTCGAATCTTGGACTAATTTTAATTGCTATCGGATTAATTTGATTAGGGAATGAAATTGGATCTGCAACTAATCAAATTAATATTATCCATGATTAGAGTGGTTATTTTCTTGAGTATCATAAAAATTTCAATCTTATGAGGTTAATTACCTATAATTTTGCTCACCTTGTGAGTTTAATTTGGGTTCAGGTGGATTTGGAGAGTCTAATTATGGCGGGGAAATTAACTATCCTTGCTGTTGGCCAAGACATCCTCAAAACTGACAGTAAGGTCAGTTTTCTAATATAATAAATAGTAAATTTATATTACATCTGAATATTCAACTTAGTACCTTCCATTTTCTTCACAGGTTGGATCCCAATGCACTGTTCTTACAGATAATTACTGTGAAGATGCCTATGATCTGCTTCAAACCCCAGTGCTCAAAAAACTTTTGGTAAATTACATAAAAAGCAAATGTACACGGTTGAAAAGTGACTGGCTTTTCATGCTTGAGACTCTAAACAGCTGTTTATCTTGCAGCTAGCAGGTATCCTGTTAGATACACAAAATTTGGATGCATTTACTAAATCTTCAATGACAAGAGATGCAGAGGCAGTTCAGCTTCTACTAGTTGGCTCTGCCCCTAATTACCGAAATTATCTTTTCGATCAATGTAAGTCTTTTGCTTCTTCTAACCATCAGAAAAATTTGGATTTATAATTTATCTTATTATCTGCTTTAATTTCTCTCGTTTTTCCTTTACTCAGTAATGCAAGATCAAAGAGAGAGCTCTTTCTTTGAAGCCTTGAGGTATAACTATGGAAAGCCTCCTAGTGAAGGTAAGCTGCTTTAACTTTCTCTTTGTGGTAGTTAGAGCGATTGATTGATCAATCATTAGAGTAAGTTACGAGGATTAGGAGCAACCTATGCAATTTGTCTCTTTTCCTTTTGTCTTCTTTGTAGGAGTTGGATGTATTAATAGATATGCAATAGCCTATTGTAGGGAGGACAACACTTTTTGAGTAGTGGTAAATAGTATTTTAATAAATGAAATGAACTTCCAATTTTGGGGAATGTGAAAGTTAAAAACGTTCTTCTTAAAACTCAATTCAATCACTCTATCTCGTATCTCTTTATTGTGAATTATATAATCAATAGCCCCTTGCAACTTTCTTTTCCACTTGGAAAGAGTACATTGTGCATACACTCATTACTGTGGATAACAGGTAGTTTAGACAGCTCGGCTCATATGGAGCACAAGGGAGCAGAGAGGAAGTCGACTTCAGTCCCTCACAATGAAGCTACAGTACGAAATGCAAATAATAACTCTAAGGATGCGAAAAATGCAAAAGCTGACAAGGAAACACCAAAACAAGGTACTGATTGATTTATTTTTGTATAAAAACAGAAATGCATTTACAATGTCGAATGTTGAAATTGAAAATTCATCCTGCAGCCATACCAGCACGAGCACGAGCAGCCCCTGATGCCTCTCGCGGAAAGAATAAATTCTTCCTGGCAAAATGGTTTGGTTTTGGAAAATAATGACAAAATGTCTGCATCAATCTTTTTTATTTATTTTATTGTAGATTCCAATGTAGTAAGAACCTTAGTAATTTTTACAAGACTAGAGAATTATTCTTTGCAGGATTGAAATAGCCAAACATCATAAGGTCACAGTCATGGCTGCTTTGTCTATTTTACTGTTATTATTATTTTTGTATCAGAATATCAGATAGTAACATTGAAAAGTACTATTTAGTTACTCATCAATAACATCAGCTAATGCTTATCCATATTCATTGATGAGAAAAATTTAGATAAGAAAAAGACTGTTGTTTTGCACAGGAAAGAATTAGTTTCTTCTATTTCTCCGGATAATATATTTGTTTCTTCCTGCAAATTAATTTGCACAATTATTCAAAACTGTGTTCTTTTGGCAGGTAAACATCACCTTTTTAATGATTTGTTAAAATGACTAAATATTATGTTTTGGTTCATATTTGTTTTATGGTTGGAATACCAAACCCTATTATATTTCCACAGCTAATTACTATGCCTTTGACCTAAAATATGGCATCCTATGATGTACACTCTGTCCATTTTTATTAAAGAAACCTTTGGTTTGGTTGTAGAATATTAAAAGTAATGGCAATACTAATGACTACTTAGTGTATAGAATTGACAGTAGATAAAGGAGAAAGTAGATTTGCTAAAATTGCAGACCTGAAAAGAGAAGAAATCCCATTTAATCTATACCTATTTCAGAAAAGTTTATACTTTTAAGGCCATTGACCCTAGGATCTAATTTCCACAAAAAGAACATGCAATAGAAAAGTAAAAGCAAGTTCAAAAGGATCATGAGAAAACCCATAAACATGTGCATTACACATGATAAATTTTGCAATATTAGTGATTCCCATCACCAACAGCCTACCCTAAAATCCTCCCCTTTACTAATCATCTCACATGCACTACAGTATTGTTTAATTTGCTGGATACAGACATTCAGTAACCTTGTCAAGATTTTTTCTGCATATAAAATTTAGAAACCATCCATATATAAAAGCCTTCAAAATAACACTTCTTCTTTTTGCTGAAGCTCTCGGCTCAAATGCCTAGCTTATGGGCAAATTCTAAAAGGGGACATCTTTTGAGCCAAGAAGAAAATATTGATGAATAAGGAACGGTAATGTTAACTGAGGAAGTGTAAGATAGAAAATTATTTCTCTAAAAATAAAATTCTTTTTCTCTCAAGAGTTATAAAATCGAATAAAAAGGAAGTTTTTCCTGTTATTAAGCCATTATAGGATATGGTAATTCTTCTGTATTTTGTTGAAAAAGCCTTTCAGAGATCTTATGAGTGCTAACCAGCATTAACGCCTTATGTTCTTAATGAAGTTTTTTTAAGATGCTAGATGGGTAGAGCAAGACCCAAGGATGTTCTTCTACCATTAGGACAGAAATTTCTGAAAATTTTGAAATATCAAATAATCCAAAGAGGTATTAATTTGTCAAGAATTGATGTGCTCGTATAAAGGTAAAGGTACAATTTTATCTTCCCTTATCCTTTGATATATTTTTGTCTTTATTCCTCGACCATGGATGAAATCGTGATATGAGTTAAGGATCCTTAATCCTTTGTGGAAGATCCCTTTTCTTTACACCTACAATAGACGCATTGATTGATGTATATTGAGGGCAATTAACTTTGAGGGGTTGGTCAAGTAAGAAATTGTTTTTTGCCCCACTGTTCTTTAAACTCTTGTTAAACTTCCCTATGGATTTCAACACTCAATAGGACTTAAGCTTAAGGATTGATGTTTGTTGGCCTAGATGTGTGGAAGGATCACGTCTATGCAATATTAAGACAATAAAGAGGAAGATGACAGCTTAGCTATTAATTCAAGCATCATGGATGTAGTTAAATGAAAGATGAAACCACGCAAACCGCAAATAATAATGAAACAACTTCCAGTCTCATTGAAACGATGCTATATTCTTAAGATGAAAATACATTTACTTTTCTCTGGGTTGAAATTGAATTCCCTTCTTCTCTACTTAACACTTGACCTTAACAAGAGAAAGGTGTAGGTTCTTTGGAAATAACATAAGGAAAACCTAGGGGGTTGAATCCAATTTTCAGATATACAGGGAATTAGCCCAAGTGTATGCATGCACAAGATCCTGATGGAGGAAGACTATATAACCTTCAAATTGGAGCATCTGCTTTAACTTTCTCTTTGCGAAATGGAAGATTTGAAAAGTCCAAATATTGAAAAGAGATAGTCGAAGGACTGAGTTATCAGATAAAAAGTTTTGATGGATGCCTCAGACAATTATCTATCCATTTTCGATTCAGATCTTTGTTAAGGGCAGTAAGTCTTTGTGTAGATGCATATTGATCGTGAATGTGACTCTCAAAGAAGGGAGGAGGGCCACCTAATTAATGGAACACCGTATATGGTCTTCTAATCATAAGATACTCCAATGTGTTTTCTCAATTTTCCCACTTCGTAGTCCACATGTCTTCACCAGCGTTTTGTGGGTCAACGTTGCGGAAAGTCATTTGGGAATTGTTATTAATTGATAAGTATGAACATAAGAGCGACTATGCAAAAGATCACTTGTCCCGATTACACACTCTGAATCAAATGCTTGAAATGTCTGTATTGCAGTTTTATGGCCCAGACATAGATTTTTTGGATGGTATTACCGAGATCCTTCCAAACCCTATTGCACTTTTTGAGTAGTGGCTCCGGAAGATACAATGAAGAGATATCCACTTTTCCTTTTGCCCTTTAATTGGTACACATTTTGTGAATGTCTCAAATAGGGAGAATGCCAGTCTTTGGGATTGGTACACCAAATGCTTATCTATATTGTGTTCAGGAGGAGTGCAATGAATGTCCCTGTGAAAAAATAGTTTTTACGATGAACATAGGTCTGAAAGATATTTTCTATTGAAATTATTTAGAATGAATTCTTTTCTGTGTTTGGTTATTACATCTTATTTGATCGCTTGGGTCCACTTTATAATCACATGTCCTTTATCATATCCCACCTATCTTTAGTAATGCAGCGATGGCTCGAAGGACAACTAACCTTGGTTTTGAATTGGGAAAAATGTCATTTTATGGTTAGTGAAGGTATTTGTTTTAGGGCATAAAATCTTCATAAAAGGGATTGAAGTGGAGTAAGCCAAAATGTTTCAGGTATTCTAGAAAGCAACCTCTCCTCAAATTCTGCATGATCTGATCGTTAGGAGTATATTGGAGGTGCAATTTTTCTTATTTGGCCTCATACAAGAATTTTAAAATGGAGCGATTTATCAAACGACTTCTCCCAAAATTCATAAAAACCTCTTTGTCATTATTATTGTATAAAGATTCCTTTTTGGCATATTTGGAAAAGAGTGCTTTGAATGAATTTTAACAATGTTAAGAAACAGTTGATTTCAGCTCCCATCATTGCTAACCAGATGGACTCTTCCCTTTGAACTTATGTGATGCTAGCTGATCATGCTGTTGGAGCTATTCTTGGGCAAAGAAAGGAAAAGAAAGTTGCACGTCAAATTTTACTTTATGCTAGTCACCATTTGAATGATGCAACAATCAAATATTCCCCCACTGAAAAAGAACTCTAGGTATTGTTTTTGACTTTTGATTAATTAACGGGGCTTTATTTGATTGGACTAAAACAATAGTTTATGACTGATCACTCTGCATTTAAGTATTTATTAGAAAAGAAAGATGCCAAGGCCTAGAATTAATTCGTCTGGGTCTTTTCTTTTGCAATGGGGAATTTGGATCTAGAAATTTACGATAAAAAGGACCGGAACTCATAGCAGACCACCTATCAGGCTCGAGTTGGGGGAAGAAGAGCAAATAGAATTACAAATCAATGTAGACTTCCCCCATGAACATGTTTCTCCTCTTAGCAAAAAACAAGCTTCCAATGGTAAATGCCATAAGTTAACTACTTATTTCAAAATCACTCCTCCCATCTTTCTTAATAAAACAAAAGAAAAGTTTTTTCCATGATCTCAGATATTAACTATGGGAGGAGGCCTTTCCTTGTTCAAATATTGTAGTGATCAAAGCTCCATTCGACGATTCCTTTGTATTCTACACTTGGAAGAGTACATGTCGTGCAACCGTGAAGAGGAATGTAAAGTGTCCTCTCGATTATCGTCATTTCAATGGAGTAATGGGGACACTTTGGAGTAAGTGGGGGCGAAAGATGTGATCAAGCCAGGACGTATCTTGAGGGAATATGACGGATTTTGGTAAACTCCTGGTCTAGCTCGGACCAATAATTTGGTAGAAAGATGCACACCTTTAAAAAGAGGAAACTTTGTGTCGACACTGTAATAGGTGAATCAATGGAGTTCGACTCAAACGGTTATGGTATACTCATCTCGAAAAGCGCTGCACACGAGATGCTTTTTAAAATTAATATCCTTGAACAGTAAAGAATCTTTATGCAATTGAATGTTGGCTGCTCTAGAATTTCATGGGGACCTAACGAAATTTTCCATCTCCTTACTGCCTCAAAAGACCATATCAATTTCTAGTAGCGGTGGCCTATGTTCTTAGAAAGTGGGTCGGCAAGTCTACTTGCCCTTTAAGGCCACAATTAATGAATGCCAAAGTGTGATGAACTTCATCAAGGACACCACTGAATATATAATTCAACACTTTCATGGGCACCGGCCAAAAAGCTGCAAGGAAACCCAATAAAACCACATAATACACAAAAACGAGCAAGCTGGATACAGCACTTTTGCACAAGTACTTTGAAAGTGAGTATTTCCTCTTTTTTCGTTATTATCAAAAAATTAAACGGTGTAATAGCAAATTGCATCATTCTGACTCAGATGAGGTTACACTCGAACTGATTATTCGAAATTGAAAATCTAAACTACCAGTGGTATTAAGTGGAAGTCACTAATAAGGGAAATCCAAAAAGATTCTGGGAGACCATGAAGTTTGGACAATCTAGGAAAGGACTGTAAGAAACTCGATGGATCGCCTCTATGCTGGCTTATAGAACCGCATTCCAAAACACTAATTGGTATGGCCATATCTCCCATCAGAAATGGGCTCTAATGCGTGAAGAGCCTTGTCACCACGAGCAGCCCTCCTGACTGTGTCATAGTGCTGGAGCACAAGACATAGACGGAAGATAAATTCTTCCTGGCCAATGGTTTGGTTTTTGCGAAAATAATAGACAATGTCCTGCATCATCTTTTTATTTATTTTTATTGTAGATTCCATAGTAGTAAGAACCTTAGTAATTTTACAAGACTAGAGAAATTATTCTTTTTGCAGGATTGAACATAGACCAAAACATCATAAGGTCAGTCCATGGCTTAGCTTTTGTCTATTTTTACTGTTTTATTATTTTTTGTATCAGAATATCAGATAGTAACATTGAAAAGTACTATTTAGTTTACCTCATATCAATTAACATCAGCAATGCTTATCCATATTCATTGAATGAGAAAAATTTGATAAGAAAAAAGACTGTTTGTTTTGCACAGGAAAGAATTGTTTTCTTTCTATTTCTCAAACGGATAATATATTTGATGTTCTTTCTAAGCAAATTATTTGCAACAATTATTCAAACTGTGTCTTTTGGCAGGTACATCACCTTTTTAATGATTTTGTTAAAATGACTAAAATATTATGTTTTGGGTTCATATTGTATTTAATGGTTGGAATAACCAAACCTATTATATTTCCAGCTAATTATACTATGCCTTTGACCTAAATATGGCATCTATTGAGTAACATCTGTTCCATTTTTAATTAAAGCAACCTTTGGTTTGTTGTAGAATATTAAAGTAATAGGCCTACTATGACTACTTTAGTGTATAGAATTGAACAGTAGATAAAGGAGAAAGAGATTTGCTTAAATTGCAGAACCTGAAAAAGAGAAGAAATCCCATTTTAAATCTATACCTTTCAGAAAAGTTTTACTTTTAAGGCCATTGCTACCTAGGATTAATTTCCAAAAAGAAATGCAATAGAGTAAAAGCAAGTTCAAAGGATCATGAGAAACCCATAACATAGTGCATTACACAATGATAATTGTTGCAATTTAGTAGAATTCTCACCAATGCCTACCCTAAATCCTCCCTTTAAATAATCATAACTACATGCAACTAGGCAGTATTGTTTTAACTTTGCTGGATACAGACATTCATAACCTTGTCAAAGATTTTTTTCTGCATATAAATTTAGAAACCATTCACATATAATTATATATACCTTATATATAATATATATGTATTGTAGATTTAGATACAATGCGAAAGTACTGATTTCTCATATTTCAAGACCAGATCAAAAGAGAAGAATAAAAAAAAGAAATTGAAAAACAGATGGAGATTGAGAATTGGGGATGCCTCTAGAGAAGTGAAATTATTGGACATGTTATATGTGATACAATCTGTCTTGTCCAGTTATGCCCACTTGTTCAACCCAGCTGTAACTAACTCTCAACCTCTCTTGTGGGTCCTAGTTCCTTTCTCATCCTAATCATCCGTCTCTCTCTCATTCCCCAATCTGTATCCTCACCACCCCTAAAGCTGGCCCATAACATCATCAACATCTTACATTTCCTTCTACAATTTTATTCCTTTTAGTTGCTGGTGGTGACTAAACTTGCTTGCTATTTCCTTCTTCTGCTACTGGTAGTACTGCTTATTCTTCTCATTCAACTTTCCAAGCATAAAGAAACAAGCAAAAATCAGATGAGCCACCACCATTAACTCCTTCTAATGAACTAGAACTTCCTATCTGTGATGATAATGGTGTTGATGGTGATGAACGAGATGATGTTAATAATATTGGCTTAAAGATGAATAAAGCATGCCTCAGACCTGGACTAAATAGCCAATCATGAACATCCCAATAAACTTCTACTCTTAATTTATTAAGATTGAAAGCCTGATTACCTCTAAACTTCCATTGCAGATGCTTAACATGAATTGCTAAATGCCCATCAATTCTTATCTCCAATTCTGGCTCAATCCCATTACCAGAATTACTATTAGGAGTTCTGTTTTTGCACTCGATTGAGATCTCATGAAGCCTTCCTTTCTCATGAAACTTAATTCTTGTAGAAAATTTCTTCTTTCCAAATATATGCTCTTTTCTTGAAACCAAAATCGGATCAATAAGAGCAGGCCTACTCCCAGTTTTCCTGTACGCATCTTTCTTTAGATCACCAAGAAGTAAAACAACTTCTTCATCACAAACAACAGCAACGTAATATTCTGAGTTCGGCTCGGTTTCTCCATTAAATTTTGCAGCTTTTAGGTCCCAAAAAATATCCACAGCTTTTCCATCAACTATAAAACGCTTTGACCCTTGTTTCCTCCAAAAATACCAAGGCTTTAGCTCCACTTTGCAAGTATACTGATTTTCTCCTTCCGGACCTTCTACTGATACTGATAGGCCATGAAGCAACAGATTCTTGCACCATGTTATTGTTATGAGACGACACTGATCTGCAATCTTTGTACGATAAACAGACATGAACACACTCTGCCCTGACCTGGTTATAGTCGCAGGATCATCTGTTAACTTCTCGACTGATGTGAAACAAGCAGGAATTCCAATTGGATGGTGATCTTGCATGGCTTTAATGAATATTTCTTGAAATGAACTTCCGAGTAATGGGTTCGGCCTAGTTTAATTCAATAGACCAAGAAAATGAAAAGAATGAGAATAACTGATCAATTGGAGAGAAGTTACTTGTATAAGAGAAGAGAGAGATATAGACAGACAGAGAAAGAGAGGCTTATCACAAGGTGTGTTGTAGAGTCACAGATGCTGCCAGAGGTGTTCTTGGCAGCATTAATGGCAATAAAGAAATCATTTCCAAGTGGAAAATAGATGGCAGTGAGTGAGAGTGAGTGAAGGTTGAATGAAGAAGATACCTTCTTTCATTTTATATTCAAATTATATAATTTAATCTCTTACCTGTATTTAGTATTTGATAATTTTGTTTTCTTTTTGACCTTAATTAATAATTATATAATTGTTTCTTGTTTTTTCTTTTAAATTAATTGAACAATACAACTTTATTGAATCCGATGTAGTAGTTTTGTTTATTCTATAATTAAAATAGTAAAATACTTATTTCTATGCATGGTTAAAAGCAGATAATGCCATTTTTCACCAGATTTGGTGTATAGATTTCTACGTGCACAGTAGAGTTCTTGGATGAGTAAAACAGCTCAGTCAAAACTTTTCTTTTTTAAACTTAATCATCAAGAAGTTGGTTTTCCAATGAGAGATCAGAAAATTTTTAATACAGTTTGATTAACTTTGAGAAAATAAAATCTACCCCTTTAACTTCTACGTGTAGAAAATGAAAGAAATAATCTAGGAAGTGGCAGTAGCAGCAGGTCTTATCCAACTTGAGCAAATGAAACAAAAATCTGAGGAATCAACGGCTGCTGTTGCAGATCTTGTCCAACTCCACTTTTGGGTACACAGGAAAATTTTCCTAAATTGAGTTCTTTTCTATTTTGAAGATAGAGATGGAATGATGACTAAAATTATCAAGTATACTAATTAAAGAATTTTAGCATCAGCAATCTTTAGCAGCTATGCAATTTGAGTAAAACCTAATGACATAGTCAAAATGTACCCACTCTATCAGTACAATAATTAATTCAAAGAATCTTTTAATTTTGAATTTATTGGATCTCCAAACTTTTATTTCTCCTTGTTGTAGTAATATTAATTTTGACTATTAATATCCTTTTTTTAATTATTTATTGTGAATATTTCGCACACTTTTTTGAATATAAAATTAATTTCGTTTTGAAATTTATAATACTAAATATAAATTTCTCTTTAATAAATTGTCAAAGGTGGTCCCTTACCCTTAAACAGCAGTCAGTTTTGGTTTGCTGTTGAATGTTCTTGTTTTATGATTGCACGAAGAAAGTGAAAAACAAAAGAGATGATAGATATGATGGAATCATGATTTATTCTATTTTGATAGTTTAGCTGTGATAGGTGTAAGTGTAACTGTATATACTCATCACTTGCAAAAATGCGCATATTCCTTGAGCGATATCTATTTGATTTTGGAGGAATAGTCAGATTTTATGGACCGTTAAGTAAAAAAATATTATTTCATATTCAAAAAAATAAAAAATATAGTAATAAACCAGTTGATAGTCAAAACAATTAATGTAAAACGTAAAGGGACTAAAACCAAGGTCATTCTATATGTACCTCAACCAAATGTAATAAATAAGGAAATGTGCATATATTTTTTGAAGAAAAAAATAAAAAAAAAGTTTATTCGAAAACACATCTATATCTATCTATTATTGTTCTAAAAAATTTAATATCAACAATGTTAATATTTAATGGATTCGGAGGTAAGCGAATAAAGTCGCTCGTGCTTTAGCAAATATGTCTTATTTATTTATTTATTTACATAATTGCTTTGCTTTAGGTGTCAAGTATCCGAAATGAATTTATTATTATTTATTTATTTTGACTGATCACCAAATAAAAGTTCATCAAACACAGACAATGGAGAACAACTAATATCCATCAAAAGAGGAAGAAGGCATTGATAATAAAAGGTATATGCGTTTAGTCCTTTCCTTTTGATTGTTTTTTGGAATAAATTCTGTTTGTAAAAGAATTTCATAGTTGCACGTCTATTTCCAAACACAAAATATCAGTAGTTTTGTTCATTTTATTTAATTTCAATAAATATTTTATCGTAATACATAATATTGCAAGATAGATTTAATTTTGCATTTATTTATTTTTAACAAATGAAAATTTTTAGGTCCAGTTCTAGATCCGCAAAATTGACCTTCATTTCATTTATTGATTTTATATAGCGGGCCCAGTGGACCTTAACGAAGCCCATAAAAGGATTTGGGTTTACGAAGAAACTCAGGATTGAGGGCATTTTGGTCCGTAAGCCTAGATTCGATCATAAACCCCCAATTCAATCGGAAGCTTCAGCAAGCAAAGGGTTTTTGATTCCAATCTGAGAAGGCGCTATCTTCGCTCAAAAGGAACATTTTACACTGTAAGATTGTTTCGGATTCATTTTCCTATATACTTTCTCTCGTTTTCTCGGCAACGCCCAGTGTAATTCTTATTTTTTGCAGTTGCAGACTAGTTATAGAAAAGAAATGCAGTCTTTCTGTGGGAGTTTGATTCGGAGGCAAACACTTAACTGCTCAAATACTGCTCATGTCAAATCCTCTAGGGCTTCCTATGCAATTAGTACTAGTAATGTTAATGGATTAACCTTGTCACACTCTGATTCTCCGCTTCAAGATGGAGTTCCTGCTTCGAAGAATAATCTCTTCCGGTATTTTCATCAGTTCGCTTCTCGTCCTCCCGTCACTTTAGTATGTTCTTTCTTCAGCTCTTTTTGGGTGTTTTATTTTATCTTGATTTTTAAACAAGTTAGGGGAGAAGTTCATGAATCCATTGTGCTTAATTAACTGCTGACGGCTATGCATTGAATTGTTGGCATTTTCTTTCAACTATGCTTACTTCCTTTTGAAATTTTATTTTGTGACTGGTTGTTGAAAACTTTACTTTGTTATTGAAGTGGAAGATAGTAGTTTACTTTGTTAACGTGGATTGTATTAATGATGGGCTTCAAAAATATTGCATTGTTGGTAATTATGTGAAAGAAAAACCCCATTTTTCTAGAAAAGTTTATTAAATGGAACCACTTTTAAATTCCTTTGGCAGCCAAAATTTAGTTCTCGTAGGGATACATTGACATTGTTCAACGGCAATGGCACAAATCCTAAGCTTAATATGTCTTTATGGACGGAAGTAGGACCTTCATTCCCCAGTAGGACCATGACAACAGCGGGAAATTCTGTAGAATCTGCTTCAAAAGTTCATTCAGAACCCAACATAGATATAACCCCCCGCATCAAATTTAAGAGACTTGATAAAACTGCCAGGAATATAATGCAGGTATGCATCCTTTTGTTCCTATTATTCAAATGAAGTGTACAAATCTAGCAGATTTTAGTTCTTCATCTTTATAGCTATTGATGATATTCATGTCATTATTCGCAGATTCTGGACAAGGAAGCAGTGCAGGAAGTAAGGGCAGAGAGGGAGATACCTGATATAAAACCTGGCTACATTGTGCAACTTAAAGTGGTATAGCTTTTTTTGTTGGGAAAAAATATGATTGTTTTGTTGTTAATGGCAGGGAGACCCTTGTGGCAGGTGGGGATGGGGGGGTTGCTATTTTTTTTTAATGGCATTGATATGATTTATTCCTTGTTGATCTTGAGATGACCAGGAAGTACCTGAGAATAAGAGACGTGTTTCAATTGTTAAGGGCATAGTAATAGCTAGACGCAATGCTGGATTAAATACTACATTTAGATTGAGGAGGATAGTGGCTGGGGTTGGAGTTGAATCTCTCTACCCTCTGTAAGTATTATTGAATGCCTTGATCCTTTTGAACCAATTATGGATCAATTTATATCAATTTATTCTTTAATTGCTATTTTAAACAGGAAAATTTACTATTTACAATTCAAGCACATCTTGCTTTGTGAAGTTAAGATAATATATGGATGCATTTAATTGATTGAGAAATGTGTGAAGTTCATGAAAGTTTGTCTCAATTTTAACACATGGCTCAGAGGAGGATATTATTATCTATATGTATGCAAATAGAGCTAATTTAGGAAGAAAGTCTTTCTCATGTTAGGGATGTTTGCTATGTATCTTTTACAAAGATAACTTACAAACACGAGTATTTTAATCAGTTAAGGACCAATGGTGCGTATAGATATAGTTTATAAAATTTCTGCTTATCTACATTTGCTTATATTCAGTTATTTATAGTAATTCACCTGTCAATGCCTATAATTGTTGGATTTTAATAAAGCTGAAATAGTGTGACAGATTGAGTATTCACTTTCGTAGATTGAGTTTGTGGTGTACAAGTCCTTTTTTGCCTTAATATAGATATGATAATATGAGAAATAATTAAAGGTAAAATTTACCATGAACAAAGACATAGGCAACATATTCCTTTAGAACTCTCTATTCATAGAGACAGATGAGTAGCCAGCATCTTCCTTGAAGTTTAAAAATGAAATGAAATATATTAGACTAAATTAACCAAAAGCCATTCCTGTTCTCTTTTACAACCACCTCACAACAGAACTTTGATTCAATTAGGAACCATTTATCTTTACCATCTAAATATTGGAAGTAAAGCTTTGCTTGAATTAGGTAAAATGGCAGGGTGTTTGGCACTATCTTAATAATTCAATAAAATCAAAGTGATAATATGCAACCTAGCAAGGCTGTGAAGATAGTAATGGGGATCGACAGTTTGTCTTGTTTGCTTGTTTTTCATTGGTTTTGTGTCGTAGTCATTCCCCCTCAAAAAGAAGTTCCATTTGTTATCACTTATCACCTTTCTTGAATACTGTGCACTTTGCATCCTTAAGATAACCTAATGAATGAATGGTGATTGATAGGTACTCGCCTAACATAAAGGAAATAAAGGTGCTGGACAAGAAGAAAGTGAGGAGGGCCAAGCTTTATTATCTTAGAGACAAGATGAACGCACTTAAGAAACACTAGTTGTCAGAAGTTTGATTATCAATTTCGTGATAAAGATAGTGGGGTTAGATCACCCTGGCCAGAAAAGTGAGCACAATTTGGCTTCCTTTTCCTAATTTCATTTTCTCTTTTTAATCAGGTGAGTTGTTTTTTTAGAAATTTAGAATTATGAAGGGGAAAATATGTGAAGTTGCTGATTGTGTGCACATCAATCGCAAAAAGATTTAAATTATATTTACAGCTATTCGTTCATGGTAAAGGATACCATGTGCACAGATTTTGCCTTTTGGTTTCTTTAAAATTACCTATAGATTTTCTTGATTAAACTTAGAATGGATTTGTCTACTATGTGCAATGTGACGGTCTCAATACCTCAGAAACAGCTACATGTGAATTTGTCATTACCGATTTATTATTTTAAGCAATATATAGGCATTCCTCGCAAGTCAGAAACATGAGGCTGGAGGGACCTATTTTTGTTGATTAGAAGTGGGATGGCTATATTCATTTCCTGTTGCATGGTAGGTAATGGGTGATAATTCATTAAATTTCTTCATTTTAGTGAAGAACATGAGGGTGAGCTTTGATTGGATGGGTAAGTTCAGAAGTATCAGTTGGAGGATGTACTTAATGCTCACATGGTTGTGACTTAGGTTGAAGCTTTTGCTCAAAACACTTAAGTAAAATATAATACATTTTACTTTGCTTTCTGTATCTGCTACTGTGGATGATATTTAATTTGTTCTGCAGTCTTATGAGAATTAAAGGGATAAAAAATTAGTACCTTTTATTTTATTTGGTACATTATTACCCTTAATTGATCTAGAATTGGAAGGGAGGAATACTGATCTCTGTCCATTACAAAGTTTATATGATGCTTTGATACTTGTATTAATGTATGCTTGCCCTCCTTTTATTCCTGCTGATCATGATGCTAAGCGGATGCATCAGTTAGCAGTCATCTCTGTGCACATCTGTTTGCTTAATGTTACGAGATTATAGATTGCATGATAATGTAATATGAATACTTTTGACAGATTATATATAGGCAAACTTCATTCTTTCTTATTACATTGCTTCTTCTGGTTGGTTTGTGAGCTGGAGTGGAAGGTGCCATGTTCTCATGATTATATTTGAGAATAGCAACCTTATTGTGAGCTCGTCGGCATGAAATTTATTAGCCATTGGATCTGATAAATATTGCAAATTCAATGGCGCACATCTTGTGCATAGATCAATTTTCTTTTGGATTTTGTGGTTCTTGGCAATTATTATGTAAGGGGGATGCTTGTATTTTTAGATAAACCTTGATTTTGATTTCCAATGTCGTTTGAACTTCAAAGGAAAGCTAATATAGAAAGACACTAATTAACGCCTCATCCAATAATTATCTACGAATGAAGCCATTCTTTATTTTCTTTCAAGTATTATTATGTTAAAATGGGCAGAGGAAATTGCTTGGCAATGAATCAAAATATAATCAGGTCTTTAAATTTTTTACTTTGAAACAATTACTATCACAAAAAAAAATAAATAAATAAATAAGGAAAGGGCTCATTTTTTAGTTGTATTTTAATTCTAGTTATATTTTACACGAAAAATCAAGAGAAAGGGAAAGTAATTTCCATTAATTGACAGAAAGTTCTAACAAGGACCCAAAAATTAAATAGCATAAGATGAACATTTGGTGCCTATCATCACATGCCCACGCCCCTTTGATCTTCCACCATTCAACTGTTTGCCAACTGTTATCCTTAAATGGCTTGAACTGTAGGTGGCCTTTAGTCCCTCTCAACTGAAAAATTTAATACTGTTGGTATTGATTATAGAATAATGAAAAAAAGGATAAATTTTTGAATTGCAAATTCTATGTACTTTAAACTTTGGACAAAAAATTTTGGTGGAATTCTAAACTTTAAAGTCGATCTTTTTGCGTACTGAAATCACTTTTTGTAATAAAATTTAGACCTTTTTATACTAAAAATAATAATTTCAAGATCTTTAGATTTTATACATATAATATTAATTTAGCATATGGTTAATACAACTTTTAGAAGAATAATATGTACATTTTATAACACTTTAATCAATATAATTTTATAAAATTGAAAAGTTAAATAAAATATTTAATATATTTAATTTTTAATAAGTTAAAATGTTTAATGAATCAAAATAAAAATTAAAAACATCATAAAATTTTTTGTGAAGATTATATATGAATAAATTTATGTATATGCCAATAAAAGATTCTTTTAATATCATATAGTTGATGGTCAATACATTATTTATTTTTATATTTCTAAAAGAAAGTTTAATTTTAATATGTTTTATTCAATTTTTAAAAAAATTAATAAGTGGGATTATATGATAGTGATATTTGTCTCGTCTCCTAACTTTTCCACTTTAAATAATTATATTATATTATATTAATATTAATTTAATTTACACACGTTTTGTAGTTTATAGATGGACTTTGGCATATCTTTAATCAAATTTCTTAAAAAAATTTTAATAAATAAATAAATAATAAAATAAAATAATAATATTGTAGTAGCAGAGAAATTGATGGAGACGAAAAAGGATGATTTTCTGATTCTCTCATCTCATCAATTTCACTTGTAACTCCAAATCCCACCTTTACAGACTTCGTAACAGTGAGATACTAACAGTCTTCTGACTTGGCCATCGCCATTAATCTCCTCGCTTCTCTCTGACTATGCAAATTTTCTCTCTCTTTCTCATTAATTTCCTGGATTTCTAGAGTCCGCGAAGCCGTTTACTGTCACGGGTTCGGTTCGGATCCATTCAACGAAATTGATATTCAATTACCAATTTTACACCAGAACCTAAAAATATTTTCTGAAACCGGATTCAGACGTCTCAAATTTGATGCCTGTCCTTTTTGTCTGAAATCTCAATTTTGATGCGTTTCGTTTTTTATTTGAATCAATACTGGGTTTGAGATGTCGCAGGAATCACCATCAGAGCAAGAAACTGATGATTCAGATGCTGAGTTCGTGGAAATTGATCCTAGTGGTCGCTATGGTCGGGTAAATTTTCTTTTTTTTTTTTTTTTTAAATTATTGTTAATTTATAATTCTAATTCAGCCCTAATATATTGATTATGGATATTGTTTAGATTGATTACGGCCAACTACGGCTTTATTATTTTACTTTTTTTTTTTTTTTTTTTTTTTTTTTCAGAATCACCATCAGAGCAAGAAACTGATGATTCAGGTATTCTGAGTTTCGTTGGAAATTATCCTAGTGCGTCCGCTATGGTCGGGGTTAAATTTTCTTTTTTTTTTTTTTTTAATTATTGTTAATTTATAATTCTAATTCAGCCCTAATATTATTGATTATGGATATGTTTAGATTGATTACGGCCCAACTACGGCTTTATTATTTTACTTTTTTTTGTTCTTTTTTTTTTTTTTGCCCAGTACAAAAGAGGTCTAGGGAAGAGTGCTGTTTTTTTTTTTTTTTTTTTTTTTTTTTGCAGTACAAAGAGGTCCTAGGAAGAGGTGCTTTTAAAAAAGTGTATCCTTTAATGTAATTGGTCTCTGTTTACAGAGAAAAAAACCAGTAACAAATGAGAGTTTCTTGTGTGTTTATCCTTGAATCTTTGTGATATTTAGATACAGAGCATTTGATGAATTGGAGGGAATAGAAGTAGCATGGAATCAGGTTAAGGTGTCGGATTTAGTGCGCAATGCTGTTGATTTGGAGCGTCTGTACTCAGAGGTTCATTTGCTTAAGACTTTGAAACATAAAAACATTATCAAGTTCTACAATTCGTGGGTTGACACCAAAAATGAGAATATTAACTTCATCACCGAGATATTTACTTCTGGAACATTGCGGCAGTAAGCTTTTGATTCGTAATGTTATAAAGTTTGTATTTTATTGTAAGCTTAATTTTCTGAAGGAGCTTGTTGCAAACATGAGTTAGGTACCGGAGGAAACATAAGCATGTTGATTTGAGAGCACTTAAAAAATGGTCCAGGCAGATTTTAGAAGGTCTTTCATATCTTCACAGTCATGACCCGCCAGTTATTCACAGAGATTTAAAATGTGACAACATCTTTGTTAATGGAAATCAAGGTGAGGTGAAAATTGGTGACTTGGGTTTGGCTGCCATTCTTCAGCAGGCACGTTCAGCTCACAGTGTGATTGGTGAGGACAGTGCTCAGGAAATTTGCATAGACTTCTGAAGTGTTATAAAGGCTTCATCTTATGGAAACAGTTTTGTGTTATTTTTAATCTGAATTTAGGTACACCAGAATTTATGGCACCTGAGCTTTATGAGGAGGAATACAATGAGCTTGTTGACATTTATGCATTTGGCATGTGCTTGCTTGAGTTGGTGACTTTTGATTACCCATATGTTGAATGTGCCAATGCTGCTCAAATATACAAGAAAGTGACATCAGTAAGGCTTTTGAGATCCTTATCCCAATATAAATTCTATCCATATGCTGCTAATGCAATCAATATTATCACACAATGTCCTAGAGTAATTTAGTTTGATATATTGCTATACTCAGAAACTCTTAAGAACTGTGAAGTCCCGTAGATAATCTCCTTCGCTAAGTTGTGTGGTTTTTTTTTTTACTAAAAATTATGACCTTTTACATTATAACAGTCGATATTCAATATTTTCATTCTTTACGGAATATGTGAGGTCATTAGGCTGTTTACATGATAAATTAGAAAGGTCTTTATGTGATGTTTGGATGCTCTATCTTCCTGTTTCGTGATAATGTTTAACTTTATTTCTTCTTTAGGCTATCATATGAAAACTAGCTCAGGGAAGAGGCTATACGTTATATGAATATTTCTTGAATGGAAGATTGAATATGAATTTTTTATTTCCTTTGGTTCTCACATGGCATAACATTGTAGGTATTACTTTATGCCCTCAGCATCCCTAGAATTTAGAAATCAACCCAAGTATGGCTTTGTTATCAAATGAACATGCAGTAAGGCTTTGGGGAACAATGCAAATTATCCTGTTTATTCTTATAGGTTCAACATTGGATCAATAACAAGTAGTAGTCAGACCTTGTTGATTAAGTTTGTTTTAAAAATTATGAATTGAGAATTGTTCTCCACAATATTTTATCATGAGTTTTTTTTTTTATTATTATTATTTTTTGTATGTAAATGTACATGTTCTTCCCTCTACACGCTTGTCATATAGAGTGTGAGATATAACTTTTAGTTAGCATGATATAGCTTAAACTCTTATATAACTTTTTTTTTTTTTGTTGTTGCTACTAATCAATTAAGTTTCTGCTCATTTGTCAATCTTGCAACAATGAATTTTTATTTTCAAGGAGTGTCTTCTCTGATTGAATTTGTTATTGATTTTAGATAAAGAATTTGAACATATTAAAATAATGACTTAAGAAGTCAAACACAAATGCACACAATCCCTGCATAATTTTACACATTTGTTATCCTGGTTGTTTTCTTGGTAGGGAATAAAGCCTGCATCATTGGCAAAGGTAGAAGATCCTTATGTTAAAGCATTTATAGAAAAATGCATTGCGAAAGTATCTGACCGATTGTCTGCAAAAGAACTTTTGATGGATCCTTTTCTTCGATCTGATGAGGACAATGAAAGTGTAGGTCGTTCTCTACAACTAAAATTGCATAATTCAGGTAAACTAGAATGGTTTTCAAGATCGATGAAATTGACTTTTATGCTACACTTGTTTTATATAAAGATAAGGCAAGAAATTTTGAAAAAGAAAAAACAAGGAAACAAAGTGAATTTATAATACTAAGCGGAAAATAAATGCCACAAAAAGAAAGCTTTCTTCTATAAGAGAAGTTCCTTCAGAGAGATTTTCTGAATTGTTTTCTTTAGCTTTCCTCTTAATCATAGATGGAAATGGAAGTCCTTGACTAGTATAAATTCCTATTATTTGTTCTCTTATATCCAAGTCAACCAAACGTCAAAATAGAACTTGTAGTTCTTTTCTTATCCTCTTCCATTTTGGCAAAACAAATATAGTTTGTGTTTTTGGCTTTCATATTCTGACATGTGAATTGCAGGTGGTACTTCTGACCAGATCAATGTTATTGAAAGTATTAAGGATTTTGCAACTGATCGAAGTAGGGATTTCACTGTACAGGGACAGAGGAAAGATATTAACACAATATTTCTGAAACTAAGGATAGCTGATTCCACAGGTTCTCTCTCTTTCTCTCTCTGTTTTATTCAACTTCCATCGGACAAACGAAAGATCTTAGTCATTGTTATTCACAAATTGTTAGTTCAAAAGTTTCTGCTGCTTACAGGTCATATCCGCAATATCCATTTCCCTTTTGATAGTGAGGTAGATACAGCAATTGCTGTTGCTAGCGAAATGGTTGAGGAGTTGGACCTGACTGATCAAGATGTTACAACAATTGCCGCAATGATTGACTCTGAAATCCAGTCACATATTCCAGATTGGGCAAACCATAAGCTTCCTGAGGATATCAAGTCTGCAGAGGTTGCAGACTCTGAAGTTTCCACTTCTGAAACAAAGGGTGATTCACCATTGGCAAATGAGTCAAATCCTTCTACAGTGGGTCTTGCATTGGAAAGATTGCCTTCAGGTCGAAAGTACTGGTCTGATTCACCCAAGGCCATTAGTGGAAGCTCTCCAAACAAGCTTGGACACTCGAACTTCTTTTCCTATGAGCCTTTGCTAAGTAGTCACCATGAGGGTGATCATCTATCTACTTCTTCACTTGATGAGTTGGATGAGATTTTATGTCATAATAGCAGGGAAGAAGAGGAAGAAGTTAGTGAGACTGGTAACTCGCAATCTGGTGATGAAAATATTGCCTCTGTGGACCAAGATGCAGACAATAAAGCGCAAGTGAGGGACAATTGCAAGATGTTAAAGAATAGCGAGTCAGATGTAAAGATGCTTGCTCAAAAGCTTGAAAAGCTGTTGGCAAAGCAGCAGATGGAACTTGATGAAATGAAAAAGAAGCATGAAGCAGCCATATCTGACCTTCTCAGTGAAGTCTCTCCAGAAATTTGTCAGCAGGTTTTAGATTTGTGCAAGTCGAAAATGCCTGATTATAGAACACCGTAAGTGCTAAGCTATGCATTTTACAGATTTGGGCTCCCTTTAGAATTAGAAGTGCCCTGCCATTGCGTATCTCTAATTTGATTTATACAAATTATGAGGCCTGATATCTTAGATCATTTGAAGGTCTCTGCAGCAGAAGATCATGGTACTGGATATTTCTTGAGAGCCTATGCATCTTTAGAAAGTGAATTTGAGATGATATGGCTATGATATTAAAGTTCAATAAACAATGGAGGGAAAGTCGGCTCAAAGATACAATTCCACGATCAATTAGTCAAGAACAGATGATCCTGCAAAATCTTTACCTCAAACTAATCATATCATGCTGCAGAGATGAGGCGTGGTCCAATAAGAAGTTTGTGTGATTCTGAATCACGTGTTCCTTCATCTTGCCATCCACATACAAGTTTTATCACCTTGCTTGCCCTTTTCAGTTTGGTACAGATGATGAAAAATTTTGTGGACTGTATACTTGTACATATGTTTTACAAACTCTTTCGTTTCAATTATACGTGTTCTTGTTGCTTCTTTTTAGTTGCTTTTCATTACTTGTGGTGCTCTTGAAGAAGAGCTTGCTTTCTTATTCTTATTTGTGGTTGGCATGGTATAAAAATTGGATTAATGCAACAAATTGAACCATCTTTGGCATGCTAGTCTTGCCCTTTCTTGCTGTCTGATTTTCTGTTGCTTTATCTGAATAATGGTACAGGTTTCTCATGTTTGACCTGGACGAATTGGTTGTTGAGTTCTGAGAAATAATAATATTGGCTAGTATTGTGGGCAATGCACATATGATGTTATTATTATATGTTAGCTTCATTTTATACAAAGAAAGAAAATGTAAAAGAAGATGTGTGTGGTTTGCTTTCTTCTGATATCATTCTTTCATAAAATTGAAGGACCTTAACTGATAACGTGGCTGCATCAGAGGCAAGGATTGTGGGGTACTAAAACTGCCCCAATTACCTACGTCATCTTCTGAATTCCTGTGAGCCACAAGTCATACGAGGACGACATTGAAATTGAATTTTCATATATTAGAAAAATCGGATAGATTAAATGGGTTTTGGCTGAGAATTATATTAATACCTGACCGTCAAATTTCTTACTAAGTCTACTACAAACAAAAAAGGTTTACTCTTCTATGTCCAAATTTGGATTGAAACTGACATGTCCTGTTCTAAAATTGATCATCAACTTTGCTAGAATTTACTGAAATTGTTTTAACTCTAGCCAGTTAATACTAAGCGAAGGAAAGATTGAGTTTAATTAAACCAGAAACCCTAAAGTCTATTTTAAATCCACGTGTCACCCTTTTAAACATTGTTTCATGGATTTTTCGCGATACCCTGAGTTACTTTAAGACTGTAAGGTAGAGTGGATAAAACTCACAATAGCCTATCTTTTCGCCTGGCCAAAGAGATAACGATACAAATCCTCTCCTCTCCTTTCCTCTCCTCTTCTCCTCTTTTCCAAATCCACATTCTCATTCTCACTCTCTTGACCTAATCCTCAGTCTCCCATGGCAATTTCGGCATCAGCCACAGTCTCAAGCTCCTCAAAACTAGCTTATTCTCATGTCTCCCCATCTCCCACCACCACTTCTTATTCAAAACCCACCAAGCTAACCCCCAAAACCCTTCTCTCCTCTTCTTTTATTTCTCCCTTCCTCACCACCACCACCTCCTCTGCTTCAGCCACTACTGCCATCTCTACCCGCCGACGCTCGTTCGCTGTTCGTGCCGCCAGAGGGAAATTCGAGAGAAAGAAACCTCATGTCAATATCGGTACTATTGGCCACGTCGACCATGGGAAGACTACTCTTACTGCTGCCCTAACCATGGCTTTAGCCGCTTTAGGCAATAGCGCCCCCAAGAAATACGATGAAATTGATGCTGCTCCGGAGGAACGGGCTCGTGGTATCACAATTAACACAGCCACCGTCGAGTACGAGACGGAGAACCGCCACTATGCTCACGTGGACTGCCCTGGCCACGCCGATTATGTGAAAAACATGATTACTGGTGCTGCTCAAATGGACGGCGCAATCCTCGTTGTCTCTGGCGCCGACGGTCCCATGCCTCAAACTAAAGAGCATATCTTGCTGGCGAAACAAGTTGGTGTGCCAAACATGGTCGTATTCTTGAACAAACAGGACCAGGTTGATGACGAAGAGCTTTTGCAATTGGTGGAATTGGAGGTGCGTGAATTGTTGTCTTCTTATGAGTTTCCTGGTGATGACATACCCATCATTTCTGGCTCTGCACTTTTGGCTTTGGAAGCTTTGATGGCTAATCCTAGCATTAAGCGTGGAGATAATCAATGGGTAGACAAGATTTATGAACTCATGGATTCTGTGGATAGCTACATTCCAATTCCCCAAAGGCAGACTGATTTACCATTTTTACTTGCTATTGAAGATGTGTTTTCAATTACTGGTCGTGGTACTGTGGCCACAGGCAGGGTTGAAAGAGGAACTGTTAAGGTGGGTGAAACTGTAGATATTGTGGGTTTGAGGGAGACTAGGAATACTACTGTGACTGGAGTTGAAATGTTTCAAAAGATTTTGGATGATGCCATGGCTGGTGATAATGTGGGATTATTGTTGAGAGGTGTCCAAAAGGCTGATATTCAGAGAGGAATGGTTTTGGCTAAACCTGGCACAATCACTCCTCATACTAAATTCTCTGCTATTGTTTATGTGTTGAAGAAGGAAGAGGGTGGTAGGCATTCACCATTTTTTGCAGGTTATAGACCTCAATTTTACATGAGGACTACTGATGTGACTGGGAAGGTAACTTCCATTATGAATGATAAGGATGAGGAGTCAAAGATGGTTATGCCCGGTGATCGTGTGAAGATGGTTGTGGAACTTATTGTGCCTGTGGCTTGTGAGCAAGGGATGAGGTTTGCCATCAGAGAAGGAGGGAAGACGGTTGGAGCTGGTGTCATTCAGTCCATCATTGAGTAGATACATTAGAAGGAAATGTGCTCGGCTTTTTGAATGGTGTCAAACTTTACATCCATGGATTTGTGCAATTAATTTCACCATTTTAGCAAAAAAAAACTTTTCAAAGTCACTGTCATATATTTTGCAGTTTTGTTCTTTTGCACTTTTTGATGTTTAGTCTAGTTTCATTATAATCTTCTGATAATTTCAATGTGACTTCTTTTTTAACTGTTGCTTGTGCTTGGTTGGCTGCTAATTGCTATACTTCAGCAACTTTGAATAACAAGCATTAAGAGGTGATTGTGGTAGCTGGTTTTATTTGTTCTGTTTGTTAGCTGCTCTTCAGTGCTTGTTCTCTGTTTATGGACCTGTGTCGTACACCTGCTTGGTTCCACTTGATGGGAGAAAATGGGAGAAAGATTTGATGCACATTGCTTTCCTATGTTTCACAAACGCGACGCTGTTTATACGCCATTGGTCACTAATTGTCTGATTGCACTTTATACATATGAAGAATCATGCATCTCTTCTTCTCTCTAGATGATTATTAACTTCTAATGTAGATTTATTTGTGCAATAAGCTCACATGCACTGGCAAATTGGCACATATGAACGCACCGGGCATTTCCATCATTTTAGATTGTGACAGTTTTAGTCTATGACATTAATGTTAGTGCCTCCGAGAATTCTTCTTTTCAGGTTGGACTAAGTTTTTCCTTAGAGCACCTTTCCATATAGCTTAAACTTTTCCCCGGTGGCACGAGGAGTTCTATGGTATGCCAGGTAGCTTATGGTTACATTTTTGTTAATTTTTTTTCCCTTTGGACGTCACCTTTCTCTTCTTAATGTCCATAGAGTATTCTTTTTTTATGCCTCAGTAAAAACTATAAAACATGAATCAAGAGTTCAATTTTTATAGCTTGTGACAGTTCTAGTCTATGGTTGCCCTTTGAAGTATGCAAATGCTATCATCTATCTTGTAGAAAGGATATGCATCATTTGTTCAGTATTCTTTAGTCAACACAATGACAAATTTGGTGAATTCTTAGTGTGTGCAGTTGAGATGGTGCTAGATTACAGACTGCTAGTGTTAAACAGGAAAGTGGGAAGACTAGTTCTTTTCTTTCTCCTACTTGGATTTTGTCCAATGCTTAAACACGTCTCGAGATGTATCTTTAGAACTGCTGATTTATTGCTTGCCTCGGCTTAATATTAGAGGGGGTCCAATGTGAACATGTAAGGTCTATACCTCCAGTTTACAGATATTTTGAACTTGCTAAGGTGTTTGAGGACTGTATTGTGAATGGATACTTGAAAGTTGAATCTGCCAATTTCCTATGTAAAACAGTAATGCTTTTGTCATTCTTTGCTGTTAAGTTCAAAAAACCAGAAGCTATTTCTGTTTCCATCCTGATTCAAGTAATTTGAAGAACCAAACATAAAGGCTTGGAGGAAAGAGCAAGGAGCATGTCCATGCAGTAAATGTCTGCTCTGGTGAATATATAATTGACCTTTTAGCATTAAGAAAGAGTTCCTACTCAGTGTTCATTATAAAATTTAGTTTTCTAAAGAGGCTAAAAAATATATATGTAGACGCTTTTAATACAAGATGTGTTCGGTTCCGTAGTTGCTATAATCATCGACACCAATCCAGGGATATACCTAACAACGGAGACCGTTTTGGCTTCGCTAAACTCAAGCACCAGTACTAAAAACCCCAGTGTCTATAGATTGCATCAATGTATAAGTTTTCTTTCAACTCCCTTTAGATGATAACAAAGCTCTAGAAGATGGTTGAAGCAATCAACTGTTGAACAAATGCAGCTCTTTGCCTTCTCTCTTCAGAGTCCACCACATCCCCTCCATCTACTGAAGATAACTCAGTGCTGCATAAAACAAATGCAATCATAAGTCAAATTCAAACAAGTTCATTTCATTCTTATTCACAATTTAGGAAAAATGTATATTAAAACTTGCAATTCGTGGCGAGTACTTGAGTCATTTGTAACAAATACACCTCCTATTTATCAGTTACAAAATTTTTTTTATAAATTTCTGGTTTCAAATATCTATAATGGTAAAGTAGAAGCAACTCAACAGAAACAGATTTAATTGCACCATACGCATGTATAGTTCAATTAAAGACACATTTTGCTCGAGTACATAACTTCAAAGTGCAACTTCATGAAAATGGGCAACATTATGCAGATAGATGGACATTATTGTTCAATCTGTTCATGGAAGATGGTGGTTTTATACATGTCAAAATGGAAAATAGAAAATAAAAGATCTTCTCTCTTCGATTTGCAGACCTCCCAGTAATTAGAGAGAAAAAAAGAGTTTGGCTTAAGAAAACCAAATCTAAAATGAAGAATCACGCAGATAAGCTAGAGAAGACAAGTGCAAAGTGAAAGCTTCTGTGGTAACATGGGAAATAAACAGGATACCTAACACCTTAGAAAATTCTGAAAAACTTAAAAACAAAACATTAGTTTTAAGTTTAGGTTAAATATTACAACAATGAAAGCAGTACTTGCATCTCTAAATTTGACTTTAGTCTGAATCCCATTACTAAATTAAGCACTGTGAGAACCAGGATTCTTCCAGCAAATGCTTTTATGCAAAATCTCATAAGAGGAAGAGATATCTAATGAAATCCATAAAAGGAGAACCTTGTATGAAAAATGCAAACTATAATTGAGAAGATAAAAAGATGTTCTTTTGACGTATTTGTATTCTGTTAACAAATTTGCTTTCTATGCTGTTTACTTGCCAGGAAACAGTTTGATTTTAAGGTTTTATCACATGCATGATCCCTAAACATTCAATTCAATAAATTTGTTCATCCGTTTTAACCTGCCTTTTGAGCAACACTATATGCCTCTCAAATTAATTTTTAATGTGTGGTTTACTTCAGAATAAAATCTCATTCAATTCTTAAGGCACAAATAAAAAAAAAGGGATAGTATTATATCATGACAGCCTGTGATAAGCAAACCTTTTTGAATGGAAACTTTTGTTGGAAGATTCATCTTGCTGGCTTCCTTCAGGGTGAGAATGTAATCCACTGCTAAGAAATGGTGAGAGAAGTGGCTCTGGTGCTGGTTCATTTGTGTTTGCCCTGCCGTTTGTTGAAGACCCAAGAAATGAGCTCAGTTCCTTGCTAATCATGGCTGAATTACCAGACCAGAGAGCAGATTTCGGAGGCTTTCTCCTACGCTGCAAGCATAAGTAATGCTTTAGTAGGACTACAACTTAGGTATATGTTAAATCCAATAAGGATCTTTTTAGCAACCCCAACTAGTTCAAAACTAAGGCCGAGTTGCATGCAATTGAAGATCCAAAAAACAAGTGAAAATACCTTCAGTGAACCTGAATGTTGTACCATGAAATGCCCCATCACATCTTTCCCTAGATTTGCTGCACAAAGTGGACAGACCTGAAACAACAGCATTTAAGTTACAACCAATGCAAATTTCAAAAGAAATCAAAGAATCGTGTGCAGCATTGCGGAATGCCCATTTAGAATGTTGGCTCCAACTGTATCTCCTTAAGCAAGTCAAGTTGAACAGTATTAGACAGTTTATCAAGTGAATCATATCGGCCAGGAAGAAGCACCAAAAAAAAAGAGAGATAAAGAGGAACAGTGGGTAAGTGAAGAATCCATATCAATCTAATTTGATAATTCATTAATTATCAAGAAGAATGCCAATGAAATTATGTAAATTCACTGTTATCATCAGAAGCACTCCTGGTATCTGATTTTCCAGTACTATTATATGGGTAATACATAAACACAACAAGTTATTAGATGAATGAAAGCACATACTGCATTTTTTAAGTCAAAGCAGTGCTCATCCTGGAGGTGGCTGCAAAGCACATGGACTTCAATATCTATATAACAGAAGGGGCAGGGAAAGTAAGCTCTTGTGTCCTCATCTCCATCTGAATCGTCCGTTACCAAATGGTTATCTGTTCTCAAATTGAACAATGGGAGTTAAAGAAAAGGTAAAACGGACGGCATATTCACCAATCTACAGTAACAATTGACCAGTAAAGTCGGCCTAAAAAAATAAAGTGACCAATAAAGACAAATGGCGCAATAATTTTCAAAACAAGGAAGTCCTATAATTCCACCAATAGAAGGCCACCGATTCTACGATGCAAATCAAAATAGTGGAAAAGTAAAGAACAACCAATCTTTTTGAGACAATTGTTGTGCCAACATGTAGAGAATACATCTAGTCTCTGAATGATCTAGTCTCCACATGATGGATATTCTCTAAAACCTTGTCTGATATTATCTAATCCTTCACTATTCACATCTAGCCAACTAGGACCAAGTTCTCAAACTGAATTATACGTGTTTGAATCATTGTGTCCTTAAATATCTTTTAGGAGAAAACTTCCAATGCAGAGAACAATTAACATAAGCATTCTAAGATAATACTCATGAAACAAATCACATCACATTGAACTCCTCTATTGCAAATTCCCCAGAATCCATTCTTTTAACATCATGATGACTAGGCTAGTCAAAATACATATTTAATTTCTCACCTTCCTCATCCCCATCCTCATCAGAATCTTCACATTCTTCCTCTTCCTCATAGTGATCCTCCTCCTCCTCCTCCTCCTCATCATCATCACATTCTTCCTCGTATTCTGCTTTATGTTCATCCTCGAATTCTTCACTGTGTTCATCCTCATAGTCTTGTCCAACATTACCAGGAGAGCCATTAGCCAAACTTATCTTCTCACTCTCCTGCACATGTTTTGACTTGAAGGTATCAGATGAGTCAATCAATAGGTTCGATCCTGGGCTCGAAAGTTGTGATAGTTAGTCCGAAAGTTTCAATCTTTTCTCCTTTGCAACCAATGGGTTTAATACGTCTAAAGACTTCAGCTTTGGAATAGATATATGAATCTCAAACAACTCTTCCTTCCCCGACTTATGCACTCCACAATCTCCACTGTGATTTGTCATATTGATTGTAGCTTTGATTATTGATTAGCCCCAACATAATTCAGCTTTTCATCTTCCTCCTTAAATATTCAAATCTGCTAACGACCAATATCTCTTGTGCGCTCCAACCCTAATTTCCTTATAATCAACCCATCAAATGAATCTTCCAAGATACCGTGGACCCACTAATAAGATTCCTGAAAACCAATCAACGACCAAGAGAATCTAGGATTCTACTCATATAGAACTTACGCCTCTATTTGTTGTGTACTAAATATAACTCAAAAAATGAGCTTATGCCTCTAGTTATTGTGTACTAATTATTATTAATTAAGAGAAACACAACTCAGAAGGTAAAAAATAACAATAATAATATTAGCAAAAATCTGTACTTTCCAAAAACCCACATCCTGAAATCTGTGAACTAAAATATTATTAGTTGAAACATTAAACCACAGGAGCAATCAGAGAAAACAATTGACTAAACATTTTCAGTGCTTAAAACAATTCAAAAACGAAAAAGAAAAGGATTATTGAATCTTCAATTCTTCTTACATGACAGCAAGAAAAAGAGTTCACCCAGAAACCTCCCAACGGACAGTCATTACAATAAATAAAATAAAGATTAAAAGTGATCATTTTTTCAAGAAATAGAAGAAGCAAAGTACCAGAGTTATATCTAGCAGCTTGAAAAGCAGAGAAGTGCTTAGCAGCGTGAACTCTTGAAGGCCAGGAATCAACCTCCATGATTACGTCAGCTTCCGGAAGTGCTGCGTCCGCAATTACCAGCACGAAACGTCAGATTCCGGCGATAAAGTGTTAGCTGTGACTCCTGACTTGTGATGAGTGAAGCTGTTCTTGCTTTTGTTACCCTTATATTGCGATATATTGCGCTCTGACATTGAGAAAAGCTTTTCTGACACACAAAAGCTAGTACATGGATGACTGACACGTGTCGTAAATATTAAGATATACATATATATATTCTTCACTTTAAAAAAATTAATAATAAAGCAATAATTTTGTCTTCTTTGATGAACGGTATAAGTTAGTCGTGTTTTTGTTTGATAGTAGGAAGTCTAAATTATTATCATTTTGCAAGTTCCATTATTGATTGATAGAACTAAAATATAATTGTTAAATCCATCAGCATCTGGTGGTTATAAGCTCGAATTAAATAATCAAATCAGGAAAAAAAAAAAACAAAATTTTTAATAGTTATCAACTATTTACTTAGTGGTTCATAAAACATATCAAGAGATGTTGATGAATTCGTATGTTTCATGAACATGTTCGAATCGAAACTTTTTTAACAGAGAATTATTACATTGTTTCAATTTTTGAACTGCTAGTTCGTATTATGAAATTGATATTATATATTTAATGCCACTCATTTCCATAATGATACAAAAGAAACGAAGGAGAAGGCTGTCATTGTCTGATTATGCCAACTTTTTCTTACATCCTGTGGAAAAGTTTTCTCATATGTAGGCCACTAGTCATTGCACTGTTGGTTAATAAAGTAATCAGCAAAAATTAATGTCGAGCCGCCTCCAAAGTTCCCATAATGTCATAAAGCAGTACTCTAAGTAATATTTTACTACTACGATCTAAGGAGGAGTTGGTGCTGCTGGACTGATTAAGAAAGTAGTTAATTAAATAATTGAATAAAGCAATAGAAAAGACAAAAACATAAAAAGGGTATTTAACAGGACAACTTAACAATGGCATGAACATAACACAACACGTTTGGACAAGAACAAGAAGTTGCTTTCCTGTGAAGGATGGTTATGCCTAGAGAAATTTGGCAATCAAAACAAAATGGTGGGACATTCTTTGATTAAAACAAATAAATACTGTGGATAGCCACTTTAACATTTTGTTCTTTTGTCTTGTCAATGTCAACCTCTCCGTCAAATTGTTATGTTAACCCAATACCTATTCATAAATTTGACCATGAACACCTTTAAGAATTCAGCGGACAAAGTGGCATTATTAAAGTATTCAGTGAACAAAATCTGGAAACAGTGGAATAGCTTACTGCGCTTCATTGGATATCATGGGCCGGGCTAAGTAAGGTAGGGTTGCTTACTGTGAAGGTGTGGAGGCCCATCTAAGTCATAAGGCTTTCTCAGCATTAATTGCATCATCAAATCATAGGTAATTATTTGGTGCAATTTATGCAATGCATCCTCGCTTACATTACATTACATTACAAATAACTCTCTAATATATTTTCTTATAGTAACCATTGCATTTTATAATTCTCAGAAAATTACAAGCTTTTTCAAAATAATATGATAGGCTTTTCATTACTTTTCTAAACAAAAATTCTGAATTTTATTCCCCTGAAAAAAAGAATCAAATTTTATGTTGGAAATTGAGTTCCTAACTTATGCATGCGAAGATATTAAACCCGATTTGGAAATGGAGTATGATTTCGGAGCCCAACTTTTGTGAAATTTCATCTAGCCAAGCCCAATAACTATGCATGAAACGGCCAGATTTGGCCCACTATTAATTGAGGCCCATTTGACACAATATTGACTGTTTTTAATTCTATGTAACCAGTTGCCGCGTAATAGTAGCAAGCATGCAATGTCTCTTTCTCCTATTAACTAGCTTCACTGACCAGCGGTCAGTTGTTCGTATAAAAGAAAATGACAAGATAAAACCATAGCCACTAAGAACAAAAAGAGCATTCAATCATTAAATTGCAAAACCACAATATATAAGGCAGAACAACCCAATCCTTGATATATGGAGCATAGGAGAGAGATTCAAACTGAACAGTGTCAAATGTTTGGGTACGAATTGTCACACGACAAAAGGATAACTTGTCTTTTCAATGGCATTCATGTTCTTAGACACCACCAACAAGTTGAAGTTTGGCCATTTTTGTCATCATCATCGCCACCACCAGTTGTTGACTGTTTATAGCCAACGATGAACCAAAAGCAGAAATAGGATTTTCTCTTTATAAATTCACTATAAGCATTAACGAGTTTAGTGCAACTTTGGTTTATAGCTCATATAATAATATTTCACGCTGCACCCACCAATTAATTGGCGCATACATATATACGAGATGCATGCAAAGTTTGAAACTTTAGCAAGCTTAATTTTCTCCTGAAAATACATATTCACTTCTACATATAGAGGAAGATGCAAGATTATTATATGTTAATTAGGGTCCACAAATGAAAAGAAAAGGATGCATGATTTACTTTCTGTCTATAAATAGCCTGCTGGAATGGCCAAATATGTAGGGCGCTTCCCACAGATAATTTATCTCTATTATATATATTTCTTAGAAATCTGTGCACAGCTTTATTCATTAGTTATGATTAAGTTACTAAAAAGTAAGAGAGGAATGATTATTACCATCAACAAATAATGCTAAAAGCTTCTTTTAGTTTTAGTTTTAGTTTTTTGGCATCTGTGAATGTGATAAGATCTCAGGAATACATTGTAGAATCTGTCCAAAGGTCAGTTGGCACAATATAAACCCATAGTCAACCTAGATAATCTTTTCATGATTAAAGAAAAGAAATGTAGGGAAAAAGAATGGATATTACAGCTTGTCATGTTTAAAATGTCAGCAACAGATTGCTACTTCTTCGGGTTAGACTTAACTTGAGTTTGAGGCTGGTGATGAGGCCGTATAGCAAACAGTAGGTCAAATATTAGAGAGAAAAAGAGTCAGCCTTAGCCATAATTGATGGAGTCATCAGCCAGCCCTTGGAAGCTATAGACATGGTAGGGTTACAACACAAGAATAGGAGGAAAAAAATTAAAACAAAGTAGAAACACCACAAAGTATTGAAGAACAACAAATATCTTCTTCCATTTCCATTTTCTTCGTTTTACTAATTATTCTTAACTAGTATCATAGGTTCTGTTTTTTTTAACAAAACCGTGTTAAGTTTTGGAATAAAGTCTTTTTAGATGAATAGACTCCAACGCTTGATTTTAGATTGTTGGTACCTGGAAGAAATAACGAACCAAATGAAGCTGCCAATTAATTTCTCTGCGTGAGGTGTACGTATATATATATATATATGTAAATATAAATTGTTGGCAATAAGTGAATAAGCTCAGGACTGATTAAAGACAAAAGAATTTAAATATAAGCAACTTTAAAATGAAACAAATGTACTAAATCAGAATAAAGCATGAAATTTATTACATCAAAACTATAAAGCACTCACATACAATACTAAGTTACATCCTCATCATATTAACTGCTGCTTCAAGCACAACCTATACCAGCAAACCTATATTGCGGTTATTACAACAACACTCCCGCTAATAATTAATTAATTACCGGCACAGAAGTCCTGATAACTTCAAAATAAAACTCGACAATGCTTAATTAGCAACAAAAGGAAGAAGAAGAAGAAGAACAAGAAAATTGTACAGCTATTAAATTTAAAGAAAGAACAAATATATAAAAGCAGTCGGACCAGGAGCTCTTAATTCCCCTTGCATGGATATGAATGCCTCTCCATGTTTTGTTAATTCTTAGCTTGATAACCCATTTATCAACTTAATTGAATGGCCACTCCTCTGATGGAAACCAAACAGAAGCCTAAATTTCTTTTCTTGGAGAAGCGAAACAAAGACAAGCACCCGGACAAGCTTCAAAGCAACCGCCATGGTCATACTGTGTGAGAGATTAGCTAGCTAGGAAGCAAAAAAATCTATATATATAGGTGCTAGTCTAGTTAAGAGAGAGAGATATACAGTTATATAAGAAGTAGGTTAGTAGCCAAGTAGGGAAAGCTTTGAGAGGTACTGTGAAGAGAGACAATATTGCAATAGCTAAAATGTTATATTCCCGCATGCACGTTTCTCTTTTAATATACAGTGTCTGCACGTTTCTCTTTTAATAAAAAAAAGGAAAGGAAAGAAAGAGAGGGAAAGCGAAGAGTTTTTCTTCTTTTTTTTTTTTTTTTTCTTTTCAAGCCAAAGCATGGTGCCCTAAAGCTACACCTCCTTTTTCTAAATAAAAGGATCTTTTATATATATGTTAAAGGCTTAATTTTTGTATATGAGGTTTGAATTTTCGTTTGTTGTTTGTTTTTTTCTTCTTTTATGTTTGGGTAGGTTAATGTTTCAAATTAAAAGCAGAAGAATATATTGATGTTTTGTTGTGTTGCTTTTAATAATTTTCCAAATGGGGAAGTTGGTGTGTTGGCATGTGGGGCTTGTATTGTAAGTTTGAAGATAGACCCATATGTGGATGCCAGTGAATTTCAATGTCTCAACCACTTTAGATATTGTTCTACCTTGCATGCATACACCATACTACATAGCTATAGGGGGGGACATTGACCATACTAGTATCCTTATAAGTCAATTTATTGATCTCATGATTTGAGAGTTCAGATTTTGATGCTTACCATTTTTCAATTATTTAATATGAATTTATTAATGTAAGATTATATAATATTAAAAATAATCACGTTGGCTAGAAAACATGTGATGAACACAAATTAAATAGTTTGATCTATCAAGGTAGAACTGGAATTATATAAATATACTTGCTAGTTTTGGACAGGAAATTGAAATTCCTCTGTTAAATATGGTTGGAACTTAGAACCGATTTGTGAATTAAGAATAACCAGTGTTTGAATGGTTATTTTCCTGGCAAAGGACCACCATTGTCGTGTTGCGTGAGCTCTACTGAAGCCATTTTCCTTCTTTAACAGATGCACTTGGGAGCTTTTTGGCCCGTCCCTTCCTCGGAAGCCAATGATTGGATGGCACGTGTCATGAAAATTGCAGACCTGTCTAGCACGCCCGTTAACAAAGGGAGGTGGGTGGGACCCGGTATCCCTTTTTAACGGACGAAACTTCGCGTAGAATACAACCAAGGCGGGGCCCAGATAAATTGGTGGGGGATTTTTTGTCTTTTACAATTTTTTTCGGAAAAGCTGACTCGGCAACTGAAATGCAAATTGCCGCCGAGCAACGGGAAAACAGAAGTTATTTCTTTTTTCTAATTAACATCCCCTGCTATTGGCAATGGGTAACGTCTTCTTTTTTTATTATTTTTTTTTAAAAACTGTTTTTTGAAACATAACGAAAACAAGGAGATGTTTGCTGCTGCTGAATGTGAATATGTAAATATAATTAGGTCCAACAAGCAAGATGATGGGACATTAAAAAATTACGGTCTATCATCTATAGATATATAAATACAAATATTTAGATAAAAACTTTAATTTATTCTAAATATTTTTTTAATTATTCTATTGAAGCTCAAATTTGGAACTTGATCTTATTTATTATCATCGTGCTAACTCCTAAATTGGTTTTATAAGCTATAATTTTAAAGATAATTTATTAGTTTTGTGACAAATACTGATTTTTTTTTTTTTTTTTTTTTTTTTTAAATTGGTTTTATAAGCTATAATTTTTTAAAGATAATTTATTAGTTTTGTGACAAAATACTGATTTTTTTTTTTTTTTTTTTTTTTTTTTGCCAAAGGTAAAATAAAATGCAACTAGTAGTAGTTATTAGAGCTATTGGTAAGGCGGAGTGAAACTCAAGCTTTTTTTTTTTTTTTTTTTTTTTTTGCAAAGTAAAAATAAAATGCAACTAGTAGTAGTTATTAGAGCTATTGGTAGGCGGAGTGAAACTCAAGCCCAACTTTTACAAATTAATAGCTTGAGACTTGGAGGTATTCAGATGGGCTGGGCTTAGCCCAACCTTGAGTGAAGTTTGTCCAAACAAATAACATTTCAGATATTGGGCCCACCCAACTATGGGTTTTGTGTCAACCGTCCAAGAAAAGATCGGACACTAATGAAATCCAGGGTTTTAATGTCTACTGTCTACATATGGAGCGTTAAACCCTTGAAGAATCCCTCTCTTTAGCATCTGCATTTCCGATTGATTTCCGCAACAATTTTACCTTCAGAAGCAGCCATGAATCGAGCAAGGACAATCCTCGCATCTCTTAGACTCTCCAACTCACTCCTCTCAACTCGGCTCTCCACTACCCGACCACTTCTAACTCAGGTGATTCGCTTCTCCCCCCTCTCTCCATATTTTCCCTCTGAGCAGTCTCATACTTGTTTTTTGAATTCCCATCAAATGGTGTACTTCTCATCAAAACCAGGTTCTCTTGTTGAGCTCTTATTGGGCAATGATTGGTCCACTGAGTTAGAAAGCGAGTTAGAAACCTCCAACCCCAGATTGACCCATGAGACAGTTGTTTATGTTTTAAGGAAGCTAGATAAATACCCGGATAAGGCATGGGACTTCTTTAATTGGGTAAGCGAGAGAAATGAATTTAAACTCAGTTCTCCACTGTACAGCTTAATGCTTAGAGTTCTGGTTAAAAAGGATTACATGAAGAAGTTTTGGATTACGTTGAGGAAAATGAAAGAACAAGGGTTTTATATTGATGAGGAGACTTATTTAACAATTTCAGCAATTTTTAGGAAAGAGAAGATGGACAGTGATTTGGTGGCTTTTAAACATTTTTTTGATAGGATGGTTAAAGAGAATGCTATGGATAGTATAGTGAAAAATGTGGTTACTGTTATTTTGAAGATGGAGTGGAACAACGAGGTTGAGGAAGAATTGAGGAGTATGGGAATCATTTTAACAGATAATTTTGTGATTAAGGTACTGAAGGAGCTCAGGAATTATCCTTTGAAAGCTATGCTGTTTTTTCATTGGGCTGGTAAGTGTGAAGGTTACGAATGCAACACTGTCACATATAATGCGATTGCCAGAGTTATTGCTAGGGACGACTCAATTAGAGAGTTTTGGAGTGTTGTTGAGGAAATGAAGAATGCTGGTCATGAAATGGATATTGACACTTACATAAAGATTTCGAGGCAGTTTCAGAAAATGAAGTTGATGGAGGATGCAGTAAAGCTTTATGAATTTATGATGGATGGCCCATTTAAGCCCTCAATTCAAGACTGCAGCTATCTTTTGAAGAGCATCTCAGCAAGCGACAAGCCAGATTTAAATTTGGTCTTTAGAGTTGCAAAGAAATATGAGGTGATGGGAAGTTCCCTTTCTAAGGCTGTCTATGATGGGATACATAGGTCCTTGACAAGTGCAGGACATTTTGATGAAGCAGCAAATATTATCAAGGTTATGAAGAATGCAGGATTCGAGCCTGACAACATCTCATACAGTCAATTGGTCTTTGGACTTTGTAAAGCAAGGAGATTGGAAGAAGCATGTGAGGTTTTGGATGAAATGGAAACAAATGGATGTGTTCCTGATGTCAAAACTTGGACCATTTTGATTCAAGGCCATTGTGCTGCTAATCAAGTCGACAAGGCACTAATGTGTTTTGCCAAGATGGTGGAGAAAAACTGTAATGCTGATGCTGATCTGTTGGACATTCTAATAAATGCTTTCCTCGGTCAAAAAAGGATAGAGGGTGCATACACATTACTCGTGGAGATGGTGAACAAAGTCCATTTAAGACCTTGGCAGGCTACATACAAACTTCTTATCGAAAAGCTTCTAGGAGAAAGGAAACTTGAAGAAGCAATGGACCTTCTTCGTTTAATGAAGCAACATAACCATCCTCCTTTTTCTGGGCCATTTGTTCAGTATATATCCAAGTTTGGGACTGTGGAGGATGCTGCAGATTTCCTGAAGGCATTGAGTGTGAAGGAATATCCATCAACTTCAGCTTACTTTAATGTCTTTCAGTCCTTCTTTAAGGAAGGTAGACATTCTGAGGCCAAAGATCTGCTATATAAGTGCCCACATCATATTCGTAAACATCCTAAAATTTCTGAACTTTTTGGTTCCGCACGAAGTTCTGTTGCGAATGATTGATCATATCATTCCTATTTTTTACTTATAACTGAAGCATCGATTCATCTTCCAATCTTCTCTTGTACAAAGTTGCCCAAGCACAATACTGAAAATTAGTTGTATAATTTGCTGGTAGGAGTTCGTTCATTTTCCATTGCGAATTTAGTGTCATGTATTTATATAGCATTGGCCTAATCTGCCATCTTTCATTTTTGCCGAGTCCTAGGTAGTAGGTAATGAAAGCAATTGTAGCTTTGGCTGGAAAGTTTTGGACCGACCAAGAAATAGCGGTTATTACATGGTGTTTGGCTTTATTTGTTCAGAGTAAAAACTTCCCTTTCGGAGAATGGGAGAATTACTATTTAGTTCCTATAGTTTAATGAAATTGATTATTTAATCCCTGTCTTTTGAAATATATAATAATGCATCCCTGTGAGCGATGTAATACCATTTAACAATTTGGTCCAAAAGCTTTAGGTAAAGTGAGTTTTTAGTTTAGCAAAATAGGTATGGTAATTATTATTTTAATAATTATTCATATTATTAAAAAAAATTAATTCTTGCTTCTAGCATAAAAAAAAAATACAATATGAATAAGATAAAAAATATTTTAGTCTTTCCATAGGACTTAGTCGTCCAACCGGAACAATCTGTAAAAAAGCGATTAATGCATTTTTAAAAAGGCAAGAAACTATTAATTTCACCAAATTAAGAGGGCTAACTAGTAATCTACCCTTAAGTTATCAATGATGGAATTTAATTTAATCGTGTTGGATTTCAAAGAATTATTTCATCAGTAAAATGAACATTTTCTTAATAGACATGAAAGCATAAAATCCAAAATTACTTTCACATGACAGTTTTTTTTTTTCTAGTAAAATAATAATTGTATAGGTGAAAAAAAAAAGTTTCTACAATTGTTGGCACTAGTGTCCAAGAGAACTATAGGTACAAAAGATATATACCATCCACAGACTAACCATCTCCAGTTACGAATCACTGCAACAGGAATCTCATCCTCAAACAAGACGGACATGAGTGGCATAAAGAAAAGGCTTCTTTCACATTAGCATTGAACGCGTTTTTCTTTTACAATTTACATGGGCAACCATTCAGTCAGGCAGCTCGGAACGCTCCCTCCTTGCTGTGTCCAACATTGTTGACAAGAACTTACTAGGGTCGCAACAATATGGATTTGAAAGTGCAGCGTGTGCCAAAAATGGAAGTTTTCTTAACGATCTTCCACTTAGGCCCTGTATACATGGTTACAGTCGCAAGTTATTTCAATAAATTTCTATTGTGTTAATACCATAGAAGCTAAAAGAATTTTTCACTTCTCACCTCACATGCCTGGGCAGCTTCAAGCAATTGTTCACACAAGTTTACTGGTATCTGAGCTTCTGGTCCATCAGGTGCATTCCGTTTCTCTTTCAAGGTTGAATAATTTGGAAGCATGAGCTGGTCAGAGTCCTGCAGAACTTAACAAGCTCATAAGTCATCAACCATCAAAGTGGCAAGGCAATTGCTTAATGCAGTGAGGGAAATCTTGAGTTGGCAATCATCGGATACAGGTTCAAATCTGAAAGTGGCACTTAATGCAAAAATGATTAACTATCTGTCAGTCTAAATTCCTCTCCAAGGTCCCCCAACGCTGGAGTCATAGTTCAGTGATGGCATTTACTCGTAAGAATATTAATCTGGCCACACTAATATCTAAATGGAGAGGAAGATATATGGAATTTCCAGAAAGTCACACCTGTAAATTTGATATTATTCCAGTTCGCATAAGTTCCTGCAAGCAGGATCTTAGAATTTCATAACGAGCTTGAAGAGTTGGAGGACCAACATAGGCTTTGATATCAGCTCGATCCACAAATGCAATATCTGCAACCCAACAATTGGAATATATATTAAAGAAATGGAATTTATCCGAGGTGCTGTAAGGGACAATGAGGAAACTTTCAAGGGAAAAAAAAAATATAAGAATAATCATAAAAATGGTTTGACTGTTTTTCTTTTTTGCCCAACACAGATTGACAACAAAGGGCTCTGAACATCTAACTCCAACAGAAATGCATGTGTGGTTTTCAAATTCCAGGGTTTCCAGTTGGATTAATAATTCAAAAACAAACTTGAAGACCAATGACCAAGACCATCAAGATCATTAAGAGTGTTAGAAGCATCTCCAACATTCATATGTAAACAAAAATGAATTTGATTGACTGTTGTAGGAAGGAATATGCAGAGATAAGAGGGGATAAAAAATTCATATCAGGATATATAACATATATTAGAAACTCAAGCATAGAAACATAGTAGAAGTGGGAGGGGAACAGCATTGAGTTCAAGTTAGCATGCAACGATGCAGAGGAAAGTTGTTTGGAACTGCGATAAATCATAGACTTACCTATAGCAGCAGTTATATTGGAGGTAGTCAGAATAACCACATTTGGTGAGCATTTCAATTTGTCCAACTGGGTTAACAGTGCATTGACAACCTGGTAGACATTGCAAAGGTACCATGCATTAAAAAATATATGAGAAGTTGTACCTCAAAAAAAAAGGTCATTCTAGTCATTCACAAGTCAAAAATCAGAAATAAATTTGAGAGAAGTCCAAAGGCCAATACTCGAATAGTATCAGAAGGTTCAGAACCAGACAAAGCAGCTTTTCTTGCTGCCGCAAGGCTTTCAACTTCATCTGCAGCATCATCATATCTAAAGTATCACATGCTAGAAGGGGGAAGGATGAGTAACAAATAAAAGCAAATATATCTTTTCATAATAAATCTCACCAATCAAAACAAAAACTAGATTGTTTTCTTCCTCCACCATTTCTTGAATTTTCTGGAAAAGTTTTGCAACCTGATGCAATAATCAGATAACAATTTTTTCAAGATTTTTCAAAAAATAAAGATTCCTATTGGAAAGGAGAACACTAAAACAAGTACGATCCATTATTTTCTTTTTTAAATTTACTGCATAGATTGTATAGACCTTTGGCTAGGAAATCTGGCCATAAATTGAATTACAAACCAAGCATCATGAGCAAGTTGACTATGAAGATGGAAAAATGATCACATATCAATTACAATATGTTATAACTATGTAACAAAATAGAGAAATACTATATTAAAAAAAATAGTGAACAGAATTAGCTAGCTAGAGAGACCACAAGCATTTGGACTCCTTGAAGACGATGAAAAATATACCAGCTTGCCACTTTCAGAGAACCATTTGCTAAATAAAGAATGAGCATTGACTTCAACCAATTGGCACTGAGGATATCTGATAAAGGCAGAAGTATAAACAAGAACAATAAAAAAGATTAGTTAAGAATATATACATGTCCTCGTTTCTTTTCATTGGTTCATTAAGAGAATAAACATTCATCAAACAAGACATCAAGTGACCTGGATTTAAATCGTATTGATAGTTTTTGAGCCAATGCTTTACATAAGGATGTTTTTCCAGTCCCTGGAGGTCCATGTAAAAGAATAATCCTGGAAAACAAAATGGACATATGATTGGGGTCATCTCAAATTGTATGGAAGCAGAAATGCAGGGTGACATTTCTACTTTTGCAGCTTTTCAAATCTGCTTTAGATGAATCTGTATTCCCCTTATGGTTTCCATACATCGAGATTTATTTCATGTCAAAAGTCCTTGTACTAGTCAAATTTATACAAAAGAATAGGCTTAAGAATTTTCCTCCAATTTCAAGTCAGGCATTTCATTTTCAAGAAAAACGACTGAACAATCTTTGAATAAACAAAATACTCATCCCATAAGCTGTCATCTGGCTTGCAAATACTGATGAAATAAGCCAAACTTTTATTACCGGTTCCATGACACAAGAAAAGGATCAACACCCTTCTCAGTGAAGAGCAGTGCACTTGCTGCATAACGCAATAACCTTTGCTTGAGACCAGATTCATAAATTAGGCTGCAAAAGTAAATGACTGACATTGGACAATGCATTGATGAATTGAACAGCAAAAAAAAAAAAAAAAAAAAAAAAAAAAACCTTGCTTGAGACAGATTCAAATAAAATTAAGGCTGCAAAAAGTAAAATGACTGACATTGGACAATGCATTGATGAATTGAACAGCAAAAAAAAAAAAAAAAAAAAAAAAAAAGAAAAAAAAAAAAAAAAAAAAAAAAAAGGAGAAGCTCCAAACAAACCTTTCCCACATGCCATCAAATTCCTTTGCAGGCAAAATCCATTCATTGAAGCTAGAAAGTTGGCCATCCCCACTTAATTCCTCACATGGCCCTTCCTCACTAAGCTGACAAAACAATGTATAAACTATAGAGTTTATAAAACACAATCAAAAAAGTGCAAATAACACAAGAGCGCACGGGAACCTCTCATTTTTACGAGGCAAAAAAGGGGCTAATATAGATAAAATATAATGCTATATGGCCTCATAAAACTCTTACAAATAATTTAGAGGGAGGAAAAAAAAAAAAAAAAACCTATGCCTGCACAAATGTTACCTGAAAGACATGTACAATAGGTTTGACTTGCCAAAACAACAGAATATCATGGTTCTTTGTCCATTCATCTACAGAGCAAAAAAGTAAACTGTTAATTTTATTGTGTCTACATAATTGGCACGGCATCCATTTGTTTCTCTAAATTTTGGTGAAATGAGAAAGGTTTCATTTTATCTTTCTTTTCTTCTTCCTCTAGAATCTCAGCAACCAAAAGTTGGAAAGCAAATGAATACCCGTATCACAAATATGGATTCTTTGTACATTTTGTGCAAGAAAGGTTTCATCATCAGGTAGTGGAATAGGTCCATCAGTATAGCTTAAACTCCTCTTTTCGAGCATTCTGATTAAATTGAACCAAAAAGGCCAAATTTTTAGTCAGAAACACATGAAAGTAGGCAAAAATCAAACAAACTGATTATTGAAAACGCAAAAATGGTATATAATCCGACCTCAAAAAACAAAGAACGAACTCAATAAGTAAACATTCCTATGGCAGATATAATATTCATGGCATACACAAGCTACATGATGTTTACTGCATACCTTTCAACAGCAGAGCGAACATCTTCAACACGAGCTGTGCTCGAGGGTTTTAAGCAAACTTCAACTGAAAAATTAATAATCGAAGACTCAATCGGCGAAACCTCAAAGTAGGAGCTTGAAGTTGAAATAGAAGCCCAATCTCTAATTAAGAAGAGAAGGAGGGCCCAATACGTACCAGAAACGATAAATTTTTCCTGGGCGGGAATGGGAGAAAGGGCTGGTAGCTGTGAGACGCCATTTGTTATTGAAATGTGGGCCTCTGTGGGGTTTTCCGTAGTAATCTCCATGGAAGTAGTCATTTTCTGGCTATGTTTGAGGTCATAAACGGTGAAGACAGAGAATTCGGAAATGTGATACTACGAATATTGGGCGAAGAGGCAAACCCTAGGACCAAAAGAGGAAGTTTTTCCTTTTTTCAAACGCGGGCGGGAAAATGGCGAAGCAGTGGCGCCATATTTATTTGCAGTTGCCAATAACAACAGGGTCTTTTTCTTTTGTTTTTGTCTGGTTATTAACAAAAGACGGGTTTATCAGTTATTAAATTTCAAAATTACATTCGATTTGAAATTTTTTTATTTTCAAAAGTCAATGAAATGTTTTTCAAATATTAATAAATTTATTATATCCATTATTGATTACCAATAATCATCATTATCAATTATCACTAATCATCATCCAAATGCTAATTAATTAAATATGGTCACATGCCAATGCCATGAACTCATCATAGCTATCATAATTTGTTAGCGCAAACTGAAATGTTGTTTATAATTAAGCAAGAAAGATTTATAAATCCAAATCCATTCTTAATTGTAAAATTACCTATCATATTAATTTAAAATATATTTTAAACAAATACAGGACTAGCGACTTTATTAAAATAAAAATAAAAACAAAACATAATAAATTATTGTCACTATATAAATTAAAATTTAATGACTGCATAAGTTGCGTGAAATAAAGCCAAAAATAACCAAAAAAGGATTAAAGAAAATCAATGCCTAGAAGGGAGAAATTAGTCTCGGAAATAAATAAAGGATACGTTCACTTGTAGAAAACAAATTGAAGTAGTTCTTTAAAAAAAAATTTAAAAAAATAGGAAAATAAAATTTTGTGTTCAAATCAGTCAGTTTTCTATCTATAAAACTAGAAAATAATTTTATAGTTTTTCAAAATTTAAATAACATTTGAAAAATAGCTTCAAGTTATTTTTCACATTATTCCTTTATAACAAAATATATATTTTCCAACTGTTTTCCATTTCTATAAAATGATATTTTCATAATTGATGTTGTACTATCTATAGATAATTTTTTCTATAAAATATTTTTATTGAATAAATAAAAATACATAAATAACATAAAAAATTATATTATGCTTTAATATATACATAAATAACATAAAAAATTATATTAATGCTTTTAAATATATTAATAATTTTTAATAATATCAAATATATTATATTCTTTATTTTAAAAAATTTGTTACAAAAATCGATAAAAAAATGAAATATTATTTATTATAATATAATAGATTAAAAAAAAATTTTAAAAAATTATATTATTATTATAAATAATAGATTTAAAAAATTTTAAAAAAATTTTTTAGAGTTATTTTATAATACTTTATTTTTATTATGAAAGTTATGAATAATATTTGTGAAGTTTTTAAATTAAAATATAATTTTTTATTGTTATTAAGTGAATGATTTTTTATTTTTTATTTTTTTTATTTTCTAAGAAAATTATTTTTTTAAAAAAAATAAAAAATAAAAAATAGAAAACTGTTTTGTGTTTTAGGTGAACACACGCAAACAAATCAAACATTATCCTAGATCTGGACCTTACCTATCCAACGGTCATCATTTAATCTGCAGCAACAGATGATAGTCAAAAATTTCATCACACAGAGAGGACAAGACAAGCTTCCAAACACCTTTTCTCTCTCTATCTTCCTAGTCCTAGCAGTAGCAGCAGAGCCAATGTGAGGCTCTAATTTAGCAGAGATAACATCTAACATGGCCCTCTTTACCACACTTTCTTAGAAAAAGAAAGCTAACAATGAAATATGAAGAATAAAAACAAGTCAGAGCAAGAAGAAGAAGCAGAAAATGAACACCATCTTGAAATCCTCAAGGCTGTGGCACAAGCATGGCATGCGCACTCAGGCACCTCTAGGCCGACCAATGAACATGACGCCTACCGCCGAAATTTTCAAACCAAGCCCTCTCGATTCAAGCTAGAAGCAATCAGCAGGCCATGGACCGGTAACTATAGAGTTGCGAGTGGAAGTTGGGATTTTAAGCAATCGCTGCTTGACTCATATGAGATTGTCACCATGACCAAGAAGCTTGAAAGAGGGCTTGTTTTAGATCACCCATTTTCTGGATTGGATTATCAAAGCCGAGCCCCTAGAAAGCGAAGGGAAAGCAAGAATAGTCTTAGAAATTTGTTTAATCGTATGTCCTGGAGAAGATACAAAGAAGCTGATATTCCTCGCGAAGAAGATATGTAACACTCAATTTTGACATAGTTTCTTTCTTTTCTGTATTTGGTTTTTTTGCATTGGTCATGTTTCTACATATTAGTAAGTGATAAGCAATTTACATCATCAGGTTTTCGAATGAAGAATTTTCTTTCTATTTTTCTTTTTTTTTCTATTTTCCTCCCTTGTATCAGATTCTTCATTGGAAAACCTGAAATATGGATTTAATTTTTGGTTCTTGATGTGTCAATATCACAAATTTTTACAACTTGTGTTCAGATTTTTTTGGTATATGATTTATTGTATTCCCGTATAAATTACTGTGGACTGGTCCTTATTCCTTACGCTATCAGATTCCCAGTATAATGAAGTTCAAATATTCATCAGAGTCACCAGAATTTGACTGTAGCTGTCAATGGCAAAGAATAATTACGCCGACAGAGTAAAAAAGCAAGACGATATTGGAATAAAGGTAGCTGTGCCTACATTGTCATCTACATTTGCTTGGTATGAAGTATATATCATTCATCTTTTCATGTTCGATAGAATATATTGTTTGGAAATTTAACAGCACTACAACTTAATTATTAGTTAATTATTGTTAATTAATAAGTAGCAACATTAAAACCAAAAAGAGAATACGTACAAAAACTATATACTATATTAAATTAACTATTTTATTAGAAATCTGAAAAACAGAATCTATGAAAATGCATGACTTTAACATGCTAAAACAGGCCAACCCAGAAAGAATTATAATTATATAGTTGTGTTGTGCAGACAAAGAGAAAGACAAAGCCTTCTTTTATTTAAATAGCTGCGTTAATTAGTAGCAAACAGAACTATATATAGCTCACACGTGTTCCCAAATCCTAATAATAAAATTAATGCAACTTGAAAGTCTTCCATTTGCATAGCTCAAATGCCTTATGCTTCTGTTGGAGATATCCATCAGTTTCTGCATCAATACTCTTCTCAACAACTTCATGGATCCCTGCAGAGTTATCCTGGACAATCATTTGCTCTTGCTCTACTAACTGAACCTTCTTATTGGGCTTGGTGGGCTTATCGACACGCTCTTGAACGATCATTTCAGGTTCTTCGTCGCGAACCACTTTGTTGTTAAAGACCCTGTGGACATTTGGGTAGCGAGGCACATCAGCTAGAACACTTGGCATCCTTTCTATTTTTGCAACATGAACATGGTAATCATGGGATGTCGTTTCCCATCCATGTCGTTGCCTGTGATACACCGGAGATTGGGCCATATGTTTGTGCTTATGACGGTTCTTGCTCTGTCTCTCCGGTCAGTCAATCTTGGTTTACGGAAGAAATTATTTAGAAATTTATAGAGGTTGTATTGTAGCTTTATTCTTTGGAGATAATGGTTGCATCCAATTCCCTTCCCATCTGTCAGTTTGTGTAGACATCAGAATAATATTATTGTATAAAACCACAGGGTTGGGAGGAATCGAATGCCAAGGACAATGGCCCTGAATGGATTCTATGATGTTAGCGTTTGTGTATAGCGTGGATCTCAATGTAAAGAAAGTGGATTCTTAAATTTATGGTGCTTGATGATCAACAAGAACATGTCATAAATGCAATAATAGAAACACGAGTGGGAGAAATCGTAGGTTATGCAAATTATGTTAGCTCTGAACTAAACAAGGCAGGTAGTTCGGAATTCCAGACACAATTGATATAACAAGGCGCCAAGTTAGGTGGGGGTTTAGAACTTTAAATTAAGTATAAACAAGTCAACCTATTTATAATACGGAAAATTTTTGCTTATTCCCGGTGTATGAGGTGTTCTGGTATAACCAGGGCAATCTAAAAAGAATTTTTAAAAAGATATTATTGTTTTATCTTTATTTTTTTTAATTGAAATTAGGAAATATATATATATATATATATAATGTAGGATTATAGGATAAAAATTTCCATAGTAGAATTATAAATTTCTAATTAAGGCTGAATAAAACATCTAAATTAGATTCTTAATACGTAACTAATATAAGCAATTAAATTAAAAATTATTTTAAGATAATAATTTTAATTTATTTTTTAGCCAATTAAATATTGGAGAATTCGCATTATGAAAATCATACGTGTATATATATAGTATATTTTATCTATCCCAATGTTACCACCCATTTCGACTTTTATAACGTTATAGATAGATAGACAGTGGCTTTTAGTTTTAATTGACCGTCAAACCTTACAAAACCAAAGCAGGCAAACAGCAAGGGGATGATGGCTACCACACTTCCTCCTTTTCCATACAAAATCCCCACTCCTGTAACTACCATTCCTCAGTTTCCAGAGAACCCAAAAACCTTAATCTTAAAACAATGCAAAACAATCAAAGACCTGAACCAAGTCCACGCCCATCTCCTCAAAACACGTCGCCACTTGGATCCCACAGTCATCGAGAACTTACTCGAATCGGCCGCCCTCCTCCTTCCCGCTACAACTATGGACTATGCGCTTTCCATTTTCGACAAAATCGAGGATCCCGATTCGTCGGCTTATAATACCATGATAAGGGCCTTTACAGCGAAGCAAGTTCCTCAAAAAGCCTTGACCTTGTTCAAACAAATGCTCGAAAACGCAGTGCCATTTAATGAATTCACTTTTGCTTGCACTCTAAAAGCATGTTCTAGATTGCGCTGGAGAAAAGAGGGAAAACAGATTCATGCCCAGATAGTGAAATGTGGATTTGGGTCTAATTGTCTTGTTTTAAACACCTTGATACACGTCTATGCAAATTGTGGTGAAGTTAAGATAGCTAGGAAAGTGTTTGACCAAATGCCCAAGAGAGATATCTTTGCATGGAATTGTATGCTTTCAGGTTATGCTAAGAGTGGGTATTATGAGGATGTTGTGAAGTTATTCTATGAAATGAGGGAATTGGGTGTTGGGTTTAATGATATTACGTTGGTCAGTGTCTTGGCGGCTTGTGGCAGATTGGCTGATATAGAATTGGGAGAGTGGATTGCAGGGTACATAAGGGCAAATGTACTTGAAGAAAATAAGAAACTAGTTACTGCTCTGGTTGATATGTATGCAAAATGTGCTGAGGTGGATAAGGCACAGAGTTTGTTTGACCAAATGGATGGAAAGGATGTCGTTGCTTGGAGTGCTATGATTTCTGGTTATAATCAAGCAGGGAGATGCAAGGAGGCGCTTGTTCTTTTCAGTAAGATGCAAAAGGCAAATTTGGAACCCAACGAGGTCACTATGGTGAGTGTGCTCTCTTCTTGTGCTGTGCTAGGAGCTCTGGAGACCGGTAAATGGGTTCACTTGTATATTAAAAAGAAGAGGATGAAGCTGACTGTCACACTAGGAACAGCACTAATAGACTTTTATGCAAAATGCGGAGTAGTAGATAGTGCAATTGAAGTGTTTCAAGTGATGCCTTTGAAAAATGTGTACTCATGGACGGCCCTAATTCAGGGTCTTGCTAATAATGGGCACGGAAAAAGGGCTCTGGAGTTCTATCGATTGATGAGGGAAAAAAATGTTGAACCAAATGATGTGACTTTCATTGGACTTCTTTCTGCTTGTAGTCATGTGGGCCTGGTTGATGAGGGTCGTGAGTTTTTTGACAGTATGAGTAAAGAATTTGGTATTGAACCAAGGATGGAACACTATGGTTGCATGGTAGATATCCTTGGTAGAGCTGCATTGATCGAAGAGGCTTATCAGTTCATAAAGGAAATGCCCATCCAACCCAATGCCGTTATTTGGAGAACATTGCTGGCTTCTTGTAGGGCTCATATAAATGTTGAGATTGGGAAGGAAGTGGTAGAACATCTGGTTAGTTTGGAGCCTATGCATTGTGGGGATTACATTCTGTTGTCTAATATTTATGCATTGGCGGGGGGATGGGAAGATGCGATAAGGACTAGGACTCAAATGAAAGAGAAGGGAATCAAGAAAACACCTGGTTGTAGTTGGATTGAGTTGGACGGAGAGATTTATGAGTTTTTAGCAGAAGAAAAAGCATATCGGATGAAGGAAGTTTATAGCGCGACAGAGGACATGATGGAACGAATCAAATCAGCTGGATATGTTCCCAATATAGCAGACGCGAGACTGGATGCAGAGAAAGACGATAAGGAAACTGCAGTGTCTCATCACAGTGAGAAGCTAGCCATTGCATTTGGTCTTATTAAAACTCCTCCTGGTACTACAATTAGAATATCAAAAAATCTCAGAGTATGTACAGACTGCCATAATGCAACAAAAATAATATCAAAGGTATATAATAGAGAAATTATCGTCAGGGATAGAAATCGCTTCCACCACTTCAAAGAGGGCTCATGTTCCTGCAACGACTACTGGTAAAACTGGATACTGCTTGTTGGTCAATAACTTACTTGGATTTTAAACCACAATGATTGTATCCCATTAGAAATGAAATTCGTTTGATCTTAGTTTATACACATGGTTCCAATTAATTGAAAAAAATAATTCTTATTGGTTCTTGAATCTAACTTCATGGATATCAGTTTTCAAAAATTGAAATGTACAATATATTAATTTGGCCGTATGAATTGAAAAGTATGAATTTAGAAATTGATAATTGGGATGGCAAGGCGGAAGAAATTGAAAAGCACGACAAAAAAGGATTGGAAAAGTAAGCGCTGCCATTAATGGAATCGCGACCTTCCGCAGCTTTTCCCTTTCTCTTTCCTTTTATTCCTTATCCAGCCGTTTTGTCCTCGTAGGGCACCGAACTCGTTAGAATAAATCCAAGGATAGTAAGCATGAATTTTCAGTTACGAAGAAAAAGAATCGGCAAAGTTTCCGCTCGACGCAGATAAGTTTTCGCTCGATTCCCCTGTTTTTTTTTCCCTCTCAAGCAATTGCTTTGACTTTTCCTCTGTCCGTGTTGATTCCTCTTATTTTTAATTTTTTACCCTTCTTTAAGCGATTATTTGCCTTTTCGTTTCTCCTCCGATTGTAACTCATCCATTCTTGCTGTGGACTGTCATTTTAATCGTTGTTTGTTTGTTCAGTCTATTGGCTTTTGCTTATTGCAATTTTCGTCTCTGAGAGCAGTGCAGAGGCAATAGTTAGGTTCCATACAGGGTGAGAAAAGAATGAATACAAATATTTGATCTTCCAAGTTTGTGGGAAAAAGTAATGCAACCTATCCCAAATTTAAAGTTCTCCTTTTGTTGGCTTCCAAAGAAGAAGAAACGTCATTTACAATTAGGGATGTGTTTTCCCCTCTTATTTTTACAAGGAACTGGAGTTTGGCTCCTCTGTTTATCTCTTCCCCTAATTTTTCTTACAAAAATTGGAGTTGATATCCTCCTTTCACTTTTTTCAATCAAACATACCATAACCCCAAAATTATATTCCACGACAAGTTATCCTCCCAGCATTCTGATCCTACAAAGTGAGTACATACAGCAGCAGCATCTTATAAGTACATTGCAACATCTCCATTGACTTGAATTAATAATGTTGTGAATATTTTATACCGTATCAAAATGTACTCCTGAGTCCCTGCTCTCTACCGAGCTCCTCCGATCACATTTGACTCCCCAGGAAGAACCAAAGGTTGCATTTTGTGCTGTTAAAGTATTAATAACACTGGTTGAAGCAAAAGAAGAAACTTTTCGGCTTGTTTCCCATCTTTTCTTTAGGGGTTTCCCCAGTCTCATCATGCACTGCCATCAATGAGCTTGTACCTGGAGATTCTGGTGGCAAGATGGTGTTCTCAGAAGTGAAAATCCGACGTGGAATAGCTGGTTGAGGAGGAGCAATAGTAGCAAGATAATTAAGGAGCATATGGACTATTTGGCTAAAATTAGGCCGAGCATTTGGGTCCTCCTTCCAGCATGAAGTTAGGATGGTAGCCAATTCCTCTGGTACATTTTCAGCATTAGGCCTTACATTCTGCAACAGCATAATTCCTTCTCTTTTAAGTTACCGTTTATAGTTTAATAGCATAATCATGACTTGGACAAACAAATAACTAAATCAAGAATGGAGTGGATATATTTACCTTAAAGGCTGCTGCATATGCTGCCTGGAGATTTGACATGCCTTCAAATGGCAACCTGTTATGTAAGAGCTCCCATAACACAATCGCAAAGCTGTAAGCATCCACTTTATGGTTATAATGCTTCTTATCTCCCTGCCTTAGTGTAACAGTGCTGTATAACTGCCATCAAATATTGAAACAAGCAACACATAAGAAGTGACCATCAAGAAGGAGGAAGAGTGAAGGAGAAAGATCAATTTTTTCTTTTAAGACAAAATATTCCCTCCATTAATGATGTACCTCAGGAGCCATCCAACGGTATGTTCCTGTTTCAGCTGTCATCATCTCTGTCAATGACTCTTCTCTTGCTAGGCCAAAATCTGCTAATTTGACAGTTTTGTGATCTGCAGTCAAGAGCAAGTTCTCTGCAGAACAAATAAAGTTCATTTTAATGCCTAATAAACTTTATGCCGGTTCTAACCAATTCAAGATTCTTGACCTCTTCTCCATGAAAAGAAATGAATCATGTTAGTTAAATGACAAACTCACAATCTCAGAGGACAACTGCTGTCAACTCAATGGCCATAAATTAAACGACAAGAAGAAGGTTGAATATGTAGCAAATATAAAAAAGAAGAAAAGAAAGAAAACCAGTAACTTCGTTTCTAATAGTAGTTAATTACAGAGTGACTGATCCCAATATTTGAAGAAATAATGTGGCATTTAGAAGTCACATGAATCTAAGGGAGTTCTTATAACCTGTTGTAATTGTTTGTCACTGCTATGATCATCAAAACCAATTGAACTTAAATCAATAAACAAGATTAGGTATAGTCAGTATCCATTGTTGTTTTCATGAGGTACCATAGTGACAGAGTGTAGGCCTACTTTGCTTGTTGACCTACAGAAACCTATTCCTCTCAGAAGGTAATTGCATGGCTCCCGCACAACACATGATATGTTTTAGACAAATATAAATGGAACATCAGCTGAGAAACCATCCAATGACATTTCATGATATTTTGAGCAGCTAATAAGAAGCAATAATTTAAAGCACCGACATGTAGCACATACTTTAACTAAACAACAGTTCTTGAAGATAGAAGAATCCATGAAAATTTTTACAACCACGAGTCTAATTCAATTATGGGTTTCTTGAGGTCCAAATTGAATAACAGTAGCCCTGCTGTATTCTTGGGCGGATAGACTGATTTAGTAATGTGCAAATAGTAAGAGGTTGGACTGTTCAAAATCCAACCAGCAAAACCTGCTAGTCTAATTTATTAGCCATTTTATTAATTTAAAATAGATATTTATTAGTTATTGTAGGTAGGACTGTTCAAAATCCAAACTGGGTTCCCGATTTGGATTTTGAACAGTCCTAGATGTACATGTACAAAATGTAGTTCTTAAGATCATCTCTATGAGATGAAATTTGACTGCCATATAGTAGGGTATATTTCTAACTTCATACCATTTCTCCATCATATGTGAGAACCGAAATGAAAAGATTACCTGGTTTCAGATCACGATGTATGATCCCATGAGAGTGCAAGCACTCAATAGAGCGAGCAATGTCAAGTGCAAAACCAATGGCAAGGCGCGTCTCTAAGCACCTTGGTCGCAAGTTCAACAAGTATTTCCGCAATGTCCCTCCCAGTAAAAGCTCTGTAACTATGACCATTACAGGTTCCTTGCAGGCACCAATAAACTGTCAACGTAAAAGTTTCAACATTTAGTGTTACCACACAATGATTTATTACGTATTGTTAGAAGTTGGATCTTCTGCCACTATGAAGCATATAACTCTCACGAAAGTCTGAAAATCAAATCCAACCTTCACTAAATTCTTGTGTTGAACCCTTGATAACATTGCAACTTCTCTTGCAAATCGTAGTTCTCGCTTTGTGATCTCCTCTGGAGTTTCTCCTCTATGAACAATTTTAATGGCAACAGTCTGGTTTTTATATCTGAAGGGAATCCAACCAAGTTCATTAGTTAAAAGCAACATATAAAAAAATTGAAAAAACTTGGAATATAGGAGTGATTGCTCTATCTGGGTTGCCAAAATGCAATCCAGTGAAAAGTTTATCATTGATCAAGATTGGAGCTTTACAAACAAAACAGAGAATAATAAAAGAACACTAAAAAACAGAAGATACTAACTAGTTGAAGTGCTAGCGCATCAGAAAGTCACTGCAATGAAATCAAGATTTAGAATTTGGATTCCAATTAAATCATAATTTTAGAAAGAGTTGCAAACTTACTTTCCCTCATATACTATGGCATGAGCTCCCTCTCCAATCCTTGGCCCAACAAAAAGATGCTTTGGATCGACAAGCCATTTAGCTTCCAATTTGAACTCGTCAGTTGAGTAAAATCTACTCCCAGATTCCATGTTTCTTAAAAAGGAAAGAATTCAACATCTATGTCTCCGAAGAAACTCTACTTCTCTTGTACTTCACCAATCATTTTATATTAAAATCACATACAATACCTTAAAGAAGAGAAACATTGAAAACCCGTGCACACATGTTAAACGGATAAGCTGACAATGGAACAGAGATTTGTTTGCTCTGTGATTTGTTCTGCTAATAACCACATCTCAAGAGTCAGGCCCAGATATCAAAAATCACAGATTTATGGTTTGCATGCCCTTCAAGGCAAAAAATAAAGTAACCCCACATGTGAAATGGAGAGAAATGAAGATAGGAAGAGACAGAAAGAAACCAGAGACAAAACGAAGCTCAAAGCCCAAAGTGGTTTCTTTTCAAATTCATGGGGAGAAGAGAAGCATCTCCCCGTAAAGGGGAAAATAGTAAGAGAACCAATCAACAGAACTTCAACTGAAGAACAATTTTTTAATTCTTTTCCATAAAAATTCTATACCCCACTAGAGAAGTTACTTAAATGGAGAGATGGGTTTTTAACATTTTTAATCTCTGTGGTGCAGAGCCTCACCTTTGATCTACAGACAAAATCATGGAAGAGGTTGAGTCTGTGCTCAATAAAGTACAGACTACATACTGGAGCGAGAGAGAGAGATGATCGAGGAGATATTTTTTGAATTATTATAATAAAGTCTTGTGGGAGCCATTAACTATGCAACAGCACATGGAAGTGGAATAGAATAGAAATTAAATTTTATTCTTTCTCCAATTTTTGCCAATGCCTCTTTTCCTTCTGCTGCTTTATAGTAAACTGTAATTTATCCATCGACGTTTCTTTTACAAAGATTTGTGCATCTTAAGGGAACTAAAGGCTTTTTAATACATAATGTGGAGAACTTGAGATAGGGAGGCACTGGATTAAGTTAAACAAGTATAATTTGCCTACAGGATATAACTCCAATCCAAAAAAGGACCACAAACAGACCAAAAAAACGTACTCAATCAAAGCCCCACAGCTGACTTGCGTGCCAAAATGGCTTGCACAATTATAGGAGACCTAATTGTAGAAGCGCCAGTAAGGAGAGAACCACAAATTACATAATATCGATATAGTCTCACAATACAGCTAGTGAAAAATCCAAAGGTCGACTGATAATGAACACAAGTTATATATTTATATAGGAAATTTTATTCCAAATTTTATGTTTACTGCTAAAAAGTCTAATTACATATAATTACCACAAGCAGTTTCTGAAGCATAAAGAAAAGCAAACACATCCATTCAAATCCTGATATAATTATAACAAAAAGTCTATTTAAGCAGGGAGTAGGCGCATCAGATTAATCCTTTTCTCCTGTGAGGAGATCCATCACCACACGCTTGATACTCCCATTGTTCTTCTTCAGCAGCTTCCTGTTCATTTCCTTGTTGCAGAAACCCTGCAGCCACAATAAAGCAACAACAAACGGTAAGTCTCTGCTCCTGCAAAAGCTTAATATAATTTAACTAAGAAACAGAGGTAAAAGAAAGACGACTCTGGACATCTAAAAATGAGATTGCAATTTAGTCGATAGAAAAATTTACCATCTCCTGCAACTCTTCAAGAATTGGATCCCACTCAGAAACACCGCAGAGGGCATCAACCGACTGCTCTAAGTCGTATTCGTTCATCCTCAAGATCTCCTTGTTCAAATCAACCTGCTTGAAGCCCATATCCTCAAGTTCCTTGAGAAGAGACTTCTCAATTGCCTCCTTCACATTGACATCGTCAGATAAAGGTCGGACATCCACAGCAAGAGGAGCTTCTGATGGCCCAACCAGGGCTGTTTCAGATAAGTCAATAATCGGATATGACACAGAAGAGGAGACATGAGGAGGTGCAGGAGTTGCAACAGCTTCACCAACTAACAAGGCATCATTTGTGGGGAAATTCAACTCCTGGTCATTCTTAGGCTGTTCAACATCAACTGTCGGCTTTATTGGCACTGAAACTGTGGTAAAATTGCAAGGCTCTGCAAAACCACTATCGACAACAGGCTGAACATTCACATCTATAATCTCAGGGTGTTTAGAGCCACTGCAATTAGGGGGCAAATTCAAGTTCAACCCCTGAACTCCATCACAAACCAGATCTTTCATGGAAGCATCAACCTGCAATAACAAAAATTTGTGGTCATATTAAACACACACGCAGAGACACAGCCAAACCTAAAAAACCACTAGGGGTATACAGAAGTTGAAAATACCTGGATAAGAACCCAGACACGCTGTCCAAACTTTATGCCAGATGGGTTTGCCATCCTCCAGTATGAAATATATCGGCCAGGTAATCCAGGTGAAACAAAATCAACTGCAATGTCAAGTTCCCCATCGACAGGGATACCTTCCACAGGGATCTAGGAAGGAATCATGAAACGGCTAAATGAAGACACAAGTCCAACAAATACAGAAAAGGAAAGAAATATAAGGAAAAAATTGGCAACATCATGAAAAATAGACGTACCTGTAAGTCGACAGAATCTGATTGACTGAATCTGTCTCCCCCAATCCACACGAGCCTTGATCCCTGAGGCCAAACAATGCTGCCACTGTTGCGCATCCGCCAAATCTTGGTAAAGGGAGTGCATGGAGCCATCATAGTACCATCCAAAACATTCACATCCAAAATAAAGCGACTGTCCAGCTTAGATCGAGCTGACTTCATTCCACAATGTCGTGGGATAGGTGATATTGATGGGGGAAAAACCCAGTGATTCTGTGATTTTAGGAGAAAAAAGGGGGGAGGAGGGGAAAATACCATGGGTGAGTAAAGATTTAAGTAATTGATTATAGTAACCAAGCACATATATGTCAATAAAGTGTAGAAGTCTATATACAGGATCATGCAACCCCTTGAATGACCGGGGATGTCTGTAAGACACTGGTCTTTCCATCTTGATGTAATCAGCTTCATTACCCATTTGAGCAAAGCATATGCTGCAGAGATCATAATCCTCTCTTCTGCACAAACAAAAAGGAAAAAAAAAAAAAGGGATTATGTCAACATTTGACAACGTAAATGCGAGGAACCAATCACAACAAATCTTGAAGACACGTTCCTTACACTTTAGACTTGTACCGAGGTCCTGTAATTGGATGAACCCCACAACCATCACACTGAACACCTCTATGGAAAACCATGACATCATTTCGTCCACTGCTCCTCCTAAGTGAATTAATTCGAGATAGTATAGTAGGAGGCACTGATGAGTCATTTGCCACAGGCATCCCACTAAATGGACACTCATTACCAAAAGGCCATGCTGAATCATTAGCACTAGGGAATGCGGGTAATTCTTTCATGGATTCTTCAGCCACTTGAACAGCATTGTGTTTCTTAGTTTCTTTCCTGTCATCACCATTGGGAGTTCGTAAAATATTGTTTACGTGTCCAAAGGGAAAGAGACTGGAATCACAAGGAGGATCCAGATTCAGATCAACAGGAGAAGGGACAGGTGGTTTGACAGGCACACCCACACCTCTAGTCACATTTTCAATCCTCACTTTCTGACCAGTCTCATCATTGGCAGCATTTGGTACAGTAGTCACTGCTGAAGCCACGAGGTTTCTCGTAGAACCTGTTTGAGTGCTTGAACTTTCAGCAACACAAAACTGTTGAGCTGGAATCAACAAGGACTGGGACATTTTTGATAAACAGTCAACAAGCTCGACAACTGCAGGATTGGAACAGCCAAGCTTTGAGGCCAAATCAAGGGACACTTTTGAGACAGCCTCTCGCAGTGGCTCTGGCACAGACTTCAGCAAATCAGCCACACCAGCATTGATGCTTGACATTGGACTATGGACTCGAGGAGATCTCATTGGGGTAGAACTACCACTGGATTTAGAATAAGATTTACCAGATTTATCATTTCTGAGCTGTACATCAACCCTCAAAAATTTCAGGCGTTGCTTCATCACATCAAGCAGGTCATCATCCTCAACAAGTGTCACTAAGTCCCCATCTTCGTCAACATAAGTAAGAACAAGATCAGCATCCAGAGGGAAATTAAAGAGACCAAGAATCTTCGCCCTTAGTCCATCCAGGCTGATATCAAGCTGTCCACTCTCATTAACAGGAGCATTGAAACGCCTAAGTGTATCACCATACTTAACCTGAAGGGAAAAAATCAAAGGACTTGAATAATTTACATTAGAGTATACAAGTGGGATTCTAATTGATAATATCATATCATCCACCAAAACAACTGGAAAAATATAAAGAGCATTTAGAACTAAGCAGTGAACAAACATGTAAGGAGACAAATAAATTGAAGGAAAATCCGAAATAAGTAATCATATTACAAAAGGAAAAACTACATAAAAATCTAAAAACGGACTGATTTTCCAGAATAAGCGAATGATCATTGCCCGTCCATATAACACGTAGCTTAAAAGACCATGGACTGGTTTTGAAATAGGCAAGTCATTTTATTAAGCACCCTGTTGCTGAAGTGCTGGAAATAATAAAACCCAGGAAAAAGAAAAAATTTTTGTAGAGCTACTAAACAGAAACTAGTCCAGATTGCTAGTGCAAAAAATGGAAAACAACACAACCACTTAAGCCTACGAATTGAATCTTTCTAGTAAATATTTTCCTTATATCCTACGACTTGTGTCTTATGTCCTCTATCATCAGGAAATGATACAACAAAAAAGAAAAGCCTTTAAGATTCCATTCGACAAAGCGTAATTAGCAACGAATTCAGGAGGGTTTGAACACCACCACCACCCCCCCACCCCCCCCGGCCCCCCCAAACAAAAAGTACCAGTATTCCGTGTAACAAAAAAGCAAAGCCACAATGAAATTTAGCACTCAAAAACCATAAATCCATCAAACCCATTACGGCCAAACTAACAAAACAAACGAGCTAGAAACAACAACAAAGTTAAACAACGCCAACGATCCCAAATCTACAGAAGACCCAATATTAAACTCCAACTCTATTTTCCCTCCCCCCCCCCAAAAAAAAAAGTACAGTATTCCGTGTAACAAAAACAAACGCCACAATGAAATTAGCACTCAAAACCATAAAATCCATCAAAACCCTTACGCCAACTAAACAAACAAACGAGCTAGAAACAAAAACAAAGTTAAACAAGCCAACGATCCCAAATTACAGAAGACCCAAAATATTAAACTCCAACTCTATTTCCCTCCCATCATAAAGCGTAAAAAAGCCATAATCAACCAAAAGGAAAAGGAGAAGAAGACAGACCTTGATCACCAAAGTAGACTCCATAGCTTCAACAAAAAACGCGTTCCAGTGAGCCGCGCAAAATCCAACTGAGAAAACCCTAACCCTAACTAGTCTAATAATAGTTCAAATCGCGAACGATAGAATCGTAAGAGTCTGATTTTGGGAGAGTCGCACTTCAAGCGTACCTGTAAGCCGCTTTTGGCGTTAAAAAACGAGTTATGAAACTTCGCTAAGGCGAGTTGAGTGGATATATCAGTATTTATATTTTACGAATTGGCTTGCTGGGGAAGAAAAATACTATTCTTTTTCTTTTATATATTTATTATTTTTTTCATTCCATTTTATTCATACGATTTCACAAAATATATATATTAAACAATTAATAAATAAAAATTATCTTATTTTTTTATTCTTAATATTAATAAATGTCTTTCATGGAAAAAATAATTTAATTAAATATATAAATTTAAAAATTTTATAATTATTTTAAGATTAAAAAAAATAATAAACATACAAAATGAAAAGGAGCCTGTATTCTTTCTTTTTTTTTTTTTCTTATTAAGAAAGCTTCTGTTGTTTTCTTATCGAGAAAGCTAACGGATTTGATTAAGGAATCGATTAGATGGACGTGGTTAGGAGTTGCGGTATCTATCGGACACGTCATCGGCTTATTAAGTACATAAATAAGTTATGAGTATTGCAAAATAGCCCGCGGATTGAAGCCCATGGTTCTGATCTTTAAAAAGCCCATCATCTTAACTTTTTTATTCGGTTTTATCACAAATTTAAGATTCAATAATCAACGCAGCTAAAATACCGCTTAATAATAAAATATACCCTGAATTTATCTACTAATTACAATTGCACTCTTCATAGTAGAGACCAGCTATGGCAAGTGTCAGTGTAAAATCGTAGTATTTGACCCCTTTAGTTTGTTTATGTTTGGGCAAGGAGTTGTTAACAGAGAAATAACTATTGAAATTTGAGTAACTGCATGATATAAAGTATAATATAGCCAAATTAGATATAATTACTTCTCAATTATTATGCAGAAATTAATTATTTTTTAATTATTGTGTAAAAAAATAATAGGATAAAAGTAAATGAAGGAGGGTAATAATTAAAGAATTGAATAATGTTATAATTATCAATTTTACTCTAAAATTTTCAAATAATACAATTTATATCTTAAATTTATCAATCTAACTGCAATTACATCATAATTTATCAATTTGTTGTGATGGCACCCGAAAAAAAGTTACATAGTTTTATAACATATTTTCTTATCAATTGTGATTTTATTAGTTTTTTTTAAGAGATTTTCAATTCAAAATAATCATTTTGATTATAAAAAATCTCATCAATTTAGCAAATTAAGAAAAAAGTTCAACATAATATATAGTCCCAATGATTTTTCTTTATCAAGCCTGCTAATGAATAAAAAAAATAATACCCATCTCTCGTTAAAAGAAATTGAAAGCTATAAAAATTTAATGAGGCAGAAAATTTTAAATATATATGAAAAAGTATATTTGTAAATTATGTAATCATTGAGGAAAAAAAACAACAGTATGTCTTTTCATCTACAAAAAAGATATAATACCGAAAGGAAAAAGAAAACCGTATATATTTGTATAATGCCTAGATGCAAGGGCTAAAGCAGTAATTTAACTAGGTATCGTCTTTAAGCACAACCTTTAAACAAGAAAAAGACAACATCGGTGGAGATCTTCTTGCCCTGTTGAACTAGCACGCGTCGTCGCTTGCCGGAGAAGGCTAGCAGCACTAGGACTGTGATCCATGCTAACACGGTGGCACGGGCTGCGACGACAACCAAAGTTGACATCAACAGCATCCCAACAACCCAGAGAGTCGATGCAGAGAAAGATGGCCAGTTAGTGGCGCTGCTAGTAGAAGGCATAAAAACCCAGAAAGTAAACAAGACAGTAAAGAAGAACAACAACGTTGTTCTGGAAGTTGATGATGATCCAGACAGGTTTATCATGTCTTGGAATTGATCATGTGATATCAGGAAGAAACACAGGAAGGAGGAGAGAAGAAGAAGGAGCTTTCCTTAATTAAAGTGGGGGTGCTTTAATTAATTAATTTGATTGATTAGTCATTTGGTGGAGATGTTAGGATTGGAGAGCATGTGCATGCACATGGAGAGTGGGTCCGTTACTCTGTAATTAAAATTTTTTTTTTGAAAGTCGGGTTAAGTGTCTAATTAAGCAGTAACTAGGTGTCTAATTATTGAACCCCATTTATTAAAAGGGCAGAATAGTCAATGAATCCCAAAATCGTTGCTGTTCTTATGAACATTGAACAATGATTTAGCATAAATATAATGTTACTTGTGTTTCCTACTTGTCTTTCATATTTTATTTGTTTTAATTGAAAGAATCAATAAATAATTGCAATTCTCTTACATATAAAAAAGAGAATGCATTTAGCATACATTGTAAAGAGATAAATTCCACAATAATCTTCTATGACACATCAAGCTGAGGCCATTTCTTCTGGAATAATACTTGAAGCAGATACTCTGTCCTTGGCTTTACTGGCCTGATGACATCAAATTAAAGAATATAAGAAGCATATAATAACTACATTTAAATACAAAGGTGCAAGATTTTATTAATTCTTACTTGCTTCTCCCAATTTGTCCGCAGGGTAATAAGTAAAAGAAAAGCGGCTTGTAGAGCACTTCCAGCCGTAATTCCCATCCAAAGTCCCTGTAAAATTGGGAAACAGAATCAGAGAATATCTGATAGGAACATAATAGAATTTTGAATAATTAGTATCTTTACCTTTCCTCCAAAATGGAACACAAAAGTCAGAACGACAGCTGAAGGAAGGCCAACAAAGTAGTAAGCACCTAGAGTTATCAATGCACCAATCTTTTGCCATCCACACCCTCTTGCACAACCTGTACAACAAATTGAAACCAACTATGTATTTAACAATTAAAATAGCAAACCAAGAACAAAATGATGAAATTAAGCTAAAAGAACCTGAGAGTACGCCTTGGATTCCTTCCATGAAGTTGAAAATGGCAAGCACTGGCATTACTGATGCAATATATTTCACTACTTCCTTTTCATTTGTGTACAAATAGCCCCATACATGTCGAGCTGCAACTTCAATTGAGCTTGCCGACAGACCTTCTACAACAGCTAAGAATAGTGCAATATATACTGCAAGACGCGCAGCATATGGTTTACCTGCACCTAGTTCATTTGAAACTCTAGTGCTTTAATTGAGCAAAAGAGCAAAAAGTGGATCACAATCAAATACATGTCCTGCAGATGTTAACTGGGAAAAGTTTTCAGCTTTAATTTATGTTTAAACTGTGCTTACCTAACTGCGCTAGCCAAACCAAATGGGATTCTAAAGATCACCGCCATTGTATTAAGGCTGTCAAAAATGATTAGAATTAGGGTTGTCAGGACATTATTCTAATTATATTTTTAGTTCAGTACTACAGAAGTTGTCTCGAGCGAACCTGATTGTCATCATTGATGTTTCCAGCTTTGGATTTTGAAGAAGGCCTGACATGAGAACCAAAAACTCATATGACCAGTACTCCAAGCTGATTGATATTAGAGAGAAATAAGGTTAAGCTCGCTTTAATGTAACTTAAAAACAAATCATTAATGATTCTGCTATATGGAAGAGGAAACAGACTCACCAATACATGAGAGCTGAAGGCACAGCTAACTTTACAAAGGTAAAGAGATTTTTCGTGCCCTCCTTAGAGAAACCTTTCCAGGTCTTTCGGCAAGAAATAGAGAATTTTATATAACAAGCCAAAATAAACACATTAGTCCAGTAGGATATTGTATTGGACAAGGCTGCACCTCGATTGCCTAATTGGAATCTAAAGATTAGGTTCCAGCACAAAAGGACATGGAAAACACTAGTAATTCCTGTACTTATCATCAAAGGCAATGTGCTATTTTGTGTTTGTAAAAATCTAACTTGGCATTGAAGGAGACCGTAAGGGAAAATGCTTGGTATTAACCACCTAGCATATTCTCCTGCTTGAAATGAAATTTGTGGGTCTTGCTTAAGGCTTACTAAAATCTTGTCTGTAAAAGCCCACAGGAATGATATTGGTATGCTCATGAGCATAAAGACAAGCATTGCTCTTTGCATGTGTACACCAAGCATATGATACTGTTCTGCTCCGTAAGCTTGTCCGCAAAATGTTTCCAATGCACCTCCCATTCCTAACTGCTCAAGCATGTAACGTCTCAGTCAAAATTTTAAACACAAAATAGTGTTGCCGAGTATAATAATCTCATACGTAAGTTGGAGGCGAAAAAACAACCTACCATCAAACTAAAACCGCTAACCCCAGCAAATGCAGCAGCCATTGAAGCGCTTGCAAGAGGGAGCTCTCCAAGATGGCCAACGAACATGACTGATATCATTTGCATGCTAAACTGTAAGAAACTAACAATAATTAAAGGCCCAGCTAGCTGCATTTGCTTCTTTATCTCTGCGATTATCCCAGCTTTGCCATTTGTTTTCTGGGTTAAACTTAAATTAGTACCGGTTTCAAGACCAGTTTCTGATATTGAAATTTGAGTGGATTCAAGAGTAGTACTAGGCTTAGATTCTTGAGTATCCATAATATCTAATTTGGTGTCCATTGACTTGGGAAGTAGAGAGAATAGTATAAGACACAATTGAAAGAAATGTTTGATTTGCCAATATAAGAATTGATTATAACGTCTAGGAGTCAACTACATATCTTCCTTTTCGGTTGAGTTTAGGTTCATGAACAAAACATGTGATGTCAGTTACAAAAGGTGATGCATTTGGGGAAGAAAGTGCAAATTGCTTTCTTATGAAGAAATCTGCATGTAAAGCGTTTAACTATATATGAAAAAAGAATTCCTAAAACTATGTTGTTCGTTTCACTTTTTGATTTGAGAAATGGACTTTTCCATTTTGTATTTGATCAAATATACTATGGATGGTAACATTTTAATATCACAAAGTATCATACTTAATAAATTCATTGATTCATATAAAATAAAAGAAAAATAAAAAAAGGGCAAACTAATTAAGAGAGTTTCATCATATAAAATAAAATAAAATAAAAATCATAACTTCATATATGCTTTGTTTTCTGTTCTTCTCATTCCCAAGGAATGGACCTCAGCGTGACATATGCTTAGTAACTGTATAGTGCATAGCGCTTAAAAGTTCATAAAAAACGGGAAAAAATGTTTAGGTTTGCAACAATATAATCTAGAAAAAAAAAAGAAAAAAGAACAAATTTTGGAAAAAAAATAAATAAATATATGCTTAGAAAATTTTGCATTGTGTCAATACGTTCAATTACTTTGAATTCAAACTCATTTATTGGGCCATTTAGGTAGTTACACTAAAAAACAGCCTATTAATTGTTTTACAAGACAAACCGAGGGCCCTCATTTGGAGTCACTTCATATTTATGAACCACTGTCATTTATAACAGGCCATTGCATCAAATTAACCATGCAAGCGGTGATGGCTAGTTCTTGGGTCATGATTCCCCAAGAAACGTTTAGAAGGGATTGCAGACCATTACATCAAATTAGAAAAATGCGTTTTCAGGATTCACTGAATTAGCTTTCAAAACGTCTTGAGCTCTTGCTCACTCACTAAACTAGTTGTTGTGTCGTGTCTGTTGGGATATTGAAACCATATACCCTGTCCCTAGCCTTCTTTGCCTGAGAAATTGTAAACGCATGAAAATTAGGTAAAAAATAGGACTTGTGAATTGTAGTTAACTTATAGATGTGTTTAAAGGGTAAGATTTTCATGTACTTCCTGCTCCCAATTCGTGTGCATCGTAATGGCTAATAGCAAAATTGCTTGCAAGAAACTTCCACATGTTATTCCCATCCAAAGTCCCTACAAAAATTTAGAAATCAAGAGTAATTCAGTAATAGTCGAGTGCCTGTATCACTATTACTGGAGAAATCAAGTTCGAATCCTGTCAATTTTTATCCCCTTATTTTATATTTCCTCCATTACCTTTCCTCGACAATGGAAGACAAATGTTAATACTATAGCACAAGGAAGCCCTACAAAGTAATAAGCTCCAAAGTTTACATAAGCACCAATCTTTTGCCAACCACAACCTCTAGCAGTACCTGCAGTCAAATTTAAATAGATATAAATAAATATTAATTAGTTCTGAAACAAAAATGCAAGTAAGAGTTGAACCTGAAGCTACAGCCTGCATCCCATCCATGAAATTGGATGTGGCAAGCACTGGCATTGCAGATGCTAAATATGTCACTACTTGTGTTTCATTGGTGTACAAGTACCCCCAAACGTTTCTCGCCGTAACTAAAATTAAACTGAGTGACAATCCCTCCGTCACTGCCAATAGTATCACAACTTTTACTGCCAAATACGCAGCATCAGGTCTTCCAGCACCTAATTCGTTCGAAACTCTTGTGCTTTACGCACCAAAATGAGAATAACAGGAAAAGAATTCATTAATTATAATTAATATTGCTAATCAGGCAACGTTACTAGATATATACATGGGTTTGTGTAGTTACCTGACAGCACTGCTAAAACCATATGGGATTCTGAATATTAAAGAACTTGTTGTCAGGCTGCAGAATTGTGACTTGATTAGAAAATTGGAAATGGAATTGAATTTCTTCTCAAAAATTCAAATCCTATCTAAATATTCAATTTAGATGTCACTAACCTAATGGACATCACTGACAATTCTAGTTTTGGATTGGGAAGCAGACCTGACATAAAAACTAAAAACTCATATGACCAGAATTCCAAGCTGTTATATTTTACAGAAAAAATTAACTGTTAGATTATACAGAAATAAAAATAATGCAAAAACATGACAGTAGGAAAAAAATTTTAAAAGAATATATGAAGTTAAACTTACCAAACCATTAGAGCTGAAGGTATTCCTAACTTAAGAAAACTAAGCAGATTTTTAGCTCCTTCTGAACAAAAACCTGTCCAAGTCTTTTGACATGTAGGAGAAAGCTTGATGTACATTGCAAGAATAAGCACATTGATCCAATAAGAGACAGCAACAGACAAAGCAGCCCCTATATTGCCTAATTGCAATCGAAAGATGAATGTCCAAGATAGAAAAACATGGACTAAACTTGTGACGCCAGTACTTAACACTAATGGCAAAATATTGCTCTGGGTTTGTAGGAATCTTAGTTGGCACTGAAGAAGACCATATGGAACGATTGCAGGAATTAAACATCGTGCATATATTCCTGACTGGAGTGAAATTTGTGGGTCTTGTTTTAGAATTTTGAAAATCTTATCTGTATTGGCCAAAACAAATGATATAGGAATGCTCGTAAGTGAAAGAACTAGCATTGCTCTTTGCATGTGTACGCCAAGCATATGATACTGTTTCGCACCGTAGGCTTGCCCGCACAACGTCTCTAGTGCACTTCCCATTCCGAGCTAGTCATGTACAACAGAATCCAAAGATTTTTCATATAAATCAGTAATCATAGAAAGTTAATAAACTTGTCTAATATTACCTTGTATTTTTAATTTTTATTAGTTGCTGCTGTAAAGCATCAGCTTCATTAATAAGATCACCATAGCAGTTAATGTAATAGCTTAATTAATAAGGCAACCGACCACGTTTAATTGAGATGCTGACATTTTTCTTTATAATGTAGAAGAAGGAAGGGTATGGGTTATTTACAGTTACTTCCAGACATATTAAATGGTTTTTTTTATTATTTATTATTATTGAAAGAAATATGTAAAATAATACTGTATGCTTAATATAATAATGAGTGAAAATCTTTGACTTTGATATATATTGATTGAAATTGGATTCTCCTCCTCTCTACTGTACAAACCGAAAACTTGAATTGATAGAATGATGTTACATTATAAATATAAGAAAAAGAGAGAGTTATAAAATATTTATGAATATTTTTTTATGTTTAATCTAAATGTAAATGTAACGCTCTGATCGCAAGCAGATGTTGAAAAGGCCATGAGATTTGAGAATTAAACTACATATTAATGAATGAAGATATAGGAATAATACAATAGAGAGAAGCTTGAACTTGGTAAGTCTTACCATAAAACCAAAAGCAGTAACTCCAGCAAATGAAGTAGCCATTGAAGCACTTGAGAGAGAGAGCTCACCAAGACGACCCACAAACATTACAGATATCATCTGTAGACTGTATTGTAAGAAACTGACAAGTACTAGAGGTCCTGCTAAGATTATTTGCTTCTTCAGTTCTGCGATTATCTCTGGTTTGCAACAGAAATATTTGTAATTGGTAGCATTATGACTGCCATTTTCTGCGTTTGGAGTGAGAAGGGGTTCAATAGAACTTTTCATCAAGTCCTCTTGATCCATCCACTTATTTGTTTTTTAACTTGAAACCTGAGGTGTATCCATAAAGAGTATATATATTTTCAGTTTAGGAGCAAGACGTTGAATATGTAACGCTCAAAATGATTAATAAAGTAAAACAAAATAGAAATAGTGTGATTCACAACTTATTTTATATATATATAATTTTTGTATATTTAAATAGTAATTAACAATAAATTGAAAAATAAAACTCAACCTCTACCAAAAAAAAAAAAAAAAAAAAAAAACAAAAAATGATTATTTAAGTTTAAAACAAAAATCGGAAATCGTGTGATTCAACTTTTATATATTATATTTTGGTATTCTTTAAATAGTAATTAACTAATAAATTGAAAAAATAAACTCAACCTCTACCAAAAAAAAAAAAAAAAAAAAAATTTGAAAGCAATTTATAAGATAAATCCAAATAATCACTCCATTTGTTAGTTGTAAAAAAAAAAAAAAAAAAAAAAATTTGAAAAGCAAATTTATAAGATAAATCCAAATAATCATCCATTTGTTAGTTGTTTCTGCTAAAACCAAAATTTTAAGCATCACAAATGGACAAAAGTTTACTATGTCTTCAATTTACCAATTGATTAAAGAAAACGTTAAAGATTTTTGGCACAACATGTTCGAAAACCCTAATCCCGTTGTTTTCTTTTGTTTCACTGATAACGTATATGCACCGCCGTTTTAGTCAATCCCGGACTTGTTTTTCTTTCTCCTCCGGTCCTTCCTGCTTGATGGTTTCCTTTTTTTTTTTTTTCCTCTCTTTGTTGCAGCATAATCATGGCTGCTGGTGATCATACTCTTCAACTTCAAGCTTTATATGCACTTTCAATTCAGTGTCTCTACAATGAGCCTAAGTGGTATTCAATGGCAACTCCAAATATTAAATCATTGACTCTGCATTTTGCAAGTAAAATTTGTATGAAATTATTATTCATTTTTAATTCAACTGTCCATTGATTTATATTATTAACTATTTTATTATGTCCAAATAGATCTATAAGTATGATTCGATGAGTTATTAGTGATTTGATTTCATTTGTAAAATATATATATAAATCATAATGTGAGTTCAATATATATTTTTGAAATATTCAAAGAGAATAAATATATACACAATACGCATTATTTTTTTCATATACATTAGATTAGTCAAATTACTTTTTTTGATATACATCACTCTCCAAACTTTTGAAAATTGAAAATTTTCCTCTAAATTTTATACTTTTTTTTTAAAATATTTATCTCTGTTCACCAAAATTCACTGAAATTCAAATTTTCTCCTCTGAATTTTATGTATATTGAAAAAGAATCCATATTTCACCTCTTCAATTTTACTTTTTTCGTTTTCTATTATCATTTGGCGCCCCTCAGTACTGAGTTAGGTCCTCCTGTGTGGGTATTATGAAAAGGAGAAAGGGGTTTTTTCAGATTGCTGCTCGCTTTCTCGCTTCTGATATAGATGAGTATAAAGGGAAAGAAAAAGAAGAAAGAAAGCTAAGAAGAGACCCTTGCTTTCCGACTTAGAGGGGTCATCTTCCTCGAAATGAGGACATCAGTAACTCTGGAAATAGTGGTGCTTACAGCTCACAACTACTCCGAATTCCGAACCACCTTAGCTCCAATAATGTGTCGAAGCTTTTGGAATAATTATTTGTATTTAATCTCCCATCATCATATTTGTTTTGATTACCTACTGCTAATGTGTCTGTGTCTAATTGTAGATCAATAAGGCTAAACAAAGAAAAAGGACGTCTTAATTAATTCCTTATTACGCTGGAGTTGGTTTGACATTTTGTCAAAGGTGAAAATGAAAGTTTTGAACATCAATTATTTCCTAAGCTCTCTGATTAGATCATCTAAATCACTATATATAATCTTAATCATCAACTCGAGAATCAATAAGCTTTCAACTCAGGGATTAATTATCACTCCATGACAAAGTTACTTATGATAACATTCAACTTCTACTTTACCAATTACAGTTACAGTACTTTGTTAAAAGAATCGATATTCATAAACAGAATAATAATTATTTATGACACTCTCGAAGGATCGATGCCTTTCAAGTCTGATTTGTGTAACTACTGTTGTTGCTCTCAAAATTATATATATAAATTAGTAATATGAAATAATCAATCAATTATTGAATTATTAAATTATTAACTCCAGAGGTTGAGTTATAATTCTTTAGCAATCTGCAGATTTATCTAGTAATCTATATCAACTCGTAAATTACAAAGATGGTGGAATCTAACTCAACTCATGATCCACCATATCCATAATCCATTATATCTCTAAATCCACCAGGTTGGATTGGATCAGATAGCTGGGGTTAGAGCGGATCATATCAGCAACACAAGAGCCACCCTCTGTGTTAAAATAAACATATTTAATGTAGTTTTTATCAAATACATTAGACTTAGATTCCTTTTTGTTAAGTTAAAAACTTCTTTAAATATATATTAAGTTAGGTTTTCAATTGTAAAATTAATGCATGTTTCATTGAAATGGAGCAATAAATAAAGATACACACACTATGAAACGGGAAGTCAAAAAAATGCACCATATTTTTTTTTACATTTTCAGGTGTTGTCTCGCAATAAACAGATTATTCTAAAGTTCAATCATAAAAGAAGCCTACACTACAGTATCCACTGGCTCAGACAATATTGCATGGACTGAGAGAGAGAGACTTCTTACAAGTTATATCTATTCCATACAAAATAATTACATAAGATAGATAATGACTATCCAAACTCCAGTTCATTTGACGTACAACTATAAAATCCTTGACAATCAGACCAAGTTATCTAAAGGAAAAAAAAAAAAGGGTAAAAATACCTGTTTATTTGCTCTGCAAAACTGTCATTCCCAGGAATGTGAACAGAAGCAAACGGAACTTTGTCAGATTTTCATCTTTTTCTAGCTGGCATCATTGCAGCATGAAGAAACAAAACAATTGCAATAGAAGCAGAAAATCCACCTCAGCATCCTTCATGAGGTGTACATGGTATTTAGTGAAAGGAGACAAACCAAAATATCGTAGGACCAGGAATTCATAGCTGCTGATCAAGACAAGGGTCTCTGGGACTTCTTGGACTTAGTAATCCTGAAACATTTTCAGTAACATTTGTGGCGTAATTCTTCAACCAGGATGTACTCCGTGTCAACCACCCAGTCTGTGTTTGCTCTTGTACTTCAAGCATGCTCTTCCTTTCTTCCTCCACCAGTATTTCAAGCCACCTCTTGGCCATGAAAATCTTGACAGCTTCAACCCCTTCCTTCACAACTTCTGGCGGTGGAATCACAAGGGGATTTTGGTCCAAGTTCAATTTGGTCAAATTATCAAGCCGGCCAAATGTATCAGGCAGAGCATGAATCTGGTTATTGCTAAGATCAAGTTCCTTAAGGTTTGTCAAATCACCAAAAGTGTGAGGAAGCTCTATCAGGTCAGTGAAATTATTGCTCAAATTGAGGATCTCAAGATTTGTCAATTTCCCAAATGAAAGTGGAAGGCCCTGAAGCTCATTGAAGTGAGCGTCCAGGTGCTGCAGAGATCTCATTTCGCCAATAGAACTAGGAAGTGAACGAATCTTGTTCAACTGAATTGACAGCTTCCTAAGGTTCACCAACTCATACCCAATATTAGTTGGCAAGTATGTAATACGGTTGAAACTAACATCCAACTCCACCAAGGACCTGAACAATAGAAAATGTGTAGTAAATTAAACAGATGTCTGATCAGAGAATGAATCAGTATAAATTATAGTTACCTGCAATGAGAAATGGAGTCGGGTAAGGACTCTAGCTTATTGCTGGAGACATCCAGAATTTTCAAGTTAAACAGCAATCCTATAGAATCAGGCAATGCTTCCAAGAGATTTGAAGCAAGATTGAGCTCCTCAAGATTCTCTAACTCACCTATTGAATCAGGAATAACCTGTTCCACTTGCAAAGGTCACCAAATATAAGAAGATCGACAAGCCAACACCGAAAATGGTAATGCATGCATATATTGTAACAAGTAGATCAACAAATAAATATATGTTTGAATTAGACTATCACACAGGAATTTAGTAGATTCAAGCATCACTCTTTCTAAAAAACCCATCAGTGAGTAGAAATAGAAATCCATACATTTTCCTCCCAGTCAGATATGGAAATACTTTCTAACTATAATGCAGTAACACAATATGAGAACAAATATTCTATAGGAAGAAACATAGAGATCTCTTCCAAATTATAATGCTCCAAGCCACTGAAGGAAAAACCACAGATGCAACATCAATCAGTTTCAATAATTGAATTGGTGCCTGCATAATAAGATCTAAAAACTCTAGACATCAGTATAAGATTAAGCTGAGAAGAAATTAGGCACAAAACCTCCACAAACTGAGATTTCTGAACTCATGGATTTTGCAGTTCAACTGTGAGAACATGGGTCTCATTAGACATGGCCACGGCCGGTTCCGGAACCAAACCGGAAATTGACGGTTCCGGCTCTGGTTTGGAACCAAACGGTTCCGATTCCGGTTTCGGTTCCTTAACGGTTCCAAAACCAACGGTTCCGGCCGGTTTTCTGGTGAATCGAATAATTGTAAAATAAAAAAGTAGAGAACATTTTGGAACCGGCCTTGGAACGGCCAGTTCACGGTTCCCACTGGTTCCGGTTCCAGTCCCCACCGGTTCGGAACCGACGGTTCCGGTTCCAGGAACCGTAATTTGGCCACCCCTAGGTCTCATTAAATGCCTTACATGGACAATTTGACTGCAGGTTACAAATATCCAACAAAAAATGGGAGTAGTGCTTGTTATGAATAAACTTTAGTAATAAGATCAGATTTTGATTTATTATGAAATATACACAGCAAGTCCATTTTCCTAAACTTTCTGTACCAGCCAACAAACCCCCCTGCACAAAACTCTAAGATCTCAAGTATACAAATTGACTCAGCCAAGCTTCTGTTAGTTTTCTGCACTTAAATATCAATATAAATATATAATATGCACCGACAAAATGTACTCCAGTTTGAACAAAGGCAGAACAACGAACTGAGAATTAGTGTATTCTTACAAAAATTCATTTAAAACAAGACTTAAGCAGCACAGGCATGATTCATGAAGACATTTGTTTCTAAAATCTCATAACCTCACATCAATCTACAGCACCTAAAAGAATTGCAGAGCAACACTCAGATCAAGATTAGATAAATAAACTCTGCAAGTCTGCATATATACAATTTCACAAGAGCCTTTTATTCATATGCCTTAATAATTTGCACTGGTATTGGTTCCAAATACCATCATAATTACATCACATGCAAAACCAAAGCACACAATCCCAAGCTAAAAGCTTATAATGCAGCACCTAAATCAAGTGCCCAGTAATCTCCTTTTACTAAGGACTCGTAGCTTCAATCTGTTTATCTACCGACTAAGACGGTAACAATAAAGCTATACCCCTTCTATTTCAGCAAACTAAGTTATGATAACAGAATAAAAGGGGAAGAAGCTACCTCAAGTTGATTATTGGAGAGATTAAGCACTCTCAATCCCTGAATCCTTCCAAACGCCTCCGGCAAGATTCTCAATGTCCGGTTTGATAAATCGACCCTGTCCAGCACTTTTCCGGAAGCCTCTTGGAGTATTCCGACCACCTCTTCGTTCATCCGCTCCCTCACTTCCTCCTTATCATCCGCTTCCTTTTCTCCACTCTCCGCCTTCTCGTAAATCTTAACCAACCGTTCCTCCGCATCCTTGAGCAATTTCTCATACGCGTCGTGCATCTCGTCCAATTGCAATATCGTCTTGTACAAAGTCCTCTCTTTCTCCGCCGCTTTTCGAGCTTGTTCTTCCTTATCCGCCAAGTGCGCACGCCATTCAAGCCTGTCGACTTCGGCCGGCCGGGGAGAGAGTACAATTTCTTCGAGCTGTTTCGAGAGGTTGGATTCGATTTCAGCAAGTTTAACTCTGGCGGTGTCCACGGTCTCGTGGTCAGGGCGAGGGCCGAGGGTTTGGAGAACGGATCGGGTGTTGGCAACGTCGGTGATGGCGCGGGTCATAGAAGCTAGGACTTTCGGGTCAGTCAGGTGAGGTAATTGGGAAGCAATCAGAGGTTGACTAGAAGAGGGATCGGGTGGAGGTGGCTGCTCAATATCGAAGCTGGTGGTGGAGGTGGCTTTGAGTCCGAGGGAGGGAAGCCGGGCCATGACATAGGAAAGGATCGGGAAGGACTTTGGGTTCGGATCCATATTGAGAGCAAGGATAGAGTAGCTGGATAGAAATTTTTTGCAGAAGGATGGAGCTTTTTATTGAAGAAGAAGATTCGATCAGTTAGTTTGTTACTTTGGTTAAACTCTGCACTACTCTGCAGTGAAGTTTTGACGTGGACGGCGAAAACGAAGCGAGTGCAGACATCGTTACTTACGGTTACGGGCGATTTGGTCAAATTGCATTATATGATTTGTTTCTTTTTTCGGGATTAGGAATAGGTAATTACTTGCAATGTTTTCCCAATAATTGAGTGGCTACCAATAAACGATTTCAGTCGCAGTTCAGTTCGGAGGCCAAAATGTAAATTACCAATTTTATCTAGATACTACAATAAATAATGATAGACTCGTGGATAAATTGTAAGAATTCAATACATCTCTGTACTACTCCCTCTCCCTTTAGAGACATGTTATAATTAATAAAAAAAAGTCCACTCAAATGAAATTTTATCAAAAAATGGATAAATCTCACATTGTCTAGGATTGCACCTGTTCCACACCTTCACTGACCTACACGAGACTTGCCTATATGACAAGGAATTAGTGATTTCGTACAAGATTGTCATTGTTAGGTTGGGGTACATCTCATGCCATAAATATAAATGAGTCCAGACTTTAATTAATTTTTCAGCTATACAAGTAAATTTTCTTGTCAAATAGGGGTATCCTGTTTAATCGAAAAAAGAACCTCTCTTTCAAGCAATTCAAATATCTCCTTCAATCTATGTGTGAATTTCTCAGTTATGTTTCGAGTGATCCTCTGCTGGAACTTGGTGCTCTTCAACCAGTTTGTCCCCACATAAACGTCACACTTGCATGCACTATGAGCAAGGGTACATTGCTCAATCTGGTACCTAAAATTTACCTGCAAGTAGAAATGAACCAACAGAACTAACAGAGAGATCATTATGAAAAAATGGAAACAAAGAGTTCTAAAGCTTCTTCGAACATACGCGGAAGTGATCACCAAATGGGACATTATGCAGCACCATAACCTCATTTACAATCCATCCTCTATCATCTGCAATGGGAGATTTTTGCTGCGTGCAGGTGACTTCTCCTCCAAAGATTGAAACATGGCGATTGAATTTATAAGACACATGTCGTTCGAAAATGCCAGGTTTCACAGATTCCCACGTGGTAGTTGCATAATTAAGACATCCAGATTTTTCCATAATTTTATGTTCCATCTTTCCTCCATCAAATATTTCCATGAGCGAGTTTGTCTGGTATTATCATCAACACAGGTTCAGCAGCGGTACAAGAAGTTCATCAAACATCAAATTACAATTTAAAACCTACTTGTCAAATTTATGACAGGGAAAGGGCACCACTGGCGTAACACTGAAACACTTATAAAAAGGATGGCAAAGGAGAAGAAACTTGATTGCTTACACTAATAGGCAGTTCTGCTGAGTAAACTTTGGACATCTTTGCCTCTTCACCTTCAAGAAGAGATCCAGAATCTGCAAGCATGATGGGACTTTCTTCTTGCTCCTGCAGCTGCTCCTCTGCAATCTGAGCTTTCTGCTCAGGGCTCAGTGTTCTTGTTCTCCACAAGGCCATAATCGTTCTGTTAACACCAAAATGAATCACCTAAGTTTGTGAAAGAACAAGAATTTTTAGTATCAGAAGTGTTAAACAGAAGTATTTTGCATCCCTGGCACCTGCTGGCTACATTGAATGACACAAATGACTGGAAGAAGTACATAAGCCTGCCTTCTTCGTCCTGAGCCTTTGCCCCATGCTTTGCATCAAGACCTCTACCCTTTCGCAGAACTATCACCAGTGAAGGGCTACCCACAGAAGATAGTGATGGGGGAAGCACCCGGATGTCTTCAATATCTTCCCAAAGAAAGAAAAATTTTGTCTTATGTCCAAAAAAATTGGCATAGAACCCCACAATTCTTGGAGACAAAAAAAGCCTGCCCTGCATTTAAAATACATCTCAACATCAAACCAAATGAGTCTTCAAAGTAAACTAAGAGAAGTTATCCCAGCAGGTATGATCAATTTGCATTCCGCATAAGATTCAATGTATCCAGAGTGACAGTAAGACTTATCATTCTTTCCATACCAATACTTAAACAGGGTTGTTCCTAAAATCATAAGGAATAAGAACATTTTATGATTCTAACAGAAGAGTTGTTTCTATATCTGAAGATCAGTGATTTCTTTATAGGCTGCCAATAATGTCATTTATGTTAAACATGATGCACCAACTCAATTAACATAGTTATCCTGGCAATCAGTTCTTTACAAGAAGCATACATGTTGATATGGAGCTATCACCTGCAAAGGCATTTTTCTTTTCAAATGGCAGGTAAAGTCACTGATAAGAAATTCTTCTGGTGGCAACCCAAACAGTTTCTGGAATGTTGAATTACTGTGAGGTGACCGCAGATCCAACTGCCACAATACCCAAATCAAACGTATTACATCATCAAAATTCAAAAGGGAAAAATATATGCATAGCATTCATAGTTGAAATCTTAACATTCGCCATGCACAATGTAGGGAGGAAAAGAGAGGGAAAAAATTAAATATTAAAAACAATAGCCAGCTACTTTAGGTAAGAAGTTGATGAACTATGAATGGTTAATAAGCCAGCTCCTATTATAGATTATATAAAAAAAAAAAAAAAAAATTTTACGCCAGCTCTTTAGGATAGAAAGCTTGATTGAACTGATGACATGGTTAATAAGGCCACTCCTGATTACTTAGTTTAAAAAAAAAAAAAAAAAAATTCACCTTCTTCCCAACTTCCTTTTCCATCTTTGTTAAATATTCCTTAATTGTTTGAACACCATTGTTATTATCTAAAAAGATCCTCAGGTGCAACTTTGACTGAAAAGACTGAGCAAGCTTTCCCTCAAGGGAGATCCACATGTCTGCCAGTTCAGTAGATGAGTGCTTCAAAAAATTGATCTCAGCATGCCCAAGTGAGGTGGCCTGGTCAAATGGGCCATCAAAATCAAAAACTTCCACATCTAGTACTGAAGGTGGTTCTTCCATAGCATCAAACTCAAGTATGTCTGCGTATATCTTCAAGATAGTTTAGCAGGCAAAATTGCATAAATATGAAGCAAAAGACCCCACAAAATAAAGGCTTTACCGTTCCATTGGGGATTGCTTGTTTGGAGCTTAACAGAGCTTGTTCTTGTTTTACCATTACAAGTGAAAGCCACATAAGGATCTGAAAACCCCGTTGAATCCAAGGATGCTAAATTGGTACCTTCAATTAATGCCACAGTAAGAACCCATCCACTACCTTGGGCTCTAATGCCATGATCACTACCTGTCGGGAAAGATATTCAAGTGAATACTGGATTGGAGTTCCAGGTTCTCTTTGGAATTGGAACTTACTAATAAGATGCAAGTTAACTAGAATAAGGTGTTTACCTCTTTGCAACCTAGCTTGTATGAAGTGTGAAACCATGTAATAAACACCCTCTACTTGAATAACTAAAATTGCAGAGGTAATAAGCTGTCCGAAACTATCTGGCAAAGCAAGTCCGTTAAATTCCAAACCTTGGGCTTCTCTTGGTTCACATAACAGAATATGCAGAATAACATAGGACACCATAAAAATGGTGGAAAGAACAGTGAAATTCCAAAAGTAATAAGATGCCAATTCCCAGTCTGATTCATGCTCTGCTTCCAAGGTTGTCAGCACATGGTTCTTTTCTGATGAATCTGTGGAATCTAGCAGCTTAACATTTTTAGCCAACAAGTTGGCAAACTGATCAAAACTCTCCTTCAGTCCCTGCCTTACTCCTCCTTCAATCATACCTCTCATCATAGTACTTTGATGGAAGTTAATGCCCCATGATATTACGAGGTGGGATGATTCCTCTCCTGAAGAGAGTTCTGGTCCAGGCACTATCTTGTATAGCAACATGACATTGAATGTGCTTCCATATGGAACATCTGGTGTGCTTACGTTTATCAACAAAGCAAATTGCCGTCCATCTGCTCTTACATAAGTCTGCTCCTCAGTGGCCTTAACAGCCTTAACTAACTTTGTTGCTGCTTTTTTATAGGTAACGGTTCGCGTTAAATGAGACATATTACCTTTTTTCCAAGTCCAAGGCTCCTCTTCTACATCTGTTGTACCCTGCAGTTCTGCTAGTTCCTTCCTAAACTTGGAATCTGGAGCAAAAAGAAACTTATTCAGATCAGATGAGGATACCAAATAAAGCTGATCAAGAAGAATGCCTCCACTGAGGTTTTCTGGGATTTGTTCAGTTTCACTTGACTTCATGATCTCCATAGCTTCTTCAAAGCTACAGCTTGTTGAAAATTCCTCCACACAATCCTCAAAATCAGATGATGCACTGGCTGAATCTGAAGAATTATCAGTTTTTGAGGCTTCCTCATTTTTATTAAAAACCCTTTCCAAATGGTTCGCAATTGTCTTCATTAACTTCTTCCCTTCTGCCATCTTCAGGAATGGAGCTTTGGAGCAATATATGCCATGAGAAGACACTAATGGCCCTTCAAATTCTTTATGTTCATCATTTTTAATTTTTGAATTTGCACAAGGGAAATAGTTGGTAGAAGAGCGATGGCCTTTTCCATGCAAAGACAGAGAGAGAAGAATTTTCCCTGCCCATACAGGCAAAGATATTACAATCCAAAATTAAGGTCTGGTATGCACCATCATAAAGGCTGTCCACAACTTATATAAACAAACTAAGCAGAGTTATAATATTCATGTGCCAGTTGAACCCCAAATTAGAAAGTTTTTTGACGGGCAACAGAAATCCAATTCCAACAACCGCAATTGAATGAACAAGTAGAAAGCCTGGAAGCTCATATATGCCGAATTCTAAGCAATCATAATCTTCAAAACATGATTAGAAATCAAAATCAAGCTGTCATTTGAAATTCTTTCACTGTCCCAATTTAAGGATAACTACAGACTCCACAAGTTACAGGGACATCCATCCAAAGGTTGTCAAAAGATTCATTTCCATGTAAATTTGAAATGAATAAATAAAAGCAGAGTTCAGAAGAAAATTAATAATTAAGCACACAATTTAATTGGTTAAGTGCAACATTTGTTCAAACAAACAAACAATCATATCCCATTTATTCAGTTTTGGTAGCATATAAGAATGCCCGAGTCACAAATGAAACTCTCCTGTTTGAAAACTGCAACAAGATTCAGCACTCAAAATTCCGGTACCAACCAAACAAACAATAAAAATGAAACAAAATGCAATCAAATGCACAACACATCACAAAAAGTATCAAAAGTACAAATAAAAATCCAATAACAACTAGCAAACAATGAACTAAGAGAGGCAGAGAAACCAACCAGAATCCATATTGATATATTTGCCAGTTTGGGGTTTTTCAACAGGAAACCAAGTGGGTGGCAGCGTATGATTATGCTCTGCTGAAACTGACCAAACTGGAATCCGAACCGAACCCACCAACTCTCCAGGCCCATGGAACATCCCATGATCATCATCATAACTGACGAGAGACACAACCAATTCCTCATCAGTATTATGTACTCTAAAAACAAACTCCTCATTCCAAACTGGATTAGTGTTGTTTTTCAATAGTCTAGTCTTTGACTTGTGCTTGCCCACCTGTACCTTCACACATGAGTCTCTAACGAGCAAGTCCTTTGCCTGCAATACGTATACATACAGTCTCATGGCTACAAAAATTCCACTACTGTTAACTTCTACGTTCAGAAAAGAACGAATAGGTTCTTAGACGTATGGAGGATTTTATGGGTTTTCGAAATTGAAGCAAAGATTCGTGTCTTCTTCTTAAAAGAAAGAGAAGTGATAATGAAGCCATTGAGGAAACGTGGAAAACAGAAAAGGGGACACGAAGGAAGAAACGGATCAAATACATAACGTTGAATTGAAATGGAAAGTTCTGGGAGAGAATGAGCGAAGAGGCAGAGGCGGTTTGTTTGCGCTTTGGGTCAAGAAACTAGATTACTTTTCTCTTGTTTTAGCTTTTTTTTTTCTTTTTGCTTCTTCTCCTTCTTTTGTTGTTTGTTTGGGTCTCTGTTATTGCGCATTAGGGGATTGTTTGTTCAACGTGGGGACCTTGCCTTTCTCTCCGAAGAACCGTTTTTATTTGCCTCTTTTGGTCACAATGTCAAATTTACCCCAGCTTGTGATTGAAAAATATGTTAAAAAGTCATTTTTAAATCTATCTGTTTTTATAATTTTAAATCGGATTGAAGAATAATGTTGATGTTAAATTTAAAAATAATGTTAAATGATATCAAATTCGCTTGTTTTAGTTATTTATATATTTGAAAATCATCCTCTAAAACCATGTAGATATGGTCTGGTCAAATTTATTTTTTAATCTCCAATTAAAATATATAAATAAATTGATTTAAGAGAATGTGAAAATACTAAAAAATATAACAAACGAAACAAGTAAATTACTATAACCTAAAGCTTATCCTAATTAATAATCTAATCTTTGCTGTTTTAAAATTAATACTTTTAGTCTCTAAACTAATTTTAAAGAGAAGTGTGCAATTTTATGAAATTAAAATGTTTCATAATATGATAAGCAAAAGATTTTGGTATTTCATATTTTAAAATTTCATGAATAATAGTGTTATAAAAGTAAAACATCATGAGCTAAAGTATGGTGAAAAGTTAATAATTTTAGAAATTAGGACCAAATGATAGATTATAACGAATTCGGGCACGAAATATTCATTTAAAAAACAAATAGGGAGTGATGTGATAATTACGGAAAAACTGAGGCTGTTATAGTAAGTTACCAACCGAAAAATTATTTGTTAATTATAAACTATCGACGAAGATGTTACAGTAGAGAGGGAGAAAGGTAGGGAGCGAGAAGAGGATAATCAAAATGTTACAGTTCCCGGCGTTCATGACGCAGTACCCGTGGTCAACAAAGACAATCCCGACGTCGCATTTGCTACCTTCACAATGGCCTCAACCCCACAGCGAGGAGCTGCTCCTCGCCATGGAGGAGTCCGATTTCGAAGAGAAGGTATCAAATTTCGCCTCAGTTTCAATTTATTCCCTTGAATAAAAAAATAATTAGACAAAAACAAGACCCAAATTCCTTGTTTCTATTGTTCTTAATGTTGATCCATTAGATTAATTGGCTTTCGTTTGGATATCGAAATGCTTTTTCTTTCATTTGCACATAAAATTTCTCTGTTTGGGTATTTATTTATTTATTGGTAACTGGGTATTTACTTATTTTATTGTAATTGTGTGACTCTAATCTCGGTCCCCAAAATTTTAAATTGATCAGAGGAAAAACAACAGTCTGATGAATAACAAATTGGAGTTTATCACTTGGAGAACAAGCGAGAAAAAAAAAGTAGATGAGGATGTATTTAGGCTCATCTATTAATTAATATATAGTTTAGTTTTGAAATGTTTTAGTTCTTTCTCACTATGGAAATTAGAAAAGTAGCTTATGGTTTAAGTGGTTGTACTAGTATGGATTGATTTTCTGATTTGTGAAAGTCTCGTCGTGAGATAATGCCAGCATTGAAACAGTCTTAGGGCCCTAATGTTGAAGCTTTGGAAGTCTTAAAAAATTGAGGATGAAGGTTCTTCTTGGTGCTTTTATGTTCAACTCTGATAGTTAGACCATCTTTGTGTCATATAAATCCAGATTTAACAGAGACTGCATTGTGATTTTAAAGTTGGTTGTATCTTTTTTTAGGACCCCTAATTCTCCATGGTACTATGAAATTATACCATGATATGAGTGAAAGTGTCTCTCTAGTGCTCTTATTTTCTCAACTTGGATAAATTTTTCATGAATAATTCTTGTTGGTACAACTGCATGAATCCATTTTACCAGCTTTAATATGTGGTACTTCAGTTTTTGCATGACAGTAAAGGTTTAACCTTCAATGCTTGTCATTAGAACATATAATGACATGTCTGTCTGTAAATATATGTGCCTTGTATTTCCCTATGTATGTGATATTAGAGATTGCAGTCTGCATTTGTGCCATTGATGCATTTTGTTTCTTTCCCCTTTTAGATGACTTGCTATGTTGACATTGCCGCGATTGATGATTGTAGTGCAATGAAATAAGAAAGACTAATAGCAACCTCCCAGTGATTGGGAAAATGACTGTCGATAACGACAAAGAAGATTACGATAATGATGCGGATGATGATGATGCTGATAATGCAGAGGAGTCAGAAGGAGAAGAATTTGAGCAAGAAACTGGTTGAAGATGGTTCCTGACTTGCCGTTATTCTATTTATTTTGTTTGGAAAGGTTACTTGTCGACAACACCTTGAGACTCATCCCTGAATAAAAAGTGAGGATTTGGCTTTGGATTTTGTATGCACATGACTTCTACTTTGTTGTGGAAATTCAATCCTTATATGCATAACAATTAGCAAACAAAATTTTCAAGGTCCCTCTTTATTTGGAAAGGAGAGGGAGGAAAATAATAGAGAAATAACTAGGAATTGTCAATTTTCTTTTTATAGCTGTTTTCCATCCCTGTCTTTTGGATATGATAGAGGAAAGAAAATGATCAAATGGCTTTTTCTTTAAGACAACTCTCTTGGCTATTTTAGTACAAATATGAGAAGTAATTACTAGTCAGTGAAAAGTACATAAGACAATAGTGTTTTATTAAAAATTTACCAGATTAACTAATAGTCTCAAAATATATTTTTCTTTTTACTAAAATACATATCATTCGGTGATTTTAGTGCATAAATATATCAAGTCTCAACTAATGTAAGATCTTCTAACATTCCCTTAAAGTATTGTATGCGCAATGTATGTTTCCTTTTTGTTAAAATTATATGTCAAATATATCCCATAGCAATGGCGGAGGAATGCCATGGGTTAGAATACAAATCAAGAATTGTCTAAACGTCACGAGGAGTGGAAACTAATTAATGTAAATAACCTTTTTTCCCTTAAACAAACTCAAATTTTATTGTACAAAAATCCATAATAAAAAGTTACATGATAATAACAACTTAAGGTAACAAAAAAAAAAAAAAAAAAATTATTTATTTTTCCTCACTTAATTTACTCTAACTTATCTTCTTTGCATGTTCACTCTGTTTCCTTCTATCGTTTTTTTTTATTTTATTATTTTTCCTAAAATATTTCATTTTACCCTCTTTTGACAAATTAGATGTGTTAATTTAATTAAATACAAAAGAAAGTAATATAAAAATAATAGCAAAGAAACAATGTTAAATAATATGATAAAATAGAAGTAATTTTAATTTCACAATAATATATAGTTTATAATATAATATATGTGGTTAAATCAATTAGATTTTAGCTTAAGAGTAGGATTTTACGTTTAACCTATTAAGAAAAAAAAATAACAATTATAAAAATTAACAGAATGTAGAGTGATTGTTTGTCTATTAAAAAGGAAAAAGAAAACTATTAGAATAAAAAATTATAGAAATAAAGAGAAACAAGAAACACTATAAAAATGGATAAAAAGAGTTTAAAAATTAATGGTGTATAGAATGGTTTTTTAATCTATTAAAAAGAAACTATTCAAATAAAAAATATATATAAATAAAAAGGAAAATAAAACTATAAATATGAACAGGGAAAAAGCAGAAAAAAAAAAAATCAGGATATGAGATTTTTTAAAATATTAAAAACGTATAGGAAAATTAAAATTCCAAAATTTTAAATTATTAAGATTTTAAGATAATAGGTTTTTTTTTTAACATGAATTGGATAAATATAATAGGTTTAATCTATAGAAATAATTTAATTGTATTTTAACTTATTAATCTTTTTTTTTGTTTGAACCATCATATTCTTTCTTCCTACTTTACAAGGTTACTTCTTGCTCCAAGTTTAAAAGGGTTTTGGTCATTATAAGGTTGTAAAAAGGTCCAAATTCAAGGAAGTTTCGTTGCTTGTGTTGTGCTTTATCATATACTTCTCATCTGGGCCACAGGTAAAAACAGATTCTGATTCTCCGCCACTTCTTAATCTGCAAATCAGGAAATAAATAAAACGAATGGAGTAATAAATTAAATTGCTGATTAAAGCAAATTAGCGACAAAGACCACATAATAATAATAATTATAACTATAATAATACAGACCACATAATAATAATAATAATTATAATCATAATAATACACACCTGTTTCCCATTGTCACGGAACGTATGTCAACCGTAAAACCAACGGTGTCTCAGAAATAGCGAGAGTTCAAGGACGGAACTGAAAATATCGTCCTCTACGTCACAGGTGATTTTTAACCTGGTGGCAAGTATGTGTATCAACTTAATCCTGCTTGCATTAGCGTCCGTTATCGAAAACGTTACGGCAAATCATTCATTAGCCGGAACAAGCAACCATCTCATGGAACAAGAAATTCAAGCAATCAAAAAAAATTCTTTCTCAAAATTTACAATCCAATCACACATCAAAACTTCTACTATCATTCGCTTTTTCGTTTTTTAACTGTTTTTTTTTTTTTTTTTTTGAAAATTAAAATTCGCAGGAAATTTCTTGTTATATGAAGAATTTTAAGATATCTTATTTGTTGTTTTTTTTACATGATATTGGATATATAGATATGGTTCATTAATCTATAGTAAATAAATCTTAATATGGGTATTGCGTATTTAACTTATTAATCATCTTTTTTTTTGTTTGAAACCATCAATATTTCTCTTCTTTATGTCTTCCTACTTTTAAGCCAAGGTTAGACTGAGTCGGGTTGCTCCAAGTTATAAAAAGGGATTTATGGTCATTATGAAGGTTGTAAAAAGGTTTCCCAAAATTCAAGGGAAGTTTCGATTGCTTGTGTTGTGCTTTTAGTAGTATACTTCGGTCATCTGGGCCACAGGTAAGATAGTAGAACACGGATTCGTGATTCGCTCCGCCAACTCTCTTAATCTGCAAAAGTCTCACAGGGAAATAAAGATAAAACGAATGGAGTAATGAAAGTTAAATTGGGCTGATATAAAGCAAAGTGGTAGCCAAGAACAAAAAGTTGACAGCATCATAATATATAATAATGTGATAACTAATAATAATAATAACAGATAATGAAATTTAATTATAATGCATAATAGCAAGGACTCAAGACACTCTGTCCTCTAATATATTTGCCTAGAGAGACCAACCGTGAACGATAAATGGTCAAACCTGTAAAAACCAAAACGGTTTTGTTCGCTCAGAAATAAGCGAGAGTTCAAGGGACGGAAACTGAAAAAGTGATCCGGTCCTCTACGTCACAGGTGATGTTTTTAACGCTGGTGGCTAAGTTTATGGTGTATCAACTTAATCCTGGCTTTGCATTAGACGTACCGGTTTATCGAAAACGTTGGACGTTCTGCCATAATCATTCATTAGCCGGGAACAAAGCCAACCAATCTCATGGAACGAAGGAAATTGCAAAGCAATCAAAGAAAAAAATTCTTTTTCTGAAAATTTTACAATCCAAATCACACGATCAAAACTTCATACTATCATGTCGCTTTTTTAGTTGTTTTTTAACTGATTTTTTTTTTTTGTTTTTTTTGTTCGTCCATTATCTAATTTTCTTAATTTGTAATAAGCCTAAGTTTTTACCCAATTCCAATGTTTGGGAGTTTTTAGAAGACAGAAATCAATTGGGCAGTTTTTTTGAAGAGGGCAAGCGAGTGTCAGCGGAGTGTTTTTTTTTAACTGTTTTTTTTTTTTTTTTTGTTCGTCATTATCTATTTTCTTAATTTGTATAAGCTAGTTTTCCAATTCCATGTTTGGAGTTTCTTAAGAAGATCATTGGCAGTTTTTGAGGCAGCGAGTGTCACGGTGTCCGTGAGATGGATAGTAACGGACTCCGCCGGAGTCTCTATAAGCAACAAGATGAGATCCAAACGGCGGCGACTGACTTCCGGATCCGCGATAATCGAAGACATTTATATGGGATTTGGTTGGAGAGAGATCGAAACTGGAGCGATTAGACGGAGGAGGTGAAATTGTTTTGAGCGACTTTGGAGGAGAGAGAATGGCTCTAATCTTCGAACCAGGACATCGCCGATGATATTCCTCAATGAGAAAAGCCAATTCCTCATCGGATTTTATAGAAACTAAAGTCTCCAAATCTCCATTCGGCAGCTGACACCTTAATTCGACGGAATTTCCACAAAATTCTCCAAGCTTAACCATAAGCTCTGTATAAAACAAACATACAAACGCATATTTAATTATCTCTGAAACAGAATCTGAAATATCTTTAATCAATTAACAAATAAAAAAAATAGTAAACAAACCTGCAAAGGATATAGAACGATCGACAGCGAGAACTCTGGTGAGACCACCAACGTAACGGAGCTTTCCGTCAATGGAGCGAGGAAGAATCTTACCACTGTAACTACAGAGAAACTTAATAGTCTCTGTGCTTCTCTTTGATTCACTATCGCACACCATGATTATAAAAAAGAAGTTTCTGTTGGATTTTTACAAAAAGAGATATTAAGATAGAAATTTCTAGAGAGGAAAGGGGGATTTGAAACTCGAGAAGAGCGGATTCTTTTGCGTTTCAAACCGCTAGGGAAGAGAAACTGAGTGGTATTAATAGAGGAGAAAGGTTAGCGGGAGACGTCATCAGCGGGACCCACACGCAATGGGAAGTTAAAAGCTTTGTTGGAAGCAGAAAGGAAGCGGAGCGAAGATGACCATATAATAACCGTTTCGAAGATATATATATTCGGATATTCGTTTTCGAGCGAGGGTGGGTGGGTTGGCCAATAAGGTGGGGTCCGTGCCCAATCGAGCGACAAATTACAGACCGGCGCGTATTATGGACCATGTTTCGTTTTGGTCTTGAAAGTTGAAAGGCAAGGGCCACCAAGTGAAAAAAAAAAATAATTCCTAAGAAAAACGAAAATATATTCTACCAAACAAAATAAATTCATCATCTTTTTTTTTTCGAAAAATAATAAATAGATCTCAAAATTCAATAAAATATTTTAAAATATACCAAAAAGAAATAATAAAAAAATAAAAATAAAATAAAACGAAAAGAGTATTATTTAATATTATTTTTTTAATCGCATGTTTATTTTCTTATTGAAATGAAAAGGCACTCACATCATTTTCACATTATATTATTATATTCAGCAGGTGTACACGTAAAATGTCCCAAGCCAAAAAAAAAAAAAAAAAAAAATTTTCCAACATTTCATTATTATATTCAGCAGGTGTACGCACGTAAAATGTCCCAAAGCCAATTAAAAAAAAAAAAAAAAAAAAAGGGGCAAGCAAAGGTATTATTTCCGCTTGGATGGATTATCCTAATAAGGAAGATACACACAAACCTCCCGTATAATTCTTTTTAGGGCATGTCAATAATCCACTAAATCGGGAATTTGATACTCCAAAGGTTTAAATTTATGGTGGATTAGGTAGTATAAAAATTATCTAAAGTTGTGGGCTCTATCTATTCAATACCGATCAAATTGCAGTAATTAAGAGGGGCAGGTTGCCTTATTTGTAAACCAAGCTACTCTCTTAAGGGCAACAAATGCCACAAGTCGAAAAGAAAGGATAAAACGCTACTAATAAAGTGGAAAACAAACTTAAGGAGGTTGCCCATTTTTTTTTTTTTTTTATTTTTAATATAATACAAGTGTCATATTGGATTTGGATTGATTTGGACAAGTTCTGATACCGGGGAAATAACAACTGGCGGTTATAAACAAGGGATAGAGATTAATTTTTTTTGCTTAATAAGATTGTTATTACAAATTACTGGAAAATTTAAAAAAAAAAAAAAAAAAAAAAGGGGCAGGCAAGGTATTATTTCCGCTTGGATGGCTTATCCCTATAAAGATACACCAAACCTCCGTATAATTCTTTTTAGGCATGTCAATAATCATAATCGGAATTTGATACTCCCAAGTTAAATTATGGGTGATTAGGTAGTATAAAAATTATCTAATTGGCTCTTCTATTCAATACCATCAATTGCAGTAATTAAAGAGGGGCAGGTGCCTTATTTTACAAGCTACTCTCTTAAGGAACAAATCCAAGTCGAAAAGGAAAAACTACTAAAAAGTGGAAACAAACTTAGGAGGTTCCCATTTTTTTTTTTTTTATTTTATATATAATCATATTGATTTTGATTGATTGGAAAGTCTGATACCGAAATAACACTGCGTTATACAAGATAGAATAATTTTTTTCTTAATAATTTATTAAATTACTGAAAATTTTTATAATTAAAATGATTCAAATTTAAAATTTTAGATTATATTCATGTGAGTGAGAAGACCACACTTGCTTGGCTATAACAATATTGATTTGCTATTTATTTAGGTTGAGAATATTATTTAAAGGAAAGAAAAAGTTATTTAAAATTTATAAAAAATGAGTTTTTTAAAGTTTAAAATAGAGAAAAATACTTAAAGAAATATATTTTTATTTTTTTTTTTCATGAAGCTCATATTTTGAAATCTTTATAATTTGAAGAGAAAATAATTAAAAAAATATGCATTTTATTATTTTTATAAAATTATAAAGTAACCACAAATTTCTAATAATTGGCAATTTCTAAATATCCAATTAGATATAATTATTAATTTTCAATAATAAATTTTTTCTTTAAAAATTTACTCTTTCCAAATAAAAGAAAATATAATTTAGTTTTTTAATTCTATAATATCTGAACACAAGAGTGTAAAATAATTATAAAAAGAAAAATAGTTTTCTCATTATTTTTTATCCTCTTCTTTACAAATAAATACTCAATATATTAAAATCAGAGACTAATTATATTTACAGTGTTTAGAATTTTTAATTTCTTGTATTTTAATATATAAACAAAATATCAAGGTTCTTGTAGCAATAGCTTTGCTAATAAGAATGGAAAAATTATTGGACAATCCATCATATTCTGAAGGAAGTGGGGCAATCGTGTCCACTTAAATAACCAACTTTGAAAGGTTTTAGATCTTATGTAACCTGTAATTAATTATACTCTATCAAAGTATAGCTAATAGTTCAATTTTTTCCTGACAAAAATAAAAATAAATTTATGTTCTTTTTATTATTTTACATTTATTATTATTTGATATAATATCAATTTGAAAAGGATAAATTTCACTTCTGGAAAACCAACTAAATAAGCATATTTGAAAATACAGTATTTTTTTTAAATATGGTTAAATTAATTTCAAAAAGAAAATTATTATTCTTATTATTTTTTAACGGGTGGATGATTTTTGTTTTTTTATGCTAAATTCAATTTTAGAAGGATAAAACATCCCACGAACAAACAGTTTTAGTGTGTTTAGAAGGGCTTTTACAAGAAGGTTTACCATATATTGTTTTTTTCTTGGTAATAATATATTTGAAAATATAATTAATATTTTAAAATCGTGGAATAAACTTATTGATAAGGACAAAAAAAAAACCATAAATCAGAATGTGACGGGACATCAAAATTTTCAAAATTTGAATAATAATATGGATATCTCTCCTCTTCCTATGAAATAAGAATTATTGAAGGTTTCCTGAATGGGATGGGAATAGCCCAAGGGGATGCCGAGTGGAGGAAGATGGTCCAGAAGCTTAACACGTGGATGGTGATGTGGCTTCAGCTGGTAGCACAGTTACAATATTATCCGAAATTTAGTTACAGTACACAGTAGACACAGTCGCAGAAGCCAACATCAGCATCACCAAGTCCCATTGGCAGAGCCAACATCAGCATCACCAAGTCCCATTGGCAGATAGTGGCCGCATTTGCTGAACTCTAGGTCACGCCTCAAATCTTTATCACTAAAACCAACACGACACTTGTAACAATCTTCCCATAGGCACTGGCGTTCGGGACAGGGGAGTGCAATTATTCCTTTTAAATGGTGAAGAAATAACATAATGTCCTATGATTCTAATCCAGCACAGAGACCTAGAATTCAAAGGGATGAGATTTTCGGGTCCTCATTTGTTCTGGATGTTTCTGCTGTGTTTTTTCTTAGTGTAGATTGATGGAAAGAAAAGAAAAACCACACTGTAGTCTGTAATTTTCTCTTGATGAGTAACGATCCATGTTCGTGGACTGTGGTCGGATTTGTTGGGCCTCAGATTATTATTGGGCTTCGTGGCCGCCACATAGCTGACCATGTTCTAGATTCTAAATCCTACCTTAAAGGCTTAAAGTAGTAGCACAGTGGCTTCGGAATTTGGCAGAGGACAATAAGATATGCCGTGGAAATATACGAACGGGTAGAGTAGCTTGCAAAGGGGCAAGAGAACCTAGGATAGGAAAGGCTCATTCTGCAATGGCAAGTGGCAAGCTTAGTGGGAAACGGGTGAGGTGAATGGAATTTTTCCACCAACAAGATTGACCCAGCTGCTGCGGCCATCGCTGACCTTGCAAAAGCTTTTTAAGGCATGTATGGATTCGGTCAACTTTTTTAAAATTTCTGAAAAGGAGATTTTATATTAAAGTCTGGGGGGCTGATTTTATGCTCGAAATTTTCATACCGTGGTTAGATGCAATTGAGAGAATCAATTTGGTAGGAAAATAAATTTTTATTCATAAAACTTTAAATTTTAATTTCAAGATATTCAACTTTGTTCATGAAAAATAATGGAGGAAATATAAAAGGCTAATGAAGTGAATAGTCAATGTCGACACAAAGTAGAAGTAGCCAATCAGCATCCAATAATACTAGTAAATGATAGAAGGTCTGCCTACCTAATCCTACGATGGCTGAAGACCGGCATTCGAACAGTAAATTGAACGATCTATCGTTAAGGAATGGAAAAAAGAAGTTAACTCTTCCATAAACAACTACATGTACCACAACTTGTCTTGACAACTTTCACCGTTTCTTATCCCCAACATAACTTCCTCTGGTCATCGGTGTCTGTAATGAGATGCCGCCGCCGCTACCTCTGTCCCTCTTCCTCATCCTCCTTGTTTGTTTTTTCTATCCCTGTTTTACCCTTGACTTTCTTTTTAATTCATTCAACGCCACGGACTCCGGCGTTATTCTCATCGACGATGCACGAGTGGACTCGTCGGTCATCCGGCTAACCAACGATACAAATCAGTATTCTTTGGGACGTGCCTTTTACCCCACGAGGATTCAAATGAAACCAAACCAGAATTCCACTACTCTCTCTTCTTTCTCTACTTCGTTTGTTTTCTCTGTTTTGCCAGAGATAGCCTCAAGTCCAGGCTTTGGCCTTACTTTTGTTCTTTCCAATTGGACAAACCCTCCTAATGCTCTAGCTAGTCAGTATTTTGGGCTTTTTACTAATGCGACGGTACCTCGTCAAGCTCCACTTTTGGCTGTCGAATTCGATACTGGAATGAACCCGGAATTCAACGATCCGGATGGGAATCATATTGGAATCGATTTGAATAATATTGAGTCCGTCAAGGCTCAATCTGCTGGATATAACAATTCCTCTGGAGGCTTTGTGCCAGTAGCTATGAATACTGGGCAGAATGTTCATGCTTGGATTGATTTTGATGGTAGCAATTTTGAGATAAATGTAACTGTTGCGCCAATTGGTGTGTCGCGTCCATCTACACCTACTCTTAATTATAAAGATCCTGTTATTGCTAATTATGTTTCTGCTGAGATGTATGTGGGATTTTCAGCTTCCAAAACGACATGGAACGAGGCGCAGAGGATTTTAGCTTGGAGTTTTAGTGACACAGGGAATTCCAGAGATATAAACACAACCAATCTACCCGTTTTTATGCTACCTTCATCTTCCAAGTCTTTATCGGCCGGAGCAATTGCTGGTATTACAATTGGCTGCGCTGCTTTTGTAGTTATTGTCGCTTTGGGGGTTTACAGGTTCTGGTTAAAGAACAAATTGAGAGATGAAGAAGAAGATGAGATCGAAGATTGGGAACTGGAATATTGGCCCCATCGATTCTCTTATGAAGAACTAAATCAGGCCACAAATGGGTTCTCTAAAGATCAACTTTTAGGTTCAGGAGGATTTGGTAAAGTATACAAAGGTAATCTCCCCAACGACACAGAAATTGCAGTCAAATGCGTAAACCACGATTCCAAACAAGGCCTAAGAGAATTCATGGCAGAGATCTCAAGCATGGGTAGACTCCAACACAAGAATCTAGTCCAAATGCGAGGCTGGTGTAGAAAATCAAATGAACTGATGCTTGTCTATGATTACATGTCTAATGGTAGCCTCGACCGCTACATATTCAAAAAATTAGACAAGACTTTAAACTGGCTACAACGCCGTCAAGTCCTAGCCGATGTAGCCGAAGGATTAAATTACCTCCACTATGGCTGGGACCAAGTAGTGATCCATAGAGACATAAAATCAAGCAATATATTGTTAGACTCAGATATGCGAGGCCGATTAGGAGATTTTGGTCTGGCAAAGCTGTACAGTCATAATGAAGTACCCAACACGACGAGAGTGGTTGGCACGTTGGGTTATTTAGCGCCTGAGCTCGCAACGATGGCTGTCCCGACGGCAGCGAGTGATGTATATAGTTTTGGAGTGGTGATACTAGAGGTGGCGAGTGGGAGGCGGCCGATTGAAATGGGGTCGGCTGAAGAGGAGGATAGAGTGCTTATTGAATGCGTGAGGGAGTTGTATGTTGAAGGAAAGGTGGTGGAAGCGGCTGATGAGAAGATAAAAGGAGAGTATGAGGTGGAGGAGATGGAGATGATACTTAAGCTTGGGTTGGCATGTTGCCATCCGGATGCTGAAAGAAGGCCTAGCATGAAAGAGGTGGTACCGATTCTGGTCGGAGAGAACGTGGCGGCAGCGCCGGCTGAGTTACTGAGTGAATTGGCTCGCGGCGGTGAGGGTAATGGTGGTGGTTCGGAGGTGGGTCCTAGCCAGCATTGACTGCCATGAATATTTTTAGAATTTTTTAAGGATTTTAATTTTTTTTTTTTTTTTTCAAGTTGTCGTGAAAATTTTCTTTTTTTAAAAGATTATTAAAGTAATTATTTCTCATGAAAGAAAAGTCAGGTAATTATTAGTATTATAAAATCAATTCTGACGAGGTGAGAAACTAATGTCGAAGACTGAATAGTTTGCCAAACTGCGCGACTTTCTTTTATCAAATGGATCATTAAAAATTCCAAACGTAATTCAGATTAGTCAGCAGGCATTATTAGTTTATGTATGTAGACAAAGGCTGAGCAAACATTAATTTTCTTATATTACTAATTTTAATGATTAAATAATGCAATATGCAAATAAAACAGACTGAAGAATAGACAAATGAATATTAAGGTCCAATAGGACGGTCGTGTAATATTCAATTAGTGACAAATTTTAGTTAGGCAAATTTCAGTAGGGAATGAAATAGTGCTTTGGTTGGTTGATTTCACTTTCAGACACGAGACAAGAATATGGTGTGTTCCCCTACGTATCTGATCAAGCTAAGATTTATAACTAATACCGACATTAAAGAATAGGGAATTAGTAGTCTAATAATTAAATACTGAAAATATAAGATAAATCTTTTTTTTTTTTTTTTTTGGTAACCATTGTATCAACTTGGCTAAAGAAAAGATAAGAATTTGCCTTGACATATATATGTTAAAATAAAAATTCACAGATAAGTTAAAACTGCAGTAACTAAATTTACAGCTTTGTTTTTGCTCTTGAAAATACTTGGTAGAAAGTAGAAACCCACCAACTACAACTCTTAGAGTGTGAAGTTGAGGGAGTGGAAACTAAAGAAACGTTTCTTTCTCTTGGCACCTGCATTTAACCCTTGTGATTTGAGCTTGCATATTGATGCTACCGATTCTTTCATAGCTTCAGGCCCACAAACCAGTACTCCGATATCAGATCCGCCAGTTTCATTTAAAAACTTGGAGAATACATCTGTATGAACAACATATTAGAAATCGAGAATAAAGGGTTTAAAAAAAAAAAAGAAGTGTAAAGTTTAAACATAAGAATTCAAGAAAAAAGAAATACCTTGGAAATTAGGCCTTCCTCCAAAATGGATTTCATGTTCCTCAAAAGCACTTGTTATTTCCATAGTGTTTGGTTCAGCTGATTTGCTTTGTTTCTGAGAGACAGGAGGAATCTCTTTCTTTAGCCTTTTCCATCTCAAAATGATTGCCACAAAAGTGCTGCATGTTATTGCTATAATGAAAGAAGCAAGGAGAAGTAAATCAACGACTGATGAAGAAGTCTTTTCTTTAGATAATTCCTTTTTGGGGTGAACAACCATCTTTTTGGAGGCGGAACCATTCTTTTTGGAAGGAAGAAATATGTGGTTTAAACTTATAAGAAAAACAAGAAACACAAGACAAGTTAATGCAGCTATTGCAGCAATTTTTAGTGGAGTGTCTAGTCCTTGTGCTGCATAATTAGAGCTTTTGGTACTGAAATTGACTGTTCGTATTAGAGATATATCATTTAGCAGTTCTCTTAATGTTGAGGAAGACCTTTCTTCTTGAGTCACAAATACTTTGAGTTTTAAATTCAATTGTTCGGGTGATGGCTGGTTCAAAAGCAGAGAAGAAATTGAGCTTAACAAGCAAATATCTTGTGATTTCTTTACAACATAGATAAGCTGCACTTCTGCAGGGAATCCAAATCTGCTTCTGCTGCTGCTTTCAACAGAAGCAATTTCCTTTAATATGCTTAAAAATGGGGTTATCCCAATTCCACCCGCAATAAGAAGTAAGCTATCATGCCTGCAAAAGGAAAAAAAAATCTAGTTAGTGTTTAATAATTTTTGAAATGGTGATTATATAATACAGTAGTTCATTTCTAGCAAACCTTAAGAAGTCTAGTGAGGCAGGTCCGTAAGGACCTTCAATTGCTGTAGGTATGCAACTCATATGCTCAGCATCTGAATCTAATTCTGCTCTTATCGTGTCATATATAGAACTTGTCCATCCTCCATCGCATTTTATTATAATCGACATCGTGTAATGGTCATCGATGGAATTCGAAGTTATACTGAAGGAATGCCATTGAAATTGAGATATAGTTGGTATTTTTATATATAACACGCTTGTTGGTGCATATTTCAAGCCTGGAATGGATGCAATAAGCAAGAAATTATAAGTTACTTCATTAAATAAAGAAATTAAATTGTTACAAGAATAATGCATATAATGGTAACTGATAATGCTAAAAAAAATAGTTACTTGGATCTTTTGGCAAAACAAGTTGTACAGCTTTATTTGGGAACACTTTTGCAGAAAGAACGCATGTTTTTGGTCTTGATTGTATGATTCGAAGTAGCTTGTCAAGACCATAGAGAAAGATTCCAGGGAAAACTGCATAGAAATGCCTGTCTCCAGCATGAAACAAGAAGAATACGAAGAATGCAATATAAAGATGGTGAGTGTAGTAGAAAAGTTCAAATCTTTTCCTTCTTATTTGAGGAAGTGAAGTAATCCAGATTACTAGTCCTATAACAAGGGCTATCTCTCCAGCTAAGTATATACGGCCGGTTTTCTGCCATCTCCAAATCTGCAGTCGAATAACAAGAAGAAATTAAAAGAAATAAAAAAAGAATAAGTAAATTAGTTAGTTGCATATGGCAAAATTACCTCGTCTTGAATGTTGTGACTGACACCCCACACAAGCAAGGTGCTTCCACCATGAATAGTGGCAAAAAATATCATTGAAGTTCCAAGCCAGATATGATATCTTACTGATGCTTCAAATTGGATTCCAAGTAATTGAAATAAGCTTAGGCCTCTTAAAATAGGCAGAAGCAGCAAAACCAGGCAGGCTTCTGCTAGCAAACCGAATCGGGTAGCTACTCTTAGATACTTGAGTTGCCATCTGAATTACAAGACATCATTTTTATTAAGGATAACATTCTCGATCTTATTTAGGACAATCATAAGATTCATAACTTACAGATTCAAGTTCAGCGATTTGATTGGCATCAACTTCTTCAAGTCATTAGAGATGCGGGTATAATAAGTCCATACTAAAAACAGGATGAAGAGGAGAACAGTCAAGATTTCCTTGCTTGACAAAATACCCACAAAGCTGTTTACTATCACAGGATTTGAGAAGCCAATAGTTGGAGTCCTAGCTTGTCTGTTCATACACATAAAGCAGAAGCAATAACCAAGTAAATATAGTATTGCAGTAAAAATTATGGATCAAATTGGATAGCACAATTATATTACCTTCTTCTTATTAGCTCCTTAGACAGAAAATTCAAGTAGACTAGTCCAATTATAGCCAGTGCGATTATAGGAAATGTATATGCAGCAAAGTTAAGACCTGCAACACATTCAATACAGAATTTATGTCTATTTTTAACAATAAATTGTTAGATCTTCATGAACTAACAGATGGTAATTTTGATCACTCACCATAATAGCCAAATATTGTAGGCCTAGCACTATCTTCAGCTTCTTTCCATTTTCTTGTCCATAAATTAGTAGGCTTTAGAAGCCAAAGAGAAACCCAACCAGCAAATATTAAGAGCATTAATATTTTAAGAACTGCAAGAAGAATATATTTTGCCATTTCTGCTCCCTTTGTTTCAAGACGATACTTACTCTCCCTTATTTCACTTAGTACAGAAAATATTCGTTATATAAAGAAACCTGAAGAAAGATTGTCAGAATTAACAGCAGAGAGCCCCACCACCATTCACTTCCACTTCCATAGACTGCACAAAGCCCACCATCTTCGATAAGTGCCCATAATCGTCGAATGGCTGCCTAATTTACTGCTGTGTATCAGATGAAATTTATGCATTTTCAGCATCTCAATAATATTTTCCATTATAAAACAGAAGAAGTTGACATCTCTATTTAATCGGATTAAATCTAATGGAAAATGATGATTTATTTCAGTTCACAAGTATGAAATTAATAGGTTGTATTCATTTGCAGGGAAAAAGGAGATCACTTTTTGCAGTTGATTGGCAGCTTATACCTTGTTATGATCATCCTTTTTAACTCTAGAAAATTAAATGGTCCATGTATCAAATAGTGGACTAATGGTCCACATATACCTAACTTTAATATTTTTCATGTATAAATTCTATTCTGTTACATATTTTTGTCTTATTGATAGATGTTTCCAAATCCATGGTAGATATTGCAGATTTTTTCAAAAAAAATTATGCTTCAACCATGATTTGTATGTGCAAATTCTCAACCTAGCAGAGGACTCCAGTATTACCGAGTCAAAACTTATTACGCAGATTAGTTTACAGGATTTTACTTGACATGTGATCTTTTAGGAATTGACTCTCTCTTGCCCAAATGCCAGATAGCAGTTTAAGCAAAGCAGAGTAGTTGTGCAAATAAGCTGTTGCTGTGGGCCAACTTGAAACAGAAATCTCACAAAGTGGAGGGTGAGACCTGTTATAGATTGCAAAACTTTGAAAATTGTAACTTTGAAGATAACTAAAGCATTCTCACAGGACTTCCCTACTGTGTACATAATTAGATTCTGAAAAAAAGAAAAAGACGTCATTTCCCACTGTAGGTGTTTAGAAACTTCATTCTGTCAGGAAAGTGATTGGTGAAAGTGAATTTTGAATTTCTTTGCCGAATCTAGCTAGCCAAGCTTCTTAGCTACGTATGAATTTGTATTTTCTTTAAAAAAAATTGCTCATATTTATCTTAAAAATGCAGTAAATTGAGAGAAAATGGCTTTAAATTAATTTATAATACATCCACTTTTAGAACCAAACTTCCAAAAGCACAAAAGAGAAAGAAATTGCAAACAACCAAAGAGAAAATAGTAATAATAATGATAAAGTAGAACAACTTTGGAAAAGCAAGTTGATATTTGATCCTTCAGTTGCTTTCTTGGACCAAAAAGAAATAAAGAACTGCTTTCTCGGACTTGAAAGAATTATTATAGGAAAACAAAAAGTATAGTTAAGAGGTGGCCCTAAACACTAGGGGCATACAAGTAATTTTCCTTCGAAAATTCTGATGCACCATTTTAAGTGCTCTACTCTAGAAAAGGATTGTTATGGAGCTAGCGATCAAAATCCTTCAATTTTGAATTTAGGGCCTAATCTTGAAGGCCTTTGTTCAAGCTCCAAAGCCCACCAGCCTTTTTCTTTTCTAATTTTGGAAAGCCCAAACCACCTTCAAATTTTCTGTCCAATAAATTATTTTCCTTGAATTATTTATTAATTATTAACATGCAAACGAATGTCTAAGATTCTCCTATAATTACTATTAATATCTGCATAAATATTTATATATATATATGGTGGAAAATATTTAAATTAACAAGAGTATCTTTAATAATTTTTATTATATCAATAAAGTACAAATATATTTTTAAAAAGACAAATATTAAGTTGATAAAAAATATTAACTGAATTAAGAATCTTAATTATTTTTTTTTTTCAAACAAAAGAAAGGAGAGAATAATGCGAATAATATTATAATTATATTATATATTAAATGTAGTAAGATACTTAATTAGGATTTTTTCAAAAATGGTAAGAACATAAATTTTTATTTATGAAATAAGATACAGATTGAACAATTGAGTATTTCAAAATTTTAGCATAATAGAATATTTGAAATTTATTTCCATTTGATTGTTGGTCTCAATTAATGGTATTTACAAAAACAAAAATTAATGCTATTCACTGTATAATAACTAGTGTGAATTCAGTATATGCATTGATATAATGGTAAATATTATATTAGGAAATAAAATATTTTATTTTATCAAATAGAAAATTAATAAAGTACATTTCTTTTCTTTTTTTTAGAAAAAATCACAATTCAATGAATGAATAAGACAAGTCTTTATAGTATCCTTATAAGGGAAATAAGAAACATAAATAGAGATAATTTTAAATATTTTATTTGATAATAATAATATAAGAGAAAAATAAAAGAGAGTAAGCAAAAACGAAAAGCTTAAAACTGTAGAAAGAGCAATCAATTGTCATCTATATGACATATCCAAAATCCAATAAGCCAGGCCAGCAAACCTTGACAGAACAGAATCTCCTTTCTTTCTTTCTTCTTTGCCTTTCCTTTTTCTTTTCTTTTGTGGCATTGAGAGCAACGACTCTTTCCTTATAAACTGCCAATCAACTAAAACCAAAATCTAGTTATCTTCGCCTCTATACAGCAAATACCTCTCTTTTAATTACCCATCTCTCTTGCATAGTTTTCTGTTGTTTCTACTGCGTCGTCTTTGTCTGTCTCTGTCAGCGGGAAAGAGATGGAAGAAGAGAGATCATACTTGCCGGCGCCGGCCAATTCCAATTCTCTCCCATATTGTGCTAGTGCAAGAATTATGTCATCAGAAATTGTGGAGATAGGTGAAGAAAGCAAGAGTAGTATAATTGTTAATGATGTTTACGTTGCTGTTGGTAAAGATGATTTATATGTTCTGAAATGGGCTCTCGATCATGTTGTTTCTCCTGGAGCTAAAGTTTTTCTTGTTCATGTTTCATCTCCTTTAACTTACATTTCTACACCAGGTAACACCTCCACCACCACTTAGCTCTTTTTCCCTTGATCCCTTCAACTTTACACATTTTCCGTTGACTTTTTTTTTTTTTTTTTTTAATGGAATTCAAATCACATCTCGAGTTTCCAAATGATTTAAATATTATTTTTTTTTTTTTTTTTTTGTATTTTTCCTATCAATTTCATCAAAATGGAAATTCAAATCACATCTCGAGTTTCCAAATGATTTTTTTTTTTAAATTTAATTATTTTTTCCAAGAATAGGAGTTCTAGCTGTTGACGTAATTGTCCACTTTTTATGGATTAATTGGGTATGCCTTTTGGGCCTCCAGCATCGGCTAACTAATTAATGGAGGTTACATAATCAGGGCAACTAAAATTTGATTGGGTTTGTATCTGTATATACATTGGTTAATCATCTAATTAAGAATAATGTACCAATTAATTAATACGCTAATTAACTTTAATTATTCACTTTTTGCTTTTTCATTTTACCGTGCAATATAATCATGTTATAATTAATCTTATTCTTTTATTTATTTTTTGAAAGTTGGAAGATTATCGAGGAGCCAGTTGAGCCAAGATCAAGTGAGATTTTATGTCAATGAAGAGCATAACAGAAGAAGGAACCTACTGCAGAAATACATTCGACTGTGTAATGATGCCAAGGTTGCAGAGACATTATATATATATATATACTTTTGTTTTTAATTACTCACTAAAACACCACATACAGGCATTGATAACAGAAATGCTGCTCACAATATGACAGGTGACAGTGGATACAATTCTTCTTGAGAGCAATGAGACTGCCAGAGCTATTCTTGAACTTATTCCTGTTCTCAACATTAACAGTCTTGTTATGGGAACTACACGCTCGCCTCGCTCCAGGTATATTTAGTAATTGAAGTACTGTTTTCTTCTTCACATCAACAAAATTCGCCCGCTCAAGAATGCTTATATATAGTGTGAAATGCAGTTCAATATATGTATATAGTCTGTCTAACCATCTAATATTTTTCAGGTTTATGAGGAAAAAATTGGCAAAAGGAGAATTTGTAAAGAAGAACTCACCAGAAAGTTGTGATGTTACTATTGTTCATGATAGCAAGAAGGTCCTGCATAATCAGCAGACAACAGAGCTAGTGCTTTCATCTTTGTCATCCAATCCTCGAGAATTAAAAATCAATCGCAATTCTGAAAGGAAATTTTTTGATTGTGTATGCTTTTCAGGCAAGTTCGATGGAAAGTAATAGTAGAATCTTATGTTTTGTTCAGTACATAAAATTTATATTAAATGTGTAATGAAATAAAATTTAATTAACAATAGATTTGCATTGATCAGAACAAGAATATAATTTCATATGAAATTTCAATTCCAATAACTATGACTCCAAGCTAAGTAATTGACTCCATCTATTTATCAGATCGAGTTTGTATGAATAGATTCGAAGCAGTCTTAAGATTTTAAACGCTATAAGATAGAAGCAAAATGTGAAACGTTTGGCAAAGGAAAGACACCGAGAGTACATAAACAACACAAATACAAGAAAAAGGCAAAACAATTCCTATTACTAACATTAGTCAATTGTTTTATTCTTACCCTGAAATTTAATTATTTCCAAGCCTAAAACTAACAAGTTAGTATTTGACTGACTTATACACCAAAGCTGAGAAGTAGAACCTGATGAACAAAGCTGCAAACATGGTGTTGCTTTCATGTTCCAACATTTTCATATCACATGCATGATAAAAATACAATTGATCAGTACATAATAAAAGAAAAAGGATTACTTTTTGCATATGGTTTGCCTTTTAGATGAGGTTGGGACAAAAAAGCAACTTCGCTTTTGAATATTGTACAAAACCATCTTAATCTTATTGCATCTTCTAAGGTTGATAATAATAAGAAAAGCATGTCTTGTCCAATTTTTCACATCATTTTCTGAACCCACTTGCATGCCATCTTTTAGAGTTTTAGTCCTTAATAATTTCATACTCTTAACCTGATTATCTATGGCAATTTTTCCTTTTTTTTTTACATTATTATGTTATGATATTCTTTAGGGAATATGATTATTTTACTAAAATACTAACCGTCGATTTCACAGGTAATGGCTCGAATTGTTATTTCTTTATCGATCACATCAAACGACAGCACGTTTTGTTAGCGATATTTTCGTTTTTGGCGGTGAACTCGATTCTTGTGTGGCGGCTGTATTTAGTTAAAAATCATGTGTGCTCTTTTTTACTACTGTACTTTTCTCGCGGTCGTCTAACAAAGAACTGTGGTTTATAAGGGTATGGTTAGTTTCGTCATTTGGCTTCATAAATTCAAATTGGAGGACTCGAACCAAACTTTGACCTAAGTGCAGCCAGATCAGATAAAATTCATAGATATTTTTACTTTCCCTCCGAAAGCGAGATTGGGTGAGGTCAGAAAAGCAAGAAATAAAAAACGGGAATAAATTTTGCTGAAATAGAAGATAGCACCGTAGGAAAGATCACCGGTCGTTGAATTTATAACCGCCAAACCCTAGGACCAGTTCGCTCAATTCGCTTCCATTATGAATCCTTACGATCATAGATATTCCGACCCCGAATCGTACCGTCGCCGTCGCAGGTAACTCAATTTAATCCATTTATATAGATCTGTTTGAATTTTTTTATTTTTTATTTTTTTATGTTGGCATGGATGCTATTGTTATTGTGCTGTGTACTTGTGTCTCAGTGACCTGATGGGTCCACCTCAGCCGGTGGGACCGCCAGTGGCGGGGGTACCTTATGGTCGCAGCGGACCTGTGCCATATGGTGGTCCCCCACCGCCTGCTTTTGTGGGAAGAGGTGGCCCCGGACCAGTAGGTGGATATCCGCCTTTCGAGCCCCCTGTTGGTAGGTTCGATATTGGTCGAGGCAGCGGCACTGGCAGTGGTGGGAGGGCCTTCAGTGGTAGCCGTCCTAATGGTCATATTGGGGATAGAAGACCTGATGCAGCTCGTGGCGGTGGTGGAAGGGGCCGTGATAATGGACGAGGAGGACATCGTGGTGGGAGAGTTTCTGGAGGCGGTGGGCGTGGTTTTGCTGGAGGAAGGGGGTTTGACGGAGGCCGTGGTGGTGGTAGAGGAGCTAGGCACGGTGGGGTAGCTTCTAGAGGCGACTTGGATGATATTGCTCTTCCCAAGCAGGACTTTGGGAATTTGGTACCCTTTAAGAAGAATTTCTACATTGAGAGTCCTTCAGTTCAGTCTATGTCTGAAAATGATGCGATGATGTATCGTGCAAGAAGGGATATCACTGTTGAAGGGCACGATGTGCCTAAGCCTATTCGAATGTTTCAAGAGGCAAATTTCCCAGGTATTTCCTTTTTCATTGATGCTAATGTGGTTTTCGTTGTAGACATTCTTATGTAATTTCCTAAATCAATTCATTCAATTTCTTGTGGTAGAATACTGCTTAGAGGTGATTGCCAAGTTGGGTTTTGTTGAGCCAACACCAATCCAGGCCCAAGGGTGGCCTATGGCTCTCAAGGGTAGAGATTTAATTGGCATTGCGGAGACGGGTTCTGGTAAGACTTTGGCATACCTGCTACCAGCCTTGGTGCATGTTAGTGCTCAGCCTCGATTGGGTTAGTTTCTATCCACATTTTCATTAATTTGTGGTGTTTATCACATTATATGAGATTTTCGTTTATTATCCTCTATATATTAACCTTATTTAGTATATTTATCCACTATCCAGTGCAAGGTGAGGGTCCAATTGTGCTGATATTAGCTCCCACAAGAGAATTAGCTGTTCAAATCCAAGAAGAAGCTTTGAAGTTTGGTTCGCGCGCTAATGTAACGAGTACTTGTATTTACGGTGGTGCTCCCAAAGGACCTCAAATTCGTGATCTTCGAAGGGGTATTTGCAGTTCTTTAATTTGCATAGAATGACCAATTGCAAACCTTTTGTCATATGAGAATTCAGGATTTGCCTTATGCCAGGTGTTGAAATTGTGATTGCTACTCCTGGTCGGCTGATAGATATGTTAGAAGCTCAACGCACAGACTTGCGAAGAGTCACTTACCTTGTCTTGGATGAGGCTGATCGGATGTTGGACATGGGATTTGAGCCTCAGATTAGGAAAATTATATCTCAAGTATGTTTCTATCTCATAACTTCTCTTAATAGGATGGCCATAGTATTGCAAGGAATTTCTGCCATGTAACTTCAGATTCAAGGACTGTCATGTTTATATGCATCCAGATAAGTAATTAAGTACTGATTGCCTGTTAGTCTTCCAATTAGCTTACAGTGTTCAACCTAGCTATGTGAATGTCCGCTTAGTCTGTGCTATTTTCACCTTTTATATGAAGGAGTTGATATACCAAATTATTCATGGATATTATATGTAACTGTACTTTAAATCATGAAATCAGCTCATCACTTTGCATGTTTGGTGCATTATCAGCATGGATACAGTATGCTTTTCCTTGTAGTTGTATCGCCATTCAACTAATTACATGAAATGACTCTCTTATTTGCTGTTTTGTATAGGAAATTTAACTTGTTCTTTTTTCCCTCAATAGACATTTTTGCCCAATCAATTGCTTCCAGATGTTATTTTGTTGAGTCCATATCAACTGTTTTTGCATTACCATATTAATTCAGAATGATTTCCTTGGGACCTTTTATGCTAGGTGGAATATACACTATACATACAATATTGTGATCAATCAAATATCTGACATATATATGACCTGAATCCTGCTCTAACTTTGCACTGGCTCATATATTCATATTTACTCGTTAGTACATTCCCTTCATAATAATGGAGGAGCTTTTTTCTGAACTGGGTACTGTTTTTCTCAGATCCGACCAGATAGACAGACATTGTATTGGAGTGCCACATGGCCAAGGGAGGTTGAAACTTTAGCAAGACAGTTCTTGCGCAATCCGTACAAGGTCTCTATCATAGATGTCCTACAGTTCATAAGTTATTTGTATTTGAGTCCATTGTCTTTTTCGTAATAATTCTAGGTGTATTGACTAGTATCTTAAATTGTTATTATCTATAGGTAATTATTGGATCAGCAGATCTAAAAGCAAACCAATCAATTAATCAAATTGTTGAAGTAGTCACAGAGGTGGAGAAGTACAACAGGTTTGTCTTGTTGCCTATCGCTTAGAAAGGTTGATGTTTTAGCATAATGATAATCATGCATTACTATGCTTTGTCCTTGCAGGCTGATCAAACTGCTAAAAGAAGTGATGGATGGAAGTAAAATTCTTATATTCATGGAGACAAAAAAGGGCTGTGACCAAGTTACAAGGCAGTTGAGGATGGATGGCTGGCCAGCTTTATCCATCCATGGTGATAAAAATCAGGCTGAAAGGGATTGGGTTCTGTCTGAGTTCAAATGTGGCAGAAGTCCTATAATGACAGCCACTGATGTCGCTGCACGTGGTCTTGGTAGGATCATTATGTGACAGGAGTCTTAGTTCTTTTCGCCTAGGTCTTGAAATTTGAAGATATGCGAGTCAGCCGGCTGCTATCCAGTTTCCTAAGAATATAATTTGTGGTATGGGTGCATAAGGAGGTGCCATGATGCATAATGTCTGTCAGATAGTTTTGTAATAAAAGCAGAGACTCGAAGCAATTTGCAAGTTGGATTGAGAGGCATAATCTTTTTCTCTACATGCTCTAGGATATCCATACCCAACGAGTTTGGGACTAGTTGTTGTTGTTGCTGTTGCTCTAGAATATCCGTAAAATAGCCTGCTTTGGTATTGCCTGATTTTTACAGCTCATGTTACATGGACACAAGGAGCACTGCTGATTGATATTGCTGGGACAGCAGTTTAGGATTTCTGGGGTTGCTCATACATCATGAAGATAGCAGTATATTCTCTAGGTTGAGGAAGTGATAATGTTTATTTTTATTTTTTAATGGGGTTGGGAAAGGGAAACATAAACCAGAACTCTAGTTTCATCTGTTGCTATAATTTGCATGAATTGTTTAACACGGCATCGCTCCAATCACCAAGTGTCTAAGTAACATGGTTGAAGTTGTTGTCCCCATCCACGGATATGGAGCTGGTTTTGTCTCAGCAGCCGGATTGACTCACACATGCTTATAAATTGATTGGATAAGGATATGGTGAATGGCAGTGAAGCTGCTTCTTATCCCTGCAAGGTTAAGGTGGGCACACTTATCTGATGAATCTGTTGTCTTAAGTTGACTCAGATCTTAGGCATGCAGGGATAAGGCAGATGTATTCTTTTTTTTTTAGTATATATTTTTAGGAAAATAATTGAGGATCGTACTAACTGAAAGGCTGCACAGCCTTGGCTTACTTATCCTTGAAAAATGTTGAGCAAGACTTGTTTTAAGTTGACCTCAAGTTCGTTGATTTTCTGATAATGAAAAAACCTGATAGCTGAGTAATCTCTTAAGAGCTACTCGAGGTTGGCCACCTTACTAATGCTTCCAAGCAGAACGAGCCAATCCTGAGAGCTTAATTGTCTTGCATTGTTCCTACACTATTTTTGCTTGACTTCTATTTCTATTTGTTGTAGATGTGAAGGACATAAAGTGTGTGATCAACTATGATTTTCCTTCCAGCCTTGAGGATTATATCCACAGGATTGGCCGAACTGGTCGTGCAGGGGCTAGGGGAACAGCAATTACATTTTTCACACATGCAAATGCAAAGTTTGCTCGGGATCTTATCAAGATCCTACAGGAAGCTCGGCAGATTCTGCCACCAACATTGTCTGCTATGGCTCGTTCAGCTGGCACTCATGGAGGTAATCACTTGATTTCTCTTTATCATATAAAAGTGGAGGATTTATCCAAAGATGATTATACATTTTTTTTTTTACTTAGGTTCTGGGGGTAACTTCCGCTCTAGAGGGCGAGGAGGCTTTGGCAATCGCTCGTTAATTTCAGGATCTAATACTATTCCTCTTGGTTCAAGGAGACCTTGGTAGTGTGGAATGTTGCAGATGCTGCCGGACTGGATTCTTCAAGAAACAAGCTTTAGGGGTAGGGTGTCTAAACTAGTATGTGGTGATTGCTAATTTGCTATCTGTATATTAATTTTTCATTTTGATATCTGACCAGATTGATATTATAAATTAGGAATTCGTGCATTGGCTATTCTAATCATCGTGGTCACAAACTTAGGTGAATCCTTTTCACATTATGCACGATTATTTCGTCCCACGCTGCTGTATTTTACAATTACTTGGTTAAGGATTACTGAAATTCTTTTTGTTCATGATCATATGATCATAACCACTGAAATGGTTTGCTAATTTTTGCCTTCTCCTTTCTCATTTTCATTTGGCTTGAAAAGTTGAACCTAAAAAGAAGTCGTCTGGTAGAAATTTGATATCGAGTTTTTCATGATTTCATCCAAAAAATCAACTTCAGTTACACGGAATACAGAGCTGCTGCCTGCTGCTGGATGCAAAAGGATAGGTTTTGACAGCTAGCGCAACCTTTTGGGAAGGAAACTGGGCGAGAAAATATTGTAAGTAGGATGACAATTTGATTGGAACCTGGTATGATATGGAATGGAATATTTCAAGATACTTGGATTTTAAAGAAATTTAATTTGTTATAATCTTTTTCGACCTTAGATATGTTTTAAGATGTAAAGTTTTTAGTTTAATTTTCAATTTAGTTGTAGTAAAATAATAACTTTTTTTTTTTTAAACCATCAGTATTTGGATTGCGTTAGTAGAGACCTCCAGCTCGGAATTTAGTCACATTGAAATAATAATTTTGATCCTATATATCAGGCATCAATGTATATACAATTGGCCTTAATTATTAATTAAGGAGTTGAAATATTTCATTAAACATAATTTTTTTTTCTAAACATTAAATTTAAAAAATTTCTTAAATTTAAAAAATATTTCCTTGAAATACAAAATTTAATAGTATATTTGTTACACTTTTTTGTTTTTCACTAATATATAAATATTAAAAATAATAAATAATAAATAAAATTTCAATATATGAATTGAAGTATATTATTTCAGGTCAAGTTTGGTCCGTGAAAGGTCCCATTCTCAATGGCTGTAATATATAAACGAGTTTTGGCGGCTCAACTAGTTTCGGGCCTTCACGTCCCATAAACATATTCGCGAATTAGACTGTCTAAGCCCAACTAGAAATCTACTTAATCAAACTAAAGAGCCGACGCGCCGTCATCTCTTTTCAACGACGACGTTTCCCGCATTTTCTCCGCTCTGTCTTAAGACAATCAGGGCAAAATGGTAAAACAAGTTTACACTGACTCTCCCTTTATAAATCCCAAAACCCTAGCACCCCTTCCCTTAGCAGTTCTTCCATTTCTCTCTCAGAGCCGCCCTAATTCCATCTCTGAGCAAAAAGGGCCAAAATGACCACCCGATTCAAGAAGAACCGGAAGAAGCGCGGCCACGTGAGCGCGGGTCATGGGCGTATCGGTAAGCACCGGAAGCATCCTGGAGGTCGCGGTAATGCCGGAGGTATGCACCATCACAGGATCCTCTTCGACAAGTACCATCCTGGTTATTTTGGAAAGGTCGGTATGCGATACTTCCACAAGTTGAGGAACAAGTTCTACTGTCCTATCGTCAACATCGACAAGCTCTGGTCCCTGATTCCTCAAGAAGTGAAGGACAAGGCCAGCAAGGACAATGCCCCCTTGGTGGATGTTACTCAGTTTGGCTACTTCAAGGTCTTGGGTAAAGGCGTGTTGCCAGAGAATCAGCCGATAGTGGTGAAAGCTAAGCTGGTGTCCAAGATTGCCGAGAAAAAGATAAAGGAGAATGGTGGAGCTGTTGTTCTTACGGCTTAAGTAGTTTTGCTCTTTTAACATTGAGTTTTTGGATTACTTTTAAACTGTTTAGTGCTTGGTATTAATGGCTACTTTATTATGGTTGTTAATTTTACATTTTCGTTTAAATGGATATGAGTTTGACTGGCAAGCTGTTAAATTTATGGTTTCACATTTAGTTCTTAAGCGTTCATGCCTGTGGTTTTTTTAATGTCTGTCTTGCTATTGCTTACGATGTATATGAGTTTGAAACATTATAGATTACTATGTGATGAGGAAATGATTCTAACATAGTCGAATATAGGAGCCAGTTTTTGGAATCTAGAATTGTAGAATGTTTTTCTTACTTGATATGGTTTGTAGGATCAATCCTCCATTGGCAGAGTTGAGTCAAAAAACTCCATTTAGCTATTAGGATAAGTTTATTCTGCTTAATTACCACTGAGACATGTGTTGTGAGGTTCACAATGAAAATTAGGTAGTATCTAATCAGTTCTCATTTTAGATATTGCACTGTACTTTGTTGATTAGTTAACTGAGAATGAGCTGTTGAATGCATAATGGTAAAGTGGCCATTGATAAATTTATCTAGTAAGTTTGTTCCTGGTTATTAAAGACGTTCTGACCTTGCGTAAATCCTGCATTACTAAAATGAAAGGTTGCTGCTTTGTGTCTACCATTTGATCTGATAATCTAGAGACAAGAACACTAGTTATGAATTAATATTAGTCGGCTGTTTTTGTTAATCATTTTGATCTATAAAGCACTCTTAACTTAATTATGGTTGTTGGGTGTCTTATTCTATTGCTTTCCATGTAATTCAGAATGATTGTGACTATGTTGTTTTACGTTGATTGATTTGAGTTTTAAACACTTGGTTGCACTTAGTAATTCTGTCTCTTGATCTGCGAATATACCTATAAGTTAGGATCATATTCATGCATTCCTAGGTTGGTTGGTTAATCTAGTTTGTTTGTTGTATGTCATGGCTTGGAAGTATTAGAACCCGTATTTAGCAACGTTTATGCTTAACATGAAAATTTTAATTATGAAGGTTGGGATTTGGTTTTGGTTCTGGTTCTGGTTCGTTTAAAGATGTTATGGAAATATGACCATGAACAAAGGAGAAAGGATTAAACAAAATGATAGAGATTGAGATTGAGCATGTCTGTTGGTATCTTCAAAATATTTTATGAGTTAGCAAAGCTGAATAACGAAGAGAGACAAGCTCAGCTTGATAAAAATATACTTAAGTTTGAATTGAGTTCAGCATGACTGCAATTAAAAGCCTCATACTCAAATTCAATTTCGGCTTGTTTATTAACCGGGAGGTGGAACCCAGTTCAGTTTATTGAATGAACTTAAATGAACTTTTTAAGAATGCACAAAAGATAAAAAGAGGTTAGGTAAGCACTTGTTTACTTTTTTTTTTTTTTTTTTTTAAGTTGTGAAAGTCTCAAAATTCTTGGAAGTCCATTGGTGTCTAAAAAATATTTAAATCCTAAAACAAATTTATATTGAAGTCACTAGAAATATTTGATTTTATATGCGGGTATGATTTCTCCATTTTCATCATAGAATCAAAGCCGTCTAAACTTAGAACCTGTTTAGCATTGACTCTAGCATTAATCAATAGCTATTCTTATAACTTCTGTAGTGGTCCGTTATGGGCTGCCACTCCACCAGTTTATACATTGTGATTGATGGAATCATGACGACTTTAGCTTCGCCTACACGCCATTTACATCCCCAACGCACACAAAGTTTCCAACTGAATAATTCTGCTTATGTCTAAATTGCTGTTGTGGATATTAGATAATTTATGCGTCCACACTAATCAATCTTTTTCTTTTTCTCGTTCATAGACAAAGTCCAAAACATGTAGCGGCTGCAAATTGTTAGACAGTGGTTTTGAGATGGGACACATTTTTTCTCTTTGCCTTTTCCTTTCTTTCATGCAATTTCCGTCTATTTTTGGGAAATGAAAGGAAAGACTAAGAAACTACAAAAAGGACCATCAATCTCAGAGAAAACGAACGTGAAAACAATGATGGCCAGAAATTTAGATTACAAAGGAAGGTGCGTGAGATAAGTCAATCAAAAGAGATTTTTATTGATTTTCGTCGTGAGATTTGTCTTTGAAACTCAGTTTGTAGTTTTGCTGCCCAACTGCAAGATTATCAATAAGTTCGAATTAATATTTGAGAACAAAGAACCCTTAAATCATCATTAATAGGACTCTTAATTATTCTTAATAGGTTTTTAAAGAGAAATAATTGAGTTATTATAGGAATTAATTAATTAATTAATGTTGCAAGATTCAATTTGAAAGTGAATTTTGATTTGACGTGATTTAATTTTGGAATCTGGAATGAACGCTTACACCAAACGCATCATTTTATTATATTGCAATTTCACTATTTGATTAGATTATAACGACATGATGACATGGCAAGTGTTGTGAAATTGCAAAAGGATGACGAGTGTTTCTCTCTTGTTAATTGGAATGCAAGCCTTCTTCGCTTGTCCTCATCGTAATATCAAAATCAATATTAAAATATTATTCATGTCATTGCGCCATGTTGTTCATGTGTATACATACACGTATAAAGTCAAAATTGGTATTATTAAAAAAATAAATTTCTTAACACTAATACGCTGGTGAATTTATAAAAATAAATTGCATTTCTAAATGAATTTTTTCGTACAAAATTTTAATTTTAGTACTTTAATACTATAAAGATTCCAGTTTTATACTTATTTTCATGAATAGCGCCAATTAAATAAACCCAAACCAACTCTAATTTGATAGCAGTAATTAAATTATTTTTGAAGCCGTAGAGTTATAAGTTTAAATCCTAATTGAAGTCATTTAGTAAAAGGAAAAGACAGAAAGATTGATTGGTTTTCCTTTCTTGCAGGCATTTTCTCCTGCATTTGAGGTACTTGTACCTTAGTACTTGATTTCATGGATTGTGGTTATAGATTGATTTCCATGAATTTGCAAGGCACTAGCTTATAAGTGCACGACGTTGCTTTCTTCCATCTCTCGCTTTCTTGTTTCATGGCTGTACCACATTACTGTAAACTAAAGTGATGGATTGCTAGTGGTAGGGTTCTTTCTCATATAACACCAAAAATATGCAAAAACAAAAGTAATTGGCTCTAAGCTTTTGCACATATATAGTTATTGCTTGTTTATCTTACTGCAGCTATGTCAACTTTTTGTCATTTTACCTTTTTTTTTTTTTCTTTTTAAACCCATAAATTATTTAAAGTTTACTGATTCGATTAAGTTTGATTTATATCGGATACAGACACAAAGAAGACAAAACGATTCCTCCTAAGTATTTAAAGAAATATATACTTAAAGTTTAAACGCGAGATATCTTGTTAAATGATGTCAATTGGAAATTCATTCCATCTCTCGGGAACAATTTATCCATTCACTTCAATATTAAAAGAACTGGATTTGGAATATTTTCATTTTGAAAAAAATTCCTCAATAGATATTGTTAACCTTGTCACTGTTGCAATTGTCTTAACATCTCAGGCTTGGGTGAATCCGATATATAGTCATAGATAGCTATCATTAATTTTTTTTTTTTTTAAAATATTAGCTAGAAGTAACGTGTCAATGATTCAATGTTTGAAATTGAACTTGTTTTTCAAATTTAAAAGTATATTTTCAACTAGCTAATTAGCACTAACTCAATAGAATTTGGTTCACTTCGATAAGAACGAAATAATAAGCTGGACGTTTGTTAAAAAGGGAAGCATATACATATAAAAAAAGATTGCAAAATTTCCATTTTCAGAAAGAAAATACAAAAACGCAATTAGCGTTAGTATAATGGTATTTGGTTAGTTATGGTGGACTAATTTTGTAATGAAGAGGTTGGTGGGGGGAGGATGAGTCAGCTGTGATTTAAAAGTAAGCATCATTATCAAGTGGGATGGCCATTAGTTTCCACCATCAGATCTAATAGGATCATTTCGGATGAAACTATTTTATTTTGTTATTACAAAACTAAATAATTACATTTGACATCCTCCTTCATTCACTTTCTTGTTCCATTATCTATTCTTAATGTCTTTTCTTTTCATCTTTGATAAGTTCACAATCCATTTATTATTAATCACTTTGATTGTGTGTATAAATATGCGTTTGACAAGCATAAACCCCTTTAGTTTAATGGCATCTTTTAATTTTTAATTTCATTAATATTTAAATATTTTAATATACAAAATTACTTTTATTAAACAATTTAATTGCACAAATGATCCATTAGACGCTTAGCTAATAAATGAAATTGATAATAGTTAAAAAATATTATTAACTTTATAACTATAGAATCAATCTCAATACATACTCATCAAAATTTAATGTCATTAAATTAAAGTCGTAAAGGGACATTTATGCATTTGGTGATTCTTTTAATCTGATATTACAATTTCCCTAATGGAGCTTAGCGACAAATGGGATTAAATTAACAATATAAATATATTTTCTATTAATAATGAATTATCTCGCTTTGGCTTTATTATAAAAGATGTTTTATTGTTATTTATTATTAAAAAAAAAAAAATCGACAAGAAAGATGCTTGCGTGGAAGAAATGGCATCCCTAAGGATGGCCATAGGCAGGGCAAACCTCACCTAGTCACCTCAATTACCGGTAACTGGTGAGGCATAGCGCAGCCTGAAACAATTGAACACTTTTATTGGTGAAATTGGAGTTTACCCTTAATTATATGCACGTTTTCTGGCATTTTTGTTTATTGATGAAATTGCAATTTGTTAACAAAAAAATTAAAAAAAAAAAAAAATTGGAATGGCAAGATCCAAGCAGATGGCCAAACCAGCATGCCTGTCCTTTATTTTTCTAATAAGAAAATCCATACAAAACTCCAAGTTTGCATTACTATATTAATTCTGATGGCACATGAAGTGTTTTTGCCTCTCATCTCATTGTATCAGATTTATATGGATCCAGTGTTGTTTGCCTTGACTACCATATTAAGTAGTCTAATAAAAGAAATCGAATTTTTAATATTTTATCTTCTTTTCAAAAGATCCGACTTTTTCAAAAAAATATTTTCCAAGCTCACCAATAGAATTTTGTTATTAGTTCTCTTAAAAAAAAAAAAAGAGGAAAACCTAGAATTGTGAATTTTGAATTATTCAAAATTTTTTAAGTTGAGAATATCTTTTCGTAATATTAATTTGAGATTTTTTAGTATTTATTATTGTTATTTTAGTTAATTACGGCATAATGATATCGACACTAAGACAGTGAACATAGTTTCTAGAAAATAATTTATCTAAAAAATATTTTTCTAATTTTCTAATGTTAAGATGTTGATAAAAACGTGGTTACATTTATGCATAAATAAATAAAATTATGTACAAGTTGATTCATGGGCACAAAATGTTTAGAGCAACTAATAACGGGTGCTATTTCAAATTTCACAAAATGTTTGGAGCATTTTAGATATTAATGGACCAGAGAATCTTTTCTGCTGGTATATAACTATATATTAATGGAGTATTAAGAAGATTGTTTAAATATCTAACGTTTCAACTTCTTAAAAGTACATAGTTTGCGCATACAAGACCGTTTGGAAAACGGGGGATATATTTTATTGTCGGCAATTTTACAAATATTGAAAGTACGAGTCCTTATACGAAAATATGAAAGATCTTGGCTGGCCTTATCATTGTAATATCAAAAATTGGTTTTTGACCCTAATACATGTCCATTAGCACAAGCAGATCCTCCTATCAGAACTACTTATCTTATTATCGGGGTCCCATTGATAAGCCCCCTAAACATGCAACAGCCGAATCCCCCTCATATCTCTCTCCCTTATCCTCTTCATTTTTACACAGCTTGCACTTGCTGTGAAATAAAACATCAAAATTTAAAAAAAAATAATAATAATAATTATTATAAAAGCTCGAGTAGGATCTATGCACGTGGGACACCCCTCTTATATATAACTCTTCTCTGATCTCTCTCTTTCTCCTCCATAGCTATTTCTGTCTTTGTTCTCCAGATCACTCACATTCCCTTTCTCTTCTTCAGTTCCATGAATATTTACACATTTTTTCTCTGTAAAACCTAAAACAATCGCGAAAGGCCAAGAAAAGGAAAAGGAATATTTCTCTATCTCTCTTTATTTCTAAGTTTATCGAAGCTTATTTTCGGAGAGAGTTATTTAGAGTGGAAGAGAGATAGAGAGAGATAGTGAGGTAGTAGTAACGAAGAGAATTTGCTGTATGTCAGTAGATTGTGTTGAGACTTACGTTGGTGGAATAGGCGAGCTCGCGAACCCTCTGCAATGGCCTCAACTCCGAAAAAGACGACGCCTCCTTCTTCATGTTGCGTCTCTGAGAGCGACTCGACTACCGCTCGCCGTGAGGCCGCTCCTGTGCCGTCATCGGTGGTGGCTAATGCGGTGCAAGATTGGAGCGATCGCCGTCGCGACGATCAGGTTGGCGAGAAGGCTGCCATCTCGACCTTAATTCGCCCTGTTGATTCGGTATCCGAACCTTCCACGAACGCCACAACCAAAGGTAGCTTTGATCTTTTTGTGTTTTTGCCTTGCTGTTGATTACTTTTTCTTTTTTCAATGAGACATCGATTTTGCTTTTCTTTTTACAAGTCACATGACTTATTTATTTGCTGATTGAAATTTAAAGGATCCATTGTATATGTCCATCGAAGATAACTGTTGTAATCATTGCAAGATCGGCTTAATATTTTGTGAATTGCTAAATATAATATTCTTCGTTTGATTTTTGTAAAGTTACTTTGTTCTATGTTCATAGAGAACGAGACTTGGTGCATGCTTTACTATAAAAATGAGAATAGTCATGTGTTTGTGTGCAACTGAAGTAAGTTCTTGCACTAGATTATTCAATTGTCATTTGACTTTGTTGTAATTTTTCAGCTGCCATCCCAGTCATGTTGAGGGCCCAAACCAGGCATCCATTGGATCCTTTATCTGCTGCCGAAATCTCTGTTGCAGTGGCTACTGTCCGAGCTGCTGGAGCTACTCCTGAGGTTGTCAAAATATACTTTGACTCTTGCTTTTCCACTTTGTATGGTAGCTAATCAACATTTTTCCTTTCAGGTCAGAGACAGCATGCGTTTCATTGAGGTAGTGCTTGTGGAACCAGATAAAAACGTTGTTGCATTGGCAGATGCATATTTCTTCCCTCCTTTCCAACCATCATTGCTTCCCAGAACAAAAGGTGGACCTGTGATTCCTACCAAGTTGCCTCCAAGGAGAGCTAGACTTATTGTTTATAATAAAAAGTCAAATGAAACAAGTGTATGGATTGTGGAGCTGTCAGAAGTACATGCAGTAACTAGAGGTGGACATCACAGGGGAAAAGTAATTTCATCACGAGTTGTTCCAGATGTTCAGCCTCCAATGGTTTTCTTCTAACCTTTGTTATTTCTTATTGTTTTAGTCTAGTCAGAGTCAATCAAGATTAAAGCTGATCATTGGCAACTACTTTTAACAGTATCAGGCTTGTTCCTAAGGAAATGCTCATGAAAACATCATTTTAAAAACATATGATTGTACATGCTCAATCATTCAGAAATATCACTAATCTTTGACACAAAACATAATATTTCTTGCAAGACCCAACTTACCCAGTGTTCTTGTGATGGGAAGCAATTTATGTGCAAACTATTCATTCTTCTTCATCGGCTTTGTATCATGAAAATGAGTTTAGGTGCTTGATATAATATAGCAATATCAGTAGAGTTCTGCAAATAAATTTCTTTCATAAATTCGGGCGATGGGTGTATTGAAAGGGTTGCTTCTTGAATTATTTATGCTCTCACAGCATTTGTTTTCATTTTGTTCTAATTCTTTCCTTAATTTAGGATGCTGTTGAATATGCTGAATGTGAAGCTATTGTAAAAGACTTCCCTCTATTTAGGGAGGCAATGAAGAAAAGAGGTATCGAAGACATGGAACTTGTTATGGTTGATGCCTGGTAAGCTTAGAGCTAAATGGGATTGATTTCTGTAAAATTGTGTTGGAAAGTTGCTCCGTTGTACTGTGCTTTTGTTGATATTTTGATGTACATATGTATACTGCAGGTGTGTTGGTTATCACAGTGATGCTGATGCTCCTAGCAGAAGACTTGCTAAACCTCTTATTTTCTGTAGAACAGAGAGTGACTGCCCAATGGAAAATGGTTATGCACGCCCAGTGGAAGGCATCTATGTGCTTGTTGATATGCAGAACATGAAGGTGATTGAATTTGAAGATCGTAAACTGGTTCCCTTACCTCCAGCTGATCCATTAAGGAATTATACTCCTGGTGAAACACGGGGTGGTGTTGATAGAAGTGACGTGAAACCTTTACAAATAGTTCAGTCTGAAGGTCCAAGCTTTCGTGTCAACGGGTACTTTGTAGAATGGCAAAAGGTACATGTTGATTTCTTTTTTCTTTTTGCATGTTTTATGTAGCTTGGTACATTATACTGAACACTATCATTGTATTATTGCTGTTTGGCAGTGGAACTTTCGTATTGGATTCACTCCTAGAGAGGGTTTGGTTCTACATTCTGTTGCATATGTTGACGGTAGTAGGGGGCGAAGACCTGTAGCCCACAGGCTAAGCTTTGTGGAGATGGTTGTTCCGTACGGAGATCCGAATGAACCTCATTACCGGAAAAATGCTTTCGATGCAGGGGAAGATGGCCTCGGTAAAAATTCACATTCTCTTAAGAAGGTCTGCAAACAACTTCAATCGGTGTGCATTAGATTATTGTTTATTGTTCAATCACAATTAAAATTATGAATTTCAGGGATGTGATTGTTTGGGATATATCAAATACTTTGATGCCCACTTCACAAACTTCACAGGAGGTGTTGAAACAATTGAAAATTGTGTATGCTTGCATGAAGAGGATCATGGAATTCTGTGGAAGCATCAAGACTGGAGAACAGGTTTAGCAGAAGTGCGAAGGTCTAGACGGCTGACGGTCTCCTTTATATGTACAGTTGCTAATTATGAGTATGGATTCTACTGGCACTTCTATCAGGCAAGTTTAAATGGCACTTCTGTTGCTGGATCTTGTTGCCTGTGATCTGTGAGTGATGGTTGGGGTTGGTGGGAGGAGTTGGAAATGATGAAGCTTTGTAGAACGCCTTAGATTGTATGTGCTAGTTATGCTTCAATTCATCAAGTGCTTGAAGCAGATTGTGTTGAGAGCCTATTTTAAATAGGACTTTCACAATACAAGTTATATCTTGGCTTCTGTATATGAGCTAGCAGTGCCTTTATTCTGGAATGGTGATTTAGGCTTAGTGGAAAGCCATGCTTTGAAGCTGCAACTCTTTTGTTTTTGCAACATATGTTGATGCTATTGGATGGTGTAAATTTTTGTTGTTGCAGGATGGGAAAATTGAAGCTGAAGTTAAGCTTACAGGAATCCTCAGCTTAGGGGCGTTGCAACCTGGAGAAACCCGAAAATATGGCACAACCATTGCTCCAGGTCTATATGCACCAGTTCATCAACATTTTTTTGTGGCCCGAATGAACATGGCTGTTGATTGCAAACCTGGTGAAGCTTTCAATCAGGTAGCTGCACTGAATTCAGAAATTTCTAACTTTTTAACCTGTTACAAGTTTGTAGGTGTTCAGGTGATGTAAGACCTAGCGGGTTTTGGATGGGAGATATATTTATGGCTGAAAGTTCAGTAAAACCTCATTTTTCTTGCGCTTTGCTTACTCGGTTTGTTCAGGGCTTCAACAATACTGTTCATAGTGTTATTTGGATCGAGTCAATACTTCCTAAGGAAATAGTCTGAGAAGTCTGAAGTCTTTAGTCACTTATGACCAGCACAAAAGACACAAGATGAAGGGATATTCTCACAGCTCTTTAAAAGGGAGAGCTCTTCTAATTTGTAGATATTGATTTTTAGGACTAATTATTAACCTCTTCTTCTCCTGCAAAAAATATAAAGGCTTGTTAAAGATGGCTGCTAACTAATAATTAAGTTAGTACAATGGTTAAAAATGTGTCTTGCTGCTCTTCAAAGATGGATACAGACTAAGAAATAGTTGAAGCTGTCTGGCACATTAGCTGTTCAAGGTTTTCTAATAAAAATTGTGAAGCTCTTCTCTGTTCTGAGGCCTCATAGTGTGTGCTTCTCCATATAACTATTATCTAATAATTATTTCCTCATCAATTATATGCATAGGACTAGGGATTTCTGAGAAAGCTTCTGAATTTTGTAAATATAGTTATGCAATTTCATGGAGGCACAATAATTATGTGAACTGTGACATGTCCAATTAACTTCAGTCCTTGTAACCATCAGGACTGAACCATCAGGATTTCTGGGATGGTGTCAGGTTCATGCCTTTTGCAAGCCACACTGTAGTGTTTGTTTCTATTCAATACATTATATTAGCTATTCTTATTCATTTATTTTCATTTTTCTAGGTTGTTGAGGTGGATGTTAAAGTTGAGAAACCTGGGGAGAACAATGTGCACAATAATGCATTTTATGCTGAAGAGACACTTCTCAGATCAGAATTGCAAGCAATGGGAGACTGTAATCCTCTAACAGCTCGCCATTGGATTGTAAGGCATTCTTTCCCTGGCTGTAGAGTGTTTTTTCCCTCATTAATCACTGTCAACAACTAGTATTTCTTTTGTTTTCTTTTGATGGAGCATCATACCTCTTGATGTATGCATTCCCTTACCTATCAGTTTTGCATTGTTGCATTATGTTGCATGGAACTAAGATAATTTGATTCTTTTTTGAATGGTATCAACTCATTTCCTTTTAAAGAAAGCATTTTGAAAAAGAAAATGTAATAAGCATTGTGCGGAAGTGGGCCGAATATAATCATTTCATCTTGGTACAGTTGCTAAATGCTCCTTCAAACAGGGAATGCTAGCTTTTTCCCCCTTTTCCTGATGAGATCTTCTTTTGTTTACTTTGTAAATATTTATTTTAATCTTGGTCTTTAACCTTAGCCGAGCACTTGAAATTTTCCAATGTAGAGTACCAGAGCCGGAGATTGATGTTGGTCCCATTTGCATTAGGCTTTTCTTATTCCTTTTCCTGTTTCATATTTCTTTTCTTGAAAGATTTTGCTAAAGTAAGCCCAACTTCATTCTATCTTCACAGGTAAGAAATACTAGAACTGTTAATAGAACAGGACAGCTAACAGGGTACAAGCTTGTGCCTGGTTCAAATTGTTTGCCATTAGCTGGTCCTGAAGCCAAGTTTTTGAGAAGAGCTGCTTTTTTGAAGCATAATCTTTGGGTCACACCTTATGCACGTGATGAGATGTTTCCTGGAGGAGAGTTCCCTAACCAAAATCCACGTGTTGGTGAAGGACTGGCTACATGGGTAAAGCAGAATCGACCTTTAGAAGAAAATGATATCGTTCTTTGGTTAGTTGACATTATCCCAACTCATACATACGTATGTATATTATTATCGTTATCTCATGTACACATGCTCGTAGATGTGTTGTTGACACTGACAACTGCACCTTTGAATAAATATAGTTAGCCTTTAAATCACTCGTATGGGTTTATGATCATTATTATGTTTGAGGACTCTGACTGACATGGTAAAGTTGGAAACTCTGGAAACTGGAAGCTATGTATCTGTTATTTAGCTTATGCTTCTTGAAGTTAATATTATCCAGAGTATGCATAGGTTTCTTATTTGATCTTCCTATTTGGTATAATGGCACTGAACAAACAAGGATGGTGGTACCTATTGCAGTGTCATAAGTTCATACCACCATTAAGACGTGAATGGTGTATTTTGTGACCTTTTAGGGCATTTTTGGTATTGTTGTTTTTCAAAGGATTGAAATTTTTGTGCATCTTGTAATGGCATGTGACTGCTTGTTGCAGGAAATGATGTTCTATGACAAAATAATATATGAAAAAAAAGAGTGCTTTTGTGTCAATTTCTCCAACCCTTGCCATAATTGTTTTTCCTGTACTGCAGGTATGTATTTGGGATCACACATGTTCCTCGGTTAGAAGACTGGCCGGTAATGCCGGTAGAGCGCATTGGTTTTATGCTTTCGGTAATCACTTTCCCAACAGATTTTGTGTTTCTTTTGTTTGCCAATATAAATCCGATATAGGTAAATTGTTGATAATTGTTCTTTCAAGTAAAATTGGGTTAGATGTCTAATTATGATTTAAGAAAAGAATATTTTAATGTGGCCTGAAATTGCTGGCTGAGTAGAATATTCCCCTTAACGATATTTTTTTTTTTTTCTCTGTGCGTCTGATATATATGAATCAATGCAGCCGCATGGGTTCTTCAACTGCTCTCCTGCTGTGGATGTGCCACCCAATGCGTGCGAATTGGATGCCAAAGAAACTGATGTCAAAGAAAATGGCGTAGGGAAGCCAATCCAAAGTGGGTTGCTGTCAAAGCTCTAAAGTCCACCTCTAAAACGGAACTCCATATCCAGTGGCATTATAGCAACTAAGCCAATGACAAAGATCATTGCTAGTCGTTTTTATTTGGTCCATCAGGAAACGTCATCAGGATTTATTTCTTTCCACTCTTGGTTTGATTTGACCTTTTTGTTTATGTGTCGTGGATTTTAATTATGTTTGGTTTTTTTTATTAACACGAATTAAAGAATGTCTTTTTTTTTAAGGGGTGAAAAAAAAAAATAATCAGCAACCACATCGTACCATTATTTATTATAAGCAGGCATTCTGGTTGTTTTCTTGGTTATCTTGACCTCGACTTACATCGATAACGACTGTCCACGTGGATTTACTACGGTGTGAATGCATTATCATAGGTTTCATAATAAAGTGATGTTAATCTACTATCTAATAGTAATATAGTATTATTAATTTACTCTAGTGGAAATGTGCGATACATCTGGATCTCTACTTTATTAAAGTTATGCTCTGTTTTTCTTTGGTCGAGATAAAGAGGGCATCCTCGGGATCTTTTTAATATAAGAAAATAACTATGAAAAATTATCTTAATAAAGTTTTCCCTCGTTTGAAAAAGCTGAGGAAATTCTCAATTTTTAGGTGAGCTCATAGTTGAAATTCTTTGTTTGAGCATAGAGTTAATTAGGGTTTTCTTGCAAATTTTCAACAACAATATTTTCTTTCTTTTAATTTGTTTTTTTTTTCAAACAAAGAAAAGTAAAATTCCTTTATATTTTCATTCTATCCGAAAAAATTAGACAATGTTTTATTTTTTCCCTGTTGTATTTTAAACATAGTGTTAATGTTACTTCATGTGTGTTTTCCATTGAAAAACTTTCAGTGGCAAAGATCCGTGCCTGATTTTTGATTTCGTGATTATATTTTCCAGTTTCACTTCGAGTCAGTCAAAACTACGAGAGGGCCCAAAATAATTTTCTAGCCCACACACTGTCCATGTGATTTAATTGAAATGTCAATTTTCATTTTCCCCCAACCCCAACCAAAGTTCGTTTTATTTTATTTTAAGAAAAGAGAATTCAAACTTGGTCACCACATAACTTTTTCTTATTGCACAGTGGACACCCACGACAAGCATCATATCCTCAAATTAATTAATTATTACCCTCTGAAATTTGAATAATTAAATAACTAATCCTAAACGACCACCTCCTCCGGTTTCACAATCAATTACTCTTATCAAGATATATATTACAACCGTGTCAGTCCAAATCCAAAGGAAGCAGTCTCTGCTCTGCAGCACCAACTTCTTGATTGCTCAAAATCTATTTAAGTACGAGGATTTTTGCCTAATAATGATATAGAAGAAGAAGCAGGAGGAGGAGGAGGAGGAGGAGACAAATAAGGGAAAAAAAAAAAAAAAGAAAAGAAAAGAAAAGAAGAAGAAATGGCTGCTGGTGCTACTACAGTGACTTCCCTTGAAGAAGGGAAGAGTCTTCAAGAAGAACTCACTCTTCCAATTTTACTTGCGGATCGGGTGACTAAAGCGGCTAAAGAAGCTGAATCCTCCAAGCAAGATTGTTCCCAGATAGCCGAACAAGTTGAACGCCTCTCTGCTAAGCTACGATCCACCGTCCGCCGTGCCGCCACCACTCCTTCCATCTACGACCGCCCTCTCCGCCGTATCGCTTCCGATATTACCAAAAACCTTGAACGTGCTCTTACTCTTGTTCGTAAGTGCAAGCATAGCGGTGTTCTCCGTCAGGTCTTTTCCATTACCTCCACTGCTGATTTTCGCAAGGTCTTCAGTCTTCTTGAATCTTCTATCGGAGACATGGAATGGCTCTTGTCAATTTATGAGCCTGATGGAGGTACTTATCTCTCCCTCCCTCCAATTGCTAGTAACGATCCTATTCTCGCTTGGGTCTGGTCTTATATATGCACTATCCAGATGGGTCAACCCAAAGACCGCGCCGATGCAGCTAATGAGCTCGCTTCTCTAGCAAAGGACAGCGATAGGAACAAGAAGATGATAGTGGAAGAAGGAGGAATTTTGCCATTATTGAAGTTACTTAAAGAAGGCCTGTCTCCTGAAGCACAAATTGCAGCTGCAAATGCCCTCTCCAATATTGCCACGGACCGAGAGAGAGTTAGGTCTATTGTGGACTTGCTTGGGGCTCCTATTATCGTTGGCGTTTTAGGTGATTCTCCAATGAAGGTTCAAATTGTGGTTGCGAACTTGGTGGCTCGCATGGCGGAATTGGATTCATATGCACAAGAAGAGTTCGTGAGAGAGAACGTGATTCGACCATTGGTATTGCTGTTATCTATTAACTTGGATTTGGAAATTCCTAATCATCAGTCTGGTAAAACTAGCATTCACTCGCTGGTTCAGATGAACAAAGAATTAACTTATAAGAATATGAGAATTAATCATAGTCATTCTTTAAATTATCATTCTGATAGTAGTAGCCATGGTAGTTCCCATTACAAGAAGGAAAGGGAGATGGAACCGCCTGAAGTGCAGCTTAAGCTTAAGGTTAATTGTGCAGAGGCATTGTGGAAATTGTCTAAAGGGAGTTTATCAAACAGTAAGAAAATTACAGAGACTAAAGGGCTGCTTTGTTTGGCTAAAATTATTGAAAAGGAGAAAGGGAAATTGCAGTTAAATTGTTTGATGACTGTTATGGAAATCACAGAAGTGGCAGAGTCCAATGCTGACCTTAGGCGTTCATCTTTTAAAACCAATTGGCCTCCTGCTATGGCAATTTTAGATCAGCTTTTAAGAATAATTAAGGAAGAAGATGATATAAGTTTGCAGATTCCTGCTATTCGATCAATTGGCTGCTTGGCTCGAACTTTCCCTGCTAGGGAGACTCGAATAATTGGTCCTTTAGTTGCTCATCTAGGTAATAATAATGTGGATGTGGCAACTGAAGCAGCTATTGCTTTGGCGAAATTTGTTTGTCCAGATAATTTCAACTGCTTTCTACATTCCAAAGCAATTATAGAGTTTGGTGGGGTTCGATCTTTGATCAAACTGATACGGAGTGGTGATCGAGCTCAAATGCATGGTCTAGTATTGCTATGTTATCTTGCACTCAGTGTTGGTAATAGCAAGGCTCTTGAACAAGCCAGAGCTTTAAATGTTCTTACAGGCGCAGCTCGTCATGTGATAGCTCAACATCCTGAGTTGAGGGATTTGTTTGCCAAGGCTATACATCATCTCACTCTTTATCAGCATGGAGCTCATCAGCAGATTCAGTCATTTTAGTAACATATCTTGTATTAAATTGAAATCTAGTATCTTCAAAAGAAACATTTGTTTATGAAGAGATGGTTTTTCCATGAGCTTGACTGTAAATTTTCGAAGATGCACATGATTTAAAGGCATTTTCTTGCCCTATTTTTAATGGATTGCTAAGGTTTTCATTTTGCTGTTATTTGCACAATCATTTTCCCCTCTCACTCTCTCTCTCTCTCTCTCTATATATATTATCTTTTCAACAAACAGCCTCACTGAATACAGCCCTGCAATTATTTTGCTTATTGTTGCATCTTCCAACTCCATTTACTTGAGGCGAGTAAATGTTCGTCTACAAGTTTCACTAAGAACTTTATAATTCTGTCATTTGCAGAATGGTTTGAATGCCCTGGTGACTCGATCAATGGCATTGGTCTCTGCAAGATCACTGTAAGCTACAAGCTTGTTACTTCTGTGTCTGGTCGTTAAAGGGTTGAGGCCAATATATTTTTTTCCCTGATATGATTTTTATGTGCGAGGAAAATAAATTTTGTTTTCACTCTTCTAAGATGTCATCTTTATTTTTGTTTTAATTGTTGATCTAGTGCATTCAGTAAGATTATTTTGCAGTATTCCTTCGTTTTGTACTAAAATAATCAAATTGTAGTCTTTGGAGATGTAAGTTAGAAGTTTTTTTTTTTTTTTTTTTTTTTTTTTTTTTTTAGTATTGACAATACATTATACATAGTATTTCATAATTTGATGGGCAATGCCGGCCTTAACTTGCCGTGTATTTTCCCATAGAATTCACTGATTCACTAATATTTCACGCTTCAAAGCATAAGATTTTACTTTCCTTGTATGAAATATGATAAAAGTTATCGCTATGAGGTTATAAGAAAATTGAAAATGTAGTCAGTGCTTTTGCAGGTGGAGGAAAATCTGGCATCTGAATAGCCAAAGACGTGATATTAAGAGTACAGAATTCATTTGGGTTGCATCAAAGAAGTGCTAGTAATCTTCGCATCTCGATTGTACCTGAATTCTGTGGAATTGGCTGTCTGCTGCTAATTTGGGATCATCAGCATGTGCTTATGGTTGACAGGTGAGAATGTTGAGATAGTATTACCAATGTTCAAGAAATGGTTTCTAACCAGTCTATTTTCTATGTATGGTAGCTCAAAGTTGGTCCCCTTAAAGCATTCATAGTACAGTTATGAAATATACAAACCAAAATCACTAGTTCCATGTCTGTTCTTGATCATTTTTACGCATGTCAACATCAGACATTTTTGTGGCTATAGTTTGTATCAACTCTTCAAATCCGATAGGTAGTCTCTCCTTATCTCTCTCTGCACTTGGTGTAAAAGTTCAATAACTATAGAACTTTTTCTTCATTTTCTGAAGTAGACAGAAGAGATCTTGGCTTTCCATGTATACAAGGAGGCAGTAGAGGTCGTTTATAATTATTACTGTCGTTTAGTCGTGTGTGTTTTTTAGCTTATTTGTTTGCTAAATGTCACATTCAGCGATAAGCTTATAAGCGAAATAATTTACCTCTACTTTCCTTACAGTTTCCTTTTATCTGATTATTGCTTATCAGAAGCTCAGTCACGTCATCTTCAACAACTGTATACAGACAGGAGGAAAATGTAAGCTACTCCACAGGTAAAAATAAAATTTGCATGGATATTAGTGTTGAAGTAGTAAAATTCTTCAAACCCCACATCACAGTAAGTTGCCTTCCTAAGAAATCCAGCATTTGTAAGGTAGCCAGTTCTGTACTTACATGTACCAAGTGGCTGAAATGTTATTGTTATGTGCAAAAACTGTTTGATTTTGAGACCCACAGGCCACTGATGGTTTTGTTTCTTCTTTAGTTGTCATAAAGAAAAAGAAAGGACAGGCAAACGTGGCCTTCTCTCATCCACTTATGAGAATTCCCTTTTGGCCTTTTCAGAAATTTGTAGTCTCTTGAAGCTTCTTCCTGTGGATTTTTATGGTAAGGACACTTGGGTTCTATCAATTCATATTGTATTCTTTAATTTTCGCATGTCACTGAATTTCATTAAATGCCCATATGTACGAAAGGTGTATAACATTTAATGTTATGTCTCCTACATTGGACTATTTTTCTACCTATTTTGGTAAAATTTTTCTTTAGTTTGTATTCTGATTCTAATTATCTTTTGTAAAGTGAAGAATTTGTCGTCATATTAAGATTTAAGAGAACTTTTCTGAAGGTGACTTTAGAGATTTTAAGCTTATCGAATGCAAGTTTAGGACCAATCAGTGACTGAGAGAGGGAAGGAAGGCCAGGCTCCTATCCCAAAAAGATTTTCTAAATTTGCTATTTAATTTTTTTTAACCCTTTGTCTCCCTAATTTTGGAAATTCAAATTACATATATATACTACCCCTAAATTTTGGAAATGCAAATTACTAATAATAATATATGATATAATATAATATAATATATATTATATATATTCACACTTCAATATATTCACAATCACAATTACAAAACAAAAAAGATACAAACTTAAAACTTATATCCGTATATTACTAGTCTATTGAATTAGGTCTAATTTTACTCAGTTCAAAATTAGATCTATAGAAGAAAATATTTTCAATAGAGATTTTATCCTTTCAAAAGAATCAAACGATTGATCTCTTTCTCAAAAGACCTAAGTTCTTTCCATTTTAACCAACCCTGTTGATGATGATACCATGACTTTGTTAGTGAATGGAAAAGTCTTTCTATCGTTCAAAGATCACATAGATGACAGAAAATTTCCCTCTCATTTTGTCTACCAAAGAGTCGCTTCAGCAAATCAAAGGATCCCAAACCGAAAATGGCCCATTGGATCTAATCTATTCAATTTCGAACAACTTGTCGTTTATTTATGTTGTTCGAAAGGTCGGTCAACAAAGCAATGGAAAACCCCTATTAAGAAAGCGCAAATACCAGACTGCTGCGCCATCGTTTTCTGGGCTCAAACCCTTGAGTCTTAGGCCCTCCATTTAAAGCGAGCACAAGATATTTGACAGTTTCGGGCTAAACGTTACAAGCCCAAATCCCAAGCTAAAAGTGAAAAGCCCATGAATAATATAGCCTAGTCTGGACTTTGGACTGGAGTATCTAAAAACAATTTCGAACATTTTTATATTTAACATAAAATAATTTAAAGAAAAAAAAATAATATTGAGATATTATTTTTTATGTCGTGAATTGTGAACAAAAATAAATATACAGAATATTTAATTGTTAAAGTAGTTAAATTAAAATTGAAGGACTTAGTTGTTAAAAAATCAAATATACTCTACTGGCTTCATTATTAAGTTAAATTAATTTAATTCTTAATGTTGAATTAATGGAGTAATTAGCTTGATAATTACATACATATTTTACAATTATTTTATGATGATTAAATATTGAACATCATACGAGGCTCAAGTAAACAAAATTTTGAAATTTCTTTAAATCAATGAGCCATCAAACACCAACTACCAAATATTGAATCTTGGATAAGTAGCAGCCAATATTGAGAGCTAGCTTAAAGTGCTGTCTATAGTATCAAGATATAACAAATTTTATTTTCTTAATCAAAATAAAAAAAAAAAAAAAAAATCAATCAACTTGTCCATTTTTATGTATTTTCTTCTAATGAGTGTCAACTAATTAAAAATCAATAGAAAATGGCACCATCATCATTGGAAAGAAAGAACATAACTTCCTTAAACCCAAGAGTCCTTAACCTACATAGCCATAGAAAATGAAATCAGAAAGCGATCTCTCATATTACTTCTATAATTAGCTAGAAGAAACAATCATTAATTATGTAATTAGAAGTTTCATTGCTCAATTTAAAAAAGAGGGCAATAACTAGAGTCATGGAAACACGTTTTTCTTCTCTTCTCTTTTTTTATTTTCAAGAAAAAGAAAAAGAAAAATAAAAATAAAAATCATTAGGTAGCTTATCTTTGATCAGAAGCTACAAGAAACTTTAAACTTACGAAAGAAATTCATTAGGGTTCTTTGCCATTTCTTGTTTAAGGTCATTATTATTACTGTTAAGCCTAACAAGAAGTTCAGTTCTGTACTGTTAAGTCTCAATCATCATTTGCAGGGCCTCATATTTTTATATACATAGGCTTTTTGACTTCAGATATTTGATTATTGGGCGATTAGCTCCATAACTTTAAAAAAATAGAATCATTATTATCAGTAGGAATGAGATGTTTAGAAATGTTTTTTCAAGATTTGCAAGTTTTTTCATTTTTACGTCACTGGAAACAATCAGATTAACACGACACTAAAAAGTGTCCAATTCTTGAAATTGTTTTCCTTTTAACACTTTAATTCTGTTGAAAGCAATCTTTTTAGAAATATATATAAGTTTTCTGCAGATTAATGTCGAAATAATATTTATTATTACGTAAAACGAGTAAAATCAATAAGCAAATAAGGAGCAAGGAAAATGATTCTAACTTGTAAAATTCCTTTTTCTGAGCTTAAGAAATGTCACCATAAGTAATAATAATATGGCATTACGAGTGGGGCTAATTATGAACAAAGCCTGAAGTAATAATGATTTGGACTTTCGATTTCCAACTCTTTTTTTGTTGTTTATGCTACTCAACTCGTGCTTATTGATTACCACCAAGGTTTTATTCATCAAAACACATAAACTTAATTAATGTTTCACGAGCTATACATCTTTTCTGAGACAGAAACAGAGATATTTACTAGTGGCATAATCAATAAATCGGATCTCAAATCTGAATGAAATCAATTAATCTCAAGTCAACCATGTAAATTTCTCTTTATCGGAACTGTTGTTTACCAGGTGAAACTGAAACATACAAGTAAAAGTAGATTCTTTGTGGTATTGACTTGAGACATTTCTTTTATATTATAGATACAATAATGGAAGTCTTGTCGGTGTAGTAATGGTTTTTTACCATGGAACCAAATTTCTAAATTAGCTATCATTAGACATGTAAATATATAAAGCATACCAATTGCATTTGTCGGACCTCGTTTTTTGACCAAAAATGTCAGGCTTTCCAATTTTCTGACCAACAAAAATCTGGTACATGTCTTAGTACTTCACTCCTTTTCTTTTTCTTTCTTTCACTTCTGTTTCCTTTAATTAGAAAGTTACAGCTTTGTCGGCATACTTGTATAGTGGTACAAGTATTAAAGTAGAAGCACCCTTAAAAGCTTTTTATTTCAATTTTGTTCTTCCCATCAATGCATTTTTATGTTCCATTCGTGTAGAGATATTATTTTTTTTATATAAAATTATATTTAAAATACCGTTTTTCTTTCCCTTTATTGTATTTTCGCATTTCCATGGTCAACAGAAGTAATAATATATAGAAAGCATTTTAATTATGTTTTATTTAATTTTGCTTTTACTTTTTTTTTTTTTTTTTTTTTTTGCTTATCTCCCTCATGTTATAACAATCAGTACTTAGGGAACAAGAGAAAGTGTTAGATGAGATTAGACAAATGATAAGTATGATAGCTTGCCATGTTAATCTTTATTATCCCATTGGAACCTAAATTTACGGTGTCCGTTAAAGCTTGAATTTCCACAACTTTGATGTAATACTAATAGGGTTAATGCCTATTATATCCATACCTCCGTTTATTTCATCTATCAACAGTACTACTGCTATTATTATGTCTCCTCATCTTATTCTTTTAAAAAAATACTCTATACTCAATGCTCGAACTTAAAATATCTGATTAAAAGAAAAGAGATTTTTGTCGTCTCATTTTAACCTTAGGAAATTATTATATTGTACTGTGATATTGTGCTATAAGAAGTAGGGAGGGATAAAATCTGGGTCTCACCACTTACTATTAGACTACATATCATATCTGAAGCCGTTTTTGTTTGGTATAAAGGATAATCAGTGAAGCTATGCCCAGCTGATAATAACGTTAGAAGAACATACACTGATCAATTTTAGTAGGAGCTACATAAAATATTAGACAGGTCTAAACATAGAGTAAATTTACTGATCAATCTATATAAACTACTTGGTATAGACCATGTTACTCCAAATTTAATGGTGGCGCAGACTTTTGTTTCCGCTGTCTTAGGTACGATAGTTTGGAGCAGCTTTTTCCTTTTTTTTTTTTTTTTTTTTTTTTTTTTCTATCTATCTCTGTACCGAGTACCAACCCCTTCCTTTCTCTTTCTCGTGATGTAAACAAAATGATGATGATTGTGATATTTGGTTCTGATGATGAGGAATCTCTTGTTCCCTTTCCTTTTAGGTATCTTTTGCACATGCAAAATTTACAGTCAGAAATTGTTCTGCTACATTATTATATATACTGAATGCGTTTTGAAGTTTAAACTAACCAACCCTAATCAGAAATCAAGCTAATAACTAGTTGGAACTTCATTCATAATTAATACCAATAGTAGAATGAACGGAATTGAACTGCATTCTCAAGCAAAATTTACCTAATACCATGGGTCCGAGCATTGAGATAATATAATAAGGCCATTTACATAATTATTCGAACAAGGGCAATGTCGAGCTCTGCGTTTAGGACAAGGAAGGCCATTTTGTGATCACAATAAGTGAAGAAAGTCACTAGAAGGAACTAAAGATGATTGAACATATTGGTAGTTTCTTGCTATAGAGTTGACCCTTGTGTGTTTGCCTCTTCTAATATTTCTCTTTCTCTGCCTCTCTCCAATAATTGAGAGGACAGTACAGCCAGCCAATTTTAGCCTTTTGGAGGGACTCGCAAATGCATGGTGGGGACTCAAGTAGCAGCTGTATGATCATATGCTAAGATATCAGCATCTTCGATATCAGTATTGGCCCAGATACTCTTGTTAATTAAAATTCTGCCACCTCTTCCAAATTTCACAATCAAAACCCTATCCCACCTCTCGTACATTATTCACTTTCAATTAATTAATTTTATTGTTTAATGTTTGTAAACTAATAATTAAAGTGCGGGTTTTTTTTTCTTTTTCACTGTGTAATAAGTTTTTGATCCAATAAAAATCAATTGTCTTGGAAAAGGACAGCCATGAAAACATCCTTGTAACTACACATAATCATGATAATTAGTTATACAACCAGAGAAAGAATTAAGACCACAAGATTAGTTTTCACTCTAGAAATTTTTAATTACATTATTTCAACTGTTCAGGTGGAAACAAATTAATACACCAAGAAAAAGAAAAAGAAAAAGAACGAGAAGAAACACATATTAAATCCAAAGAAAATATCAGCTTAGTGTTAACAAAAGAAAAAGGAAGGATTTTTTAAAGAAAAAATTCCCACACTCCTGTACTATCAACATCTCGTGTATGTGTTTAAAGAAATGTAAAGAGAGGTAAAAAAAGAATGAATTTACAGTTCATATCTGGTGGAAAGCACCAAAATTTGCTCCTGTTAGATCTTCTGATAGCGACGTTAATGGATAGCTACTGAAATCTACTGAATTCTGAGTATGAATTGACCCTTCTTGCCATGGACTCAGTTTTAATTCTTCCGTCTTGTTTCCATTCACCGGAAACTGAAAAGTCGATGACTCGATTTTGTTATCAGCATCCCATGAGAAACCTGCATTACTATTCATCTGATTGTATCCTGCTGTGTAATTGCATATATTTGAGCTGTTGCTAGAGTTCTCTTTAGCCTCGCTCAAAAACATACAACTCAGTCCTGAAACTGAATTATCAGAAAAATCTGTCGCGCCCATGCTTCCATGATCGAAACTTGTTAGACTTGGCATTGAAGTAAATGCAAAGTTCGTACTTGTTTCAAATTGATTTTGATTGAGACCTGAGTTATACCCATTTGCCGGGAAGTCGAAGTAGGATAAAGGATCATAGGCTTGTTTGTTGATATTGAATTGCTCTCTTGAAGAGCAAGTTTCTGTTAATCCGTTATCATTACTGCTATAGTAAGTGGCAGTTTCGTTGATAAGAAATGTCGGTTCCTGGGTTGCGAAGCTTGAGTGTACTGGTATTTGCAGAGATGCTTTATCTATACAATTCTTTTCTTCTTTCACTTCTTGTACTACTACTTCACTTAATGGCTTGTGAGTTGATGGGTCTATTCCTTGCTTCAAAAGCTTCTTCTTCAAGCAAGAATTCCAGAAATTCTTTATCTCATTATCCGTTCTTCCTGGTAACTGTGCTGCAATTTGAGCCCACCTGCAATTTCAAACCATCAAGATTTGTTTTTTTTTATTTATTAATTAATACCATCTCTCCATTTCTTTTACCACAAAAATTAATCCATTACTAATATTTATTTATATAAATACCTGTTACCCAGAACTTCATGAAGCCTGATTATAAGATCTTCTTCTTGCTGTGAAAACATTCCTCTCTTAAGTCTGCAACTCTTTCCACACCTTTGCAAACCTGCAAGAATAATCAAACAGTAAACTTAATGAAAATTATGATTTTCAAGAACCAAGATTAATTGAAACACCTAGAGATATTAAATGAAAATAATAATATACATATATTTACCAGCTAGCTTAGGAACAGAACTCCAGCAACCAACACCAAATCTGGTAATGTAATTGTAGAGCTTCTCATCTTCTTCAGGTGACCATAAACCTTTCCTTAATTTTTGCTTCAAGCAGCAAGAATGCCTTCCCATTTTTTTTTCTTTCTTTTTTAGCCTTAAAGACTATACAATGTTACAGAGGGAACAATGCAAGCTTGCCAAATGAAAACTTGAAGCTTCCACTGAGAAGGAAGGTCACTGCACAATTTGGACATATATATATATATAAACAAAAAATTATATATATATTTGTGCCTGTATATAGAAAGTATAAGAAGTGGGTATAAAAATATATTATTTATTTTCCTATATCGAATGAGAGGAGAAATCAAGAAACGTTTTTACGATGATTTAAAGAGAAGAGGACTAAATCATACTTAGAAATCAAGTTATGGAGAGAGAGAGAGAGAGAGCTGAGGAAGGTGAAGCAATCAAGTGGTTTTTACGCAAATCCGGTACTGCTTTTGCATTGGACTGGATTGGTTTTTAAGATATCTCTATCTCTAGAAAATTAAAAAAAAAAAAAAAGTAAATAAAAGGGAAATTTTGTTTGATTTAATTTAAATTAGAATATCTGTCAGTTTACAGATTTGTGTCCTGAAATAATAATTATCTAATTTATAGGGGTGCCTTGTAAGTCAAACCTCACGCTTGCTATATATTGATATTAACATTTCGTTATTATATTTTTTATCCAGCTTATTTTGGAAAACTGCAGACTTCCTTTTAAGAATTTGTAAATTTCAATTTGACCCTTTTTCTTTTCTTTTTTTCAATTTTCATCAATCAAAAGTAGGTCAAGCAATTTAAGCCATCAAATAGAAGAATCTCACTGTAAGCAGTCTAATGCATTGAATTAAATCATGTAAAAACTTTGCATTTCATTTTTACAAATATAATAAAATAATTACATTTTAAAGATATTTGATATATATATATATGTATATAAAGAGGGCCGACACTATAGTGCTAAAAAAGAGTGGGCTCCATGCATGAATAGTATATATTGACTCTACAGGAAGGAGAAGTGGAGAAGAATTGAGGACACAAATATTAAAAATAGTTAGATTGTTTCGTATGAGTGAGATTATAAATTAAATTTCTAAAAATTAGTTGGGATTATTTCGATTGTACTAAAAGGAAAAGGATTCTTTTCAAGTGTCGTACACATATCATATAAATTAGTTGTGATATAACAATCGTTTCGATTGTACTAAAAAGAAAATGATTTTTAATTGACAAAAAATGTTAAAAAAAATGACTGAACAATGAACTTAGGTAATATATTTTCTAATTGTACATAATATTGTTAAAATAAATGACTGACAATGAACTTAGGTAATAATATATAATATTGATAATATATGTATAACTCAAAATCCATGCAACGCATGTTCTAAAACAATTCTTTTGTTAGCAAATAATAAAAAAAAAAAAAAAAAATCTTTTGCTAGTTAATTGTATTCATTACTTCAGCAAACAAATTAAAGTTAAAGAAACTACCTATAAAAAAAAAAAAAAAAAAAAAAATCTTTTGCTAGTAACTTGTACTTCCAATTACTTCAGCCAAACAAATTAAATTAGAAACTACCCTATTATATACATTTTCTGACCTTTTCTTCCCCAAAAATATCAGTTAGCCGTGAAAAGGTTAATGAACAGAAGAGGCCAAAGGAAAAATTTTAAATTTATTTATAAATCCTAAAATGAGATTAGCATGGTATATAAAGATAATCCTAAATCCAATAGGGTCTTAATTCCAGAGTCACATCGAAGCTGAAAACGGAGCCGGAGACCCACTTATGACATGACCTTACTTTATTTTCATGCCCATTAAGCTGCGACAGCTTGTTTATCGCAATCTTAATAATGCAATTAATGTATCTTTCTTTTTTTTATTCCACGTTGGATATACAAATATAAATTCAATTAAACACAATCAATATTGCCATTCATCAAAATCAATTTAATTGGCCAATATTGAATGTATCTCACAATGAACAAACTATTTTTTTTCGATCTGAATGATTCAATTTTATTGATAAATAAATCAATAAATAATATTTTTTTTTATTCGCAAATGTATTTCTACTCTTTTTTTTTTTTATATTAAAAGAGAAAGATTCGAACATAAATCTACAGTCAGGTTGTACATGCATCTAGAAATATAGTCTATTTTTGTATTTGGACTACTTATTAAAATTTTGTTTTAAAAGCAATTTAATGCAAAACACATGAATGGAAGGTCTAATAAAAGTCAGAATTGAACAACAAAACAAAGACATCTAAAGCGTGCATTCCATTGATATTTAAAGAAGTTGAAAACAAAAGCAGCTCTGTTAGGCAACACCAATATTTTCTTTTAAACCAAGCAATTTCATGCAAAACACACGAAAACGAAATATACAAAAGGAATCACATTTTTTTTTTTTTTTAATTTTCACACTAATACGACTCCCAAATTACAATTCAAAAACAAACAAATCTATATATAAAATGTGCATGTCATTCAGATTTAAACAAGTTCAAAATAAAGAAGCTCCATTAGGTAACTCAACTACCAAAACTCAAATAGAAAAAATAAATTTAAAATATAGCTTTTTTATATTCTTAAATTTACTAAGGATCTGTTCGGCAATATTAGTTATTTTAATTAATAGTTGTTAGCTATATTGTGTTAGTTGTTAGTTATTAGCTTTTATACAATGATTGTTTGTGCAGTGGTTTAAATTATTATTTAAAAATAATTATATTATCAATTTATAAAAATTATAATCTCGAATCGTATAATTAATAAAAATAGAATTTTAATATGATTAAAAGATTAAAAATTAGCTCAAAAGATGATAATAATAAAAAAAAAATATACAGTCCAGCGGACAAAATTCAAAACGTCTCCCCCTTTATATTTTTGACCAGACAACTCCAATAATTTGCCATCCAATAAAATTAGTAATATTTTCCAAAAGCCTTTGTAGCCAATAGAAATTGAAATGGAGCTCCAATGATTGGAGCCATTGATGAACATATCCATAACCGACAGTACATAAATGCAAATAAATAAAATAATTAAAAATAAAAAGTATTGGAAAATACGTAGCCAGCTTTACACACCCTATCAGTACAAGTCCTGCCCTAACTTTTATTTGTCTCCGTCTTTGAATATTTTTTTATTTAATATGAAATGACAATGATACCATCCTTCGCGGCTCCACTACTTCTGCGTGGATCTTGCTCTATATTTCATGGATTTCAATTTTTATAATTTTGATAATATATATATATATATATAATACATTATTGAAATGAAAAATAATGATGGGACATGGAGATCTTGGGTCACACGTGAAAAATTACTTGTCGAGATGTGATTGCCTTTTAAAATAGGTTAGTTGTATTTTGTATATGCATCCAAATAAATAATATTGATCAATTATTTGTTAATTAATATACTTAATTTAGAAAAGATACATTTAAGTACAAAACTCATCAAAAAATAATATTTAAATAATATGTCTAATCTAGTTAATTAGAGAAAGCAAATGGGATTATCATTCAATAATCATTATTGAAAATGACTTAACTCTAACCACATTTTTAGAGGCTTGCTAACTTTAGAAATTAATTTCTTTTACCATTCTTAGTCGGTTTGCTAATCTACAGTCGTTTTTTTTTTTCACCGATTCAATCACTTATTTATATGTTAATATAAATATATTTGAATGTATGAAAAATCCAATTAATCGGAAAAATATTATGTGTATATAATAAAGATAATTCTTCATTTTGAATAATATTTATATTGAAAATGACTGGAAGCTAAGAGTTATGGTCTTCATATTTTTAACGGATCATGAAAGATCAATCAAAAATACGTTATTGGACAAATGGAATCAATGAGAAGTAAAAATAAAAACGAATTCAATCAAATATGATGAAGCATGTAAATTTTATCATGGATGGGCTAGCAAGTCCTCTCAAACAACCATAGAGGCCCATTTTTGAAAGCCCATTACTTCTTTCTTCCTTGCAGGATGCAAAAAAACCTAATTAAGCATGGAAAAATTAAGAGATTAAACACATCTTTGCATGTAAAATTAAACTGTTCTTAATATATTGTTTCTAAAGATTGCATAAATGTTGTTAGGTTGTCAGAGTTTTTTTCAGAACATAAAGAGTCAAAAGAAAATTCATTAACTGTTTGTTAAATGTTTTCCATAATTGAGTTGTGATTGAGCAAGTCTGTCTGTTTCGTAAGTATTTTCACATTTCCTTTGATTTTTCTGGAATGAGCTAGATAATGATGAAAAACTTTCAGAACCATGTATAAAATAAAATATTATCAGAACATTTGAGAGGGACGTTGTATTGGGGTTGGTGAACCTCACCTCAGCTTTGAAAAACCCATTGGGGGTATGTATGTCTTTCACCGTCAGCATAATATAGGATCGGGAAGGGATCCACTAAAATGTGGAAATCGCAATCCGACGTGGCAGGTGGGAACGATGAAAGGGAAGCAGTACAATGTATAGAGATATTATGTGGTCGATTCATTTCAGTCTCATCAAAGTCAGAAAGTCTGCAAACCAAATATTATAATCTACAAAAAATAATCATCACTCTGTCTTCGACTTCGGTCCTCAAATGGAAGACCAGAGAGGTTCCAATCCTTTTTTTATTTTTTATTTTTTTATAATTAACTCAGATATATTTTGTCTCCGGGAAAGACTAAGAGAATGATTTTTCTTTATTGCAAATGCATGAATCTTGATTCATTTAATTTATTGTCAAAGGAAAAGATTTATTTTAAAAAAATAGAAATATAAATGATTTTTTATGCCTTTGAATTTTTTGCTTGAAGATCATTTGACTTATAATTTATATGATTTATTTATTTTGTTAGCATATAGTAATAATATAATTTATAAGTGGAAAATAAAAAAGAATAGATCGATGTTATATAGGTGATGGTGATGGGCGTGGATCCTATAAAGGGATCGTCCTTTTCAGAGAGTCACAGTCACAATCAACCAACGATAAAGCTTCCTTTTCAAGAGATGATCATCACTTGATAACAGTGAAAGTAAAGCTTTGGAAAATCATTTCTTTTCCTTTATCCTTCCCCCAAATCATTACCTTCTTTCTCTGCTTCTGCCTCTCTCCATACCACAAAACTCGATTTATATTATTCATCTTCCCATTTCTTCTCCCGACAATAGTTTCATAGTTTGTGAAATAAATTCTGTACTATCAAATGTTTGATATGAGAAAATAAAAAATTATCTACAAGAAAGAATAATTATAAACCAAATATATGTGTCATAGACATTGATATATGAAAAGAAAAAACCTCTTATGAGAAGAAACAATCATGAATCACGAATAAAATTAGTTTCACGTTTTAAAAAGAGTGCAAGAATTCTTGTGAAAACAAAAAAAAATTTAAATAATCAATGCTTAATCAAAATGGGTGATAA